TCTCTCTCTCTCTCTCTCTCTCTCTCTCTCTCTCTCTCTCTCTCTCTCTCTCTCTCTCTCTCTCTCTCTCTCTCTCTCTCTCTCTCTCTCTCTCTCTCTCTCTCTCTCAAAACAAATAAAGAAAGTCACGTACGTGTGTGGATGGGCTCGCCCTTGGACTCGCGCTCGCGAATCAGGTGAAACAGCTTCGACGCCATGACGGAGCTAGGATACTGGACCGTCTGGCTGCCGCGCTTCGACACGACGTCGGCGGCCGTGTACGGGCGCTTGATGCCGGCGTATCGCGGCGACGACCACCAGGCTTCGACCTCCTTGATCTGCGCGTCGTACAGGGCATCCTCGGCCTCGCCCGCCTTTTGCGACTCGGGCAGCAGCTGAAAGGCGTCGGCCGGCGCGGAGCCGGCAGCGTAGGGGTTCTTGGGCGCGGACATGCGGGTGGTTGTGGCGATGGCACGGATCGCTGCGGGAAAGGGCCGGGTCGTTGTCGTCGTCGTCGTTCGGGAGAGCAGTGCTCGCTTGGGAATGGCTCGCGGCAATGATCTTCGCATCATTGTTGCGGTGAATAAAGTATGGGAAGGGAAGGATTTCGAAAGATTGATGCGGGAGGGTTTTGCACCGCCTTCTTGTACGTGGTAGAAGAAGAGATGATGAATAATGCGTGATTGCTGAGAAAACGGTTATAACGGCAGCGGCGGCGTCGCGGGCGCAGGTCACACAGCCGAGAACAGCCGCGGGGGTGGAGTGAGGGTCTAATTGAGAGCCGAATGCTCACTGAATGACCAAAAAGATTGGTAATTCAGCTTATTTTCCAGCCTTTTTTTTTTTTTTTTCTAAAAAGAAAGATCTTTCATCGATCTCGACTTCTCGTCGTCTTTTCATTTCAAACCTCGTCGATTTTCAATTCGGGCTTCTTCTTTGCTGCCGGCTTCACGGCCAGACTAAAGACCGAACTGAGTAACTAGCGAATTACAAGTGGCTGATAAATCCGGGCGATAACCGAGCATGGGGCTCGGAGTATATTTGCGGTCATGGATGACAATATCTAGATCTTCGAACATTATTGGAAATGTCGAAAAGCAAGGTCAATGGCAAATCATTATTGGCCAAGATGATTTTTAAGGTGGCGACGCCTTCTTACTGTACTCCGTAAAATGTACTTCGTAAAATCAATGGGGCTGGCTGAGAGCCCGCGAGGCCGTTGGCGACAAAGTCTGGACTAGCCAGTGGTGGTATGATATGCTCTAGAAAGATGTAGAATTGTTTGGACAAAGAGTGAATTTCCAAGCATTACACTGCTAAATAGACTTGATCTCATTTGCAAGCAAGTAAGGTCTCGGCTTGACTTTCATGCACTTTCTACTGCCTGTTTACTGCATGATGGCTCGTCTGATCGCCACGTAGCCGGTCGCGTGAATACATCCTGATACCCCGGACAATCAGTATGAGCATGCTGATAGACTCGGCTGCAAATTTTTGCGTCTAAAAGGCTGCCCAGCCAAAAAATACCTCTGACCATATTCTGCGACAGTACCTCGCGCCATTGAAGAGCTATTAGTAGTTGTCGGGTAGTTGTGGCTACTGACTGAATGTCAGGCACATAGCACAGCGCAATTTTTCATGTTTCTCGTAAATCTCCAGTGGCTTTTCAATGTGCAGTCAAATTCATGGTGCTTCCATCGCTGGCACCACCATGATAACCCTCCGCTGCCTCCAATAAGACGGTGCCCTGCCACGGCCAGAGCCGCATACAGGCACGTCCTTCTCACTAAGGTAGGTGGATAAAGAAAGAGCTCAATGCAACGGCAGATCACGGAGTAGCAGCAGCCAGCCACCACAACAGGACTTGCGGTGAAACGTGCGTGAGAGGCTGACTCGGAATGGGTGTGCAGGGTGTGACTACAGTCGGCGGTCGCTGAAGAAGTAATGATGGCCCCACTAGAAAACTTAACTCTTTGGCAGAAAAAAGTACAGGAATGACGGCCAGTGCGATCGTGGTGTGTGAAAGTCGGATTGTCCGAAACGGTGCGTCAAGGTAGTTGCAGGACGGGCAGAGTACTTGTCTCGATGCATGGATTGAGAATCCAAGATGCCAGAAATCCGGCTTGTTGATTTGAACTGTAACGCTCCCAGGCCCGCGATAGGCAGCAAGCCGGTCAAGCACCAAGTCACAGCAAAGTCACAGGCAACTCGTAGCCAAATCACTGACGCTGTACCCAAAACCAGCTCCGAACGGTAATATGCCACCCCTGCGACATCAACACTTTACCAGAAAGGCGCAGGGGATTTTAAAATGCGGGTGACATTACGGAGTGATGCCATATCTTCCCCACGATCTTGCTCCCACAGTCTGCTCCCAAGGCTGGCCAGACTCTGGGGCCGAAAACAGCTTTTGACCAGACGCTGACTTTACCAGCAGACAAGCATCTGAAATGTCCTGTGCCTGGTTCGCCCGAAATCGAGTGGCAACTGAGTGTCTCACCGCCCTTGGCCGAGGCTGTTTTAGGTTTAGCGCAGAGTAACTGATTAGCATCGATAAGCGGCTGTGCCAATCAGAGGGCCAGATAGGCCAGCAGAGAAAAAAAGGCAAATTTTGTACGGGTTACAGGCCTCGAGCCAACCAAAAAAAAATCGCATACCCGGGGCTTCTAGCGTGTGCCACAGATGCACAGCCAGCCAACCAAGCACCTACCGCAGCCCACCACCTCCCACCTCAGACCTCCCAAGGCTCCCACCACCCCTCCAGCAGCGGGAGAAAAAAAAAAGTTGTGGACTGCGCCTACATAAAACTTTCCCACCATCCCTCTCTCCATCCATATCTCTTTTCCTCCACCTCCATATCCTCCTTCTTTTTATTTTGGTCGTCATCCTCTAGACGCCCCGGGTACTGTCCTCCAAACAGTTCCTTTTTGTTTATTTTCTCTCAGTTGTGCAAAGGATCCTCCGCCTTTGAATCAACCCCCAGCCGCTATAGAGCAGAACGACCCCTCCATCGTTTCTGTGGGCTTCGAATAGACCGACATTTGTCGACATTTGTAGACTCCGATAGAACGTTCATCTTACGCTCTCGAGTCTTTTTCTTATACCCTCGGTCCTCCAGACTCGAAATATTCCGCCAACCTTAATCCCGAAATCCACAATCATGTCTGAGAACGCTCAGTCTGTCAAGGTGCTCGACGAGCTCTTCCAGAAGCTCACCGTCTCCAAGGAGGCGGCTGAGATCAAGGAGTCCTCCGCTGAGCTTGCCTCTTTCATCAACGGCCGTATCGAGGACCAGGCTGTCCCTACCAAGTGAGTAATCTATCATTTCTTTTAAGTTTTGGCCTATTGTTGGAGCGCGGCGCTTGCAGAGCAGCTCAATGCTCAATGCCCCGCCACATGCCACTGCGGGCACAAAATTTTTCGCTCTTTTGCGCCCACCGTGGCCACTTGGCCAGGCAACCCCGCCACATCTTGTTGCAACAGTGCGCGATAGCTCCAACGCCTGCTGCCACGAGGCTGTCTGAGAATTGTCTCTCCGCTTGTGTCATGCAGAATATTTTGTTCTCTGAGATTCATGTATTTCTCTCGGTGCGCATAGCTAACAGACACTTTACAGGGTCATTGACGACATCACCAAGAGCCTCACCAACAAAAAGGATGCTGCCGCCCGTGAAAAGGCTGCCGTTGCCATTCAGGCCATTGCCTCTCACTCCGAGGTTTCCGCTCACGTCGAGCCCTACCTTGTTGTCCTTCTCCCTACCCTTCTTGCCGCCGTCGGTGACAAGACCCCCGCTGTCAAGAACGCCGCCAGCGCTGCTGTTCTTGCCATTGCTGGTGCCATCAACGCCAACGCTGTCAAGTCCGCCCTTGTCCCCATCATGGAGTCTATCCGCAACGCCCAGAAGTGGGCTGAGAAGATGGCCGCTCTCGACTTCATTGACGCTCTCGTGACCGGCTCTCCCGCTCAGCTCGCCGTCCGCGTCCCTGAGCTCATTCCCGTCATTTCCGAGGCCATGTGGGACACCAAGAAGGAGGTCAAGGATCGCGCCTACAAGGCCATGGAGCAGCTCTGCCAGCTCATCGTCAACAAGGATATTGAGCGCTTCATTCCCGAGCTCATCAAGTGTATCGCCAAGCCTGAAAATGTCCCTGAGACTGTTCACTTGCTCGGTGCCACCACCTTTGTCACCGAGGTCCAGGAACCTACTCTTGCCCTTATGGTTCCCCTTCTCGACCGTGGTCTTGCCGAGCGTGAGACTGCCATCAAGCGTAAATCCGCCGTCATTGTCGACAACATGTGCAAGCTCGTCGACGACCCCAACATTGTTGCTCCCTTCTTGCCCAAGATGATGCCCGGTCTCCAGAAGAACTACGACAACCTGGCTGACCCCGAGGCCCGTGAAAAGACCAAGCAGGCGCTCGACACCCTTACCCGTGTCGGTAACATCCAGAACGGTGTCATCCCCGAGGCCAAGAATGACGGTGCCCTCAACGTCGTCCTTCCCAAGGTCAAGGACGTCTTCACTCCCAAATACGGCAACTACCTTGCCAAGATGGGCCCCGTTGCCGAGCATATTGCCGCTATCGCTGGCCAGCTCATCGATGAGAAGGAGTTTGAGCTCAGCATCTGGGTCGAGAACCTCAAGGCCTACGTTGCCGTCATCACCGGCATTGACAATGCCGAGGCCATTGTCGACACCATCCGCAAGAAGACCTCTCCCGCTGCCGCTACCGAGGCCGAGGGTGAGCCAGATGATGACGAGGGTGAGGATCTCTGCAACTGCACCTTCTCTCTTGCCTACGGTGCCAAGATTCTGCTCAACCAGACTCACCTCCGTCTCAAGCGTGGTCAGCGCTACGGTCTTTGCGGTCCCAATGGTTCTGGCAAGTCTACCCTCATGCGTGCCATCAACAACGAGCAAGTTGAGGGTTTCCCCAAGCAGAGCGAAGTCAAGACCGTCTTCGTCGAGCACGACCTGGACTCGGAGGATACTGAAATGACTACCATTGACTGGACCATGAAGAAGCTTGCCGAAGCCGGTGTCAAGACCGGCCAGGCTGAAGTCGAGGCCCGTCTCAACGAGTTTGGCTTCACCGAGCAGATGGTCAAGGGTGAGATCTCTGCCCTTTCCGGTGGTTGGAAGATGAAGCTCGCCCTGTGTCGTGCCGTTTTCGAAGCTCCCGATATTCTCCTGCTTGACGAGCCAACCAACCATTTGGATGTCAAGAATGTCAAGTGGCTCGAGGAGTACCTGATTAACTCCCCTTGCACTTCCATCATTGTCTCCCACGACTCTAGCTTCCTTGACAACGTCTGCCAGCACATTGTCCACTACGAGCGCTACAAGCTCAAGCGCTACAGGGGCAACCTGATGGAGTTTGTCAAGCGTGTTCCCTCTGCCAAGTCCTACTACGAGCTCGGTGCCTCCGAGATTGAGTTCTCTTTCCCCGAGCCCGGTTTCCTTGAGGGTGTCAAGACCAAGGCCAAGGCTATTCTCCGTGCCACCAAGATGTCCTTCCAGTACCCCGGAACCTCCAAGCCCCAGATCGCCGACATCACATTCCAGTGCTCTCTCGGCTCACGTATTGCCGTCATTGGTCCCAACGGTGCTGGCAAGTCTACCCTGATCAATGTTCTTACCGGTGAACTTATTCCCACCCAGGGTGAGATCTACCAGCACGAGAACATCCGCATTGCCTACATCAAGCAGCACGCTTTCGCCCACATTGATAATCACCTGGACAAGACTCCTTCCGAGTATATCCAGTGGCGTTTCCAGACTGGCGAGGATCGTGAGACCATGGACCGTGCCAACAAGGTCATCACCGAGGATGATGAGAAGGCCATGGACAAGATTTTCAGAGTTGAGGGCACTCAGCGTCGCGTCATTGGCATCAACAGCCGCAGAAAGTTCAAGAACTCGTACGAGTATGAGTGCTCTTTCGCCCTTGGTGAGAACATTGGCATGAAGAACGAGCGTTGGGTTCCCATGATGTCTGCTGACAACGCCTGGCTGCCCCGTAACGAGCTTCTGGCCTCTCACCAGAAGATGGTTGCCGACGTTGATATGAAGGAGGCTCTTGCCTCTGGTCAGTTCCGCCCTCTCGTCCGCAAGGAGATTGAGTCTCACTGCGCCAACTTTGGTCTCGACGCCGAGCTGGTTTCTCACTCTCGCATGCGTGGTCTGTCTGGTGGCCAGCGTGTCAAGACTGTCCTTGCCGCTTGCTCGTGGCAGCGTCCTCATTTGATCGTCCTCGACGAGCCTACCAACTACCTCGATCGTGACTCACTCGGTGCTCTGTCCAAGGCTCTGAAGAAGTTCGAGGGAGGTGTCATCATCATTACCCACTCTGCCGAGTTCACCAAGGACTTGACCGAGGAGGTCTGGGCCGTCATGGACGGCAAGATGACTCCTTCCGGCCACAACTGGGTTCAGGGCCAGGGTGCCGGTCCCCGTCTCAAGGGCGATGACGACGATGAGGAGGAGAAGTTTGACGCCATGGGTAACAAGATTGTCACCACCAAGAAGAAGGTCAAGCTGTCTTCCTCTGAGGCCCGCAAGAAGAAGAAGGATCGTATGGCTCGCCGCAAGCGTGGTGAGGAGGTCTTCTCTGATGAGGACGACTAAACAATTCGCCCAAAAATTTACAGCGCGAGTTTGTTTTTGTTGTTTTTGCTTTTGCCCTCGTCATTCACCCCCTCTTTCATGCTTTTGAGCACATACACCCTTACATAACTCTTGATTTTTTTCCCTTTTGTTTTGTTATTTCACGCGGGTCATGGTAAAAGAAAAGTTGCAATGATTATTTGATGGTCTGGTTATTTGCATATCGCAGGCTACATCTATATAGACACGAAGTGACGGGAGACAAGAACACCAAGGTGCAAGGAAGAAACGATAGGGGCAAAAATGTCTGGTTTCATTGTTTATGAGAAAGGAATTGTTTGTTTGATTTCTTTCCGTCTTGATTCTGGTGGGAGTTGATGGACTTGTCAGCTCAGTTCTTTTTGATCTGCAAAGTGGTTGGAGGACCTCTTTGTGGATGAATAAAGCGAGGGACTGGGCACGCCGAGTGCGTCCTCCCATGGGATGTCAACGGAGGTAGACAGGAAAATAGGAAAGGAAAAAAATATATACATTCTGAAATAACTATGGGTGTCTAAGTTATTAGTGCATGAAATTTTTTGAGCTCAAGTCTTGGGCATTGAATCAAGTAGACAAGTCCGGAAAGGTCTCACATGAAAGGTACCAAACGCTATTTGGCCTACGGGATCTTGGGTGGCATCGGTCAGTGGCAATAGTTATTGTCCGCAAAGGTCAAAAGGTTGAGTGAGAGCTTGAGAGATCAAGAGTGAAGGGAGGTGAAGGGAGTAAACTGTAAACTGAATTGCATAATAATTTCATTCGTCATATATTTGGGTATAGTAAACAAGTAATAAACAAAACCTCAAGTCTTGATAGCCAAGACTTGATGCACGAGCAGGCTCTTCTTGTCCTCCACTGTTTCATGTCACTGCTCGCTCGTGCCGTCTTTCCAATGAAATATTTTCAGTTTGTAACCCCAAATCCAAGATTTGATACTTCAAGAGAGAGAGAGAGACAAATGCCATGCAAGATATATGCAAGTCGCTGCTGGCCTTGTCTTTACGCCAAGCGCGCAGCAATAAAGTAATGTGATGCCGTAAAAGGTACAATGAATCAAGATTTGAGACGAGCATCATGGGAGCCTCCAGATATGGCAGATTGAAAGAGAAATCTAAACACGCAGACAAGTCTTTTGAGATGAATTACCCCTCAATCTGTTGCACCTTGCTTTTTTTGTAGCCAAATAGGGCCAGCATCTCGGTCCAGAAGCCGACGGGGGGCTCGGTGAAGCGGCTTTCATAGGCATCGATGGTGGGGCGCTCCCAGACGAGGTCAACCTCGGCAGGGTTCTTGAGCTTGGTGCGCTTGATCAGCTTCCAGCCAAAGAACAGAATAGGAGCGAGACACTGCATGGTGTAGTTTTTGAAGAAATTTTCGGCTGTGATGGGGCGGGCAAACGCAGTATAGCCATAGAAGAGGATAATCAGCAGCTGGATGAAAATGGCGATGTAGGCACCGTAGGGTTGGAAACGGCCGTAGTAAGGGAGAGTTTTACGATCGAGACCCTGTGCCTTGCAGGCGCGGTAATAGAAGATGAAGGTGATGGACATGCCAATGTAGTCAATGATGCCGCCGGCGGTGATGAGTTCAACGAACCAGGTGACGACGATAGCGGAGCCCGAGCCGACCTGGAGGAAGGAAAGGAAGGGGAAAGCCATGACGACTATGAAGCAGTAGATGGGAACGCCTCGGCTGTTGCACTTGCGGAGGAAGCGAGGGGCGCGACCCTCGAGGGCGAGACCGTAGAGGGAGCGGGTGGCGCAGTAGGTGTAGGTGTTGCCGGCGGAAAAGATGGAGGTGAGCATGAGGGCATTGACAATATGGGGGAGGACCTGGATACCCATGGCCTGCATGGCAATAACGTAGGGGGAGGAGCCGGCGTCGGAGCTGCCGCCGTCGCCGAGCTGGACGTTGACGAGGGTGGGGTTGTCGCAGGCGAGGACGATGCCGACAGCGAGGGCGCTGCCAAAGAAGAAAAGGAAGAAGCGCCAGTAGATGGTTTTGAAAGCGGTCTTGATATAGATTCGGGGGCGCTTGGCCTCGGCAGAGACCATGGAAATGTACTCGGGACCGACAACGGCGAAGCTAGCACTCCAGAGGGCGCCGAGAAAGCCCTCGAATCTGCCCTTGGCGCCTGTGGACTTGTACTCTTGGAAGGCAATGTGTTTCCAGTTACGGAAACCATAGGCATCGTGCTGGGGGTTACCGCCGACCATGGTGATGAAGGTGAAGGCGAAGAGGATGAAGAGCAGAATGACCTTGCCACCGGAGAGCCAGAATTCAGCTTCGCCGTAGCCGCGGACGGCGAGAAGATTGAGTGCACTAGATGTCTTGTTAGTACCTTGATTCTCCACGCATCTTGTTTCCCTATGGGCGGAAAAGATTCCGACAAGAAGGGGAAGGGCAGGCAGCTTACGCATAGCAGATGATGACGGCGGCGCAGATACCAGCGGTAGGGCCAGGTTCTTTGATGCGACTATCCCAGAAGCCAATAACGAGATTGAGGGCGGTAATTTCAAAAGGAATGAGCAGGGCCTCGTATATAAAGAAGTTCCAGCCAATCATGAAACCGAGGGCATCGTCGACAAAGTGACCGGCGAGACGGATGAAGCCACCAGAGACGGGATAGAGAACAGTCATTTCAGCAATCGAGTTGTTGACGAGGCCGAGAACCAGAGGGTAAAGGGTAAAGGCGATGAGAAGACTAGCGGGACCGCCTTTGGCGAGACCGGCACCGATGCTGACGAAGAGAGCGGTACCGATGGAGCCACCAATGGCGATGAGCTGGATCTGGCGATTGTTGAGGCGGCGCTGCAGGCCGTCAGAGTTGTCGGCCATGTGAATCTCGCTGTCGAGGCTCGGGGGAGAGCCAGGCACCTCCATCTTGGAGTGCTTGTCCTCGTCGGTGGTGGCCATGATTGCGATGCGAACGGGGTGCGGGTTTGGTGGGGGAGGAAGCACGCGGTCGAGGTAAGTTGGGGACAAAATGGGACGGGATTGGAGGCGCAAAGCGAATTGCGCCAACAAGTCAACGGTGCGAAGAATGTCAAGACAAAAGTCACTTCATAAATATAAAATAAAGCAGAACTTTGTCTAGAGTGGAAAGAAAATGGATGGAGGGGGAGAGGGGAGGGGGAGAGGGGAGGGGGAGAAAGAGGTTGAGGATAAGAAGAAGCGAGATGGGAAAATGGGAAAATAAATTGGGGGTGGGAAGGTTTTAGTTCATATAAGGCAAGAGGCCAGCCAGTACAAGCAACAGACGCAGAGAGACGAGGAAATGAGTGAGAGAAAGAGAGACGGATGAGGTGTCTGTACACGGTCAAGCCGAGTGTGGAGCCGGCACGGCGTGGGATGCAAAGCCGGCCGTTATTTAGCATCCAGTGGCATTTTGTGCCGTCTACTCTTCAGTCATGGGCTTGTTCTAGTCTACTTTTTACTGGTAGGCAGGTGGGCAAAGAGAGGGACAAGGAAGAAGAAAAATCAGCACAAGAGCAGCCAGAACAACCAAGAGATGGTGCCGCAGATGGAATAGGATTGGCGGGCAACACCTGGGATTGCCTGATGCGGCTTAGCGTTGGTACAAGAGCAGCACCGTACCTTGCAATTACTTATCTGCAGAGCAGACTCGAATAACCATAGTAGATGTGTCTCTAAAGCATGAGTTGGCTGGAGAAAGGTGCAAGAGAAAATGATTATGAAAGGAAAAAAAAACTTTCTTCATTGTCGAGTTCCTCTAGAGTGAGTATTTTGGACGCCGAGGTACATGATAAGTTTACCTTTTGCCCTCACTCCCCCCCCCCCCCCAGGCGACGCCTTCGGGCGGTGGGCCGCATGCGCATATGGCTTGGCGTCGCTAGAGGCTGCTCATATTTAGGCAGTGGGCAGTAGCAGGCTGAGGATAAGGCCAGGGCTGCTAGTGGTTTGTGTGAGTGGGCTTTGTTTATTCCTTTTTATCTCTCTCTCTTTTCTTTCGTCCGCCAGCAAACTATCGCTGCTTTTAGTTCTAGGCATCTGTGTACTTTATATGCAGGCTAGTGAAGGTCCCTCCCCCATGCGTGGGGCGCGAAGAACTACCTGTTGGCAGCGCTGCCCGCGGAAACATGTTCTGTCACCTCTTGTCGGTCAAATTTGGCGGCTTTAATTTTTTTTTAAATCATATTTATTAAACTTTAGACTTGGTGAATCGGAACACTGCAGATCCATGTCGGTAGTGCGCTGTCTGAACTCACCGTACGTTACGCTCATCAAGTTGGCACATCCAAGTATAATACAGCAGTGAGGCTGTGGTGAGCAGAACAGACCCTTTTCTCTTCAGTCGAAACCCTGAATTCAATAGACGGGCTACACACAGTATGTAGATCTTGCTGACCATGGCGCTTTGAGCTCCAAGGTCGCTCGGTCGCCTCCCTCTCTCCCTCACAGCCTCACCACACAATCATCGCTAGGCGTGCTAAGCTAGTTGGATAGCCACCAAGCGCGCGCAACACTTGGTGGGTAAAAGCAGCTGGCCCTCCGATCACAGCCCGTCGAGATTGTCAAAAGGGCCGCCTTACAACTAATAAACCATAATATGCCCCCCGTAAGCACGACTACGCCTTACCTATCCGTAGTAGTACCTACCTGTCCAACAGCTACAACGCTTACAGGCAAGCATCAACAGGGCGGGTTTCAGCGATCCAAGCCTGTAAACCAGCCAACATCTCCCATCAAGCACTAATTGTCATTCACTTGCAGACATTCATCATCCGTAGTTACGAGCCAGGACAAGGTAAATAGACGACGAGCTGCTTCTCATCGCGCGGCAGACCACAACGTACCCTGCTTCCGGCCTCCTTCGTCTCCCCGTTCTCCCGCCTTACCTTAACATCGCTAGGGCAAAAGCTTAGCAGCGCCTAGCCAATCCGCAGAAACCTGTCATTACCAGTACAAGCAGTTGGCTAGATGCCAATTGGTTCTACGAAAACGAAAAGTCCATTTTCGCGATTCGCGCTTTAGCTTTGTGCAGTTCCTATCGGTTCTTGGCCGCCGGGAGCATTTGCATCGGTTGGCGACCTGTAACGCCGCGGCCAAAAAGTGTAAAACCGAATAAAGAGACGAGAAGGATAAAAGAAACAATCTCTCCTCATTCAAAAATGCCTATATATACACATTCACCCGTAGATTTACTCTGATTCCCCTTTCCGGGATGAGGCTTCTCTTGTCCCGGCGCGGCAGGCGATCGCATGCATTGGCGTCTTGTTCGACTCGAACAATAAATACATTTGTCATGCTGCTGGAACATGTTCACCATGCACCAGTGCTACACCAGCCAAGTCTCAACACTGTTGACTGGTAATGATGGCGCTACTAGTCAGGGCCAAGACAAAGGCTACCTTGCTGCTAGTTAGCTTATCCCGCAACAGCGCCCCTCGGCCTCTTGTTACAAATAACACTGTCCAACACAATAAAACTAAAACGACGCAAAAGCTGTCGCGCTGTCTCTCTCTCATTGTCCGTCTCCAACACTGCGACCCTTTTCCCCCAATACAGACCCTGAATTGCGAGTCCAGATTTAAGACGCCATGCCCACGCCATTCTCCAAGATTTCAATCTATGGTAGCATGGTGCCATGGAGATTATTAGTGGGCATGCCCTATATTCGTAATAAGAAAGAAACAAAGACGGTCTGGTCTCTCTGCCCACTGACCACTGACCAGTCCCTGCTCACCAACACCGTAATGCCGCATGGCCCCCCTGCCCTGTGAGAATTACGAGGCGGCTTGCGAGAGGAGTGGGTTATTGTCCAAACCAACCAAACAGAATATCATTAGGTGAAGAAAACAGCTGAGCGAAGAGGGCTGGGCTCCGCTTACGACTACATGGCTCCAGCCTCCAGGGATCCCCGCTGTGGGCAGGGTGGCAAGCTGATTGTCGAGATGACTCGCTGCTTTATTCATTTACGCAGTCTGTCATTCGCCTCTACCAGTAACATGATGAAGACCGACAGCATGTTGTGAAAGGCGGCTAATAGAACAACTCCGTCTCGTCCTTGTCCGAGCTAGATGCCACAGAGGAGCGGGTGATGACGCGGCTATCGAGAAACGGGGTGCGACCTTTTGACCATGACGATCTTCTGAGAGTGCGGCGACCAACTCGGGGCTGTAGTGTACTTGGAATTGTGCGCTAATTTGGACTGGTTTGAAAGAAAGAAATTAACAGGCCATTGTCACTTGTGGCGCGGTTTTTGCCTACTTTCCTGGTCTAAATCGGCATCCTGTCGCGTGCCTAGGCTCTCTATCCGTCCGTACCTTGACTAAGATCAAGGCGTTTTTTTTGACGGCGGTGGTATTTATGGGCGACCAACCCAAAATGGTATGCATGCCTCTGGACCAACGCGCCAGGAGATTGCCTTTTTCGAAAGTCCCGCCGTTTTGACAAGCGCAAAGGTTGTCGCTACGCGAATCTTCTGCTAGTCAGTCTATAAAGTAGCAAGGTTCCCCCCCGCAGTCGCGACAGCAGCCTGCAGAACGTGTTTTTGCTTGTGAAATGGACCACCAACATCCCTTTGTTTTCCCCAGAACCCTGGTTCAACGTTGACCAACCCACCTCTCTAAACTGAACCAGGGAAAGATGCGACGCTGTCTGAATACCACCGCCACTTTGGGGGTTTGGAACGAAGGAAAAAGAGCAAGTCACCACTCTCAGAATAATGCCTCGTCGTGCTTGGTCTCGAAAAAGCGGCGTCCCTTTTTTTTTTTTCTGTGCTCCACTCATGGCTGAGCTGCGGCTTTCTTTCTCTGCCATGACGTCACTATAGTTTCTAAACCCGCAAATCGCACATCGTCTTGCCCCATGCCAAGTCAAGTTGCATCCACAACTCCACACGTTTCTAACAAGAGGCGAGCGAGGGAGAAGAAAAAAGAGTACGGCATGGCCAAGTATTGACCGATAGCGTCGTTTGAAGTAACCTTGCAAGCGTCTTTTTCTTCTTTTCACCGGGCTGGCCTTCTAGAGGAGGGTCTGTTCCCTTGCAAACATCACATGGACTGCTGCTACCCTGCGCCAGGCCCCTGCGTCATCATGCCTCGAATCTCCAGCAAAATTCCATTGCAAGCGAATCAGCTGGCAATTCATCTTTGCAGCTAGTGATTCTTGGCAGATTTTACAAAGAAAAATTAAATAAAAGGTTAGTCCTGTCGAGTGAGCGGGAATAACCCCACTGAAGCGCAAAACTTTGTACATGTGATGATGCGTCGCGGCCCTGTTTGCTGTTCAATCATCATGGCTCTAACATTCTCGTAGTTTGTCACAACTCCAACGAACAGTCCATCGCACAGCACCGGGCCCGACTCGGCTTCAGCGACCATATGCCTTTTGCTTGACCTCCAATGCCATTCTTTCAGCTCAATTGGGCCTCGCGAAGCGCAACCGCGACAGACGCGTTGCCATCCTGATGATGCAAACACGCAACGCTATTACCGCATCGCTCTCGCTTCCTCTGCTTCCTATAGGTCAAACCCTGCATAATAGGGCTGCTTTAGCCACTCGATCGGAATCCTTTTCATCTATTTTGGACCTGCTTGCCGTTTCCCAGATCGCCACGCCCTTGTCTTGACATTCCCGCCTGCCACCCTACCTGCGCGGCCCGCGTCTCAAGCGCCAGTTCTTATTGGCTGCCAGGACGAGGCGGCAGATCCGTGATTGTTCTGAGGAAAGATTTGACGACATGAATAGAATAATAGTTGGCCATCTTCAGAACGATAGTTGTGGAAATGTTGAAGCAGAGCCGGTCAGTTTCGCAAACAGTTGCACCCCCAAAGTCCCTTTGCGCTGCACTCTCACAATTGTCTCCAGCCCGCCCCGCGTCGTATGGCATTATTTCCCCATTCAGCTGCATCAGTTGCAAGGGTCGCCGCGCGGTTAAGGCCATGGTTGATTAAGAATAGGTGGTGGGCAAAAACGCCATGGCGGTCAACTACACACGTTGACATGCACGACCACACCACTCTCGCTCAAATGTCACTACGGAGTACCCTTGTCTCATTCTGCAGCCACCACCAGGCAGCAGCTATTCAGCCGGCTGTATCCTTCAAAGCAAGATTCAACCCGGCCCTCAGCCTGATCTGCAATTGCCTGGGCAGAGATGAAAAGCAACGCCATGCTAATTAGATTGTCTTGCCCCGACTCACCCAACAGAGGCCCAAGCTTGCATATGCACATGCACAAGACTTGCATCAAGTTAAAGGCCCCGGATGCAATGCTAGACATTCAATGTTTCTGGAAAAGAAAAAGAAAAAAGAATTGCGGCCGGCTTTTCCTCTAACGTCAAGATGGGGGAGCATGCTTTGACGGCCGCCCACGCGACCAACCGGGAATGCATCCAAAGTCGCGCTACTTGTAAGCAAGTCATTGTCCTCTTCTCGTACACCACAATACACTTTTTCTCAGTCTAGTACTTTTTTATTTCTCAAGCAAGGGTCGACTGTTTCGAGCGCGCCCAGTTGCACTATCCATTTCTCGCAATCTACAAACAAGAATCTCCCAGAACGGAACATGGCCTATTAACGCCAGGCTAGTTTGGGAAAGATGTTGGAACAACTAGCGCAGCCATGTTTGTTAAACCCGTTCGTTCCCAGTGCCCGGCAAAGAGAGAAGGTGTCGCGTGCGACGGGCAGCGGGACACTACGTAATCTGGCTTCAGCCGCTCATCTGCTTCGGTTGACAACGGGGTACTCAGGCTGGTTGGCTGGTCATAACGACAAGTCCAGCCGCTCATTGGGCCACAGTCCCACACGCAGACGGACCGTCGTATCGACAACGCATTGGTATTCAACTGAGCAAGCCTCGTTTCTTTTTGCTGGGAAGTCCATCTGCTAGCGCTGTGTGGCTGGCTAGTTGGTTGTTAGTGTGCAATGCCCAATCACGCAGGTCTCTCAATCATATTGCCACGACTGGTTTCCTCAACACGACTCAAGCATGGGAAAGACTGGGTCTCTGGAGTTTTTTACGGCGTTGGGTGAAATGCTCATACTGAACGGGGGACCCATTGAAATGCTCACCAAACTAGTTGGCATCTCTCCAATCACATGTCTTCTGGTGCTGTGGACTCGAGACGTCCATACCCGGTCATCAGCTCCGTGCTCCGTCCTGAACTGGCCCGCCCGTCAGCAACCTGCCCTGGTTGCCTGGCTCCGGTGGCGCTAGCAGAAACGAAAACGCTGGCTTCATCAGAGGAGCCCAGCGACCCGTTTTTCATTTTGCAGAAACGCCGTATTCAAATGCCGTGGTCTTTTTTTGTGTGGGAACGAGGGCAGTGGTAGGGACTCGGGCCATTGGCCCAGGTCGGGTCAGTTTGCGGGACGGATTGCCCTGCCTTTGTGTTGCCCCGTCCACTCTTCTTGAAAACGTTTGCGACGGAAGGGTGCCAGTCTGGGTAAAACTCTATCACGCTGGCCGGCACGTGGACGGTTCGTCGGTACGGGGCACGGAGGACAAGACGCCGTACATGCCTAGCGGCGAAGCTTGTGAAGGGCATAGGAGAATGAGTTTATGTATCGCCACACATTACAGAGAGCTGCGACATATCAAAGGCAAACAGGCTTCGGCTGCGAGGAAGCTATATAATAGCCGACAGTCGACTGGGGCGAGCATGAAGATGTGGGTGGATGTACTGGCAGAACATTTGATGCGAACATTGTAATCATGTATGATTCACCTCAGTACGACGAGCAGTGAACTTGTGACTCTGTCGCTTGTCCCTCCTCTCTAATCATGAAAACGTCCATGATCCATTTCCGAAAAGACACTTCAATCTAGTCCGCCAACTCACGCAACACCGCAACGATGGTATACAGTCCATCAAGTGTAGACGTCTCCCCAATAGACATGTCTTCTAAAATTTCTAGGCTATCTCTATCGATCGCTGGCAAACAAGAGCTTCCCATACATTACCCAGAATCAAGATCATAGGCAGGGTAATGAGCTTCGATCCCACTCGGCGAGGGGGTAGACGCCCACAGCAAACTGGCTACTGCTATCCTGGCGCTTGCTCCAGCTTGCTCTTCATCAGCGAGGCCATGCGGCGGTGCCACGCCAAAAGTCCAGATACCTAGCCGCAGCTTGCCTTGTGCAAGCCCGCCGCCGCCGCCGACCTTGATATGCTGATGGCAATGGGCCGGAACATGACAGGAGTGTATGCGGTCTGGCTGACAGTCTGAGAACTCGAGCGGCTCCCCACGCAGGAAGGACTTGAGTTTGAATCGCCCGTAGCAGGCTTTCGTCGGAAGCAGTGTCGCGCTTGCCGCCTTTAGAAGGTCTTCTCACGGCGCGAGACCCGTCTTGCGCGGGTGTTGACACGAGCGCCTAATCGACCATTTTGCCCTCTGTAACCCTTTTATCCTTTCCTCTAATATCCGCTAGTGGTGGCATAAATGGCGTGCATATCCGGGCTGACTGTATCAGCTCCTTGTCCACGTAATGATGATTCTTGCATCGCGAGGGCCAGGCTTCTGGCCAGCAAGAGTGACGCTATCTCGGAACGAGTTATGGCATGGCGTATGAAAATGCAAACAAGACAAAGACGGTGAAGAATTTCGATGTTAGGCTGTGAATCCAAGATACTGGGTCCTCCAGCGCCAGCTGAAGCAGTGTCGCTGATAATTAATAAACGTAGGTAGATGGATTTGGCGGCCGATGGGGATCACATCACAACAAGGTCCTGCCTGCCGGGTAGATAGATGAATTACCTATTTCACTAGGTTCTAAGCAATGCCCAGCTCTCCTCCTATCACGTCCAGCGCTTCCCTCAGCAATTCCAAAACCTCTTCATCATCTCCTGCTACCAGTCCCTTGACCAAAAGCGGATACAGCCGCAACAAATGCTTCCTGCTCGTACTCTGCGCTCCTTGCAGGGCCGGGATAGCATCGGCTTCGCTGTGCAGGTCGACGAGCTTCTGCAGCGTCCACAGCAGCTCTCGTCTCTGGCTCAACGGCTGCGGCATCTTTCCTCGCAGCGGCTGATCCGCCACGTACGCTCGCAAAGTGAGAGCGCACCGTATAATGAAAAACAGCGCCACGGCAGAAGCGATCCGGGCTCTCAAGGACGATGCAGCCGCATCATTCTTTGCCGCACCCTTCCGCGTTTGCTTTGGTTTGCGGAGCTCATGGACCTGCTCTTGAGCCACGAGGGCAAATAACTCTTCAAACGCGACATATGCAATCTTGGTCCGGCGTGTTGGGGGCACGAATATAGTTCGGCCAGTCCGTGTCTTATATAGTGCAGATAATCCATTGTCGCTTTCTCCGTTGATAATTTCGTAATCGGTGTCGGTGGGTGCATGGATGATGGACGTCTTGAACAGGCTTGAGGCAAGGTTTTTTCTGGCCTCGCCAGGAACATCTTCTGCGCCGAGATCCGGTATTATTAGATTCCGTAGTCGCTTGAAAGACGCAATGTCAAACTCCTCGTCAGCAGCAAAATTGGTGCTGTCCAAGGCATCGTCACAGTCGGCACTGAGGATGCTGTCAGCTAGGCTTACAACATTGAGCCAAACATGCTGTGCAATCTCTTTTGGGACCTTTAGATCCTTCATTTGCGGCAAAGCAGCCTCCAAAACGGCCAGAGCAGATAATGTTGCTGTTCTCCATGGCTGGGCCGCTTTTGTTGTCAGTGGGAAGCTGTACTTTAATGTGATCGGCTTGCAAAGAGCCGCAAGGGTCGTCGCCAATGATCCACTGGTGTAAATGTCCTTGTCTGCAGCGTGCTTCAGTGCCACTGTTTCTAAAAAAGAGATGCTTGCTCTGGAAAGTGCAACAAACGTGCGCTTAGGCTTCTTGTCCCGACTCGTCTCTTGCTCGAAGGCTAGTGTGGCAAGTTTCGAGGCGTGCGACAGCATTGCAGACGGAACCCCATCCACGTCGGTTCTTATCATCTTGACCGCTTCCATAATCTTCGATTGAAGCTGTGTCAAGTTGTCCAGGTCCGTTGCAAACGAACCGAGCGAAGCCTCCTGGGCCGATGCATGAAGCAGAGTCAGCATTCTCTCAACTCTTTTAACCGCGAGCTTCTCTTGCATTAGCTGATATAGCTCTGCCAAAGCCCCGACATATGCCAGCAGACAACTTTGGTTGTCTTCTCCCTTTGCTTCACTCGTAGATGGAACGCCACGCGCCCACAGTTGCCATGCCATGTCAACGGCATCATCATTGAGCTTTGCTTTCTGCTCCTGGTTTGCTTGTGACAAGATATGAGCCAGTGCCTTAAAGGCTGCAGTATTAATGACAAGAACTTTGTGATCAAGCAATTTCGCAAAATGTTCCAATAGCTCTTTCCACAGCTCGTTGAAAGACGGATGCGCTGTCAGTGCATCGAGGTAGTTGGCCAAGAGAGTAGAAATGCCATTCAGAACGACGACCGAGGTATCATGCCATTCATGGGCATCATCGGCTCCGTCTTCGCTTGTGGCCTCTAGTTCATCTTGAAGTGACGAAAGAAGTCTGAAAAGGACGGATTTGATACACATAGACCACGCCTCTGGAGTAAGGCGGTCCCCGTACGCATCAAATATGCGAAGTAATGTCTGTATGGCACTGTTACGAAGCTCGAGCCTCATATCAGAGCTTACGGCCGTGAGCCGTTGCAGTAAAAGCAGCCAGAGCGCCGCCGAGGAATTCCTATTCTCACTATCTGCAGCGAGCTTCGCTAAGCTTGTGGAATCAACATCTTTCATCAGCTCTTCGGTAATTTCTAGCGACTTTGAGCGACTAGATAAAAAGTCGGAGAGTATCCAGAAAAAGGTCACAGTCTGGATTGTCGTAAGCGCAATTCGAGTCATCCAATCTGTAGGTCATCTTACCGTCAAGGCAATATTCAAATCATCATCTTGCGAGCTGAAATTGTACAGCGCATCTACAAGGATTAAGAAACAGCTATTGGGAAGCGAGGCCAGGAAGTCTGAGCAGATGAGTTGCAGCGAGCCAAATGCAGAGCGCACCAGCTTCGATGATCGGGTTCCGATTGGCTTGCTTGAGTCTCTGCTGTTCTCTGCGATCGCATCGCTAGCCACAAACACACTGTTGATGATGTCAAAGGCAACATCCCAGCCCTCCACTAGGCTCTCGCCATAATTCTCAAGAATTTGGCGCAATCCTTCGAGGATGACCCGATGTATTTCTAGGTCCGTCGTGCTCCCAGAAACAGAGTCGTCTCGTTTCTTTCTTTGTAACGCAGCTAGTGAATCACGCAACCCTCCAAGAAGACGCACCTGTATAGGGCCACGTAGTTCCTCGGGGAGATTTGCAGCTATACTACCAGATTCAAGCATGAATCTTGCTAGTACTTCAGCCGCCCTTGTCCGAACGGGCGCGCTCATTGTACCTGAGTTCAACGTAGAACCTAGTTGAGTGACCAGCAAATCCCAGCCGGATTTATCAGGATCGCTTCTAAGAAGTCTTTCCGAATTGATGGATGCGATTTCACCAAGCTTGGCTAAAGCAAACAGCAGCTCTTGATTGGTGTCCGTGACTGTGGGTTTGGAGAAGCTAAGTACACGCCTGTGGTGGCCTTGGCCAGGCTGCAGTGGTACCTTTGTTTGCGGCTGCGCTGAAGTGCTGTCGGTAGAAGGTTGCACTGTCAACAATCCGCAAATTGCTTCAATCACCTGGGCAAACTGTTCGTCAGGAAAGTCGATTGTACTCTCGAACAGTCTAGACGCAGCAGTTTCGACAGAGCGAACCTCGTTGCTGAAATTTGTCATCAGAGAATTGTGTTCATTCTCGCTTCCCTGCTCGGGAGCTCTGCTCACAGACGGAGATCTGATCGAACCTTTGCTTGCAGAGAAAAGGACAAGGTCGGCCTGCTGCAGTGTCTCAAGGATGATGCTCCATGATGTGCCGAGCGTCGGGCCGAGCGCAATACCAAGATTCAAAAGTGCACGCAGACAGAGCAAGTTGCGGGTGTTCAACGATGCACCGGTCGTATCTGCGCTCATTTGACGCTGCTTTTCTGTTGTTTGAGAGCTCTGGAGTGTCTCGACGCTCAAAAGACCTCTCGCATTGTTCAAGATGGAAGAGGCAGGATTATCAGGGGTTGTGCTAGGTGCGACTGACCGTGATTGGCCAGCGTTGAGACAGGCTTTTAGAACATTGGGTGGCACGGCTGACTTTCCGAGTGTTGTCAGAAACGCATCTCTTGGGGTTGTGAGCTGAAGCAGACCGGCGACGTGAGCAAAGCGTTGAAAGGCTCGAACAAGTCCATGATAGTACTCCGAATCCAGCGAAGCATAGAGGAAATTGGAGCATGTAGCCAGGATGGCGGGCCAGCACTCATCCACCATCGACGAACATATCACAATCTCGGAGTGTAGAGGATGACTTTCGAGCTTGAGTGGATTGACAGGGATCGGATTCTTCTTAAAAGATGAAGATCGCTCTTGCCTGGTTCGTAATGCTGGTTTTTCAGCCTGCAGGTGTTGCGGTGCTGGCGAATCCCTCTCTGTTTCTTGTGGAGAGACCTTGCGGCGACCTTTGCTTTCGTTGGAGACTGTTAGCGGAAGAATAAACTTGGCAAGACCATCTGAGAGAGAGGAGATGCACGCCAAGATTAAGCTGTATACATATGTTTCTGGGATAGGAGGCGGTTCGGTCTTGTCCAGCTGGTCGATGCAAGGAACACGGATGGTACTCCATTTGGTGCTGATGCCAACGTGTGACAATTCAGCGCCAGAAGTGCCACTCATGATGCCACCAACGCCACTGGCTTCCAAAACGGCCTGGTCAGAGGCATCCTGATCGTCACGGCTATCAGAAGCTGGAATTGTAGACTGGTGACTAAGTCCTATGACGGCAGGCTTCTCTGTGCCGAGTCGAACAAAGATGGCAACAAGTTCCTTAAAGACGTCTTTCTGCCCCTCTTTGGCATCGTACAATGCATATATTTCTCGTATCAGCGCGTGCTCGGCAAAGAGACCGCGAAATACCTCCATGCACAAAGCTCTTTTCCAAAGCAGCGAGTCATGATCCATCAAATGAGTCAAGATGTCGAGCGCCTCGCCACACTCTTCCGACAAGAGACTAATATGGCGGCGTAGCAAGGTGTACAAGATGCGAACGAGTCTGACTGATGTGGAAAAGGAAGGCTTTCCTTTCAGAGCACTTACGAGCAGAGGCATGACACGTACTCTCAGCACTTGTACCTGTTCAGGATGCGCAGCCAACAAGTTGCCATGATTGGTAATGACGGATTCAATGAGTTCAAGTCCAAAAGTTTGGGGCAGGCCGGCGAAGCGCATATATTCAGGTCTTTGGTTCTCGGTAAGAAGACAAAGGTCATTGAATATCTATCAACGGTCAGCACAGGCTTCGAGTTGGGCATATTGGTGCGACGCACTCTGTAAGCGTCGAGGGCGGCGGCACGCAGTTCGACCTTGCCATTAGCAGTAGCTGCCTCGCCAACAAAGGGCTCATTGGAACTGATTTCTAGGGAGGTCAGTCGTTTCTTGCGGTAAGATCATAGGCCAACGTACTATCTTCCGTAGCAACCTTGTCAAAGACAGCTACTACAAGCTGCTGTAGTGTAGCCGCAGACGTGTTGTTGACGATTGCATTTTTGCTGCTCTGTAAAATGAAGCAAATATTAAGAGTGGTAACAAGTAGCTCGCCTTGAAGCTCCGCGGCGTAGTTTTGTAAAAGTGACGGCAGAGCTTGCAATATTTTGAGCTGGACATCTAGGGCCGCTGAGGAAGCTTGCATTAAGGCCTCGAGAACCTGATTGAGCTTGGATCGCGGTAGGGCACTAGCGACAATGAGCCTTTGCAGGCATACGATGGCAATGCTGGTGAACTTGGCATTTTTTGTACCACAAGCAATAATGAAAGGGTTGACGAAGTTGATCTTTTGCGACAACTCTTGGGGAGAACTTGTTAGTATGCACGCAACAGAGGGGTAGGATGCGGGCTCACGCTCAGAGACGGCACTCTCAGAAATGGGGCCAAGTTGCTTCAAATCTTCCAGGGACTTTTCAGCAGCCTAGGAGTCAAGATATTAGTCATATATTTGGTCTGTCTCTGAAAGAATTAAACTTCGTACCTGTCGCAAGTCATTGTGCTTCCGCTTGCTCTCCTGGATGAGGTTAGCTAGCTCGGTAGCGAGCAGCTGTGTCGTCATGTTTCCTCCGGCCCCGCAATCTGCTCCGGGTTGAGCAAGAGCTGATAAGCTATCATCCGTCTAAAGGAGAAGCCAGGAAGGAAGATTTTCTTAGATTTGGCTGACAATGGCGGCGAAGCGACAGTTGACGTTGAATTGGCCTTGAGCAGACACGTATGTTGTCAATCAACCGGTTCCTGCCACGGTACGTACCCATCCACCCCACTACAGGTCCAGGCAGAATGCTTCACCGCCCGCGCGTCTTCACGTGCATCTTCAATTAGTTTAGTACAGTCAAATAGCTCCGTGACATATCTCTTCCATTGACTAGATATTTGAAGCACTCAAGTCAAATATCCAGCGCTGGCTACCGCCTTGACTGTGCGGTCTGGCTAATATTGGAGCTTGCGTGAACTCCCAGATAAAGATGAGCGACGCATAATAAGTGACCGATACTACTGATAAGCTACTGTGATTGGCCTCGTTCAGCTGCGAACCTTACTCCTCCCAACAACAAAGAAGGCAGGTCCATGCAGCACCTCAAAGACGATTCTGAAGCCCCTTGTAGGAATATTGCAGATGCATTTGGATCATGGCACTCATCAGCGCGTCGCTTTCCGGTGGTAGCAAACAAAGGTTCGGCTGTGAGTCTAAGGAAAGTGCGAAAAAGCAGCACAGTATGGCAGGCCAAGTACACAAAGAAGCAGATTCGAGAGGGAGGAAGACAGGGAAAGGACGGACAAAAAGTATACAATGACTTTGGTGGAATTGAAGCCGAGCTCGAAAAAGAAGCAGGACCGGCTAGAACAGCTCTTACCCGAACCACTCGCACCGGGAGATGCAATGAGCGGCTGACCTGAACTAGCAGGTCAATCTGGGCACCAATTTGCTACCAAACATTGTTGCGCCTCATGCACGGCGGCTGATTCTTATACGAAAATAGCTATTCTCTTGTACGTAATAAGCCCTCCCTAAATGATGTCTCTCAGCAAACTAAGAAGGGGAGGAGCAGATTACCCCAGACATCGCAGCCCTGTCAGGTCCACATACCTCACTCGGGAAGCGTCCAGTGAGCAGGTGTGTGCGAGAAAATCTTGAGCTGCAACTAATGGTCTGCGCCTAGCTGCGGCCCTGTAATTGGTGTATCAACGCCGCATCTTGGGATCTGGTGATTCTGCGCCTCATATGAAGTGAATATTGAATTGCCCTCCCTCGCCTCGCTCCAAAAGATGACTGGTGGGACGTGGTTCCGAAGTTCCTATTCTCGCGACAATCAGACGAGGCGTCTATTCGAGTCCTTTTAGGCGGAACTTTTGATCGCGCCTCTTCAGCCACGAGATTACTAGTTTCTCCGCGATGAGCTCATGTACTCCGCCTCGTATGTATGAGCGGCGAAGAATAGTGAGAGCCTTCCTTGATCAGCCACCTCTCGCTAATTGAGCCGACTTATCCTCTCATTCCCGGAGGCGGACGCTCTTCATTGATGGCGTCTTGGCACGGATGTGGAGGACGGACCGCCAAGGCACCTGATTACCTACGACCTGTGACAGGCCTGCCGCATGCCAAGCGGTCCATGCTAATCAACTTGACAGCCTTCACGCGCAAAAGAACCATGGCTTCATTGCTTTCAGTGGCTTTTGACAGTCTATAAATGACGGTGTTTTCGGATTTCGTCGGCCGAAACATGAGTAGGTCCTTTTGCAAAGCGGGCAGCAAGCCAACAGCCGGACTCAAAATCGGGTAGTGAAAGTAATTGGTACAAGTTGAAGCGGCAAGTCGAAGCGGCGTAATGTAGACGTCAGGTTCCAAGCGACGAATCGCTTCGTGCTACCAGGCTGCTTCAGCCGCACTCATAGCTCAACGCACCCAACAGGGCGTCATGGCTGTCACATATCCGTACAATAGCCGCATATAACATGTAAAATTGGTCAAAACCTTGTCGCAGGATCAGTTTTACTTGCCGACTATAGTTGAGTTTCTGAACGTCTTGCACCTTTGCCAGTGGTAAATGGAACCCTTATTTTGCATCTCGGTAGCAGACAGTTTCCATGCGCACAGTTAGCTGATTAGCGGATAAATACGCTTTCATGTCTTGGAAAACGGTTCCAGCCAATGCCTATTTCCTTCATGGCCATTACGAGCACCCGCCACCTAGCCCGGACGCAAGGCTCGAAACAGGTTGCTCGTAATAAATATGCATCCACTCCGTACCACTGTTGCTCGTCAATAACTGTGTGCATCTTCTCCGTACCACTGGGGAAGAAAGAATTACCAACCCATTAATTACCATTAAACGACAGCGGTGATTTGTGGAAAAGCTGGCAGTTAGCGCATATGTAGCCTGTATGTATGCATGTGGGGAACTCAAAAAACGCCATCTGCTCTGGCGCCATTTTCGTTATCCGTTCGACAAAAGTTCCTACTTACTAGGTAGCCGAGGACAGGGGCTCAGAACAACACACGCACCACACGCTACCCCAGGAGCGCCTTCCCGTGCTTCCTTTAGACTTGTGGCTTGCCGAGCCGTCGCAGAAGCCTCAGATCTGGCCAAGCACACAGCGGCAAATCGCCATGCAATGGCCAAGCCGGCATCATGCAAGCGAGCACAGCTAACACGCAAGGTGAAAATCGTGCGAAAACCGAGCCACTGCGAATCTACTTTTCGACTTGAGAGCATCGTCTTCCCGCAAAACGACATCCGCAAGTTGAATTGAGTAGCTGAAACGAGATGAACTTTTGGGGGGGGGCGGGGAACGGGCAAGCCACAAGTCACCAACGAGATAATAAGCAGGGGACTCTGTCAATGGAAAGTTCTTTTGTCAGATTGCTCAAGAAAAGGATGAGCTGGTCCGCCTCGGCTGACGACTATCGCATTCACCGACTGTCAACTATTGTCTAGATTGTCTCTGCATCCTGGCTCAGGTAGCAATAGGGCGAGACTGCGACGTGGGGCTGACACAATCGTAGCGCGCAACCTTGCGGCAATCCTTCCAGCAGATAACATCACGAGCAACTTCTGACGGATCAGAAAGGCGCTACTAGTTAGTTACTTGTGCTGGTCCATGCAAAAGTCCCTGCAACAAACTAATCACTAGTTGAGCCGTTGCTCAGTTCTCCCCATCCACGGACCACATCACGGAGTCGCCACGTCCAAGGGCAGAGCATGACAACGCTAATTGATACCTTATCTGCCAAGCATAAATTGACTGGGGCACATGGCACTAGCGACTCTGAGAAGCCAATGATTGCATTGATTGGGCTAAGCGTGCTTCTAGTCCCGGGGCCGTCCATTTAGCACAGGTCCTCGAGCGCCCGGAGTTGGGTCCTAGATGCATCCCTCGGTCGGCTGGGCGTCTGAGAGAAATGGCGATATCCTATATCCTCAATGTCGAGGCCGGCGGCCTTGCCCCGTTACAGAAGGTCGGCTAAGAGGCGGATACTCTCAGAAAACGCCACTGCTCTGACTGCTTATACCTGTGGCAACATGTTCCTCGTACCTCTTGGCGTGTGCCTCTTGTCTCTCCAGATGTGGTTTCCCCCCAGCATGCCTTGAGAGAGATTGGGAGCCTCCTCCGCACGGCCAATTCCAGTCTTGTAGCCAACCATAAAGAGTCCAAGCTCCCCGCCTAAAAGACTAAGACATTCTGTATTATCCGCGTCTGGTCGATTTTGTCTCGAATTTCTACCATCCTGTATTGGCTTGTCGACTGACCATGGCTGACTTGCCTGAAAAGCGCAGCGAGCTCGCTGGCGACTTCGCCGAGGCTCACCACGAGCCTCGTGGCGGTGTCGTTAACGAAAAGCAGGTGAGTCTCTTTTAATTGTGACACTATCTTGAGTGAGAGGAAAAGGGGGCTAATAAATTCTCTCAAGGGTCTTCATGAGTCTGTGGGCATCGATGTCGCCATTGCCGCCGCTGACGATGAGCGTGCCGAGCACGACCTCAATGTCACGGAAGATGATTTGCTCGAGGCCAAGGAGCTGGCCGCCACCTTTGATCTCGAAGCCACGCGTACTGTAAGTATAATTGAGAATGAATTGTTGCCATTATTACCATGTCTTTCTCGTCTGACTTTGTTTTGCAGCTCATGCTCCAGGTGCACAAGCTCCACCACCGTGATCCCAACTTTCCTCAGAGTATTCTGGAACGGATTAAAGAGTTTCTGCGTAAGTTACTGCCGAATAATTCTCTTTTAAAGGCGTGTACAACCCCCGCTGACCTTGACACCGCGACCAGACAATGACGATGTGTTTGAGAATCCGGAAAAGCATGAGCAGCTGATTGCCGAGATGAAGATTGAGGCGGCCCTCATCACCAATAACTCGCCGTACGCCGAGGTGCGCGCCGTCGTCAGCAATCACGACGACCCAAATATGCCGTGCTCGACGATCCGCGCCTGGGTCATTGGCATCTTCTTCTCCGTCGCCGTCGCTTTTATCAACGGCTTCTTCGAGATCCGCCAGCCCGCCATCGCCGTGACTGCCAACGTACCCCAGCTGCTCGCCTTCCCTGTCGGCAAGCTGTTCGAAAAGGTGCTCCCTGACGTGGGCTTCACGCTATTTGGCGTCCGTCACAGCCTCAATCCAGGCCCCTTCAACCGCAAGGAGCATATGCTCATCACCATCATGGCTTCCATCTCAAAGTCGGTTCCCTACACAAACTACATCATCTGGATCCAGTACCTGCCGCATTTCTTCAACCAGAGCTGGGCGCTGAGCTTTCGTTACCAGATCCTCATTGCCCTTTCGACCAACTTCATCGGCTACAGCCTGGCGGGTATTTGTCGGCGGTTCCTCGTCTATCCGTCGTACTGCGTGTGGCCGCAGTCCCTCGTCACGATTGCCCTCAACTCGGCCTTTCATGGGGACACCAACCCTGCCGTGGCTGGTCCGTTCCGTACTTTTTGGCGCATGAGCCGTCTCAAGTTCTTCTGCATAGCCTTTACCGCCATGTTCGTGTGGTTCTGGTTCCCCAACTACATCTTCCAGGGTCTGGCATACTTTTCCTGGATGACCTGGATCGCGCCCGATAATGCCAAGCTGTCCGTCATTACGGGCGGCTTGAAGGGCCTTGGCCTCAACCCTCTACCGACCTTTGATTGGAACATTGTCATCTACCTGTGGGACCCTCTGATGCTGCCGTTTTTCAGCATTGCAAACAACTTTGGCGGAATGGCCATCACCATGCCCGTTATCGCCGCCATGTACTACAGCAACGTCTGGGGCGCTGCTTACCTGCCCGTCAACTCCAACAAGCCGTACGATCGCTTCGCCAAGAACTACAACGTCAGCAGTATCCTTGATGACCATGGTATCATGGACCTTGAAAAGTACAAAGCCTACTCTCCCCCATACCTCTCGGCCGCGAACACTGTCGTATATATGATCTTCTTTGCCGTTTATAGTGCTGTTGTCACCTACGCCGCTCTCTTCCACCGCACCGAGATCATGATGGGCTTTCGCGATCTGATCAACAGCTTCCGTCCGTCCAAGAAGCACGAGGTCGAAGAAGGGCGTGTTCTTGACGTCCACAACCGTCTGATGAAGGCCTACAAAGAGGTTCCTGAGTGGTGGTACTTTCTCACCCTCATCTTCGCCGTTGCCGTCGGCTGCGTTGCCATTGCCATCTACCCCACGTATACGTCTGTCGGTGTTGTTTTTTACGGCGTCATCATGTGTCTCATCTTTGTCGTTCCCGTCGGTATTGTCTACGCGATGACTGGCGTCGAAGTCACCCTCAACGTCCTCGCGGAATTCATCGGCGGCTCCTTCGTCGAGGGCAACGCTCTGGCCATGTGCTTCTTCAAGTCCTATGGCTACGTCACCTGTGCCCACGCCTTGGCCTTTAGCAACGACTTGAAGCTAGCTCATTATATCAAAATTGCACCGCGCTTCACCTTCTTTGCACAAATGGTTCCCAGTCTCGTCACCACCTTTGTCTACATTGGTATTATCCAATTCCAGGTCCGCCTCAAGGACGTTTGCACTGACGATGCTCCCTTCCGCTTCACCTGCCCTGGCATCAACACCTTCTTCACCGCTGCTGTTCTGTGGGGTACTGTTGGTCCCAAGCGTCTCTGGGGTGTCGGCGGCACCTACTCCGTCACCCTTCTCGGCTTCCCCCTTGGCGTTGTCATTGTGCTCCTCTTCTGGCTGGCCGGCAAGAAGTGGCCCAATAGCGCCTTTATCCGCAACATTCACCCTGTTGTCCTGATGAACGGTGGTCTGTCCTGGGCGCCGTACAACCTCTCCCAGATGTGGCCCGCCGTCCCCGTGGCGGCCTTTTCGTGGCTATTCCTCCGCAAGCGTTTCCTCGGCTTCTGGTCCAAGGTATGTTTTTGTCAGCCTATCACGCGTGAGACCGCGGTGCTAACTGAACTCTAGTATAACTTTGTGCTGTCCGCTGCCTTTTCCGCCGGCATCGCCATCTCGGGCCTGGTTCAGTTCTTTGGTCTGGCGTACAAAGGGACAGAATTCAACTGGTGGGGAAACACAGTTGTCGGTTCGGGCTGCGAGGATGGCGTATCGTGTCCTCATATGACGCTCGCCCCGGGCGAGTACTTTGGACCGGGACCGGGGGAGTTTTAACGGGCGCTGAGAGATGACGTCAATTGTGATTTCTTGTTTTCATGATCATAAATACCACCAGCAGATGATTTTAGCCTGTATATACATACACCAGACGGTGATTCTAATATCTCATCACTACTACAGCCTGAAAGAAGGCATTTTGGTGCACTGGGAGACTCAGCTTATCACAGTCTCGTATATGTCCCCCCCTCAGCCTCGATGACAGCCGCCATTCTCAGAGGCATGATACTAAGCCGGTTCTACAACAAGTCGTTTGTGAAGTCTCTCAGGTTTAATCAACGTATGTACGAAGCCACTGTTAGGTCCGATTTACATCTCAGCTGTAGCGATCCCTAAAACAATATTTCGTCCAAGTCCAGCAGGACCAAGGTCCGGGCTAAAAGGTGGCCAATCTACATACAGCTTGATACCTTTCGTCAAGGTTCAATGTGCAGAGCCGGGATACAATACTTTCGCACAGCACTTTGTAGATACAAAGTCTTACTCGAGAAGCTTGTTGCTGCAGGCTGCTAAAAATGCTACAACAGAAGGGATAGGCCAAGTTTGGTTGAATAGAATTGTCAAGAGATTTAAGCATCAAAAAGCATTGTTCGAACAAGTATAGTCAATAATATCACACTGATAAGAGGCAGAGTAGCCTATAGAAAAAAAAGACTCGAAAGAAAAGGTTCACGGGGATCTCCCAGCCGCCATGGCTAACTAAAATAAAATACAGAGACCTAAGGAATTGCAACAGGCAATCAAAACAACAAAAACAAGAAACTTTTAACACCAGAAGAGACTCTTTCTATCGGGAACCAGATTGAGACAAAGCAATGTTCTTCCAGTGGTCGCGCTCAGCTTCGAGCTTAGCAATCTTATCCTCAAGCTCGTCGAAACGCAGAGCCTTGCGCTCACGCGACTTTCGAGCAGCTAGAGTATTGCGAGCTCGCTTCATAGCGATAACGTCGTTGGGGTCTTCAACAATGATAGGAGGCAAGGGCTTATCACGCTTGCGCGCGTTGACGCCAGCAGCCGCAGCATGGCGGCCGCCACTGGAGGGCGAGCCGCTAGACTTGCGCTTGCTGTTGCCAGAAGCCTGGCCTACTGAATCAGAATCGGATCCCTGGTTGGGCGAGTCGTCGGCGTTGGTGGCCTCGGGGGCGCTAGACTCCGGAGGGAACAGGGAGTACCACGAGTCGCTTGGGTTACCAAAGTCGGCAGCCTCGAAGTTGGGAGAGACGTCATAGTTGTCAAAGTCGGGAGACTCATTGTAGATCGACGGAGAAGTCAAGGCAGTGAGAGCAGCCGAGTTGGGGGCGGACATGAAAGGCTCCTGGACCAAGAGATCCTGGGGCGAGACAGTTCCCAAGTTGGAAGCGGAGCTTGACATGCTGCCGTTGAAGTCAAAAGAGGCAAGCGCAGGCGAAGAGAAGGCAGTGTTGGAGACTTCACCATCATAGATGGGAAGGTCGTCCAAGTCGACATCTGCTGCATTCATCATCGTGGCGGATTGATCTATGTCACCGAGACTCTGATTGAAGAGAGGGACGGGGGGGCGAGCGCTTGAAGACCGTTGCTTCAAAGAAACAGTAGAGGACGGAGCCGAGGATGCGTAAAAGCGATTGTTGTTGGAGACACGTTTGGCGTTGACAGAATATGGAAGACGTCCCAAAGTCGGGAGGAGCTGAACCACGCCCGGGTTTTGAATAGCGGAAGCAGCTTTCTCTAGACGATGATGGTACGAGTGACGACGCTGGCTGAACAGCGAAACCGAAGATCGATTAGCGTTGTGAGACGGAGTGTTGTCGAACAAGACGAAGTCCTGCTGTGGGCTCTGTGCTGGGCTCAGATGTGGTGAATGCTCGGGTGGTGCCGGCAGGGCGGAAGCTGGTTGGGGAAGCCATGATGACTGGGAATCCGTGGTGAAGACTGGGAAGTCTTGGCCTGAAATGTTGGCGGTTGTAGGGGAACTGGAGCTGAAGCTGTTGCAAGCAGTGCTGAAGTTCAGGTCGACCAAAAGGTGAGCTGAACGGGGAGAAGAAGATTGAGTGGGGTGAATGTTGTAGTCTTGAGACTGAATTTTGACAGATTCAGGAGGGGAACTCTGGGGAAAGAGATGATTTATCGCATCTTGAAGGCAGCCTGAGGCGCTGTGTATCTTGTAATGTGTAGGTGTAATGTGCGTTTGGGGTGAGGAGAAAAGAAGAAAGCGAAGTGTGGGCGAAGAAAAAATCATGGGGACGTTATGTATTTCTCAGGCACCAAGTTTCGGGGCCAGTGGCAGTCCTAGAGGAGGTACCGACGGTTGAGAGGTGTTAAGACCTTACTACGCTTGCTTGTACCTTGATCCAGAATGGGTGGTGGAGTCGAAAAATGAGTCACAGGCAGAAGCCGCTAATCCTGTTCAGGCCTGGCCGCTGCTTCAGCCTGCGCCGGTTTTCAGCACAGCGGCACAGCCCCAGCCTGTTTGCAAGAGTGGAATGAATTTCTTCGTTCTCCTTGTCTCGTTGTTCTGTACAAGCAAGGGCTCGTCTGCTGCAAGACGCATCTGAAGCTATCGTTGTCGAATTCCTCAAAACTTTCCACGTCCGATTGCAGCTTTTACCGGTCCTTTTACGGCCCGGTAACTTGCTTGCGTGGCCTCGGTCTGCCGTCGTCCGCGCACCAGGACCACGACAACGGGTTGCTGACCCGCCCCAGCCCTAACTCTACGCGGCTTTCAACCGGGCGCGCCCAGTAAATTGTCTTTCCTGCAATCTGCCTTTCATAGGGCGCGACGTAAACGAGCCTTTTTGTTTTGGAACTAGCGACTCCACTCGCAGTTGTGGCCGGAATGGACGGGGCCTTTTCAAACCGCTCACACCCGTATTCGTAGGGCGTCGGCGTCTCTCGCCCTGCATTCTGCTTGTCTGCCACCTGCTTACTGACACGGACGACGGAGTCAGTCTCTCCGATGTATACCGAGCAAGCCTAAGACACACGTGTCCGGCTTGTCCACGACGATCATCACGGAGGAATAGCAGCAATTCGTCACAATGTCCAACTCGTCCACGACACTACTACTTCGTTAGACAGTACACGTGTACGGGTTTCAACGACAATATTTCAACAACGGTCAACGAATGAATTGCAACTGAGACGTCGTCAGCTTTCTTGAACAAAAATAACATTGGCACTGAAAATTACAACCACTTGATGTCGGATGTTCACATCCCTGCTTTCGTTAGAAAGAGCCTTGAGCAGCGCCGCTTTTGCACTGAGCTGTGGCTGAGCTGAACCTGAGCCGACCGTAAGGCCGGGACGTGCATTAACTCTACATAACCCCAATTTAGAACGGTAAGGAGGCCGTTTCCATCCGTCTAATCTATTACCGTTTGTCAGACTGTTTTGGGTACGGTTTCAGTACCAGGGCGCGGGAGGACGAGGATGGGTGCCTTAAAACAGGCTGTCGCCATCGCCAGCCAACCACGGCGGCGGTGATGATGGAGAACAGAAGCCGGCAGTTCAGTTTGTGCGCTGTGCTGGACGAGGACTTGCTTGCTTGCCTCCGGAGGTGTGCCAATGGCTCTCCTCGACGAGTACGCTCCTCCCCTCTCCCTCCCTGCTGCCGCTAGAGTCGCTAACATGGAAGATCCGGTGCGCCCCCCCCCCCCAATTGTTTCTCTAGCCACTGGCCCTCCTTCCATCCACTATGCCCTTTTGGCTTCGCCGTCGCTGTCAACTGTGAGACGGCCGGCCGGACAGGACAGTAGAGTACAGTAGCGAGGTAGGTATCTTACGTATCCCTCGTCTCGTCCATCTTCTCTCTATAAATCTATCCACCCATCTGCTGGTGGCGCTATAACTACAGCAGCAACATAGTTTCATATATTAAAAACGTTGGCGCAGCTGATGCCCCCGGGCAAAATGGTCTCACAGTCAGAAAGAGCATTAACTGAGAGTGCGTGCCATCCACTTTTTACCACTCTGAAACTCACCTCACGTCGTAAGTTCGAAACTCCAACGCGACCTTTTTTTTTCACTCACTTACAATTTAGAAGGCAAAGAAACGTATTCAGTAAATACTGTGCTATTGTGCAGATACTTCCGCTACATGTTCCGCAGTCCATAAAACGGGGCTCAAGCAGGCCCAAATCGGGCCCGCCAACACCAACACCTGCAATGTTTGCCCCTCCCCTTCCCGCTTCAAGCAGAGACACCCGTCCATCATCTATCCACCCATCCATCTGTTATTAAGCTTGCTAGCAAAGTCATTGCTTGCCCCGGGGCAGTAAATCGTAGCGCTAGCTGTCCTTCGGCCGTCGTAAGTCTCCATGATAACTCCCGGTCCTTAGAACCCGAGTGAGTGAGTCACTGCTCTGTCGGCCCGTCCGAGTCGGCCTGGCCTCCACCGCGACCGAACAAGAGATCAACGCGTTACTGGACGGGCGGCTGGGAAATTTCCCCCGTCCCTGTGATGATGACTCGTTATGCGTAATTGGCTAAAAGCTATGTTCGCCGCGCTCTAATTTAGTCATCTCTTGAACTTGCTCTTGACCTCCAAGTCATTCAAAACCTCTAACAGCTCACCCGCGACATTTGTACACACTTTTGCCAACCTTTTCAGCTCATCCTGGTCTCGGGCTTTTACCCGACCCCGATCTCGACAGTCTGCTCGCAGCTTCTCACTCAACTGGCGGAGAGTGTTGTTGATGACTTCGAGGTCGTAATTCTCTTCGGATGAACCTGTGACTGACTCATAGGTCTTCTGAGCTCCGGATATCACATTCCAGCTAGAATCAACAAATTGCACAATGTTGCCGGCAAGCCCGAGGGCGACAAACGGGTCGAGAACCATCTCCGCCAGCAATTTCTCGGACCAACTGTCTTTGGATATAGCCGAAGTATCTTGGTAGAAAAGTACATTTGAATTGAGAGAGTTGGGATAAGACTTCATTCTCAGCAATGCCGCCTTACAACAGCCAGTCGTTTAAGATATAGGCGCCAAACAGGGGAGCTGCGCCCGGGGCGGTGATGTGAAGCCTCAACAAGTAGGGTAGGATCTAGGCGATCTGGGCGAGACATCGACCCTGCTGGCCCCAATAGACACGCCTACAATACCACGCCACGTGTTGAACACATGCATACATGGAAAGAGGCACAAGAACGAGTTATACTTATAGGTGAATGAGATGGCGGGGGGTCCGTTTTCGTCACCCAGGTACAAGCTGCGCGGGACACAGAATTGGCTTCGGTAGGGATAGCCCACCGTTTCAGACAAGACTGGGCTGCAGCTGTCTACCGTTTTACCCCAACTCCCTCAAACCACCGTTTACTTGATCCTGTCACGGTTTTGCTTGCATACATTGCGCACACACGGTCAGATGCGTCACGTGACTGAACAGTGGGGCACGTTCTAGGTGAGGCGAAATTGAGCAAAAGCGGCGGACGCGCTAACCAAAAAATCGTGCATAACACCCCAGGTCGTACATCCCACAACCCCTATCGAGGAAGCAGCGGGAACCAAAGACGAAGTAACGTAATCTTGTACCGAGAGCCGAGTCTGTTCCCGAACCTACTCCTGCCACACAACAAACTTCCAGTTGGAAGCTGCCAAACTCAAGATCTGGGGTTGTTTTTAAAGCCTTTTGCCTCATTGGACAGAGCCTTGTCCGCAGTGTTCAAATACACAAAAGTCGTTATTGACGAAAAAAGGAATCAAGGGAAAAAAGGAATAAAGGGAAAAAAAGAAGGGAAAAAAGAAGGGAAAAAAGTAGGGAAAAATAAAAAGAACAAGAAGAAGAACAAGGGGAAATAAACAGTATTTATTCATCAAACTTTGAGAGGCGGTTGATTATAAAACGACCACAGGCGGCTTAAGCCTGCGAAGTGTTTGTTACCCTACTGGCATATCAATCTGTTTGCCTACTTGGTGAACAAAAACATGGCGGGTCTACACTGCTTTCCGCCATAATTAGTGGTGGTTTGAGGTAGAATGGTTGACTAGCAACTACTCCGTACTAAGTTATAGGTAAATAAGTTGGTCAGGTAGCGCCTTGGTTTTTGTCCAACACTTGGTACGTGCTGTGTTATTGGATCCGAGGCTTCCGCTTTTGTCGTCGGCTGTGTACCAAGTACCGATCGACCCCATGTGGCGCTCGACAGCTCAGTCTCCCACCGCACTTTCGTATTTCAGATCACCATCTTAAAAATCGTGCTTCTCCAGTACATCACAATGAGACGGCCAGAGCCCACCGCGGAGCCCCAGGTTACATACTCATCTGGCCGCGCCGACGGAGAGGGTGCGCCAGATCTCCGGATTTTGCACTACAACGATGTGTACCATGTCGATCCCTCAAGCGCCGAACCAGTCGGAGGATTCCCAAGGTTCATGACCATGTGCAAGGAGTACCGAAATGGTAGCCAATTTGCCGGCCAGCCCAGGCTCATCACCCTCTTCTCTGGTGACGCGTTCAACCCTAGTCTTGAAAGCAGCGTTACCAAAGGTACGTACCCCAATTGAATTGTGAGACCACATGTCTCCAATTATGATATATCTGACTTCCATCTTCAGGAAAGCACATGATTCCTGTTCTCAATGCCATCGGGACTGATGTGGCTTGTGTTGGGGTGAGTGAACCATAATTATGGCTCTGAGTGCGGCGGCAACAGAACTAATGTTGTCTATAGAATCATGATCTCGACTTTGGCGTGAAGCAGTTCGAGTCTCTCGCAGAAAAGTGCAATTTTCCTTGGCTTATTGCCAATGTTCTGGATCCTGCGCTTGGTAAAGACGTGCCCCTCGGAAATGCAAAGCCTACACACATGATGACCTCATCCAACGGCATCAAAATTGGTATCATCGGTCTTGGAGAGCGCGAGTGGCTCGCCACGATCAACATTTTGCCACCGGATTTGATCTACAAATCGGCGAGCGCCACTGCAAAGGAGCTCATTCCCAAGCTAAAGGCTGATGGCGCAGAAATTATCATTTGCCTAAGCCACATGCGCGAGCCCAACGATGTCAAGCTGGCGGAGCAAACAGACGGACTGATTGACATCATTTTAGGCGGACATGACCACTATTACAACCACCAGCTTATCAATGGCACGCATGTGCTTCGGTCTGGAACCGACTTCAAGAACCTCAGTTACATAGAGGCTCGTCGGAGAAAAGAGCATCCAGACAAGTGGGACTTTGATATCTGGAGGCGGGACATTACTTCCAAAGTCAAGGAACACTTTCCGTCCCAAAAGCTTGTCAAGAATCTGACAAGCGACTTAAAAAAGTCGCTAGCTAAACCTGTTGGGTGGACTGCAATGCCTCTCGATGCGCGTTTTAACACGGTTCGAATGAAGGAGTCGAATATTGGAAATTTTGTCTGTGACATTATGCGACAATACTATCATGCTGACTGCTGCATCATGGCCTCTGGAACAATTCGAGGTGACCAAATCTACCCCCCCGGAGCGTTTAGGATGAAAGACATAACAACTTGCTTTCCATTTGAGGACCCTGCCATCTTAATCCGCGTGACGGGCCAGGCAATTTGGGATGCGTTAGAGAACAGCGTTTCCACGTATCCCGCACTAGAAGGCAGATTCCCGCAAGTCTCGAACATTAAGTTCTCGTTTGACCCGTCGCGGGAAAGAAACAAACGAGTACTCTCGCTCGAAATCGGTGACAAGCCATGCGAGCCAGAAAAGAAGTATCTGCTCGCTACAAGAGGCTACATGGGGCGAGGTAAAGGTACGTTAACCAAGCTGTCCAGCGTACGGCATCGCAGGCCATTAACAAAGAAGAATAGATGGTTACGATAGCTTGCTCGTTCAGTCCGAAGGAGGCCAAGCGGAAGAAATTGTCGACGAGGAGAGTGGAATTCTCATCAGCACCATGCTGAGACAATATTTCATGGCCCTGCGAACTGTCGGAAAATGGCAAAAACTCTCCGAACAATGGATGACGGTAGCGTCAAAACTGAAGAGCAACACGGACGAGCACCTACAGGCGACGACTTCAGAGGACCTCGAAAAGAGCCTAACGCTGTCGCGAAAGAGCTCAGAGGAAGCGGGCACAGACCGGAGCAACAGCTGGCACAACTTTATTCGTTCTAGACTCGGCCACAACAAGCTACCGCACGATGACGGCGACGACGACGACAAGGCACTCCATGAAATTGCCGAAGAAGGAGTCGCAGACGAGTCCCGCGCCGAGACTTGTGCGGGCGCCGACCCGGACCACGAGATGGATATAGAGACGCTGCTTTTGCGCAAGTTTTGGGCGCGCTGGATCCGCAATGCTGGCATCAAGTCCAGCGTGTGCGAGCCGGCGGGCGATGGGGGCTGCATGGTCGACTGGACGCGCTTGATTGCGCCTGTAGTAGAAGGCAGAATTACAATGATTGAAAACAAGGCATAGGCGAGAGAAATGGAAAAGGTGGTCATTTACATATATAGAGTCTATGAGATGCTATGAAATGTACAGTTCGGATTCTTTATAAGCCCGCCACAGAACGGTCCCGAACACTTCCATAAAGGTGTTTGAAATTCTCGTCGGCGTCAGAAAATTAACCACGGGCACACTTGCCAGACTTGCAAACAAGGTCGTCAGAACAGTCGTTTTCGTTCTTGCAGCGAGCGCCTGTAAAAAAGAAAGAGGACATTGTCAGTGTACAATTCAGTCCAAGTCATCATCTCTGTACAAACCTTCACAATGGCCCTGCCATGAGCAGTCGCCGCCGGTCGGAGGGTTGCCGCCACCGCCGCCGCCGCCGATGCGCTGGATGAGCTTGTCGCCGAGGCCGGTGATGCTGCTCTCAAACTGGCTGTAGCTGCTGGCGTGCCACTTGGCGCCGTTTTTGCCGGGCACGGCGTCGGAGCCGGGAAAGGCAATAAAGAGCACGTCGTTGTCGTCGTGGCCGCTGTTGCCATTGACGGACTTGCCGTAGCAGGCGGTGGCCAGAGAAATGGAGGCCTCGCCGACCATGGCCTGAGAGCCGTCATCACCGTTGGTGTCACCCCAGATGCCGTAAATCTATGGATGCATGTTTGTTAGTTTCGTGAAAAACGTTGGGCGAGGGGGGGGGGGGGGAGGGGAGGTCGTGTTTCCTTACCAGCTTGTTGTTGCAGACGACGGCCATGACGGACAGCGGCTCAATGCCGTAGTCTTGCGGGTTGAAGTTGGGGTAGCCGCTTCGGGAGCCCTCGTTGCCAAAGACCACGTAGGGGTGGATAAAGGCATCGAGGTCCTTTTGGCCGGTACCGTAGCCCTGGACGATGCTCTGGAACGAGGTGACGGACTGGGTGTCGTCGGAGCTACCGCAGCGGCCGTCGTCGGCGGGGCCATGCTGGATGCCGTCGCAGTCAATGTCCATGTTGACAAAGTTGCCGTTCTTGCCCTGGAGGTACAGGACGCGGTAGTCGTCAAGGTGGTCACCGCAGTACGAGAATGCTGTGTTTGAAAAGAGCATCGGGTGTCAGTCTGAACATGCTGGACAGTTTGAAACATCACAGCCGGATTTGCACATGGTGCAACTTACAGCCATTGTCGCCGTCGATGCTGTGGAAGCCAGACTTGAGCTTGTTGCTGCACTGGCCCTTGCTCTTTAGGCTGTTGTAAAAGTCGCGGACGTTGGACGGTACGTCGCGGGCTGTCGCAAGCGCCGCCAGGGACAGGAGAAGAGTAGAGCGAAGAGAAGCCATTATGCAGAGGCTGTAGAATTGTGACAAAGTTGATTATCTGCTGGTGAAAGCAGAGAGAGATGTCAAGTCAAAGGATGCGATCAGAGCTTTATAGTCATGCAATTACACATGGCCAGAACCCAAAGCAGGCCATGCCACTCATCAAGCCATGACCCGACGAAATAAGATAGGTCGCATTCGTTGCCTACCCGTCCACGCTGTCTTGGACTTGGCCGCTCCCGCATCGTGCTAGTCCAGCAATCTAGTCATCAAGTTGGCCGAGAAATTCCACGAATAAGCAGCTGCGATTGTGATCGCGGCCGCCTGGTGGATCAACAATCTTACGCCAAGGACCGAAGGCTTGCTCCGACAAGCTGTCAATTCGTAAAAAACTGACGAGCGAACTGTTGTAGAAGCATATGAAGAAGTGTAGGGTGTGCATACAAGGTGCTACTGCAACCCCCGCGGAACTGCCAAAATTTTGCTGCAGTTGCCGGTAAGCCCTCAATGTAATAGTATCGTGTGGTTTCGAATGGGCGGTTAAGTTGTCAGATCGCACACATGCTGATTGGTGTACTGTGGAGAATTCGGAAGCTGTAAGATGCCAAGGAGACAGCCTTCCGGGCTGTCGCCGTGCTTTGCCGACCTCGCGTGCCTGTAGATCCCATTTGGGTGCGCTCCGAGGGACTCGGGGATTTCGAACTGACCGGTTTAATGCCAAACGGAATCTGCTATAGAAGCCCGCCATGGACAGTAACAGACCATCTATCCCAAGTACCACGGCCGTTGTCAAAGGCGCTATCAAAGACGCCGTTGATTGATAAATGCCATCAGTGCTGGCAATTCGATTGACGCTGTTGATTAATATCTTTCAAAAGAAGAAAATTGGCCGTACTTGCAAGCTCAGATATGGTGCTCGAAATAGTAGCCCTCGTGCGCTTCGACAGTCTCTAGTGGACGTCCGTACACCGACTTGAATAATTCTTCCAGTTGAACAAATCGTCCAATTTGGTATTTGCCTCGACGGATAAGACTCGCGACACAAGCTCTTGATGATCGCGGCCTGAATCGGACAGGGGCGAGAACCGGGTGTTGTCTTCAATCCCAAGGTTGGGCATGCGGGCGAGAAAGTCACGATCTTTGGGGTTTCAAGGCGCACAAGGCCATCAAGGACGGGAACTCGAGGTTGCTGCAGGAGATGCGATTTACATTCCAGTCTACGGCGCTAGTGAAGAGCTTCCATTGTAAAATGCTGCTCCAGGCTGACGCAAACTCACGATAACATCACGCATCGGTCAAGAAATATGAAAAGTGCAGACGGCGAATTGAGATATTTTGCAAGGTTCTCTGTGCGCCGTGACGCGCCGATTCGACCTCGCCCAAGACCAGGTTCTGCTGCTCGAATGCTCCAGGACGTCGATGAAGTAGTTATGAGTGGCCATTGCTTGCGATGGATGACAATTGTAGCTAAGCAATTGAGAGAATCAGGATGTGCTGAACCTTGATGCTGGATTTTGATGCTGGACCTTGGTGCTGTGTAAACTGGGGTACCTATGTGGGTATTTATCGATAACTGACCCCCTGACCAACCTAGCCTAGCACGCCTAGGCACGGTTAACGGGTTGACGGGCATGCGGGCTAGGCACGCAATGATACTAGTAAATAGGTAGTCCTGATGTCTGTAGTCTCTCTTGATAGGCTGATACCAACTTCCAAGGTACAGATCCCCCCACTGCCTCGTCTCCCTCCAATCGCCGCCCCTCTAATGATAACCCAACATTCTATTGCCAGTCTAAAGACGCCAAGCGCCTCCTCCCAGGCCTCCAAGCCGTTTCCTATCGTCTCATCCCCTAACAGTCGCTTTTCTATTCCCATCACCCTCTCTTTTACTGTATAGGAGGCTGCAATACTTCCCCGACAAGACACGCGAGATATCCCGCCACGCCCAAGGCTCCTGGTTTCGGTAAGTCGGCTCTGACGCAATGCAAGCTTCATCGTCATCCTCGGCCCTTTGAACGCCACGTCTACCGCATCTCTGGGTGCGCTGTTTTTGTCTCAATTGTTAGAATACCCGAAGAATCTGCGGATTCGGGCATCGTCAACTGTGCTCGCTGTGCAATTTCGGCCACACGTCCTCTTTCACTGCCGACAGCTACACGACGCTGCTATTGCCAGCTTTGAACCGGCCTCGCTCGCTAACGAGTCAACGCAGACCTAGCACATTACCTCATCGACAGCGCCCCCGCATTCGATCCTCGATCTAGTAATACTGAGCAGAAAACAATAAAACATGAGCGCTTCATCACCTCCCGTTGTGCCTGCGCGGCCCTCCAAGAGCCCTAGCACGGAATCCCAGCAAGCAGCCGAAGCGCCCAAGATCCCTACTCGACCTATTAAGAAGAGTAACGAGAAGTCTGTGCTCTCGAGTAGCGACCGCTTTGCCCAGTCGCCTTTGCACGGTGGCGTACAGCTCAAGGGTCAGCGCCCGACCAGCTCATCGTCTAGCCACGACCAATCAAGTACTCTAAACGAGCCCATCAATCGCCCTGCCAGCGTGTCCCTGCCCTCGCTTGGTGAGGAAGGCCTCGAATATGGAGCCTTAGATAAACCACACGAGGCCCAACTTGGCTCTGCGCACCAGACCCGAACCGTTGGTGACAACCTCAAGCTGCACGCTCCTAAACCTTCCCTGCCCCCCGACAGCGCCAAGCAGCAGATCATGGCCGTCACGAGGACCGACTCAGAAAAGGCTGCCTCTCTCGGTCTCGGACAGTTTACCCAGAGAAGAGATCGCACGCCTTCTCGCGACTCCAAGAATCGTCGTCCCAGCTCTACCCTCTCCACGCACAGTGACCACGGCAACCATACCGATGACGAGCATGGTATTCCCAAGATTGGACAGCGTGTGCCCATGAACAGTCATCTGGGCGACGTTCAAGCTCCTTCGCCAGCTCCTGAGGAGGGCAAGCGGCATCACAGCCGTAAGCACTCGGCTCGTAATCTGCCTCCTGGAAGTTACGGCTTACACGGCCACGGTGTTGATCCCCAGGATAAGCTGGAAAAGGCTTACTATGAAAAGCATCCCGAACTCGTTGGCAAGCACAAGAAGCATCAAATTCATGACCATCGTCAGAGCGACTATGCAATGAGCAGTAATGATCTCAACCGTATGGTTCGTGATACTGCCAGGCGTCGGCCCACATCTGGTAAGCGCCACAACACTTCACTACGACCTCTCGCAAACTAACAAGATCATCAAGGGCTCTATAATGAAGCTGCCTCTACACCTACCGAAGATGTCGGCTACCATGCTAGTGACCAATACGCACGTCGAGCTTCTACTCCACAAGACTCTTCGAAGGCTGAGAAAGGAAGCAGCTATTTTCCAGAAGATGGTCCGCTGTCCAAGGCCGCGGATGAAAAGTCGTCTGTGCATCACGCCATCCACGTTGACGATTCGAAACATCCCGAGCACTACTCGTATGGCACCGAGAACCCAGAGACAGAGGACTATCATGCCCCCATTCTGGCTGATGACGCAGTCGATGCTGATCTCGACGTAACGGCCCAGCATCCCGCCATACGTCCTGGATTTGATCGTTCGCGCTCTTACGATGCCGACGAGCCAAACAGGCCTTCTATTCGGCATCCTGCCATTGCTCTTGATGAACAGCCTGAGCGTGGCTTCAATTCAACACCGCTTGATGATGTCGAAGAGTATGAGCCACTTTTCGACGGAGAAAAGAAGGAGGAAGAAAGGAAACAATTAGCAACTGAGAAGAAGGCGAGCCGCCACTTCCCCAGTAAAGATATCTGGGAGGACGCGCCAAATAGTGCGCATCATTCTACCGAAGTTTCAACACCAGACGTTGAAGAACAAAACCATCGCCCCAGATCCAAAGCGTCCTTTTCCGAAAACAGATCCATCACTCCCGCGCAAGCTTTTGCGCAGTACCAAGAGGAGCTGGCTGAAAAAGAGGCCAACGGACGCTCTAACAACTTTTTGCCACTGTCTGCTGATGCGAAGCCAAAGTGGATTGATCATCAATCCCATCTCGCTGTGTCCAAGCCCTCTGGCGCCAAGCGCTTTCCAAGCAAAGACGTCTGGGAGGATGCGCCAGAGAGCCACATCCAGGAAACGACCTTGTCCGAGTCGGCTATAGAAGACGAAGGAGAGCCGGAGGACAACAAACCAAAGATCCCTGTGCGTCCCATCAAGAAGGCTGCTGAGGAGTCGCGAGCTCCGCCTGCAATTCCCAGCCGACCCAAGCCTACGCAAGCTCCTGGTGATGATGCCACCAAGCAGCCGCCACCAGTCTCAGAAAAACCCAAGCCTCAAATACCTTCCCGCCCTGTCAAGAAGCTCTCAGGCGACTCAAAGGATGGAGAGACTGTCAAGCCGCCCAAGCCACCGGTGCCCAGCCGTCCGGTCGGTGGCAAAATCGCGGCGTTGCAGGCAGGCTTCATGAGCGATTTGAATAAACGTCTCCAACTCGGACCCCAGGCCATGAAGAAGGACGAACCGGCACAAGAAGAAGAGGTTGTGGAGAAGGAAAAGGCGCCTCTGTCTGATGCCAGAAAAGGTCGCGCGCGAGGTCCTCAGCGCAGAGCCCCGGCAAAGGCGGCATCGCCTGCAAAGGAGTCACCTGCTTCCGTCTTGTCCGTTTTCCAGCCACAGACTATCTGGAGTATTGATCCAGAAGACAGGCTCGTTGTTAGTGAGGAGTCTCGCGAGGCCTCCGAGGAACCCAGAAAAACAGGCACAGAGCCTGCCGAGAACTTGGCCAAGACAATCAGCCACGAGTCCAGCAAAGAGGCCAGCAGCCCACTGACCAAGGCAATCAGCAATGAACCTGAACCTTTGGTACTGTATGAACCCAGTCACGATGTGACCAGTACCGCGCCTGCCCCTGCTGGTGATGTCGACGTTACCGCCCAGACCAACCCCGCGGAGCCTACGCCGGCCGCCCAGAACAGCTCACCGGGGGATCTGGAGCAGTCTGCCACCAAGCCGGCCATCCAGGCCGTCGACGAAGCGAGCCAGGACATTGCGAGCGCCAAGCTACCGTCCTCGGAGGCTCAGGAGAAATCTGTCTCGGAAACCCGCTACCACGACGCCGCGCATGAGTCGCCAGCCACGGAGCAGGATATTGGAGAAGTGCCTCTTGCACAGCCCGAGAAGAAGATGGCTTCTTATTAGGAGTGGCGAGCTTGATGTCTGTATGATTTTCTCGATTTGTTTACCTTGTAGTTTTTTTTTTTTTTTGATAGCACATTTCAGGACAATAGTATTTACCATGCATACTTTTCCGTCTTGCTGTTTCGTGCCTTGCCGTTGAACAAATGGAACCTCGTATGCATTGCTTATCCCGGAAATAATTTGAAAATCTTATTATACACTTGTTGTTTCTTTAATGGTTATCAAGACACGGCGCGCCTCTCCCCCCTCCCCCCAGGCCCAGCGACTTAGCGACTACTTCTGCCCTGACGGTCCCGTTCCACGAGCCTGTCAAAGTCCCTCTGCGCCTTTTCCTGGGCTGCGCGGTCCGCGCCATCGCCCGCATCGCCCCAATGCTGCTGTTGTACTTGCGGTTGTACTTGTTGTGGCTGCTGCTGTCGCTGCTGGGGATCGGCCCGTGCTTGCTGACGCAGACGCTCCCAGGTGGAACCGGAGGAGGCGCTGTTGCCAGAGCGAGAGCTGAGCTGGGCGGATGCGGCGACGGGCGAGGCGTCGTCAAAGTCGTCACTGTCCCAGCCGGCGCTGGAGGAGGATGGAGATGGTGACTGGCCGTAGCTGCTGCCCCAGCCAGCGCTGCCTTGTGACTGTGGGATTTGTCCGTACTGCCGTGGCTGCTGCTGCTGCAGCGGCGGGGACTGCTCCGTCTGCCTGGATGTGTCCCAGCCAGACTGCGCCGCCTCCTGTATCGATTGCCGCTGCCGCTGCCGCTGCCGCTGCTGCTGCTGTGCGTCCTCTCTCCCAGGCGACACGCTGTATGCCGAGCTCTCGCTTTCCCAGGCCGCGCCAGCCTTGCCCCATTCGCCGCCCGCCGCGCTGTCCTGCCCGTCGTCCCGCAGCCCGCGCAGCCTCTCGTCCGCCCGTATCTGTCTCGCCTCGCGCATGAGGTTCAACGCCATCAGCGGCGTCTTGACCGTCACGGTCAGCGCCGCCGAGTACGCCACGTACCTCGCCCCGTGCCACATGGCCATGCGCAGGTACGCTCCCGGCGGCGGCGGCACCACCAGCTGCGGCGTCCACAGGGGAAAACGCAGCGTGCGGCGCCCGCGCCACGTAAAGTACGCCGCGACGCCCGTGAGGGACCAGTCCATGAGCGCTATGCGGTCGGAGCTCCGGGCCGCGTGCTCCGTCAGGGCGCGCGCTTCGGCGTCGCTCAGCAGCCGGTCCCTTTGCATGCTTAAGCCGAGCACGCGGTTGGCCGCCACGGCCGCGTACATGGCGGGCGTGAAGAGCCGCAAGCGCGCGTACCATGCTGGCTGGGTGTCGCCAAAGACGCGCTCGATTTGCTGCTGGACGAGCGGCCAGTAGTGGCGCTGCTTCTCAATGTTGGCGCGGCGCTGCGCTTCGAGCTCGGCGCGGACGGCGCGGCTGCTGTCGCCGGGGTGAGGAGGAGGGGTGCGCAGCGGCGGCTGCTGCTGAGTCGGGGCGTTGCTGGCGTCGCCGCCGCCGCCGCCATTACTTCGATTGTTGCTGTTTGAGCCGTCCATCAGGCGGCGAGTGGTTCGGGATGCCGGAAAATGTTTTTGGAAGCAGCTGAACCGGTCGATCGGATGATGGAGGAAGCAAAGGGAGTGGGATGATGATGATGGATGGTGACGTAGTGGAGAAGGGGCAAGGTGTTTTGGCAGAGCTACATAGCTTCTAGGAAAGTGGAGAGCGGTTATCTCGGAACCCGGAAGCTGGCCAAGGCAGTTTGCACTTTTCGAAAGGGCTTCGGAAAAACAAGATTGAAGAATTGTTTCACTATAGTTAGTGGGAGCCAAGAATCCTTGAGTTGAAGGTCAAGTTTATTTTTCTCGTTTATTATTAGGAGGAGGTCGGGGTTCTGAGAGCTGAAGCTCCAAGATGACCAAGTTTGGCCTAATATTAGCAAAGTCCCGCCACTCTTGGCCTTTTTTTTTTTTCTTCTTCTTTTTCTTTTCAGTCCCACAATCCTTTCACAGCGGTTTTACCAGAAATGCAAAACCACTGGATTTTTTTGCCTTGTATTTATGCTCGAGATTATAATGTCCAATTGGCCGAGTTTATCGCTATACATCATATCGACATGTTGGACTTTATTGAATAGTGCTCAACAAAACAGCCCATACAGTGGGTGTACCTTGCGGAGCATCCCCATTCAAAGTACCCATGGAGTACCCATGGAGCACTATTTATTTATTCACTTAGGTAGGCACTTTTTCTTTTATTAAGCCGTCTGTGGCCATAGCTCAAAAGTGCACGGCAAGTGTAGTTACAGCCGGCCGCCGCTCAGCCAGCAGAGTTTATGCCTCGGGACTTGCAAAACCGCCCACTGCAGCCGCAATTCTCAGTCACATTGGCTTAATTGCATTGCCATGTCTGCCTGTTTGTAGAAAAGCGGCTGAAAAGAGAAAATTGACCGAGTCCCGTTATTATACCTTGTATCCAGAGCCCAGCACCCCCCGCCGTTCCAAGCGCCCGATCAATACAAACCCACCCAGGTTATAACTCACCAACGGATGGACTAATAATCCCACTTGTCCGGGGCCGTCCCAAATGCTCCAATGCGGAGTAGTCTGGCTTGTTGTATGTAGATTGGTTATATCCTTGAGAAAGATCTGACGCTACATGCATACAATTGCACAAGTCTGGCATGATGTTGTTCCCAACATACCGCTTAGCCGGAGCGGAGTATGCTCAACGGCTATATACTTTCGTAGATATATATACATGCTTCGCTGTACTATATTAGACCACAGTACACGCCCAATTTCTTCCTCGCCTACCAGTCTTTTTTTAAAAAAGGCAATTTTCCCTGCATCATGGATGTGCACTCGGACACGGATAAATATGATGTTATCATCATTGGTGCCGGCGTGTCTGGCATCAACGCCGCCTATCGCCTCCAGAGCCAGATGCCCGGCTGTCGCCTCGTCGTCCTGGAAGCCCGCGCTTCCATCGGCGGGACATGGGACCTTTTTCGCTACCCGGGCATCCGCTCCGACTCTGACATTTTCAGCTTTGGCTTCGCCTGGAGTCCGTGGTACCGGACCGAGCTGCTTGCCCACGGCGGCGACATTAAGCAATACATGATTGACGCCGCCAAGAGGACCGGCATCGACAAGTATATCCGCTACCACCACAAGGTCCTCTCGGCCGACTGGTTCTCCCAGGAGCAAACGTGGAAGCTCTCGGTGCAAGAGCCGGGCCAAACGTCAGCAGGGCCGCCCGTCGTATACAGCGGCCGGTTTCTGTTCGTGGGGACGGGATATTACGACTACGAGCAGCCGCGTCAGACAACCATTCCCGGTCTGGAAAACTTTGCAGGAAAAGTCATTCACCCGCAGTTTTGGCCAGAAGACTACGACTACCGCGGCAAGGAAATGGTCATCATTGGCAGCGGCGCCACCGCAGTCACCATTGTGCCCTCGGTCGCTGACAAGGTCAAGCGCGTGACGATGCTGCAGCGCAGCCCGACTTATATGCTCCCTCTCGCCAACCGCAGCAAGGTCCGCGAATTCCTCTTTGCCACCCTGCCAGGTACCGTCGTGCACAAGATCAACAGGGTAGTCCACATCCTCTTTACCTATTTGGTGACGGTGTGGTGCGCGTACTGCCCGGCGGCTGTCGCGCGCCATCTGCGCAAACAGGCTGTCAGGTTGCTGCCCGAGGGGTATGCGTGGGATCCGCACTTTGCGCCGCGGTATAAACCTTGGGACCAGCGACTGTGCGTCGTCCCCGACGGCGACATCTTTGCCGCGATCCGCTCGGCCAAGGCCGCCGTCGTGACGGACACGATTCAGACAGTGACGGCAGACTCGATTCAGCTGACTTCGGGAAGACAACTGCCCGCCGACGTCATTGTGACGGCTACTGGTCTCCAACTCCTTTTTGCCGGCGGCATCCAGTTTACCATTGACGGCGCTCCCTTTGACGCGCCCTCCAAATTCATGTGGAACGCCGCCATGATTCAGGACTTGCCCAACGCCGTCATCTCGATTGGCTATCTCAAGTCGGGTTCGTGGACTCTGGGGGCAGATTGCGCGGTGCAGCTGCTGATTCGGTTGATCAAGGAGACGCGCAAGAGGGGCGCTGGTGTTGTCTCGGCCCGACTCGACGACACACGCGACAAGATGGTGGCGCGGCCGTTGTTTGGACTTTTGAACTCGACATATATTCAGGGTTCCGAGGCTTTGTTTCCACAGACGGGCACGGGAATATGGTGCAATAGGGACAATCCCATCAAGGATATGTATGCAGCCAGATGGGGCAGTATCGACACTGGCTTATACTTTGAGTAATGGGTCTTCTGTATGTATATACATGACATAATCTGTTGCCAAGGAATGAGAAACGGCAGCTGTTCAAAAATGTATCATTCTATGCACTCAGTTTATATTCTGAAAATGCATACACTCTGAAGTCCTACGAGTGATTCTCACATAAAAGTCTTTTTGGAGAAAAATTCCATAACATGTACTCGTCCACGGTTTCTGGCTGTTTATGGACTGTATATCGTACCTCCGGAATAGCTGCTCTTGGTCAGTCACGTTCAAAAGACTCACGACAAAGCTAGTTGTGATTTCATTACACAGCTGGGACAAAGCTTACCTCTACCAACATCTTGTTGATATTCATCATGGCAATGGAAATGCCGAGACATCGTGTCATGCCATGACCAAAGATGAGCTCGTGCACCTTGGACATGGCCGCCAGACGCTGACCCCCATCATCATCATCATCATCATCATAGCTCTCCGGAAGCCATCGCTCGGGCCGAAACACATGGGCGTCGGCACCAAAGACGGGGTTCAACTGCGTGCCCCATGCATTGAGACCGACAAAGGTGCCGCCGGGGATGTGACGGCCGTCGGGCAGCTGAAGACCTTCGGGTGGCGCTTCTCTCTCACGGAGCTGGGTAACGGGCGGGAACCGACGGAGACCCTCACGAATGACGGCCTGCAAGTATGGCAGCTTCTGGGCTTCGCAGTTTCTAACGGGATGGGATAAGTGTCCTTTAGCTTCGGCAGCGTCAATCTCATTGATCAGGCGCTGATAAACCGTCGGCGTTGAAATGATTGAGAGCAATATCGCACGAAGAGCCGTGGCTGTGGTGTCGGAGCCGGCGATACTATCATACTTAGTATACTCGACTCAGAACTGGTATAACATCTCTTTATAATGAAGAATTCATCAAAAGGGCAGGGGAATGCGTGTATGCTCGTACAGTGTAATGGACATCTCCATCTCGGCTTCGTCAGGACCAAGTCCGTGCTTTAGAAATGAGCCCAACATGTCAGACTGAGGCTTCTCGCTCTCATTTAATCGATCGTCAATAACCTTTCGAGATATCTATGCGATTATCAGTAAAGTACTTTTTTCGCGAGGAGTGAGGCGCACTTGCCCTCATAATGGTACCGATGCCGCTCTTGTCTACCGAGGAGGGCACGACGAGCCTTTTTACCCAAGGCACCGCAGCAATCCATCTCAACACCGTGTTCAGTGTCAGTATAACCAGAAAATACTGTAGAAATGGTAATTGCTCTTCTAGGGTTGCAATAAAGTTGTGTTTATCCAGATCGGACTCAACGAAGCCCAGTGGCTTCCCGAAGCAGAGATGCGCGATTGTGTCTAGGGTGAAGAATTGAATTCTCTTTGCAATGTCAAAGAACTTTGTCATTCTTGCATTTGATACCCATTGCTCCTCTATACGGGATATAAACGCGCCGATCCGCTCGTCAACGGCATGCTCGAGACCCTGTATGTCTTTGCCTGCGTAGCCAGGCGCCATGCGGCGCCGCATGGCATTGTGCACGCGCGGGTCCCGCTCAGATACAATGTTGGACACGCGCGGATCGATGCGCAATGCGTCATACGACGGTGCGCGTCGCCATGTAGTCCCGACAGCGAGGATCTGTCGCGTCAAGTCTGGGTCGCTGGTGACAAGGTGGTTTGGCCCGACACGAGCAATGGATCCGTGCGTATGATTGATATTGACAAAGATTTGCGCCGAGTTGCCGGAAGCAAGCGTCTTGCAGAGCCAGAGGCGAGTGTATGCTGCCCAGAAGGGGCCGGGAAAGTCTCGCAGGTGGCATCGCGCAGTAAGCAGCTTGCGAGCAGCGAGGATCAGAGGTAGAGTCAGCAATGCTGTAATGGCAAGGACAAAACTGGTATTGAGAGGGCTTTCAATGACATTAAGCGGGAGTAACGATGTGCTCTGCAGCTTCCAGAACGTCTGGCGCTCGACGACACACCAACCGGGGCCAACGAGTGAGAGATTGTACATGGTGGGCTGCTTGACAGGAGACCATAGATGTCATGAGTGTAGCGTAATTCGGAGAATATACAGAAACTTATAGTTTTCAAGATCATCTGCTCTGTCAGCTCTTATAGAGCATCCGGGTCGTCCACCAGGCATACTCTAGTCTACCAAAGTCTACCAATGACTGATACTACCAAGAAAGGCTCTGAGCCGTGCACAATTATATGCCGCAACGTGCTCTATGTACATCTTTTGTTCAATGGAATATTGCCACGCTACTCTCCATGAGCGCCTCTGGGGCCCAATCTACCGGTCGATTTACCAAACCTCATTTGGCGTGCGTTGAGGCTCCGTACACGTACATACTCTGCATTGCCTGCGGCCAATACAGCTCAATGTTACGACGGCGCCAACTTGTCCGCGGAATTTGCAACAGACTGAATATCACGGAGATGCCGAGCCTGAAGAACTCGAGCCGCACAAATCACAAATTTACATACGCCCTCGTGGTCGCCCGTTGAAAAATGGCGACGCTATCGAGGGACTGGCATGGGGTGGCGCAGCTGCATCTATGCAGCCTAGTAGTGACAACTGATAAGGCTCTTGAGGAAGTCTTTCCCGGCCACATGAATAACAGAAAAGCTTGGGAATACATGAATACATTGCTTCCAATGGGCTGTGATGCCAATGATGTGCTCTGACGTGAGCCTTGTGTCTGTAGTAGGATGTTGCCGGTTGGTGTCACGAGGCTCAAAGGATTTGGTGTGCATGCGGGTGAGAGCCACGTCAGTTACATGAGGCGCCAATGTCCAACGCAAAAACTTGCATTAAAGGAATCATTATAGTAGTTGAATATTGAAACAGGACGGATGAACGTGGGATCAACCCGGCCTCACCTTTTGTAGCAATAGTTGGCTCCACGCTACAGACCAGAGCCTGATATTCCCGACTTTTGCTTCCTACTACTTACATGTCGATATTTGTCTGCATGCAGGGCCCCCAATGAGTCAGTGACAGTCTATGAATCCTCCGAAGCAGGCCCTGATCTTCTCCATGACATGGAGAAAGTCGTTATACTAAAAGGTGCCCCGTGACTTTTGCACAAGAACCCACGCCCAGGCATGTCAAACGGCCTCGACGTAAGCAGATAAAATCCACTTTCATGTCTTTTTTGTTTTTACGGCGTATTAGGCTCTCAGCTCAACAATTCAACTATCGGCGTAGCGGAAAATGGGGCTGCAGCCATAGATGAAGAACCGGGTTCCCGATGCCCAGAAAGAACCTCCTAGTTTTGTACCAGGACCCCTACAATTGCAGAATCGCAACAGCTCTGAATACCTGACCGTCGACTGCGTACTGTGTGTGTGTGAGGCCATGCGTGAAGTCTGCGAGCGGGCCCGCATGAATGTGACTACATTTTGCAAAGGCGGTAAGCGGACGAAGCATATATTCCATTCATATTCGACACCATATATGGCGGGGTAGAGAGTGCGGCGCATTCTTCAATGGATGGGACTTTTGCGCCGCGAAACCTTGATGGTTCTCAAGCCATGATGGATCAAAGGCTTGACAATCTTGTCGTCTTGACATTGCATTCTTTACCTGACCCGTTCACCCTCTATTCTTCGCCACCCTCATTACTCAGCTTTACGACCAATCCTCAGTCACATGAGGTCTCGATAGCTTTTCTCGTGCACCCGGCAACGAGGCAGTCCAGCATGGACCAAGCTGTCGCGCCGTCTCTTCCTTGTTCCCTTGCCGGAGGGGGGCGAGTCGTAGCCAGTTTCCCACCAGCGCCGGCCAAGTTGTAGGCAGTGGTGCGGGCGGGCCCCCAGCTTACTCATGCGCACGATTGTAAAAGGATGACTCTGGCTGCGCTTGGATATACTTGATCTCGCCAGATAGAGGCCAAGTACCGGGGGAGAGAAATGACCCGAGTGCGTTGGGGCGCAAGTCCTCGTGTCGTGAAAAAAAGTTGGAAAGGCCCGCCGCCTTGATAGCGTCTAGTGCTTTCCGACGACACCCTTTGCACATGTTTTGCGATTTCGTCGCCCTGCTCGATTTTTTTTTAAGGCCAACTTGACAATGTCGGAGATGATGATGATGTTTCGTGGCGAGCAATGGCTTAAACGGAACGTCTCACCGTAGGCGGAATCGAGGGCAGTGGAAAGACTGCCCCTACATGGCTATGTGGTTTTCCCGCCTTGCAAAGAGGTATACGGATTGCAGTGAGTACTTGGTATCACAAAATCATATTTTTTTTCTTCTTCTCCAGTTGCCACCGTAGCACAACATATTGTCCAACGTCATACCAATTGGAGACGCGTGTAGACGGGCCAAAGGGCGAGGGGGCGACCTTGAATCAAAAAATAAATAAAATTAAAAATTAAATAAAAAAAAAGGGAAAAAGGGAAAACCCCCGAAGAAAAAAGGGAAAAAAGGAGGGAAAAAATAGCGTTTTAGGAAGATTTTCCATTATGTACTCGTGAAATGTTGTTGTTAATGAAAAGAGACATTGTGCCAAATAGAAAACGACACCTGATTGATTCAGGGATTAGTTACATGGGAATCTGCCAGTATTGAGTGCAAGAGTCTTTGCATTGACTTTCATCTTGCAGAAGCTTCACGCTTGGTAAAAATAATTTGAAAAAGGTACTTTAAATGTGCTGAACCTTTCATTTTCAACCATGTATCAATCAATAATTCACTTCATCGTGACTTACCCCATGTTGGCATGTTGCTCATGTGGGGTGCGCGTCGTGGTTGCTAGGCTAGTCGCGGTGCAGGTCGCCTTTTTACGCGTCCTAAATACTAGGTACCTAGGTACATACACCTACTTTGTTTCTCTACTCCAGATGCTTCTGCCAATCTATTCTTGCCATGACATCTATCCATACACCAGCTTAACATCTGTTGCTCTTCTCCTCTACCGCATGGTCATGACTCAAATTGATCATGCCGCTTCAAAAATCCTACTCCGATAGTCGAGGAATAGCAAAGGCAAGTCTGGTCTGGTCCCTCTGCCAGTCACGTCCACGCTCTCTAACGTCACGCTCAGCAGCATAACCGGTCAACATGGCAAAGATCACATAGCCACCCAAACGGATACCACACTCCGAAGCCTCCACCACCGATTCCTGCATCCGAGGTAACAAAAACAAAACTCAACAAATTTCGTTACGAAGCCCAGGCCGACGGCCAATCTCCACAACCTCACCACGATGCCGACCAGCCGCAATCCAAGCCTGACCTCAGCGGCCTAGCCACACCCGTCACGAGATTGAATTGGCGCGATTTGGAGCCCCTGGCGAATGTCAGCGAATCTGACAAGGACGCATCTCCCAATGACCGGATTTTGTGGGACAACAAGCAAACCAGTAACTATGGCTCCGGTTTGTCGCCAATGCTCAGCCGCAAGGGCAAGAAACGTGCCAGAAGCTCGTCTCCGATTTCGTCTCCATCTGCCGAAAAGCCGAAAGCCCCTGCTGTCAACATCCAGAGGCTGACGAAAGCCTTGCGCTCCCCGCACCCCGACCCGACGCTGGACCTCTGGGACAGATTCTCCCTCACCAGCCCTGTCAGCCAAGAGACTCCCATTGCCCACCCAGCCCTCGCACAACTCATGGTCTCTTCTTCTCCACAGCCAAACAAGCAAGCAGTCTCGCAGCCAGTAAACATCCACTTGCGGCGTGCTACCAGTTGCGGGCTCAATTGGCCAAAGCGCAGGAAGCTCGAAAAGTCCAAATCAGGAAGCCAACTCGGCATGGGCCAACGCGACCTCGAATCGGCTTCCAAATCATCCCTTGTTTCTGCACTCTTGAGTACAGTTACGAGCAGTATGCAACAAGGTAGCCCCGATCATGTCCGCCAACCCATTGAGTCGCCCTCACCGAAAAGGAAGAAGCAAGTCCCTGTAGCGACATCTTCCGCTTACGTCGATTGCAAAGCAAAGGGCACAGGGGATTCTGGCAATTCCTCCGACTATGGCGATGATGAATTCGACGATGATGCGCTCATCGAGCTCGAATTGACTACAGCCACGGCCCCCGCGACCCAGGAAACTCCCACAACACCCAGAATGCAAAAGTCAGCTGTAATTGTCCCAGAGAAACAAATATCGGACGATTTCGACGACATGGACGATGACCTGTTTGACAATGAAGAGTTGATTCAGTTATCACAGAGACTAGTCTCAACTGACAAGACCAAGAGCGAGGCTTTACAACAGAACTCCACAGCGGCTCTTGACCATCTTGATGACGAGTTCGATGATGACTTTGCGGAAGATATAGATTTTGAGGCTGTTGAGCTAGCAGCGACACTATCTATTCAACAGGCCAAAGCTGGCGCGGGCGTAAGTACAGCCCTTTGTCGTCTTCATCCTTGTCACTAAGTGAAAGAGTAGCGTGCCAACAAGGACAAGACTATTCAGCGATATCTCATCACAAACGTACTGGACGGTGAATATATCGACCAGTATAATGCTGTTCGGCCTGAAAAAGTAAGTGTACTCATAGTCGTGCCATCTCTTGCTGCTAAAGTTTGCGGCTAACACTGATAGATACTTTTAATCATGGCCGACAACTCCAAAATCACACGCCAAGTTCATCTCCGAGGCGCGTGGTACGACACGCCTGCTCACACAAAGTCTTATGTACATGTGATTGGCAAGTTTTCTCTCAAAGGGCAGTGCATTGTGGACGACGCACAAAACCTGCTCATTCTTCACCCCGACCAGCTTGTCTCCGCTACAGTGGTCGCCGACTCGTTTGGCTGCATGCGTCGTGCCGTTTTACAAGACCGGGTCAAAGCCACTTCCGAGGCATCAGCGCCCTTGGTATACGGAACAATGCTCCATGAAATCTTTCAAGATGCTCTACTCGCGAATCGATGGGATCTTCCTTTCCTCGCGCAGTTGATTGACAAGATCTCGGAGAAGCACATTGAAGAGCTCTACACCATCAAGGTCGGGCTGCCTAGCGCCCGCGAACACCTGCAGTCCAAGATGATGGAATTAAGCTACTGGGCCAAGTCATTTGTGTCTCCGCAACCCAACGTATGTATGCTGCTACCGATCGATTTCTAATGCTAACACATTGTAGAATGATGCAGTTGTGGAGGATCGAAACGGCAAAAAGGCCACCATGGCTGTCACTAAACTACTCGATGTCGAGGAGCACGTCTGGTCGCCCATGTATGGCCTCAAAGGCAACATTGACGCAACTGTCGAAGTGAAAATGACGGATGGCGAGCAATCGCGAACATTGACAGTTCCATTCGAGGTCAAGACAGGTCGCAATGCGAGCAGCAGTCACATGGCACAGACCGCGCTATACACCTTGCTTCTTTCGGATCGTTATGATATCGACATTGCCTATGGTGTTCTCTACTACATGGAGACGTCAAAAACGATGCGTATCCCCGCCGTCCGACATGAACTTCGCCACATGATTATGCAGCGAAACCAGCTCGCCTGTTACATTCGCGAGCGGAGTGTTCAGCTACCACCAATGCTAAAGAGCAAGCACATGTGCGGACGGTGCTACGCCAAGCCGGCCTGCTTTATATATCATCGCCTGGCAGATAACGGTGACGGTGATTCCAGCGGAATGGACGAAAAATTCGATGAGCTTGTGAAGCATCTCACCCCACGCCACCAAGAGTTTTTTGTCAAGTGGGAGAATCTACTCACCGTGGAGGAAAAGGAAGGTCAAAAGACGAAACGGGAATTATGGACAATGACTAGCAATGAGCGACAGAAGAAGTCACGATGCTTTGCCGACGTCATTATCGAGGAGGGTTCTGCTTCCGTCGACTCTGACATGCCCCGTATCAATCGTTTTCATTACACGTTTATCAAGCGAAAGCCTGAACCTGGATTCTCGTTTTTGGAATCCCAGATTGGTGTCGGCGAGCCGATTGTGGTTTCTGATGAAGAGGGCCATTTTGCCTTGGCAATTGGCTACGTCACGGCGGCGCGCAAACAGAGAATCAGCGTCGCTGTTGACAGAAGACTCCACAACAGTCGGATTCGCCAGCCTGGCTTTGACGAGCTTGAGAACCAGGTATTTGCCAGCATAATGGAAGTTGCTCCCGAAGGCGCCTCTCCCGAGCAGAGCCAAGGCCGAATCAAAGAAGCGCCAATCCGATATCGCCTTGATCAAGACGAATTCAGCAATGGCATGGCTACTGTGAGAAACAACATTGTACAGATGATGAGCAATCAATTTCCCGAATCAAGACGCATTCGAGAGCTCATTGTTGACCTCGAAGCCCCTCGATTCAAGTACGTGCCGACACAGTACACCATCTCCGAACAAGACAGCTTGAACGTCGACCAGAAGAGAGCGATTGAAAAGGTAATGAGTGCCCAAGACTATGCGTTGGTCTTGGGTATGCCAGGAACAGGAAAGACCACGACAATTGCGCACATTATTCGAGCCCTCACTTCACAGGGCAAAACCGTACTTCTTACATCACACACCCACACTGCTGTGGATAACATCTTGTTGAAGCTCAAATCCGACAAGATGAAAATTCTGCGCCTGGGAGCACCAGCCAAGGTTCACCCCGACGTGCAAGAATTTGCAACTCTCGCAGGTCACCCAATGAAGACATTTGAGGAGATTGAGGAAGCTTGGCATGGTACGCCAGTCGTGGCCACGACCTGCCTAGGCATCAATCATCCCGTTTTTCAGGAGCGCGCGTTCGATTACTGCATCGTCGACGAAGCTTCTCAAATTACTCTTCCCATTTGCGCAGGACCAATTCGCATGGCCAAGACATTTGTACTTGTTGGGGACCACAACCAGCTTCCGCCTGTCGTCAAGAATGAAACAGCGCGCCAAGGTGGTCTCGACGTGAGCTTATTCAAATTGCTCTCGGACAGCCATCCCGATTCTGTCGTAAACCTAGCACACCAATACCGAATGTGCGAAGACATTATGACGCTGAGCAACACATTGATCTACGATGGCAAGCTTGTTTGTGGAACGGAACAGCTGCGCAAGAAGAAGCTGCATGTGCCAAATATGAGGGCCCTCACACAACGACACCATAATGCTTCGACCGTGCTTCTTCCTGGAACACCTCGGTCAATTTGCAAAGGTCCCGCGCCGTCACAATGCTGGCTGTACGATCTTCTGGAAAGCGAATCCCGCGTTCGCTTCGTCAACACTGATACTATCCAACCCATTGTCCGTGAAGAGGCACATGGAAAACGTATCGTCAACTCGGCAGAGATTCGCATCGTCTCCCAGTTGGTTGAGAGTTTCTTGACTGTGGGCGTTCCCGCGAGCGAGATCGGAGTCATGACGCACTACCGATCGCAATTGTCCCTCTTAAAGGACAAGTTGAAAGGCTACCCCGGCGTGGAGATGCACACGACCGATCGCTTCCAAGGCCGAGATAAAGAGGTCATTGTGCTCAGCTTGGTGCGCAGCAACGATGCATGCAATATCGGCGATTTGCTACGTGACTGGAGGCGAATCAATGTTGCTTTCACCCGTGCAAAGACCAAACTCCTTGTGATTGGAAGCAAGAGTACACTCAGCGGCAGCAACGTCAACAGCAAGGACAATATGCTGAGTCGCTTCGTTGCACTGATGGAGCAGCGCGACTGGATCTACGATCTGCCTGCCGACGCTCTCGACAGCCACTATTTTGATGAGTCCGGCACGCAGGCGACGAGCGTTGGTGGTACGCAAGCTCTGTCGCCACAAAGCCACAAGAAGAAAACTATTGGGCCCAAGAAACCACAGACGGCGGCGCCTGGAAAAGAGAACCGGCGACCATCGCCCAGGACGGCGCGCATTGGCGAGAGAGCACTGCTCAAGGATAAGCTAATTACGAGGGACATCCTCAATGAGATGACGAATGGGGCGTATTGATGCATATAAGTACCGGTGTTTTCATGGCTCGTTTTCATGAGGCTTTGTAATTTGCACTTTGAGAAACATTTGGTATATTGTTTTCGTACAGAAGGGGAATCAGCACAGTATTGGAGTTTTCAATTTTGGGCATATATATTTTGGTTTGTCGGGGTATCATTTGGAATATCAAAACATTGATGGAGTATAAATCGCAAAAGACGAGGCAATTCTTCTTTTGCCTCCTTTTTTTTTTTTTCAGATTGCTGCTTTGGCTCTTTGTGTGTTGCGTTGTTATATGCTAAATTGGTCGTCAAATCTGTGCGGCTGTCAGTAACCCATCTTTAACGTAAAGCAGTCACCGCGCAGATTGCTTACCCTTGCTCGCCCACAATGAGCTTGGTGTATTTTTCCATCTCCTCGAGCTGCACGATGCATCCGGTCAGGCTCTGGTTATACGAGAAGCGGTAAGTGTCGCTCCATTTTCGGCGCGTGTCGACCTCGCGCAGCGCCGCCCCCTCCCCGCCCCCGCCTCGGCCTCGGCGGCTTCTTGCGCCTCCTGTGCCGTGAGTTCCGCCTCGACCTCGTCCGACCGCACCAGCAGGGCCTTGCGCGCGGCGGCTGCGCTAGGCAGGTACCTCGGGACCCTGCGGCGGGCGCGCAGCGCGCCGGCGAGCACGTACAAGTTGGCGAGGACCGTGGCGACGGCGTCGCGGCGGTGCGGCAGCAGGCGCTCGGCGGCGGCGGGGCTGGCGCGGAGGCAGCCCGCGTCGTAGAAGAGGGCGGCCTGTCGGACAGCGATGGTGTGCTCAAAGAAGCGCTCACAAGCCTCGGTGAGCGCGGCCCAGCATCGCGGGTCGTGGTGGTCGGCGGCGGCGGCGCCGCCACCGCCGCCACCGCGCAGCCGCAGCTCGTGCCGAGTCAGCACGAGGAGCTGGCGGATGCGGACGAAGCCCTCGCGGAGGCGACCCTCGAGGAGCTCGGAGCGGCGAATGTCGGTGGGTGTGGGCGGCGCGTCAAAATAGACGTAGGTGGCGACAGTGCTGCGGTAGGTGACGCTCATGAAGAAGAGCATCGAGGACAGCGCGGAGCGGAGCTCGTGGCGCGCGACAAAGGGCCACAGCACCCAGTTGACAAGGATGGGCGCCGCGGTGCCGACCAAGAAGACGAGGCCCTGGCGGGCGGCAAGCACGGCGGGTGTCGTCGTCGCGGCTCCACGGTGCTCGGCTTCCAGCAGCCCGAGCGACACAACGGTGAAGGAGAGGCTGCCGACGAGGCCGGATCGCGGATGGGTGCTCAGCGTGTAGCGGTACAGCATCGGGAGCATGTAGACGCCGGCAAAGACGGCCATGACGTACGGGTTGCCGTCGCCTGCGGCGTAGCCGGCGCCCGCCCACACGGCGCCCAAGACGGCGAGGCACGACCGGTTGAGCAGGTCCTGGAGGTTGCCGCCGACGCGGGGGTGCATGACGACCCAGCTCATGGCGACGGCCCACCACGCCTGGTACTGATCCCACCACCACTTGCTCTGCTCGAGGTACGACGGCACGGCCAGGAGGCACGTCACCAGGCACGCCTTGAGCGCGTACTTGCTCTCGTAGCCCTGCAGCCGGTACAGGCCGCGCCAGATCTTGTATCTGGTTGCGGTGCTGCTCTTGGGCCTTGTGTCGTCGCTGCCGGTTCGCGGGGCGGACGTCTCAGGCTTGAGGTGTGCATCGCCCGCGGCATCGGTTTGGGTGCGTCCCGTGGGTTCGTGCACGCGGGACGTAATCCTGTCTAGGATCCTCGCAATGTCACCAAAGGTGATCTGGTAGGACCCCGCGACAACCCCGCCCCTGTCGTGCCGAATCTGCGCATTGGTTCGGTAAACAGACTTGGAAACCGGGTAGGACGGCAGCCAAAGACGCGGTCGCTTGGACACGGTCTGCATCTCGCTCACGTGGTGCAGGAGATGCTGCACGGTGGCGGCGGTCTCGCGGACGTGGCGCGCAGACACAAACAGCTGCACGATTTCGAAATCATGGATCGCGGAGTCGGGGAGTCTGCCTGACTGCAGGAGCAAGGACTCAACGCTGTCGAAATCAGATATGGTCTGTCTGAGGCGAGTCTTTGAGACGGCGGTGTCAGATGAGAAATCTGTGGACGGGCCGATGAATTTACGGTAGCCTGAGATGCCCATGAGCGCGATATCACATGTGCGAATCCCCTCACACATGGATAGAAGAAGATCCCTTGTAGGCGTCGCGAGAGCCTCCGCCACATCTTTCACGTGTCCATTTTGGCCGTTATCGCCGCCTTCCTGTTTTACCTCGCCGTTGTTGGCCTCGCTGTCATCTGGTCTACCCAATAGAGTAGTCTCAGTGTCCATTGATAGAAGAGCCCGTAAGACAGCTTGCATCAAGTTTCGCAGCTCAAGCACGTCTTCCGGCCGAAAACGGGATATTGTGCTATCAATGGCCATGTCACGATATGCTTCGGACAAGTCAACAAAGCTTTTGAGCAACTGCCTGCGAAGCCTGGCATCCCTTGTATGCGGAGCTTTCAGAGCTTGTAGCATGAGATTAAACGATTGGTGCAATGTCGTGGCAAGTGGTCTAGCCCCGGCATCGGGACAGATCAAGACATTGACGGCCAGCGCTATCGCTTGGCCAAACAGAAAAGCTACAGCGTAGCCGCGAAGTTTGCTCCACGGGATTGTTGCGTCGTGCGTTTCGGAGAGTGTCGCGTAAATGACGGCAATGCCAGCCGTTAGCACTGCTTGGTAGAATCGGACAAAGAATGCGCGGATCGAAGCAATAGAGGCAACGAAGACGACGAGAAATAGCGCCAAGATCCCGCCATATCCAACTCTGGCTGCCAGTGTCGATGTAGATAGAAGCAGTGCCAGAGCGCCCCAGGCTATTCCAATGGCAGTGCCAAGGACGGTTAAAACGACGCCGTCGACTTGAGCACCGACGGTTCGGGCAGGGTGGTTGAGGATGACGGATACTGCCATGATATAGTATTGAGGGCCCAGCCAGTGGCGTACTACTGGCACGAGGCAGAGGACATATGCCATAAAATAAGCCACAAACGGTTTGAGCAGTGTAATGCCTGTTTGTGTTGTAAACACACGGCGAACGACAGATTTTAGCTTGCGCCATTGATTCGGAAGGAAATGCTTGATGGTCAGAGGATTGTGCTGGTCGAATGCAGCGGGTAGGTTGGCTTTGAGCGCCTCCAGACCATCTTTCGACGGTAGACGCGGCGGTTTGAGAAAGACGGCATCAAAGAACCCATCGCGCACCTCGCGAACGCCATATGTGTCTGTGCCGTGGTCCTCCGGCCTGGGCAGCAGGTGATTCAGCTTGAGAAGACTAGTGGTGGAGCTTGTTCTGCTTCCGAGACCAGGAGCGCCGCCGCGAAATCCTGGTCTTTGAGGTTTTATGGGAGAGGCAGATGACGATTCTCGCGAGCCGTAATGTTGGTCCAAACTCGACAGGCTCACAGGGCTCAGCTGGCCAGTCGAGGTCGCGCCAGGGCTGGGGCCGCTGTGCCGCTTACCAACGTCATCTTGGTACTGTGAAGAAAGCCCAGGCATTCTATAGATTCTGCGTGCCTGGCAAGCAAGATAGTCTAATACCAATGCACGCAACTCATTGTGATAGGTTTTCAGACCACGGCGATAGTCCTGATCCGGACTAGGGATAATCTCAATTAGGCCGTTGTAAGACCGGAAATGTGCGGGAGTCTCTACTCCATTTTAAAAGCCCTGGATCAGCACATTATGCAGCAGTGAGTAAAGATGGTCAGCGTCCCGGCATGCCTTATCTACAATGCAACACTCTGAATAATTTTGACGTCAGAAAGCAAAAGGTAAAGGGCGGGTCTTCAACCCGAATTCGTGGCGAGTGATTGGTTGGCGCCGCTACACGTGACTTGATGGACCCAGTATCTCCCCCGAGCCGCCGTGATGACCCAGCCAGGTCGAGCATCAAACCAAATTCGCATCCCAGCTACAAGCCATTGGCGCCCCAAATCGACGTCTCCGGATCGCCAGCGACGCCGAGCAACTCATCCCTCCCGAATCACAGGCCCTCCCGAAAAAAGCGATGGCCATCTTCCGTCACTCGATAGCGCCGCTCCGCGCGGTGCGATGCGCCCGCCAGCCCGCCGCCGCCGCCGCACGCAGCTTCTCTGTCAGCGCCAACCGACGTGGCGGCGGTCACGGCAGTGAGTCCCAGTTCGAGCCCCCCAGCGGCTGGCTCTGGGGCATTAAGCCTGGCGAGAAGCCCGAGCCCGAGGGCTGGGAGTGGCCAATGTATTTCTTTTGCGGCAGTTTTGTCGTTGCCGGCGTGGCCCTTGCTTTCAAGCCCGACACGAGGTGAGTTTCCAGAGGGGAGGGGACAAGCAAGAACAAATTCACACCGCGTTGTTGGATTCGAACATAACCCAATTTGGGACATTTCGTGCCAATTTCGGGCGCGATGTCGATGACAGGGCGCGGTGTGGATGCACGACGAACCCTGCGTTTTTTTTTTGACCAGACATGTATAATGTATGCTGACTGTCTGCATAGCGTCTCGACCTGGGCTCTTGAGGAGGCTCGCAGAAGATTAGAAGCTGAGGGTGTCTTGCCCGACCCCACGGCGTCCCAAGAGAAGAAGTGAGAGTTTTACGAGGGTTAGAGGGGGACACGGCATTCAGTTGTGAGATAGAGGTTGCTTCGGTCTGGAATTGATTTTGAGCCCGCCGCAGCCATAAGCACTGTACATGATTTCAAGCTTTTTGTTTTCCTTGTGTTGCAAAGACAATTCCATCAATGGTTTCAGATAGAATCATAATCTTTTCGCGCACCTACGTCTACATTTCTGAAGCGCATGTTCCAGTCTATTGCTAATAACCAAAGTCTATGTATTTGTTTGCTTCTTCTTCTCGGTTTCATCTTTCTTGTCTTTTACTGAGGAGTAACGTAGCTCCACTCGTGTTGGTCGTCGCCATACTGAATCTTTTCGATCCAGTCCTTCATCTTGAGCGCAATCTCACCAGACTCCTCTGTGTCCTTGAGACCGCAGTTGACCATCTTTCCCTTCCAGGAAATCTTGCGGACAGGGCTGACAATAGCAGCCGTGCCAGCACCGAAAGCCTCGATAAGGCGACCCTCCTGGTCAGCGTCATACAGCTCCTGCATGGTGTACTTGCGCTCGCTAATCTTCCAGCCGGCGGGAGCGAGATGCTCCCTGGCAAGGCCGAGGATGGAGTCACGCGTGACGCCCTCGAGGATGGTGCCGTCGAGCGGAGCGGTGATGAGCTCGTTTTGACCGGTGGCCTTGTCCTTGATGGCGACAAACATGTTCATGGTGCCAACCTCGGTGACATACTCCTCCTCTCCAAAGAGCCAGAGATTCTGCTGGAAGCCGCGACTGGCGGCCTCCTGCTGGGGCACGATGCAGGGCGCGTAGTTTGCGCCGAGCTTCTTGTCGCCGACGCCGCCGGGCCAGGCGCGGACGGCATAGTCGGTGGCCTCCAGGGAGACGGCCTTGAAGCCGGTGGGGTAGTAGGGGCCGACAGGGGAGGCAATGACGAAGAGCAGGGCGGAGCCGGGGGTGCCGACGCCGAGCGTCTTTTGGGTGCCAATCATGGTCGGGCGGAGGTAGAGCGAGTAGCCGCGCTGGTCAGGGATGAAGCGCGACTCGAGCTGCGCAAACTTGGAGATGAGGGCAATCAAGTTCTCGGAGTCAAAGGTGGGCAGGGCGATGCGGGCCGAAGACTTGTTGAAGCGCTCCATATTCTTGTCGGGACGGAAGAGGCGGACGCGGCCATTCTTGTCCTTGTAGGCCTTCATGCCCTCGAAGCACTCAAAGGCGTAGTGCAGGACGCACGAGCTGGGGTCGAGCGATAGGTTCTGATAAGGTGTAATCTTGGGCTCCAGCCATCCTTGCTCCTTGTTCCATTCGATGGCAAGCATGTGGTCTGTTGGAGGGTTGTAAGCTGTTGGTCACACTGTGACAGGTCGGGGTGGAGGCGCCGTACCTGTGAATTCCTTGCCAAAGACGAGATCCTCGGGCTTGGACAAAGCCTTGGGGCTCTTCGTCTTGGTAATGCTGAGCTTCGAGGCATCAAGGCCATTCAGCTTTGTGGCCTGGCTGTAGAAGCGGGCGATGGGCATGGCGCGCTGCATGCGAGCAGCACCCAGCAGGGCAGATCGCATTCTCAGAGCGGACCGCATCGTGAAGTGTTTATGTCGTCGCGAAATCGTGCGGAGGGGGGGCTGATTGTTTACCAAAACGTCCGTATCGGCAGCGACACAGCGATTGATGTGGTGTGACGTCCGCAAAACGGGTCTGGGAATGTGCAAGAAAGAAAATAGTCAAGGTGGAGGAGGATCGCGGTTTGAGGTCTCGCAATGGCAAGATGCGGTACCGGAGCCGATTTCCCAGGGCGTGTCGCTTCACGCTCTCCAGGCGACTCCAGGGCGTACAAGACAAGCAACCCACTGCCAGTCAGTGACTCGTTTCAGCAGACGACGTGCTAAAGACCCGCCGCTACCCGCTGGAATCCTATCTCGGCGGTCTACGGTGTCTGCAGTCGGCTTAGCGCCTCAGGCTCGGTCTAATAAATAGGTACCTAGGTAATAAATACAACAGCTCCAGGGTCCGCCAGGCCTCCCCGTTATGGACGGTATCAAGTCTAACTAGATGCGCTGAATAGATCTCGTCATGTTAATGGCATAATTATTCATTATTCGCTTAATCCTGCCTACTCCTAGTGTTTCTGCGTCTTCGTAGTTAACCTGTTGGTGAATAGACTGACACATATCAAGGCCGAGCCCGCACGGCCTGCGCCACACGTGGCACCAACAGCCCGCGCGCCTTGCTTGTCTTGGTGCAATGAACCACTGCCACCAAGCTAGACACCCATGCTCAAGCTATCGTCATCGTCGCAAGTTGAACATCCCATCCTACATGACCACGGCGGGGTTTGTCGTGGTGCTGGTGTCATTCTCTTCGAGCTCTCAAGTCTTGCATTCGCCCTGGTAATTACCCAGTTGTCATCGTGCGCACCACTCTTATCAACCCTGGCGGCGTCCTCCCCTGAGCGAGGCTCGTGATTACGACCCGAACCGACATGCCGTAATCTTCTACCCAGCCAGCGCCCGAACCAAGCATACAACACAATGTTTTCCAACGCGCTGAAATCCATCTCCGCTACCAACATCACGGGCAACTACACAATCTCCCCCAACGCGACCTCAGCAGCTGGTCCGTGGCGCATCTACGATGCCAAGAAGAAGTCGACTGGCAAGCCCTACAGCGTCTTCGTATTTGACAAGAAGTCACTTGATAGCCACGGCAACTCACTTGGTCGCTCCAGCGCCTCTTCCTTCAAAAAGACGGTCGAGGAGGTCGTCGAGCGATTAAAAAAGGAAGCATCGAGCCTGGCCAAGTTGCGACATCCCAACATCCTCGAGCTCGTGGAGCCGGTAGAAGAGACGAGGGGCGGCGGCCTGCAATTTGTCACGGAACCTGTCACGGCCTCACTGTCAAGTCTGCTGCAAGAAAAGGATGAACAAGAACGAGCCGGTGGCCCTGGCGGCCGCTCGAGCCGCTACGTAACGGAAGACGCCGACGGTGTGCGACGCAGGAGGGAACTAGAGATTGATGAACTCGAGATTCAAAAAGGACTCTTGCAAATTAGCAAGGCTCTGGAATTCTTCCACGAAAACGCCGGCCTCGTTCATGGCAATCTCACGCCTGATGCCATTCTCGTCAATTCCAAGGTAGCCAGACTCTTGGTCATCACGCTGCCACAGCTAACAGTCGACAGTCTGATTGGAAAATAAGCGGTCTTTCCTTCTGCAGCCCGGCAGACGGCTCCAACAAGCCAACTTCAATACAGGGCATCAGCCTCCATGAAGTACTCAACCTCGATCCTCGGTTACCCAAACATGTTCAACTAAATCTCGACTACACATCCCCCGACTTTGTCATAGACAACAACCTAACATGCTCCGCTGACATGTTCTCCCTGGGCTTGTTAGCTGTGGCTCTATACAACTCCCCGCACCGATCACCCCTCGAGAGTCATGGCAGCATCTCAACTTACAAGCGCCTCTTTTCGTCCTCGTCGACTGTCCCGTCTGGCTCCAATAACTTTCTCAGCTCACGGCCGCTGCCCAAGGAGCTCGCTAACCATGTGCTGCCGCGCCTCATCACGCGACGCCCTGCGCAGCGAATGACGGCCCGCGAATTCCAAGAGAGCGAATACTTTGACAATATCCTTGTGTCAACAATTCGATTTCTTGACTCTTTTCCAGCCAAAACGCCAAACGAAAAGTCGCAGTTCTTGCGCGGTCTCAACAAGGTGCTGCCGTCGTTTCCTAAATCCGTCATGGAGAAAAAGATTTTGCCAGCCCTATTGGATGAGCTAAAAGACAAGGACCTGCTTTCCCTGATTCTTCAAAATGTCTTCAAGATTGTTGACCTTCTCCCCTCGGCTCGACGAGCTTTTAGCGAGCGAGTTCGTCCAGCACTCAAACAAATTTTTGTCCTCAATGCAAAGCAATCACAAGAAAAGGACGCCGCCAGAGACGCTGGCCTCATGGTATTTCTAGAAAACCTGGCTGCCGCAGCCAACAACTGCAATGGTCGAGAATTCAAAGAAGGTCAGTAATGAATTACCTTTTCAATAATCTCCGCTAATAAGCCGAGTCAGATATTCTACCGGTTGTCGTTGCTGCTATTGAATGTCCCACCCCGTCAATTGTTGACGCGGCTTTGCGCAGTCTTCCAGTCGTTCTACCTGCCCTCGACTTTAGCACCATCAAAAATGAGCTGTTCCCCATTGTCGCTGCCGTTTTCAGCAAAACCAACAGCTTGGCCATCAAGGTCCGTGGCCTGCAGTCCTTTGTTATTTTGTGCGGCGGCTCCAATGACGCCTCCGCTGGCGACGATGGTCTCAGCGGCCTCACGCAGGAAAAGAAGAAGACGTCTTCCTCCACCGCGCTGGACAAGTACACCATGCAGGAAAAGATTGTTCCCCTCATCAAGGTCATAAAAACCAAGGAGCCCGCCGTCATGATGGCGTCTTTAAACGTCCTCGGCATTGTCGGCGATATTGTCGATGCCGACTTTGTCGCCATGGACATTCTGCCGATCCTGTGGAGCATGAGCCTCGGCCCGCTGCTCGACCTCAAGCAGTTTCAGGCTTTCATGGCTCTCATCAAGACGCTCTCGCGCCGCGTCGAGGACGAGCAGACGCGCAAGCTGCAGGAGCTAGCCGGTACAACCAGCGGCGCCACCGCGGCGCCCAACGAAGACTTCCTCGCCTTTGGCGGCGTCACCGGCACCGCGTTTGACAGCGGCGCCAACGGCGCCTCCGCCGACGACTTTGAGGCCCTCATCAAGGGCAAGCCCGCGGCGAGCAGCAGCCCCAACCCAGCCGGTAGCAACGGCTTCGCCAGCTGGGACGCGCCCCAGGCCAACCCCGTCGCAGCTGCCAAATCTCCAGTTAGCCCGCAAGCACCGGCCTTTGCCTGGTCCACGCAGACTCCGGTCAGCCCCGCCGCGTCCGCCGGTCGCTCGTCGTTTACGCAGCAGCAAGCCGGTTTCCGCACCGTCACACCGGACCTTGCGCGCTTCGAACCCATGGCGCCGTCCTCGACGCAGTACAGTCAGCCGCTGCAGCCGTCGCCGGCCTCGTTTGCACAGCCCGGCAGCACAACGACGACAACAGCAACAATACCTTCCACCTCGACTTCAGTCAACTGGGGCGCTGCGGCGGCCGCCGCGTCCAACCCTTGGTCATCGGCTAGCGGCCCCAGCACGCCCAATTACAGCGGCGTTGGCGCCGGCAGCATGGCGTCGTCCATGGCCAGCCTGTCCATGGGCGGCGGCGGCGGACAGCGCCCATCTCTGCCGAGCCAGACCTCGTCATTTTCTCTGCCGCCGCCGCCAGGAGTCGGAGCGAGCCAACCAGCGACGACGTTTGGGGGCAGCAGTGCGTCGGCGTGGGCCAGCAGCCCGAGTGGCATGGGCGGCATGATGGCGCAGCAGCAGCAGAGGGCGACGAGCGGCAGCGGATCAGGCATGATGAATGCAAGTAGAGGAAGCGCAAATACCAATACTAATACGGCAGGGCAGTCCAAGAGCGGACTGGACAAGTATCAGAGTCTGATATAAAGAGGGAAAGAGAAACCGGAGGGTTGGTGCGTAAAGCTGATGATAGCCTTGCATATAACGGTGACCAAAAAGACTCGAAATTACGTTTGGAGCATTCTGCTAGAATACTAGAAACATCTTGACAGAATACTATAAAACATCCCGACATGTTGATGAATGACAGCAGTGGCATACATGTAAATGAATTTGTCTTTTTATTTTTCTTCCTTCATGGTAGTTTCTACATAATGTCCATTACAAAATCCAATCCCGCTTCACTTCAATTATAAAAATAGCCCAAAGATTGTATCCATCGTTCTCTTGTCTCGGCAGAGATGTGAGCAAAATGTAGTTGAACAAAAGAAAACGAGATAAACAGGAAATAAGAAAAGATGAACAGAATGGTGTATGCCAACAGGCCAAAAAAACAATGAAAATGAAAATGAAGAGTGCATTGCTTACACAACAACAGATGACAAGAAATCTTTTAGTTTTTGCAAAGAAAAAAAGAAAGAAAGAAAGAAGAAACTCCAAAGAAGAAAAAAACAGACAAGATAGCCGAATTAATGAAATGATTTCTTAGACGGATAATGGCGTGGCGGGTTTGCCATTTTCCTTCTCCTCTCCATTCTCCGTCTCCTTTTCATCATCATGAGCAGCAGCAGCAGCAGCAGCATCGAGGCCAACGGGCCTGCGCACCTCAAACACATGCTGGCTCTGAAAGCCCGTCTCGGTGCGAACGTCAATAATTTGTCCGGGCGGCACCATTTCGTGCCGGAGCGGCCAGCCGAGACGGCGGCAGAGCTCGGCGACGACGACGTCGCAGTCGCCGAGCAAATCAATGTCAAAGTTGATGTGGTTGACGGGTTGGCGCGAGACGTAAATTTGCGGAATGTGCGAGGGCAGCCAGCTGACAATCTCCGATACGGGCGTGACCTTGAGCGAGGTGCCAATGACGATGACGAGGTCGACCTTGTCGCGGTCATTCTCCGTCAGGCGCCGCGAAAACTCGTCGGGGAGGGCCTCGCCGAAAAAGGTAATGTCGGGCTTCATGACGCCCGCGCTGGACGCGTCGTAGTACGCTGTGGATGCGCCGTGGTGGGCGGCGGCGGCGTCGTCGTCGGAGCTGTCGTCGGCGGACCACCGGCGGCGCTTCTTCTCGGAGGCGGCGCGGCGACGCTTAGATGAAGAAGCGCGGTTGGTCGAGGCCGCAGCAGCTTGGGTGCACTTCGGGCACCGAGGGATGATGCCGGCACGAATGTCGGGAAAGATGAATTCGCCAGCGATTCGGTGGCCGCACTGGACGCACGAGGCGGTGCCAAAGGATCCATGACACTGGATGAGCTTATCTCTGGGTACGCCGGCCTTGATCTCGAGGTTGTCAATGTTTTGCGAGTAGTTTGTGAGGAGCTTGCCGCGCTGGTGCAGCATGGCGATGAACTTGTGCGTGGGCGTGTAACGCTCCGTGGCGGGGATAATGTCCTTGGCGACCGAGTAGAAGATGGACGGGTCCTCCTTAAAGACGTCAATGTCAAACACCTCCTGCGGGTCGCTGAGGCCCAAATGGGCGAGCTTCGAGTACAGGCCGGTGCCCTTGGAGCGGAAATCCGGGATGCCCAGCGAGGTGGAGATGCCGGCGCCGGTGATGAGGACAATGTTGGAGCTCTTGGCAATTAAGTCGACGGCGTCGTCGACGCTATTATAGCGGGCAATCTTGGCGCGCTTGGAGAGTTCGCGGGTAATGGCCAGCGACAGCAGGCTGTAGTACGACTCATCAGGCTCGCCTTCAAGAAAGCCGGGCGCCTTGAAGCCAAAGGCCGAGAGTAGCTTCTTGGCCGTGTAGCGGCCGGCATCTACGGTGCGCTGACAAAAGACGGCAGGGCCCTGCTCGCGAAGTTCTCTGCGAAGGCGGTTGGCCTCGTCTGGTGTGCAAGCTTCAGTGCTGTCTGCAGGGGGGGTGTGTCGGTCAGCGGGGTCGAGTGGCAAGAAGGGTGGTGATGACCAGGTATGTGACACTGCCATGCCTGCATGGTTTGCAACAAGACAGAATAAAGGGGAAACACAAAAGACCTAAAAGGTAGATTTCAGAGGGGCGAAACTCACGGCTAGAGGTTGACGATGAAGCTGAACTCTCCTCGGCGATGGCTTCAAAGGCATCTTCAAAGAGCGAGTCCGTCTCCCACGAGTCGCGCACGTCGGCCACGCGTTCTTCCAGATCGGCGAGAGAAACCTCAATGGCGGCATTTTTGAGTTGGGCTGCCGTCGGCTCGGAGCGTGAAGCATTGAGCGCGTTGGCATGGGCTTTGCGATAAGGCAGCTTGACGCCTCTCGCGGCGCCACGCTTAGTGCTCATGGGAGCTGAGGAGCTGAGGTTGCTGAGGCTGAAGGGCAGCGTTGACCAGGAGCGGCAGTTGTGAAAGATGAGGTGGACGATTCGGTGCAAATGCAAACAGAGGTGCAGAAACTCGGTTGCTGAAACTGCGGCTGCGGAATGTGGTGAATGGGCAAAAAACACAAAGCGAATGCCTGATAGGGTTTTATGCCAGATAGTCTCAGGCCGTGATAAAAGTGGCCGGGTGAAGAAGGGATGAGACGATGGGCTACTAAGCGCTTGGGTCCTTTGATGTGGGCGGCAGGCGAAGGCAAGGTTGTGATGGGAAAGACGGCGACAAGTCGGTTCCTGTCAGATGTTTTTGGTCTGGGCGGGAGAGATGAGATAGAACGTGGCTTGGTATTGAGGATGAGAAGGGCAGGCTGGGAAGACGAGTTGCTGGTGGACTGAAAAGGGTATCGCCTTGGCTGAGGATGAATGGCCTTGTTATAAAGCCGGCTCTCTTGTGATTGTGAGAGAAAGAAGGAGCCGCGTTGGGCGAACGGGAAATGGAGACGGGGGGGGTGGCTTCGCACTCAGTCAACTGGAAAGCGAGGAGAAATTGGACAAGTCGGGTATTATAGCCCAGGTGAGGGTTGGTATTTGTCTCACCACAGGCGGATGGGCCAGGTTGCCAGCTCGTTGTGCCTCGTCTTGTTTCTCGCTGCTCTGTGGGCAAACAAAAATTTGGTCAGATTGATTGCGGACAAGGCGAAGAGAAGGAGAAGAAGAAGAAGCGAGACGGAGAAAGAAGAGAGAGAGAGAAGAGGCGAGAGGTCGAGGATTACTTTTTCTAGCTCTGGTTGTGCGTGTGTGTGTGCCTGTGTTACGGCCTTTTGCCATCCACTTAGTAATTTTAACTCGCCAACGTAGATGAGATGTGATGTGTGTGATGGGATGTGCGAGCCTGTTGCCTCGTTCTGTGAGGCGCGCTATCGACAAAATCAAAAGAGAGAGAGAGAGAGAGAGAAAAGAGAGAGGGTTTTGAAATCCGGCCTTGGCAAACTTGGCCCCGTTTGATAGCGCTCTTGACGTTTGGCTTGTTTTCTGAATTGTCCGAGGAGAGCAAACGTCGTTTGCTTCAATTTTTCTTCTCCCCCCTTCTCTGTGCTATGCCGTTGAAGAGCGTCTATGGCATGCAGACCAAGAAGGGAACAAACCCCCCTCCGCCGGGCCGAGATGGGGGTATCACGGATAATCCGTTGTCTTTCGAAACGAACAATCGAGAGAATGAGTTGACAACGACAGATGTAGAAGAGATGCAAAAAAAATAAAATGGAGTAATCGCTGGCAACAAAAGTTGCTTGCTAGCCAGCGTGGTCAAAGGATGTGCAAACGGCAGGAATAGATAGGCCGTAGCGGCAACCTTGGAAAATTATAAAAGAGAACAAGATACATGCGGCCATAGACCACCGCCGGCGCGCCCCAAATAAAACTTGCAGGTGGCGGTGGCCTGGTCTAGACTGGTCACTGGTCACTGGCCATTAGGCCACCATGACGGGCTCATCAGGCGTCAGCATGATTGATAGGTAGGTACCTACTCTTCTAGTTATCCACGGCGCCGATTACCTTGGACACTGACGGGGTTTTTGTTGTTTATTAAAAACAGTCAATTCGTGGATACGAGTCCTTCCACCCGAGTTTACGACAGCACTCTAATGCCGACCATCACACATCCCCCCCCCCCCACTCGGTGCACACGTTATATACACTCTTCACTCTGATAACTTTTGCGCAAAAGCACAAATCGTCTGTATCTCGCTTCAACTTGATGCTTTTACTCGATAAATCTAGGGCGATATGTGCACTGCGGAGACCACCCACAAAGTCACCCGTTGCCACCCTACTAAGACATGCCCATTCAGCGTCATATTGCGCAGGAAAGCCATGTTTACAACATATCAAGCCCAAACCAAGAAAAGAAAAAAAATACGTGCAAACCGGCTCTTTGCTAGACACATGCATAATGTAGTTGAAGCATGCCAGAACCAAGCATGGACAAGTCGGACGCTTTCCTCAACGTCGTCACTAGCACTCTATTACACGACACAAGCCCAAACACTCGGAGACTCCCTTTCATCCACCACATAAAGACAGCGACAAGTCAATTCAAGACGATCGCTGTTATGTAATGGCAAACCTCCACCACTGCAGCAGACTCGCCGCCACCGCCATTGCCGCCGTAAAACCGTCACGCTCTCTCGCCCTTCCCCCCAACAACACCGGCCCGAACCACGCCCACACACACAGACACACACAAAACAAACACAATGGCCGGCCGTACAACGTACCACCACATCGCCAGCAACTATCCCGATCCATCGCACCGCCTCCCCATGTCTGATGCCATCAGCGCCCGTGGGTCGGGCCAAGGATTGCCGCGGGGGGGGGCGGCTGAACGAATGCTGTCGCGAGAGTGCATGAGAGACACACAAAAGAATAAAGTAAGAAAACAGTTTGCCGGTAGAAAGCAGCAGAGCAACCCCCTTTTCGTGGTAGATCTTCGAGTGGGTCAGGGATGCATCGCACAGCAGGAAGAGTTTGTCCTTGGGATCCTTTCTCGCCGCCAGCCAAACGTTGTTGCCCGCGTTTGAACGGTTAACTGGACTGCCGAGTCTGCGCAAAAACCACATTCGCCGCCTTGAACACGGGACTGCTTTCCGAATAAAAAAAAAGGCGTCTTGTTTTCTCATGTGCTGTTGAATACCTCGTCTTTCTTGCCCTGCAATTCTTGGACCAAGTCTCCGAAATCTAGAGGGAAAGGGAAAAGGGTCTCGTCCACGTCCACATCCACAACACGAACTCTACTTACTGCACCCAACTTCGTTTCGCGCTGTGTTTTTCGTTATCCCGTTCATCATGTCTCCTTTGGAGACGAGCTCAACCACAAGATCTGAGCTGTGCGAGACTCTACCAACTGTGGCTGGGAAACAAGAAAGGCATATATGTGAGAGACAGCTTGCATCACGTAGCGGGCGTCTCGCCCAAAATACGATGCAACAAAAGACTTCCCAGTAATTACTTACTCGCATTCACATTCCGTCGAGCGATATTCAAGGCATTAAAAAATGGTATTCTTTGTTTTTTTCTGTCTATCAAGTAAATATGTGACCCATGGGAAAAAAGGAAAAAGACAAAAGAGACTGATGCTGGGCTAATTCGACCAGTCTTTCCAACTCCGTACGCAACAAGACAGGTGATAATGGTCCCTTCCAAAGACGTATACGTCTGTGAGACTGTAAAGATGAGTGATGAAAACGAGCGCCTGATTCTCCGTTGTTTTTGGTGTAGTGGTCCCGTTCAAGTATTATTCGATTCATTTTTCGCATTGCCTTCTGCTTCCTCTCGCTCATCGACAGATCGTCTGCCCATGGGCTGCCATCCCGCAGCAACACCGGCTGCCACAATACCCGCCATGACAGTAGGTGCGCCCAACGCCGAGTTTGATCGCGACCTGTTGGACCTTGATCTGTTTCTCGACTCGGGTGTCGCCGGGTACGGGAAGCTGTCTTCGCGTACAGGTGTCTGCGGGGCATTCACAGAGTTGGAACGTGAATGTGACGGGCTGCGCGAGCGAGTCAGCATCTCTTTGGGATGCTGCATGGCGAATTTGAGGTTGTTCAGGCGGCCGCCCTTCATGCGACGGATAAAGTTGAGCTCGTCACGGACATCAGCCAAAGGTTCCGGGTACATATCCATCTCTTCGTCAGAAATAGTCACACCGGGAACCTTGCTGGAGCGGTTCTTCAGGAAGTTCGGAACCAGAGCTATTACCAACGAGTCGGGGATCAAGCGGATAATGATGCCGACGGGAATGGAGATGGCGCCCAGAACAATGGCAATGGCCCACATGGTCGGCGACTGGTGCTTGGCAATTTGGAATGCGGCACCGCCGAAGAAGACGATGAGGACCTGACCGCCGCACATAATGGCACTGATGGCAATAAAGAACCAATTCTTAGTCAGGCCCTCAAAGATGTTGAAATTGTTGTCCAAGCGGCGATTGTTCCACTGGTTGAAGATTTGCATCCAAACGAAAGTGTTGAAGACCAGTGTTGCCTGCTCTTCTACAGGAGGTACGTCGTTTGGCCCAGGCAGGGGAAGAATGCCCTTGGGGCTTCCATAGTACAGCAAAAAGGTAATAATGAGCTGGTAGATGGCCTGCCCAATGATCATTTTCCACATAGTCGGAGAGAGGATGGATGAACCCTTGCGCTCCGGCTTGCGATCGAGGACGCTCTCCTGAGGTGGGTCAGTGGCCAAAGCGAGAGCAGCAAGCGTATCCATGATAAGATTGACCCAAAGCAATTGCACAGCCGTCAAGACAGACTTTCCTTGACGGCTGGAAACGGCCGAGACAAAGGTGAGAACGACGGCGGTAATATTGACGGTGAGCTGGAATTGCAGGAAGCGCTTCACAGCATCATTGACAGCGCGACCCCATTTGAGAGCCTTGACGATACTAGTAAAATTGTCGTCCATCAGAATGATAGCAGAGGCCTCCTTGGCGACCTCGGTACCTGCAATTCCCATGGAGAAACCAACGTCGGCAGTCTTGAGAGCAGGTGCGTCATTGGTACCATCACCGGTGACGGCGACAGTCTCGCCCTTTTCCTTGAGGCGCTTGACGAGGATTCGCTTGTCCTCAGGGCTAGATCTAGCAAGGACATGGAGTCTAGGAATGATTTCAGCCTGCTCCATCTTGCTGAGATTGCGGAAGTCTGGTCCCTCCATCACCAGGCTGTTAGGCTGAAGGATACCACATTCCTTAGCGATAGCTTGAGCAGTCAGCTTGTTGTCTCCAGTGACCATGCGGACCACGACACCAGCGTGCTGACACTTCTTGACGGCTTCATAAACGCCTTCACGAAGAGGGTCCTGAATACCGACAACACCAAGCAGGGTCATTTCCTTGAAGATGTCTTCAAAGTTGATATCGTTGCCATCACCGCGGCGAGCAGCCTTGGGAGGCCAGGCATCAAAGTCGCGATAGCAGAGGCCGATGGTGCGGAGAGACCTGTTGGCGTAACTCTCAATAACGCGACTAACGGTTTGGACGTTGCTCTTTGTCATGTCCGTAACGGAGTCATCCTTGGCGGGGTCACGTAGGGTAGTAGTGCACTGAGCCAGGAGTATCTCCGAGGCACCCTTGACGTAGAGCCTGAACTTGCCCTTCGGTAGCTGGACAACAATGCCCATGCATTTGCGACCAGAGTCAAATGGGATCATCTGCATAACGGTGGCACTTTCGCGAACCTCAGCAACCGGCCCCATGGCTAAAAAGTCTCTAGCAAAGAGCAGGAGAGCGGATTCGGTCTTTGAACCGATGTACGTCTTTTCGCCCTCGACTTCTCCTTCAAAGGCTGTCGAGTTGAGCGCTACAGACTTGAGCAGCAGCTCCTTGACAGGTTCGCTAAGCATTCCAACAAAGTGAGAGGGAGTAATGTCGGAGCTCGAGTCCTGGAACGATTCGACAGGGGAATCAGGGTTGCTATCAGGACGCTGCTTGGCTCCACCGAATCGGTTAGTAGTGCCAATCGTTCCGGAAACAACCTGCATTTTGTTTTGCGTCAAGGTGCCGGTCTTGTCGGAGCAAATCGTGGTAGCGTTTCCCATGACCTCGCATGCCTTGAGGTGGCGAACGAGGTTTGCATCCTTCAGCATTCGAGTGGTGGCAAAGGCGAGCGCTAGAGTGACTGCCAGTGGAAGGCCCTCGGGTACGGCAACAACAATGATGGTGACGACGACGATGAAGATTTCAAGAAACATCTGACCTTTTTGGGCGGCAGTGACATTTGCGTCAAGGCGAGGCAGGCGGACAAGGAACTGAATGAAGAGGACGATGAAAAGTAGTAGACCAGCGGCACCACCGAGCTTAGCAATGTAAGTGGCGATGACGTTGAGCTTGGCTTGCAGTGGAGTCATTTCGGGATCTTCGTTGAGAGCCATGAGTGTCTTGCCGTACGAAGAGTAGATGCCGACTGAGGTAGCCATGTACGTGCCCACACCCTCCATAATGCGCGCGCCGGACTGAATGAAGGGGTCCATCTTCTTGAGGCTCTCATGGGCCTCAATAGCGTTGTATACTTCATCACCAGAACGCTTGGTGATGATGTCGGATTCACCGGTTGTCTGAGACTCATCGCACTTGACATTGAACCCCTCAATAAGGACGCCATCGACAGGAACGAGATCACCAGGCTCGAGGTGAATAACCTCACCAGCCATGACATCAAAGACGGAGATTTCGGTAGTTTTTCCGGCGCGCACCACTTTGACGAGACGATCTTGTTTCTTCTTGTTCAATTTGGCGAATTGGCGTTCCTTGGAGTAATCGTTGAGAGAGCCGACAATGACAACTATGGCAATGGCGACGATGATGGCGACACCCTCGACCCATTCAACCTGAGGTTCGCCTGGTTCATGCGCCTGACCAAATGTTTGGTAAAGGCCAACACCAAGCGAGATGACAGCAGCGATAGACAGCAAAATCAGAACCTTGTCGTTGTAAGTTATCCACATGAGTTGAAGAAGCGATTTGCCCTTCTTGACGGGAAGACGGTTGTCGCGAAATACGCGGTAGCGATCGGCGAACTGCTCGTCGGCCTTGCTGGCCCTGCTGGCACGAGAATCCGTTCGTTCCACGGCGACAGGGGTAGAACCCTCGCTGTGAACCTTGACACTTTTGCCGGTAGCGGTGGCTTGATCAAAAGAGACGTGGCCTGATAGATGGGTCTCATCAGGGCTGAGTCCGGATTTGCGATCGGTACGTAGGCCCTTTTCGAGGCCGCCGAGGCCGCCGAGCTGGTAGAAAGCTGTGAGGCTCTTGGGGTTGAACATTTTGTTCAATTGACCAGGAGTAAAGGCAAATGGATTGTTGTCGACTTCGAAATCCTTTTCGGTGCCGACATCGGGTTTCAAGGCGGTATCATCCTTCATGATCTTCTCGTTGCTCAGCGATGAGGACTTGTATTTGTCAGTCTGGGTCGAATTGGAAGCGACTACCGTTGTTTCGCCATATGAATGAATTGATCTGGCGGCGTCATCAGATTCAAGTGAGTTTTGACGGGGCCTAGCGTCACCGGAAGGGACCGAAAGGAAGCCAGCGCCTCGCTCGCCGAAGCCGAGGACAGGGCTGGAGACATTGTGCGGACTCGTAGGCCGACTGTCTCTGCTTTCAAACGAGGTGTCGGTACGGACATCGGGACGCCCGACACGGTGGGTAAAGGAAGCGTTTGGTTCGCCGGCCAAAGTAGTCGGAGAAATGGTATCGTCGTCAGGAGGAGATGTTACGATTGGCGCGGGTTGGTTTTCAGGGCCTTGAGGCATGTCGACGGCACTGGCGGTAGGACTGACGGCCGTGGTGTCGATTGTGATGGTAGGGCTGCAACAAGAGTCATGTTAGCAAAGGAGAGAATGGCGAAGGCAGTGGCTGGAATTTATATCGAAAGCCAGCGGGAGGTAGCCAGTGTGGCGAGTCGAGAAGGTACGCACGCTCGTCGCCTACCACCAGGCGGTGGTGGTGGCTCATTGTCGGTAGAGTCGGGCATGGTGCCACTAGGTTTGTTGGAAAGAGGCTATGCAACTGGGCTGTCGGTTGGCGACTTTTTGGTGGCGAGGGTCATTGGTTGAGAAGACGGCAAGAGACAGAAAGAAGGGAAACACGAAGCAGAGACGACAAGGAGTGAGATGGTGTTGAAGGCCTGAGGAGAGGATACCGACGGCAGGGCAGGTCCTAGGCAATCATGATGACCAAGGCGGATACGGAGAGGGTAGCACGAGACGATGGCTGATGGCAGTGGTGAGTCGGGAGAACAGGGACAGAGGCTGAGTTGAGGTACGCGGGAGGGCGAGTGTTGAAATGCACAAGCCAAGAGTCGTAGCTTGGATTGTCTGTGGAGATGGGGCTCCGAGAAGAAAGCCAGCGGTAGGAGATGTGAGCCGGGGGCGTGCGCGATGTGGAGTGCGAGGGTGGCTCGGTGTTGAGGATATTTTGGTTTAACGAGAGGCGCTGTTGAAAAGACAAGTACGGATAGCGGCTTATGAATTGCAAAAGGACGAGGGCAAGAGAAGGCGTCCTCCGGGAAACTTTGTTGATCGTTGCCGCGAGTAAGTACAAAAGGTGTACGTGGGAAGAGGGCGGCCGGTGGTGAGGGTGATGATGGGATTGTGTGTTTGTGGTTTGGTGTGGCTTGATGTGATTTGGGTGCGAATTGGTGGTGTGCACAAACGACGGAGCAACCTAGAGCCTGGAGTGTCCCTATTGCTTCGATGCTACCTAAGCCTAGAGGCACTATACCTAATAAAGCTAGCTCCCTTCTTGGCGTGTGGCAGTGCTCAAGTTTATTTGTGATTGGTGGCTTGAATGTCTGTGGTTCACAAGAGACCAGGGCCCAGGATCATCAAAGAGTTCTGGTGCAGAAGCAAGAGGATGATGTTTAATTATAAAAGTCGTTGCCTGCGTTGCATGTATTCAGCCTTTTGATACGAGCAATCATGTAGGACAAGTCGTCATTCATAATGTGACTCCAAGTCGGCAATGGGACAACAGGTAGGGAGTAAACTGTAAATGCTAATCTGCACACTTTGTTTGTGGCTTTGCCTTGTTTATTACAGTGCCTCTCCCGTGTCCCACCCACTGTCCCTTCCACTAACTATCCCAGCTATCCCTCCCCTTCCCCTGTCCCACTCCACTGAAATCGCCCACTATCTAACACCGTTGAATACATGCTTGCCACTCATTCCCTTGATATTCTAATTGCAAGCTCCATATCGTGGAACAATCAAGATATTCGGCTTCCTTTTTTTTTATACTGGTATGTTGCTCCATATTGCATCACCCATCATCAGTACTTTCTTTCGCCTCGATCTTGTTGCCTTCTGCTTACACGGGCCACGACCCGCCCATCTTTCGAACATGGCCACATCAATGACGGTGTCTTTGTTTGTCTTCACATGGCTATTCTCGGCACTTTGGCTGCATGCCATGACCGTTGTGGCATTGCTCATCCGCTCATAGCAGGCCCGAATCATGCACAGCGCCATCAGGCACCGCTCTTCGTAGTCAGGGTGTGCGTCCCTCAGCATTCCACACGCCTTGGGGCCGCTTTGTTGGCATCGCGGCACCAACCCGTGCATCCAACGAAAGCCCAATCATCGCTCTTCCCGTCGCCCCATTTCCTCATGTCGTGGCTCGCTAAAACAAGTCACTTGTTATTAGTTCTTACTATTTATCAATCACTGCACTGCCAGCGGCAAACCTGCTTTCTTGCCATGACTGCGGCCCAACCTGCAAAAGCACGACTGGGCTTGATCTCGCATCGCATCTCAACATGGCCACGCTGTCCAAAGCTTGCTTTTTGCTTTCTTTTGAACCTATTAGCTAACATGGCCTCGATTCTTATTTTGCTCTTATTCGGGCCCTACCGATAGTCAGGGCCCAAGCGTGACCCTCGGCATTTCTCATCACCAAAATAATGCTGCCCGCCATGGCGATCGGCACTGGTACTTTTAGCGCCTGGCTTTATTGTCCTACATACGATCCTCCCAAAAGCGCCTCCAAGCCCATAAATACAAACGCAGCGTCGAGTACACATTGACAGCTCACCAACTCTGAACAAGGCACTTTTGTTTCTGGTGGTGTACTGTACCCGACGTGTGTACCTCATCTGCACTCATCTGCACCCCTCATCTACCTCATCTACAGGTAGATCCAGACCCAAATCTAGACTCGTGTTAACTAAAGACTTGCCTGCAGTCAAGCAGTCTGGTTTTGCCCGTAACGCCAAGTATTTAACACGCTTTCTTTTTCCTCAGAGATGCTGTGCTGCCTTTAAAGTCTCGCTGACTTTTGACCCGCGACACCTGACTAGCACGCAGTGGCTGTGCGTCCCCCGATCACATCAATTACGAATGTGTTGCGTCTGTGTTATTATGTCTTTCGTGTTCATTTCGGCGACCTCCAACACATGATATTGACGCCCTCTTATAATAGCTTGGCTTGCCCTCGCGCCAGAATGTGCCCTATCGAAATTCATCAGTGACTCTCCCATCCCACTCGCTCTGATTCATTTCTCCGGTGTAAGTCTTCTGTGTTTGGCCGGGGCCAGCTCACACACTTGCGCGCCTATCACGTCCCACAGGCTCACGGCGCTGTCCATTCAGCTTCCCCGGTATTGAGGCGGAGCAACTAGACTATTGCCACAGGGAAACGGGATTTCCGTGCTGTTAGCGGCTGGCTCTCGTGTGTCGCGACGTCGCGAATACACTTTGCACCAGCGGCCTCGACGAAGTAAAATTCAGACGATCGCGGGATGGCGGGTTCCCCTGCCAAGTTGGGAAGGTGGCTAAAGAATACTTAGCGTCCCAAGCCACCAATGGTCAGGAGCAAAAACGGCTCAGACAGGCACTCTGAACTGACTTTTCCGTATTGTCATGTTTGTTTCTTGGTTGAGGAAATATGGCAAGATGCTGCACCGGCTGTGGCTTGTCGTGCATCCAGGGTCATCTCTTGAGCTGCAAGTCATATCTGCCGGCAAAGACCAGAAATCACATCTTTTGGCAGTGCTACATGGGTGAGCCATTGCCGGGCAACCTGGTCAGCGCGCGTTAATACCATGTGCTCACCGTCACCTTATCTCCTGGTCTGAGCCGCAGCCAACCCCGCCAACCCGCGAGCTGTAAATCAGCTTGTCCGGCAGCGAAAAGGCGGCAAGAAAATGTGAAACCAGTGGCAAATCAAATCAAAATTTAAGCATTTTCCCGTCAGTGCGACTAAACCCTGCATTTTCCAATCCTTTGTGTGGAACTGCAAAACGCCTCCAACTCTCCTGGTTTGTCACAGGTTTTTCGATGGAGCATTCTGCGGCGGCAAGGCGGCGGCGGCTCCCTTTTTCTTGTTTCACAGTCTGCCTCGGACTTAGCAGGCAGGTAGTACACCGTACTGGGGGGAACATTCACCTGCCTCCGCTTCTGTTCCTTGGTTCTTCAACAAGATGCTGGCCCAACGCTGCAGAAGTATTCAGGTTTTCTGTGCGCCAGGTCGTGTCACTCTTGCTGCGATATCATCCCACGGGGCGGGGGGTTTACCTGATGATTGCAGACTATTGGGCCTTTTGCATCTACACAGCCCCCTTTGCAAGCCAGCTTTCCAGGGTCGCATCTGCAAGTAACTACCATTAACGCTGCTAGTTATCTGACGGTCTGAGTCTGTCCGTTACCGTTGCGGCAGAATGGCAGGAATGGCCACACCCTTGCAGATATCATCAAGAAAAGTACCATGTCTATTCGCTTAATCAGCCGTAGTCAGATCACGGCAGGAATCTACTGTTGGAACGCATGGCCGGTTTGAGCTGTCTTTGCTTGTTTCAGAATCGCGGTTCGCCTAGTGGTTGCTGCCAACAACCGAACTACCCTATGCACACAGTTTTAATTTTCTCATATCACGATTTCATGTCGTGATTTCTTGCAATAATAAGAGTATCATGTGTGATCTTTTTATTCATGGTCACAGCGTAGAATCGCCGTCTCATTCTCCTTTTTAGTTCTGTTATTAGTTATATTGTTCGCAGCCTGTCTTCTCAGTATGCTCGCGAAATCGCAATGCGTAAATGACCAACGCAGCCGTTTCCCACGTAACAGACTCACATTCCTCTGGCCAAGATCAGTCACCAACTCACCTGAAAAGCACATGTAAACAAAAAGAACAATTCAAGTCTGTGTGGGAAGATTAACCGAAAGAAGCCGTCCAATGACAAACCCGCCGTCGGTGCAACTAGTCGCTTGCCATTGCGAGTTACTCAGATATAAGTGAGCAAGCAGCAGATTAAACAGCGCACAAGACGAGTCAACGCCACAAAAAGACGCCAATGTTTTGCGACAATCACCACATTTTGTAATGATAAAGCACATACCATCTCTGAATTTTTAACATGGCAAAGTCGATGAAATCGCATTGAGTCGCGCGCCAACGCCCGCTAATAATAGAGAGCTATGGTGGGGTCGGACAGGCACATATTGACACCCCACCAGATATTTTTTTCTTTTGGTGTGGTGCAGGATCGCGCGACTCACCGCGAAGAGCCTTCACTCAATCCTTTTCATTTTTCTTGGATCAATATATCATATCTTACCTCATACATATACCCTCTACAACTCACCCTCCATATAACCGCCACCATGGAAGACTCTAGCCAACAACAACAGCAGGAGAGCGTCGCCACCTCGAAGCGCATCTACCTTGGTACGAGACCTCGCGCAACATGAGCTATTGGTACGACCCCCCGTTGCTGACTCTCGACGCATTAGGAAACCTTCTGTACTCGGTCAAGCCCGGCACGATTGAGGAGATGCTGCACGAGGGCGGCTTCGGCAACTTTGAAAAGATTCACATCTCGGTCGACCCCGTCAGCGGCCGCAACCCTGGCTACTGCTTCGTCGACTTTCCCGACAAGGCCTCGGCCGACCGCGCCCTCGAAACGCTCGACGTGTCGATTGGCGGCCGCCCGCTCAAGGTCCGCCCCTGCGAGCCCAAGAAGCCGCGCGCCTCGGCCGGCGGCGCGCGCTGGGGCCGTGAGGGCGGCGCTGATTCTGCCTCTTCCTCGCCTGCCCGCAGTGGCAACAACAACAACAATAACGGCAGCGACGGCCAAGGATTCAACCGCTGGGGCGACTGGAACTCGAGCCGCGACCGCGATTCGCATCAGCAGCAGCAGTCACGGCGCGGCGGCGACAGGCAGGGTCCCGGCGCGGCCCTCGACCACTTTGATGAGAATATGCAGGTGGATGGCCGCAGGCTGTTTGTCGGTGGCTTGGGCAAGATGATTGACCAGGAGCACAATCGTGTCGAGATGGAGGCTATTTTTGCAGACTTTAAGCCGTACGTTTATATCCCTTCACTCTCTTAACCCCCAAGCATCCCTACATATGACTCTGTTGAAGAGAGCAACAACACAATGCCATTGGAAGAAGAGGGAGAAGCAACAGGCAAGGAAAAGAGAGAGAAAAAAAAAGCATCAAACAAGCACAGAAAATTTGCAAAATCCAGAGAAATAATTTCCAAAAGCTGACAAGAGCATCATGCAGTGCCGCCATTGGCAAGCGCATCACCGCCCGCCCCGACGAGAGCAAGCCCGCCAGCGGCAACCGCAACTTTTGCTTCGTCGACTTTGACACACGCGACGAGGCCGAGGCCGCGCGCCTGGCCCTCGACGGCATCGAGCTCAACGGGAGCCCCATTACCGTGCGCACCGCCCGCCGTCAGCGCGAGCAGATGCAGCCCAGCAGCTTCCGCCACGACATTCAGCGCAACGGCAACGGCAACGGCAATGGCAGCGGCGCAGAGTCGCCCGCGGGCGGCGCCAGGGCCTTTGCCTCGCGTGACTGGCGTCGTCGCGTAGACTAAATGTCTAACCTATTCTTTCCATGGAGTGGAAGAGGAAGAAAATCAAATGACTAAAAGAGCTGGTGATTAGAAAGGGGAAAACAAAAAAAGAGAAGTGAAAGTTTGTGCGGGCAAAAAAAAAAAAAAGGAGAGGCAGTCCACGGAGACATTATGAGTATGAACTAACTACCTGTCTCCTTCTCAGCGACAGACATCGTCATGATGATTTTTTTTACTTTGGTTTTGATTTCATCTGTGCTGCTAATGATGTAATGAAAAAACGGATGGGAAAAGAGACGCCACAAGTTGGGATTGCATGGGATACGAGAGGAACCTTTTTTTTTTTTTTCTGTTCGGGTAGGATTTGGTCGACACGCACGTGGCGAACTGGACAGAAAGAAAACCACTGATACCAATACAGAGGCTTGGCTTTCATTTGGTCAACAAACTTGGCATTAGTAGTCCAAACATGCTCTGGGCAACGGATTCCTTCATCAACCTGTCAATGTTTGCAGCCTTGACCGCGCCACCTACTGAATAAACCCACCTCGCTTCATCAGAGACAATACTTCAAATGCCCTGATGACAGTTTCTTGTCATTATCCACATGTCAGAGAACTGCTCCTCACAAGGCACTGCCTCATCGTGACTTTTATACATACACACCCTCACCAGTGACAAGGGCTTCTCTACAAGAAAGAATTTCCCAAGTCACAGCATCGGCGTCGTCTTACCATCCGGTCGGTGTCATGTCGAGAAATACACGCCTCAGCACCCACCAGCAACTTTGTCCTTGACCTCACTTTCCTCATCCGTACTCTCGTACTGCGCTGTTAGTAACTCCCCCTCTAACTAACTACTCTGCACAGCCTCGTTCAACGAGCTAGTCGCCAAGTGGAGCTCAATTTGTCAAACCGGCATCATTACTAACAACTAACTCTTTGTTACCTGTAACTGTAAGATTCAAAGCGAGAGAAGAAGAAGAAAAAGCAGACAAAAGGGGCGTATTTCTTTAGGTGTTTTTTTTTTTTTTTTCGGACTTGAACTGTAATACTCTTTTGCCTGCCCTGTGTGTTGCCATTTCGGAATTATGCCCTTGGCTCCGTCTGCTATTGGGTATAATTGCCCAAACGACGACGACGACCACCACCACCACCAGACTTTGAAAGCGGCATTAGGCTTGTGATCGCGCGCGGCTACTATTTTAATTGGGCCCACGGAGATGTGTTCTTTTGTCGAGGCTGTGCAACACAAGGATTTGTTCCTGCACAGAGGTTGGCGGGATGAGTGACGATGATGCAGCGTTCTTAATGACCCCCCAAATTTTCCATTATAACTAACTCGGCAGTGCCCTTTATTGGATAAAATACGAATGCTTCGCCTCCGTTCCTGTAAGCCTTTGTTTGAATGCCATGTGCCGAGTTTGCCTGCACACCGAAATGCATTGTCAGCTTCGATTCCCCACATGCAAACAATTAAGCTTGTTTTTGAACTATTACACTAGTTGGGGGCCGGCAAACTCATTTCTCCCCCCAAAGACTACAAACAAATCTACTGGAAAATCAAACAATTATTATTTAGATGAAAAACGCCACCATGTAACTTACCCCTTTTGGAGGTCTCCCGTTCTCGAAAGCGTTGTACCAGTTGTAATCATGTCACTGAGCCGGTCAAATCAGGGGAAATGACACCCTCGGGCCTTTGTTGTCAATTTTACCGCAGCGGGTCGCGGATCGACAATCGCAAGATTAAGTTATTTGGTTATCAACAAGGCAACCCTCCCCCTTGATAACTTGCGTCACTGCCAAGATACCTCTGGATGGACACTGGGCGCTCGGTTTAGAGGTCCGAGTCCTCTCTCATTTGATGCATGCGAGACCCGGCCTACTTGCGCTCCCATACCAGCCTTTGCACAATGTCCCAAAGTCATGTAAAGCGCCCTGCGGCCGAGTGACGATACACTCAGACAGTTTATATGTGATTAGCTATCAAAGCCGCGGACTCCAACTCGGCCAGCGCACCTTTGCTCCATTCAAAGTTTTCTTGTTCGACCATAGCAAAACACACTCCCTAGTCATCGAAACTTAGTTCCTCAGCTAGATTTAATAAAACTTAACCAGCGTTTTTGACAGCAACTAAGCAAATAGTAGTATAGTAAACAAGTATTTGCTAGTGTGATTTAGGCACCGTAACGGCACAAAAGCTACTCATTAAGAATGCAAACACACAAGACTCGTATAGACCGGCTTTATATTCTAGTCCCTCAACTTTAGAAATGACTAGGCTGCAGACGCAGACTCATATAGCAAGAATTTACACGAACAAAAAAACTTGCGCGTACCTAGCGCCATGCCCATCTTGCTCACCAACAAGACCTGCATCACCGCCGGCCCAAGTCTACATCCCGCACACACACCATATCCCCGCGCTCCTCCCTACTACCGCCACCTCCCAGCAGCTTCTTCTTCTTCTCATCGATTCCGAAAAACGGCACGACCGCCTCGCGCACCACACCTCTCCAGAAGCCCGCCACGATGCCCTCCAAGTCGGCGCCCGTCTGCTTGAAATCCGGAAACGCATTCACCTCGAGCAGCCACGCCCGCCCCCGCGCATCCACCAAAAAGTCGAGCCCGAACACCTCAAACGCGTTGGGCAGCGGCTGGAAGTGGACGGGCATCGCGCGCGCCGCGCCCTCAAACACGTCGCCCGTCACGGCGCACACCTGCGCAAAGACGTCCTCCCTCCTCGCCGCGGGCACCTCGTCGAGCGACCAGAAGCGCCGCACCGTCGCGGCGGATTCCGCGTCCTGCTGCAGGCACGTGTTGGTCAGAAAGGTGTCTGGGTCGTCGGGCGCCTCCCACGGCGCGCGGTACGGCTTGCCCGCAAAGAGGGCGAGCATCGGCCGGTAGACAAAGACGCGGAGGCTGCCGACACAGAGGACGTAGGTGCGGATGTGAAACTTGTGGCCGCCGTCGCGGAGCAGCAGCGGCGGGTGGATGTACGGTTGAGCGACAAAGTGCCGCAAGTGCGAGGTGGTAATGTAGTCCTTTTCGTCATCATCGTTGACCTGATCCGCCGTCGCCGCGACTGCCTCCTCCTCCTCCTCCTCCTCCTCATCGGTGTCGGGCTGGTCCTCCTCCCACCCGTCAAAAATGGCCTGCAGCTCGTCCATTGTGCTAAACAGGCGGATGCCCTGCCCTCTGTCGCTCATGCCGGGCTTCAATATCCACCACTCCCTGTCCTGCGGCGCCGCCGGCGCCGCCGGGTCCGAATCCAGCGCATCGTTTCGAGCAAGGCTTTCACGAAGATCAAATGCTTCAACGAGGGCGTCGTCCAGGAACTCGGCATAGTCAACCTCGAACGCCTCGCTGCGCTTCACGTGCGTCTTGAGCACCGAATCCGGCTTCTTGGCGACCCAGTGCTCGACCGTCGTCGAGAGATAGTGCTTGCGGATCAGCGCCTTGCGAATCATGTAGCTGTTGATCATGTAGGAATCAGGGTGGGCAGAGGCGTGGTCAAAGTCGAGAGTCTCGTATGGCATGATTTGCAGCGCCCGGCCACGGGGCGACGAAAGCGCGCGTGACGCAGAAAACGCGCCGTCGTCGGAGCTCGTCACAGCAGTGATTAAGTCCATCACGTCGTCTGGCAGGAGTGACTTGAGCGCAGATACGATGAGTGGTTGCACATAGTCGTCTTCGTATGCGACAAACGCTTGAATCTTGCCGGAATCGGTGCTATCCTTTTGCTTCTCTCTCATGACTAGTACGCTGCTTTCTTCCTGCACAGCAGGCTCTGAACTGTAAAAGAATCATGGTGAGAATTGAGTCTATCGAAGTAACGTATGGCTTACACGCCACGTAATGTATGCATGCCGTCTTTATCTATTCCTACTGACCCAGGAAGAACCAGACTTCAAACCAGCCCAAGCAAAAAACGAGGCACACTGCAATCGTAAAATATCAAACATGACTAGATCAACTCACAAATTCAGCTCTTGTTGGCCGTCTCCTACATCAGCCTGGGCAAAGTTTGCCTTGAGAGGTGTCACACTAAAGTGGCATATTAGCGGTGAAGCATCGAAACATTAGAACAAGAAAGCTTACCTGGTGTGACCTTCTTTGACTACCCATCCGTCGGATCCAGGTCCAGCCTCCTCCACACTGGTGTAGACGTCGGTGAATCTCGGAGCCCATTTGAAGTGCTTATGCTTGTGTCCTGTGCCACTAGCCTTCTTGTCCGGAGCTGCTGACGAATCTTCCTCTCGGATCTTGGCCTCTTCCTGGTTGGGGTCCGCAGCGCTGGGGTCGTCAATCTCCTCGAAGCAGCCACCGGCCTGCCAGTAATTTTGCAACATTTTAGTCAGATAAATCTTGCGCGTGTCCACGGCCTCTACAAGAGGCACGTTGACGCTATACAGATCCACGCTGCCGTCGGTCGGCCATTGCTTGTACAGCCCGTTGATGACCTTGACGCTCTGACGGCACGCCGCGTCGATGATGACGGGGTCGTGGTTGCGCGAGAAAAAGGCAAAGCTGACGGCAATCGCGTTGACCTTGCAGACGGCCGCCTCGAGCGCGCCGCCGAGAGTGCCGGAGCTGAGCGCGAAAATAGCCGTCGTGTTGCGGCCGTAGTTGGGCCCGCTGACGACGAGGTCGACCGGCCCCTTGTGGTGGAAGAAGTGGTTCAGGCCAATCTGCACGCACGACGCGGGCGTGCCGTCTACCAGAATCCATTCCTCGTCGTCGTCGCCCGCCGCGCCGGATGTGTCCGGGCGTGTGTTGGTGGTGCCCTCGGTGTCGTCGCCGTAGACGCTAGCCGACGGGCGAAAGTACAGCGGCTTTAGCGTCTGGCCAATCATGTGCGCCTTGCCAATCCACGAGCGCTGCGTGTTGGGCAGGCAGACGGATACATCGTGGCCGGCGGCCTTGAGGTGGTTGACAAAGGAGTGGATGTAGGGCGACGCCTTGCTCGACGGCGGGCCGTCGTCGTTGGTGACCAGGATGTGCATGGCGGCGCGGTCCCTCAGTCCGGGGAATTTCTATATCTCAAACGACTTCAAGACGGCTTCGACCGGGTTTTACAGCAGTCCCGTTTCGCGACTGTACACTTGCCGGCAAAACAGAATCAACAAAGGCTCGTGATGGAGGGGTTACTTTTTTACCCGCTCAATGCCACCGGGTATGGCGGTCAAGGTGGGGCAACAAAGCCAGTGACGGCCTAATGACCAGTTTGACTAGGACTGGATTCTTCTGTCACTTGGGGTATAGTATGCCGCTCAAAGAACAGTTATACTCGAAAGGAAAAGATTGATTGTTGCGATAAGGCGCATATCTCAATTGATCAATTTACAACGTAGAGTAAAACAGATAGGTAGTTGAACAAATTGCACTCCTTCAAACGCCAGAATATCCCAATGTGCTTCCTCTTCTTTCCACCGCTGAGCTTTCTATACTAGGTAACAGACTTGTGATCAAATTAAAGAATTTGCAGAAAAGAAGAAAGACTGGCTGAGCAGCATATGAGCCTCTGCAGCAGCACGAAACATTATAAAGAGTAATGCTGATGATGCAAAACGGTCGAATTCTTCGCCATGGCTATTAAGCGCGAGTGCGCTTTGCAGGGGCAGAGGCAAGGCCGTCACCAGCTCGCTTGGTGGGTACCGCCTTGTGCTCCTTTGTACGTGGCCATGTATCAAACAAGGTTGATTGGCGTCTAGGCTTCTTGATAGGCGTCCCCTCACTTAAGAGCTTGTTGGCTGATCTCGTCGTTCTTCTGGTTTCAGGCGGAGAGACGGGAGCAAATCTCGGGGCGTCGGGCGTCTTTGCAGTCTCTTTGCGGCTTTTGACAGGCGTTTGGGGAATTTGGGCGGCCTTGCTTTCCATGACCTCGTCTTCAACATCAGTGGGGGCCTCCTCGTCTTCTAGGTCCATCTCGGACTGCTCCGGTTGCTTGGGAGGGAAGAGTAGTCGCGGCTTGACGGAAGAGCGAGTAAGTGGCTGCGCAAGGCGGGCTTCCTGATCAAGTTCTTGGAGTTCTTGGTCCTCATCATCGGAAAATTTGCGCCAAAACTTCTTCCCACGGAAGACGTATACCATGCCGTCCTCGCGCTGGGTCGCCTCATCGAGCGACTGGGAGCCCTCACCGGGAATGACTACCTTTCGACGGCTGCGACGGGGGCTCATCTGGGCTACTTGCTTGAAGGGTCCGGTATAGAAGGGGTTGGCCTCGCTGGTGTCGACTTCGGGAATCGAGTCCTTGGTGTCGGTGAAGATTTCAATAGTCCCTTCTTCCTGCTGGGCGGTAAAGCTGTCCATGCCGAGACCGTTATAGGACTTGGGCCTGCGTCTCGAGCTTGAGCTGCTGCTAGGGAAGAGGTCGCGGGCGATGGCTGAAATTTCGGCGGTCTTCTTCTCAGTGGCAGGCTTTGCTGGCGTTTTTGAAGGAGTAGGTAGCATGCCGCCGGCGCGAGAGGAAGAGGAATGAAGAGTGGGATTTACTGGGTTGCAAGGGCCAAGGGCGGCGGCGGCGTTTGCAATCTGTTTGGCCGTGAGTGAGCCGGAGACACTACGGTTGCTGGTGTTGACGGGAGGCTGGCGCTTCTTGCGCGGGGAAGGAATTGGAGAGACCATGGCGGTGTTGCTCTGGCTATTGGCTCTTCTGGCACCGCGCGGTGAGGCAAGAGGCCTTTGACGGAGGGAGTGTGGTGAAGGTGTGCGGTTGCGCTGAGCTGAGCTTCGTGTGGAACGACGGGCATTGGGGTAGGGTTGCCAATCGTCTTGGTAGCCGTGTCGAGGCGCCGAAGGAGCTTGTATTTCCTCGGCGGGCGGCGGGGATGGGGTTCTGACAGTCATTCTGGAGGCCATTGTAGGTTGTGCCAGTGTGAGCGTATAACGACGCAGAAGCAATGGGGCGTAGCTGCAAGGCGATGTGCAAGGTACTAAAGGCCTCTCGTGTGGTTGTCTTTGTGGTGAAATCGCCGACTCTATCCGAGGATCAAAAGGTAGAAAAACAACGATAATACACAACAAGCGGTGACAGGCTAAATAGCGCAGGTAAAATGCTCGAGACTAAAAAAGACTGTAACTTCTGATGGTTGTCAAAGATGCATTAAGTTGTCGTCGAGTGGTAAACTTCTGTAAACGCTGTTGTGGTAAATGATGCAGGGTAGAAAAGCTGATGGGAATAGAGGGAGAAGGAGGTTGATGTTCTAGTGCGACGACACAAGGAGGAGGCTGGGACAGACGGATGAGGTGCATGGTGCCAGACCAGCCCCCTCTTGCTGCGCCAGAGGTGGACCCACAGAAGGAAAAAAAGCTGCTGGCCTTCCGCGACGCGTCCACTATTGGGGGGTAGGACGCGTTATTTTCGTGTAACAAGGGCGGCCGGCCCATTAAAGTGGCCTGCGGGGGTTGAAGCAACAGCGCATGACAGCAATGCCTTGACCGTTGTAGTGACTGTTATAGTGCTGCCTCACCATTGACGTCGCCCAGGGTCCAAAGGCCAAACATCATTGACGCCTGCCAGAGCTTGTCCTGTCGCAGACGTTTGCACTGTCACGCCTTTACCGGTGCACATCACAACCTTTCCCCTCAAAGCCGCCCGACAAGGATTGCACCGCACATCCCCGCTGACCTATTCAACCGTTGTCCTCTTTGTGACTATTCTTGTCGTCCTGGTCCCTGCATTTGTCTCTCCAACCACCCTCGCCCAGCCATCATGGCCGACGACTCCGAGTACACCGAATCCGACATCTGGGCCTCACCCCAGCAAACCCTCCATCCAAAAACACCCAAAACGCCAAAGACGCCCAGAACCCCGCGTACGCCAGCATCTGAAGGCCCGGACCGCGATACGCTGCTGCGCAAGGAGCTCGAGGGGGTCAAAAATGTCAACCAGGCCATAGAGGGTCTGATTGGCACCCTACAACGAGCTGGGGGAAACATGAATGTATGCCAGACCTGAGCGCATCCCTGCCCACCCATTCATCACATGGCTGACGAATTCGGCATCTAGGTTGTCACGCAGACTGTGAATAACGCCTCTTCTCTCCTCAACTCATGGACCCGAATTCTTTCCCAGACAGAACACAACCAGCGCCTGATTCTCGATCCCAGGTGGAAAGGCACCACAGAGGACCTCGCCGAACAAGAGGCCGAAGCTCTCCAGCGACAACAAGAGGCTGAGCGCAGGGCGCGCGAAGAAGAACAGCGACGCGAGGAGCTGCGCCGCCGCAGAGAAGAAGAGGAAACAAAACGCAGGCTGGCGCCGGGCTCCAGATCCATCCGTGCACCAGCCAGCTCTCGCGGGTCAGTATCGCGTGCTCGCGCAAGAGCGGGATCGCGCATCGGTACTGCCTCCAGCTACTCATCATATAATACATCGAGCTCCAGCTCTCGCGGGACCTCGGGCCTCGGAAGAGGTGTAGGAAGAGGTGCAGGAACTGCCAGAGGCACCCGGTCACGAGGCGCACGATAGGCATGTTGACCGGGAGCATCTTCTTATCATATCATTTTTATTACAATAGATACCCGTGCCTCCGCGGCAGTTACTTTTTCGTGAAAAAAGCACTGAGCTTCTTCATTCCCGTCGTATTGACCTTTTTCAAGTCTCTGACGCCCCGGCTTTCATTGGCCTTGCGCTTCTTCTCTTCCTCCTGCTTTCTCTTCTTTTCCAGTCGCATTTCGTCTTCCTCCTCATCTCGCATGCGCTTTCTTGAGAAATCACCAGTCGGCCGCGTCGCTATGCTCTCCTTGCGCAGCTTCTCCAGCTCTGTCACGTACGTGTTGAGTGGCTCAAAGTCGGTCTTGCACGTCGCCTTGTCGCTGAGAGATTGCTTCAGTCGTTCGGAAATAATGCTCGGGACATAGCTCGCGCAAATGTAGTCAAATGCGACTCGAAGGCGTTGGAGCTGAACGACTTCAGCCGACGCCGTCATGGCGGTCGTGACAGCGACATCGTCTTCTGAGAACGAAGAAGCCGTGGTAGATGGTTGCGACGCCGCGCTAAAGGTAGACACCTCGGTCGAGGTACTGGACTGAGACTCGGCTGAATCCGTTTTTGGTGTACAAGTGCCAGACTCTGCGCCTTCGAGAGTCGCAGCGACGCCTGCAGGAGGGCAAGCGACGTTGCTCGCACTGCGCAACTGGATGGGCGCCTCTAGAGGCTTTTGTACAAACTTCTCTTCGACGCTCGCAGGCAAACCTCTAGAAGCGAGACGTGTAGCTTTGGACAGTATCACAGAAAACAGCTTCTCTTCGTTGACTCGAAACATGGACTCATCACCGGCGTCGACTGTATCGCATATCGCCACCAATCTGGATTCCAAGAGTGCCTTTGTCTTAGGCCATCGCGAAATCTCCCATGCATTCGACGAGTCTTGTGGAAGCTTGTCAATGTAGTCTTCAAACGATAGAAACAGGCGCTTGCGATCTGTTGAGGCGTTCGTTTCTTTGGCATCGATCAAAGCAGGCAACAACAGGAACAAGGGATCAATGTGTGTCGCCACGAATAGATTGACGCTGGTAGCAGTCTCTGCGTTCTCAACTTTGGCCTGAATATCTTTATTGCTGTTTGCAGATGCAATCAGCCAGCTGCGCGGCTCCATGTTTGGCGCGGCCACCTTTGTGAATTCGTAAAGGCCCGTTTCAGGACAGACCAGATATCGCGACGGTTGTCCGCTCTGGGGGTGTGGGAGGGTGACAACTCGCGCATCTGCCGTGGCGGAACTGGGCAAAACAAAAATCTTTGCAGGCAGTTCTGATTTTGAAGACAAGGTGAACCTTGATTTCGAGGCCGGAGTGTCTTTGGAGGCGTCTGCCGCGGCAGGTTTAGAGGATCGCGTGCCTCTCATCGTGGCAGATTTGTAGTGATTTCAATGTGGTATCCAAGCTAACAGGGGCCGCAAGGTCTGTGATAGAGACCCGAATCATATATCGCAAATGAAGAAAGAAAAAGACGCGGATTGCAACAAGAATAAGATGGTGAATAGCAGTGTAGGTTGCTTGTGCAGACCCATCAGCATTTAGAGACCCTTGAAAGCCAAAACGCGCTTTACGCGTCCCCAGACCATTTGGCCAGGAACAGCGGAGTCTGGCGCAGCAAACGAAAATCAGTGCCGGGAGCCATGTACCTAGCGATGGCGCTAAATTTATCTCTCAACGTCTTGTTGTTTCATCTTTCATGCACCTCTGTTTCTTTTGCGCCTTTGGCTATATTTCTATTATTTAGAGCCAGCCTTGTCATGGTTATCGCTTACAGTCTATGCCGCCAGTGCTGATCGGATACATCTGGCGATCGGTCTCGTAATCGAGCGCCGAAGACCACTGTACACGCGTGCCGTCATCATCATCATAACTAGTTGCGCCGCGCAGCCTACATGCAGCCCTGACATCAAACACCCTTGCCAGGGCACACCTCCACCGAGAAACATGGCTCCAGGTATGTTCACCACTGTCTGCATCTCCGAATTTACTCTCACCGGTGTAGGCGGCAAAGAATCTGAGCAACAATGGCCTCCACGATCCCCGCACGAAGCGCTTCTTAGCACACCCAAAGGCCGGGAACGATACCGCGAGATGCTTCAAACCTCTCCGAGCCCTTCGCCCTCCCGCAACGGTCGCTTCAATGCAAATCCCTTGGTGTCTGCGAGCAACGGACTCGGAATCCAAGACGCGAGCGACGACGACGAGGAAGACGAGGAGACTCTTCAGCTCAAGCTACAAGAGATACAAGCAAAGCTACGACTCAAGAAGCTACAAAATGCGAGAGTCAAAACAGATTCTGGGGTCAATGTGGGTGGAAGAATTGCGCTTTCAGCCTCGCCTTCCATCTCAGACCGTCGACAAGTGCCTAAGAGCCCAGGAGGCAATCAGAATGCCATTCAGATCCCAGCGTCGCCTGTACGAAAGCTTCAGGCCCCGCAAATACAGACGTCGCCTAGTAGAGTGCTCTTAGGTATTGACAAGGGGCTGACGGCCAAAGACGTATCGTTGAAGCGGGCTCCAAGTCACAAGCGTCTCAACAGCGCGCTGAGTCCACGGTCAGGTGCTGGCCCGCTCACGGCGTCTTCTACGGAAGCTGCTGCGCCAGCAAGCAGTTTCAGTGAGCGTCTTGCAGGACTCAGAACAGAAGCAGCATTCCGCAAAGAACGTCAGGCCAAGATCCAAAGCGTTCGTTCCAATGCTTTCGCGATCGGAAGGGCTGAGATGGATAACTACAAGAAGGATGCTGTCGAAGTCCCAGACGTCCCGTTGGCACCACCTCTGTTTACGAGAGAGCAAGTTCTGGGCAAGAAAAAGTCTACAGATGGTTTTCTGACGAGGAGTCGCACAGCTCCATCTGGCAAGCTTACATACGGCACCACCGAAGATTTAGCCAACAACGCCGGTACGACTTTATCCCTGGGCCCATCAACCGAGAAGGAGCAACCCTCCTACGAGCTCTACTCTAGCTTTCATCTCTCTCGACGTATTCTTCCGCACAATGTCCTGACTCGCGGTGTACTTGACAAGAAATCATACAGCATCAAAGACTTGCTGCGCGATGTTAAAGCACCCGATTTCAGCCTGCCCGATGTGGAACAGGATATTGTCGTGTTTGGCATCCTTGCGAAGAAATCAGAGCCTCGCTCACACAAGGCAGGGACAGGCAAGAACAAGGATGAAGACAGAGGCAAATATATGGTCATGACCCTAGTCGATCTGGAATTCGAGGTTGATCTGTTCCTTTTCAACAGCGGCTTTGAGCGCTTCTGGAAGTTGAGCGAACGCACCGTTGTTGCTATTCTGAATCCAAACATTATGCCTCCGCCGCCAGGAAGACAGGATACAGGGCGCTTTAGTCTCGTTATCAACTCTGACGAGGATACCATCTTGGAAATCGGCATTGCTCGTGATTTGGGATTCTGCAAGTCTGTGAAAAAAGATGGCAAACCTTGCGGCTCGTGGATCAACAAGAGGCGAACAGAATTCTGTGAATTTCACTCAAATGAAGCGGTCAAGAAGCAAAGGTCATCACGAATAGAAATGAACAACAGCGGATTCGGCGGGCAGACCCGCACCAAGATCCCGGGCTTTGGACACCGCGATTGGGTGCCGAAAAAGAACACGAATAACAGTTTTGACCGCGAGACGCAGACGCATTGGTTTGCGGCACGCTCGATGAGTTCAGCGGACTTGATAGATGGGAAAGATGTCAGTCTTGGGGATCGGAAAGAAAGGGCTGAATTTTTGAAGAGGAGCCTGGAGGCGAAAGAAAAGGAGAGAGAAATCATGAACAAGCTGGGGCAAATAGGGAGCGCTGCCGGCCGAGAGTATATGAAAATTTCCGGGGCCAAGGCTACGGCAGGTTCACAGCCCGGGAGTCTAGCCGAAGCTGCACTCAGTACAGCAGACTCAGAGTTGGAGGCCGCAAAACAGGACCTGTTGCGAGGAGGAGCTGATCGACATATTCATTTGAGCCCAGTCAAGCGGAAACGCAACGACAGCTCGCAGTCCAGCGTCGTGACCAGTGCTAGTAACAGGTCATCGGCTTACGGCTGGGGCAGTGACCTCAGAGAGAAGCTGTCGAACATGAAGTCAGCGAGTGCAGGGCAACCAAAACCCTCACGCTCGCCAGTCCGCAAGAAGACGCGCTTCGTCACGGAAAAGGGCATTCGTGAAGCTGGGAGGGAAAGCCTGGGCATGGATCTTTCTACGAGGCAGATTGCCATGGAAGATGACGATGATGAACTGGAAATCATCCACTGATGGCGATGTGGACAGAATATGGGACTTTGAACTGTTGAGGGTATTCGGAAGGGATGGGCGCCAACATCATGACTTTTTTTTTTAACCGGACATTGCATAAAGGGTATCGTTGGAGTAGTGCTTAACACTTGTCTTGTATGGCGTTTGAAGGAGCATGGCATTTGTCGTATGGTAATTTATGAATATCGCAATCAGGGACAACCGTTGCATCTTGTCACTAGCATCTTGACCGATCGAAGACCCTATGCAGACCAGCTGAATGACGCAAAAGGGCGGTCAGCTGTGATGGCCTGCCGCTTTTGAGTAGGCATGCTCATAAACCAGCGATGAGACTGTTGCACAGCGTCCTTTGGTGTTTGCACAACGTCGGACATAGCCACGATTTGCCAAGGCGTGCTCGAACCGTCGGCTGCCATCTGCCGCTCGGCAGGCAGCACTTCAGCGCATGCGGTGACATGACTACCTAGGTATGATGGAATATATCTGCCAAGAAGGAAGAGCCCTCCCGTTCTCGGTACCTCTCTGGGGAATGAAACACACGAGTCTTGTGCGGCTGCCAGTTGGTGGCCCTGCTGTCTGCGCATCACACATGGCAGGAGCAGGAGCCCATTTATACTCAGAAGGTACTCAGACTGGAATCTCTTTGTACATTCATCTTTTCTCGGTCATCAAAACAAACATTCTCTAGATCGACACATCAAAACATATTATGCAAGTATGTTACCGGATTATCAGTTATTCATTGCTGCAGGCACACTGCTGCTAACGCAAGTCACGCAAACGAGCGCCTCTGTCATTGTTACGGGACCCAGAGTCGACCCCAATGCACCATCAGTACCTCCCAGGCGAAGCATTGTCGACTTTTACGCGACAGGAGGACCGCAATGGTAACTATGCAATGGGAACCATGTCTGTCGAGTCGAACCTAACTTTCATTTGTAGGGATCTCTACATTCAGGCGCTCGGAGCTATGCAGTCTACAGATGCGACGGATCCCGAATCATACTTTCAGATTTCTGGTACTTTCTACTACACTTTTTCAACCTTGTTTTATGGCTGACCTGCTTCGCAGGAATACATGGGAAACCGTTTGCGGAATATGACGGAACAGGGCCAATGAACACAAGCGGATGGGCAGGCTACTGTCCGCACATGGTAAGCGAGCGCGTGCCTGAGGGAAGCTCTGTTAAACATGCTGACTTGTCCTAGGAGGCTCTATTTCTTCCGTGGCATAGACCATATGTGGCACTTTTTGAGGTACTGGCTGAAATTCCTTTCTTCTCGGAGACTTTGCTGACATGCGACAGCAAACACTCGTTAGTCATGCCAGAAAGATTGCCGTACAATATCCTGAAGAGCACCGCTCGAAATACATCGAGGCAGCTGATACTCTCCGATCGCCTTTCTGGGACTGGGCTACGGACCGAGCCGTGCCACAAGCTACAGTACCACAGACTTTGACCATCAACGTGTCGGAAGATGGTAGACTCGAAGCGAGGATTGTGGAAAATCCACTTTACACTTTCAAATTTCCCCAGGCAGTGCTAGAGGGACACTTCGGCGAATTCGATCATGAGAAAAGGACTCAGGTGTATCGATGTAATCAGCTGTTCATGAGCTACCCAGAAACAGCCAACGCAAACATAAGGTCCAAGAATTACAAACAATCGCTGGTATGTGGCCGAGTATTAATGGACGGAAACCGCCATCTGACTTGAAACAGTACGACTCGTTCACCAGGTCGACAGACTTTAGGCAGTTTGCGACGATGGACAGCACAGGAAACAGTCTGGAGGCCATTCATGGAAGCATACATTGGGATGCAGCATGTCAGGGACAGTTCTTGACTGTCGAATTCACGGGGTTTGACCCTCTATTGTACGTGAGGGGGACAATCTGTCTAACAGAATCACTGACAAGTCTTTAGTATGATGCATCATACCAATGTCGATCGCCTATGGGCATACTGGCAGGTTATGCATCCAGATCAGCAACTATTTAGCGGTGAATACCTTTCAAAACCTCGATGGGGAACGCCAGAAAATACGACGATTACGACAAAGTCGCCGCTGCAGCCGTTCCGACGGACGGAAACAGAGTTTCACACCTCAGAGACTGTTCAATCGATCCATGATCTTGGCTACTCGTATCCTGGCCTGGAGTTCAGAAGCAGAAACTGGGATGAAATGCGTGCAGAAGTGACGCGTATCATAAATGGCCTGCAGCCACAATTGTCTTCGCTAGGCACACGCCAAGCAAATGGCGAGCCAGATGATGGGCGCGTCATGTCGACGAGATACTTTGCGCATCTTACTGTAGAGCTATCTCAAGTTGAAAGGCCATGCTCGATTGAAGTATCAATGAATGGAAGCTACTCGGGCAATTTGGTATTGATGTCGATGCCTGAATTTGGAGTTGCTCATGGTGAAATTCCGCTGGACTCTGTACACAATCTCTTACAAGGCAAGAGCAGCAGCGTTGTTCTGGATACCTTGGAGTCCTGGCTAGATGTTGAAATTATGAAGGTTTGTAACGCTGACATTGTTGTGATTCTGGACTGGAGTTGTGCTAATTGAATTTTGCAGATTGACGGGTCGACGATGGCTCTGGCGGACGTTCCAAGCCTCGGTGTGCAAATTGAAGAAGTTCAAGTGGCAGCACCACGATCCGATACTGAGCTTCCACAATATTCGCACTCGAGAATTTTTGGCATCAGATTGGGGAGGAAAACCACGAACTGACGAGCCTACTGGACAATGGCAACTCAGGGTCATTTATCCGAGCTAGACTTGGCATTATGATTATCAAACAGAATTAAAATCATTTTTACATGAAAGCCGGCTTGAGACGTGAGATGGTGTAGTTGAAGGAAGCTCGTTGACGAAATGTGACAGAGGGCCGTTTTAAACGAGCCAAGAGTTACGCAACGAAAATGTGGCATGGGCGGGCACCTCGAATGAGCAAGAGCTGGGCTCGAAGGCGCCGCGGCGATATTAGTCAAGAAAAGCCGGTCTCTTAACTGTGGCGTGTGTGTGATGGTAAGATACCGAGATGGCATGAGGGCTGACTTGTAAGTGATGACAAGCTAATAACACAAATGGACTGGTGCGATGGTGTATGCGAAATATTGGTCTCTTGTACAAAGAATTTATGGTGGTGGAGGTGCAGAGTATCATGCATAAAATCTTTGTCAATCTTGAGTCAGGAGGTAGTCGGACGCATATTTTGATTGTTTGTTGCAGCTCAAGGGGTAGGATACGGTATGCACGAGGTTACATCAATCACGTAAAAGTCGGCTCAGTATTTATAGAGAAAAGATGCAAGCAAAGAGGTGGCTCGCGGATGGAGTTGCATGAAGGGGAGGGCGGCTCCGCGGATCCTCTCGGCTGCGGGAAAGCGAGTGTCGATGTTTGATGATAGCGAATGTCAGCAGACCGAAGCAGGTCCTTGGAAAGGACAAGGGAAAACACCGAGGGGATCGTTGGAGGTTGACCGAGGAAGGGGAGCTAGGTACATGTGTTTTTAGGTAATGGTGCGCGCGCGCGCACCGCGTGGAGGCGGAAATTCTCACCCCTTGCATTCTTTCAAGGATAATTACGAGAAGGGGTTGTTTCCGTTGATAACAACAAGTTACGGTTTTATTGAAAGAGGCGGGGCGCCTGTATTTTCGATTTGGTAATGTATGTGGCAGGAGAGCCAATGACTTGCGATGAGGCGTTGGAGGAGTTGAGAGAGAGAGTGTGTGTGTGGTGGGGGGGCCTCATATCGAGAGGGTGAGCTTTTTTTTTTATTTTTTTATATTTTTTTTATTGTTTTTAATAACCGAGCTTGCAGCTTGCAGCCTGCGGTTCTTTTGAAGATTATTTCTGTCGTGTTGCTATTCTTGGATGGTTGGTTGAGGGCGTAGTGTGGGGAGAGAGGCCCGCTGGAGCGGCACTTGGCGGGGGGGAGAGGTTGAATTGACGATGTCTCATCAAGCATGGGAACAAAGAGTGTCTGAAAAAATCTGTTCGTTCCGGAACGCTTGGGCATCATCAGATGCTCGAGGTGCGATGGGCCGTGGGAGGCAGAATGGAAAAGGTCTGCTCATCAAGGGCCCGACAAGTGTGACTGCACCCCACACCCTCGGCCGAGTCGCAGTAGGAGATCCGGGGATATATCATATCGAGGCAGGAAAAGGGTTTGCCTTCTTTTGGTTCTTGTCTGCAAGTATTAACCAAAGGTGTGGCGAAACAAGGACTGGCTAACAAGTCAACGCCAATGGTAAGTAGTAGATGCTGCCCCGTACTGGTGCATGTGGGAAAGGCCCAAGGTTTTGTGACAAGTGATATTCGTGGTAAAGAGTGCGGAAAGAAAGGCGAGATGGTGAGTCGGTGAAAAAGATACAAAATCATGCATCAAACACCATCAAAAACACTGACACATTTGAATCCAGGGTTGCCAGCATGTGCCTTGTAAATTGTACGTAATAAAGCCGCGCAGGCGTTGGACCACTTGTGTGTGTGTGGGAGTAGAAGGAGTTCGGCGGGTTGCGGGGGGAATGATGAGACTGGAGTCGCAGACGGGGAATAGTTGGAATTGGGGTGAAGACCAAAGGAAAGATTTGTTGATGACGATTAATAATGTATCAAGAAAACTTGCAAAAAAAGTTGGCGGTATGCAAAGAGGCTGCTGCAGGCTGATAAAAGACTGAGGCGCGAGTGGACGTAGATAAGGAACCTGGCTTGCTGGCTTGCCTTGGCGTGGGGGCTGATCTTTAGCCCTGAATATTGATGACCTTGGGATTTGTTGTATTGCCATGGGCTGGGATCGACTTGAAGTAATGAGTAGACAAATGATGATGGAACAACCGGGGGCGGGGGAGATGGCATCCCCAAAATAAAGTCAACTGTCAGTATTAGTTACAGGAGCGTCAGCAGCGGGAGCAGCCAAGATGCGCGGCTCATCGCTTCAAATAGCACGAGGTAGTTGACCAGCCGCTTCAACGCCACACACCAGCCACCTCTTCAACTGTTGCCTCGCCGCAGACTCACTACTTCGTCATGCTCCGTCCATGTACCAAGTATTGCCAGCTAGTCCAAAACTTGATCCAACCGACCAGAAATATGTTCATGTCTACACTCTATATAATACAAGACGCTGCCTAGCAATCCGAGCCAACAATGTGACCAGACTTTCCGCGCACCGCGCTACTCCACCAACACTACGACAGACGCGCAGGAAAACCACTCGGGCTGGCCCAGATGCCTGCCCATCAACCCCCGTTTCGCCCACTGCAAGTCTGCAGCCACTGCAGCCGGCCCTTTATCCTCTTTCTTATTTTGGCTGATTCCGCTGTTTTCTAAACCCCAACGGGGCACGATTGGCTCGTCAGCCATCAGGCGCAAAACGCGCTGCTGATTCGACATCCATCCACACTACGGATACGGAGTAGAGGTACTGGTGACTGGTAAGCGGTTTAACCCATCTCCCCTGTGCTTTTCCCCCCAAATCGATCCTGTCTGTCCCAGTTCGACGCACGAGCGTGTCCGCCCTTCACGCTCGTCTTTCAAGGTCAAGGTTATTTTCTGACTCACCATAATATTCTCGGTATTAGTACTAGTACTACTTTGATCCTTTCATCTGGGCAAGGCGACCACATGCCACGGCGCTATATCGGCATCAACACCCGAACCAAGCTGTTACTCTAGTCAGCAAACCACCATCCATCTTATACTGCTGCTCTGCCCAGGCCCATTACCCCCCTGGAATTGCTTTTACTTTGTCCCTCACTTCGTTCTCTCGAAAGGTTGATCCTTCAACTCTTTTCCTTCTGACCCTGGTAAGACCGTTGCTCTTTTTACCTGCCCGCTCCTGTTTCACTGGTCTCGCATCTTCAACGCTCGAGGGAAGAGACAGAAGGGAACAAGGAAAACAGGATTCCACGCATATAAAACCTCCAAACACACCGGCCGTCAATCTACCGCTGTAACTGCAGTTTCTGTGTGTCAATGCCTCTGAGTCCTCTGTCGCTGCCACATCTCACCTCGGGCCACTACGCCCGTCGAGCACATCCCTGCCGCAACTTCTCCCGTTCAGCCTTGTTCACACTCATGTCAAAGAATAACTTCATTCCCAACCGCTAGACAAGCTTGCACAAAATCAACAACTTTGTTCATTGGTCCAACCTTTGAAAGAGCTCTTCGCCTCTGTGCAAAGCGGTAGAGTCGCCTTGGCGTTTGGAGCCGCACTTTCAGCTCACCACACCGCATTTGCCTGTATACCCGCGCAAACGAACAGAAAAAAAGAAGATATTCTCAAGACGCCGCCGACCTGCTTGCTCAGCTGGCTTGCCCTCCATGTTGATCATGGCGCCCGGCAGCCCCAATAAGCCATCCGTGCCCATCGACATCAACCAAAGAATGCCGACGTCCCAGGCCGCGCCGTCTGGAAGCCACCGCGCGCATCAAAACCGCTTCGAGCTCGGCCCTCCCAGTCTGCACGACAGGTCCGGCTCCGAGGCCATCGCCGAATCCTCTTCGTCAGCAGCCATGCGCTGCCATGCATGCCAGCAGCTCGACTTTCGTTGCGTCACCCGTGACGACAATGACGGCTGCACGCCCTGCGTCGAGGCTGGCGCTGCGTGCTCCCTGATCGGACTAAGCCCCCGGTCGCGCAAGAGAAAGCTGCACGGCGAGTCGTTCAACGAACCCACCGTCAAGAGAGGGTAAGTTGATAAATAGGCAAGCGTGGCGATTCTAGTGTTCCATGGCACTCGGTGTATCCCATCAAGTATCTGTCCTGAGCTGACTACTTGTCCAGATTCTCCACGTCTGATTTGCACTCTAGACGGCATCCAAATAACGAATTGGCAAACACTTCCACCAGCTCCAGTCTTCTTGAAGACTTTGCCAACGTGGGTGGTCCTACGAGACTTGGTCGCACACTGGGTCTGCAGCTCGATCGCCACAGCCAGTACATTGGACACACGACTGACTTGGAGCCCTCGCTGCTCAATCTCTCCGATTATGATCCCGAAAATGAGAGCATGTCCCCGCGCGGCGTTCTGCGCAAGGTGAGCCAAGGCCAGAGCTTTCTTCTCGTCTCTGACGGTACCACCCGCGGCTACGAGCAGCAGCAGCAGGACATCATGGCCGTCGAGGCGCTCGTCGCCCCGCACGGCCGTACCCTCATTGACCTCTTCTTCTACCATGTGCACCCGGCGTTTCCCATTGTGCAAAAGCACGTCTTTCTCGAAAAGTACGAGCGTGACTACCGCGAGTTTACGCCGTCGCTCCTCGCCACCGTCTACCTCTTGGCCATCAATTGGTGGAACCACAGCCCTGCGCTGGCCGACTTGCCCAGACCCAACACTGACGAGCTGGAGAGCCTCGTTCGCAGCAGCCTCGCCGACTCCATGGGCCGCCCGAAGCTGTCGACCGTCGAGGCCGCGCTGCTGCTCGCCCAGATGCCCGGCACCTCCCAGTGGGCGTCCACGGCGCAGCTCGTTGCCGTCAGCCAGGACCTCGGCCTGCACCTCGACTGCTCGAGCTGGGATATTCCGCCGTGGGAAAAGGGCATGCGAAAGCGCCTCTCCTGGGGCGTCTACATGCAGGATAAATGGAGCGCCCTCATCCACGGCCGGCCCTCGCACATATCTCTCTCCAACTGGGCCGTTCGCAGCCTTACGGTGCACGACTTTCCTGATGTCGACTGGGACGAGGGCAATACAGATCAAAAGGAGGACGCCGAGACAGGACAGATCATCTTTATGCGCTTTATTCAGCTGACGGGCATCCTGACGGAGATTCTTGACACCTTTTACACGCTCGCCGCCATGCACAAGGTCGAACACGCGGGTGCCCAGGGCACGCAGATTGTGCTCGCTCTGGCCAAGCCCATACAGCTCAAGCTCAAGGACTGGTATGCCGACCTACCCGCCTGCGTGCGCCTCGAGTCGCTCTCGTCCGGCGGGCGCACGCTCTCGCGCCCATCGAGCGTGGGCTACCTACACCTGGCATACTTTGCCACCGAGACTTCGCTGCACAGACGCATCATCAGCACACTGAGCGCCTCGCCGACGACCGTCGACCCGTACCTGGAGCACATTTGCCGGAGCGCAGCCAAGGCACGCCTCATCTCGAGCATGGACTTTGTCAACCGGCTCTCGCCCAACCACCTGCATTCCTTTTGGTACTTTGCCTCCAAGACCAACTTTGCCCTCATTGGCACATTTGGATCACTGCTGTGGGCGACAAGCCCCGGCCGCGAAGAGGCCGACTGGTATCGCCGCCGCCTCGCCGAGTATCGCTGGACGCTGTCGATCAGCGCCAAGCCGGGCCAGCAGAACCGGTACCTGACGGCCTTTGCGATGGACATGCTGGACACGTCGACGGGGATGTTGCTGCGACAGCTGCCCGAGAAGCCGTCTCTGAGCCGGTGTACGAGCGCGGCGCTGGACTTTGCGGGTCGCTCCTTGCCGGGCTCATTTTCGGGCCTTGGAAGTGGCTTCTCGCTGCAGGGCAGCTTCAGCAACCTGGATAGCGCCCTGGACCGCAGCAGCTCGCACAGCTTGGAAAGCGACGACGAGAGCGTCAGCGATGAGGAGGATGACTTGGATGATGACTACAACACGACTGTGTAAATGTAAAGAGGGCTTCGGAGTATACTAGATGCATTCGTGGCGGGGCATATCTTGGATGTAGCGAATTGTGATGTAATGCATTATGAATACCCATTTGATTTCTGGATGACAACTCGATTTGAACAGTAATGTACACCCACCAAAATCTTGACGTGTGCATCATGGTACAGAGCGATGCCCGGTCGTTTCACGCATGCACGGATATGATGGGACATTGGCCGATAAGCCGGGAATAAAGAAGAATCACCGACTCTGCATAACACGTCATGATTGTCTTTTTTTTTCTCCTGGTCACTACACTGTGAGCCTCAGCCAACTGGAACTGGAACGATTCCCTCCTTGTGGGGAGCTTTCAGGGACCAGACCCCACCTTGGAGCTCGCAGCACATGAAACGTACGTTTCCCAAGACCCAAACATCAGAGCGTTCCGTTTTCTGTTTCTTTTAGCTCGCTCATCAACTTCTCCTTCTGCCATCAGATGCTGGACATTTGGCCGAACTTTCCATTCTACATTCCGTGTGTGTGATGCATACAGCTTCTGACTAATTTCTGATCAAAGTTTGTGCGCGGAAACCTCCGTCCCTTTGTCTGGCGCGTCTCGGAGAAAGCTCCCTGAGTCTCCCTCAAGCTCCCTGAGTCTCCCTCAAGCTCCCTGAGTCTCCCTCAAGCTCCCTGAGTCTCCCTCCGACCACACCACAATTACGATTCAACATAACGATGCCTCCTCGAAAAACCACCGCAGGTCGCTCCAAGACGGACGAGCCGACCGTCGCGTCCTCCAAGGCGCAGTATGAGCAGGAGCTGCGTGCCCTCGCCGGCAAGGCCCGGACCGACGGCAGCTCCGCGCTCGCACGCGTGACCGCGCAGCTCCGGCAGGTGCGCAACGCCATCACCTACCTTTTCTTTGCCGGCTTCTTCGCGCACGCGTCGCAGCTCGCGCTCGCGCCCGTCTACGGCAGCATCCCCGCGGCGACGCACCACCTGCGCGTGCTCGCCGTCGCTGCGTTTGCCGGCTGGGCGGGCAACCTGTTCCTCGCGCGCGCGCTGGCACCCCGCGGCCTCTCGGTAAACCGGCTGCTGCCCGTATTTGCGCTGTGCGCGCCGCTGGTGCAGACGCTGTTGGAGCCGCATAGTAGTACGCTCGGGCCCGGATGGGGACCGCTGGCGGCCGAGGCGCTGACGGTGGCGCCGGTCGTGCTTCTATCGGCGGCGTGCGCGGCGGACGCGCTCGAGGGCGTAAAGGTGCCGCTGCTGCCGAGGTTCATGGCGGATGCGCTCCCGGGAATGGGCTCGTGGGCGCTGCTGGTGGCGTTTGAGAACATGGCGCGCGAGTACGTGCTGCGCTTCGCCGGGCAGCCCGGGTCCGCCCCGGTGGTGACGTTTGCGCTGACGCGCGTCGGCATGCAGCTCTCGCTGGGCGGGCTCATGGCGGCCCTTGCGCCGTCGGCGTGGCTGCTGCTCGCGGCGCCGGCGCTGCTCCACACCGTCTGGCTCAACCCGCACATGCCGACGCGGCACGCGGCCATCTCGCTCAACGCCACCCTGCAGGCGCACGACTGGCTGCTTTTGGACCGCGCAGAGTCCAACACGGGCTACGTCTCGGTGCTGCAGAGCCTGCAGGGCGGGTTCCGCGTGCTGCGCTGCGACCACAGTCTGCTGGGCGGCGAGTACACCGACCCGTCCGTTGCGGGCGGCGTCGTCGCGGAGCCGATTTACGGCGTCTTTGCGATGCTCGAGGCTGTGCGGCTGATTGAGACGGAAAAGACTGTACCTGATACCGAGGCTACTGCGCTTGTCATGTAAGTTTGCAACATATATTATATACGCACACTGCGAGAGGGGAGGGGGGGGTCCAAACGCTAATGATACATCGTGTATTAGTGGCTTGGGAATCGGAACGACGCCCTCGGCGCTGGTGGCGCACGGCATCGACACCACCGTCGTCGAGATTGACCCCGTGGTGCACGCGTTTGCCAAGAAGTACTTTCAACTCGCCGAGAACAATGAGCCGGTGCTGGCGGATGCCGGACGGTACGCCAAGAAGCTGGCCGACACCGAAGACGGCGCGCGCTTCGACTACATTGTGCACGACGTCTTTACTGGCGGTGCGGAACCCGTCGACCTCTTTACGCTTGAGTTTTTGCAGCGCCTGCACACGCTTCTCAAGCCTCACGGTGCTATTGCTATTGTACGCCACCCCCATCTCCTCCAGACCCTGTTGGTTGCAGAACCTTTTTTGAAACGCTAACCCGCCTTGTCTGCGTAGAATTACGCCGGCGATCTCGCCCTGCCCGGCCCCCGCGCCATTGTGCGCACCGTCCGCACCGTGTTTCCCGCGTGCCGCATCTTTCGCGAGTTTCCCCCGGACGAGGCGGGCATCGCGGCCCATGGCGGCTCCGATTTCACCAACATGGTCATCTTTTGCAAAAAGGCCGGTCCTTCCGCCGCCGCGCTGACGTTTCGCGCGGCCACGGATGCAGATCGGCTGAATAGCTTTGCGCGGAGAGAGTTTTTGGAGCCGACGCACGAGATGCACGCAGAGGACTTTTTGGCGGCGGCGGCGGACGAGGGCGAGGATGGCGTGCTGCTGCTGCGCGCGAATGAGACCGAGGTGGTAACCAAGTCGCACAAGACGAGCGCGAGGGGCCACTGGTCGATTATGAGGACGGTGCTGCCGAGCGTAGTGTGGGAAAAGTGGTAGATGTGAATTGGTTAATTATCATATCCTTTACGGCTGTATATACTGCATGTGTGGAAATGGCACGTTGTCAACGACGGTGTTTAATACTACTATATGTGTGGAAATGGCACGTTGTAAACGACGGCCTGTAGATGCCAATTCCTTCTTTACATTTACTAATTTTACTTTTTCTGCGCTTTGATGGCATTGACTGCATACTCGGCATTCTCCCTCGTCTGCTCCTGCGCATACTCTGCAATATACGCCGGCGTCTCCTCGACCCTATTATACGACGACGCGACCGGGCTCCCAAATACCTGGTGCACCGGCACCACGCCCGTCCAGACCCGCCGCCTCACCTCCTCATTCTCCATGTCGTGCCTGTCGTCGCCCGTTTCCCCGTCCCTCGCCTTGAAGCTCCCCGACGCAATCTTGACCCTCAGCACGGCGGTGCTCTGCAGCTCCGCCCTTGTCGGGGGCAGGCGCGCGGCGTCCCAGCGTCCCGGCACGACGCTGTCGGTGAGCAGCTTGAGGGCGTATACCTTTTCGAGCTCGTCGGTGACGGGGGCGGCGTGGCCAAAGAGCACGACGGAGCGGTAGTTGTAGCTCGAGTTGAAGGCGGAGAGGGAGAGGACGAGGCCGTCGAGGTGCGTGGCGGAGACGCAGACGGGAATACTGTTGGTGGTGCTGGTGGTGGAGGAGGGGCTGGTGAAGAGGCGGGAGGAGATGTGGCCGTGGAGGTAGAGGTCGAGGGGGTCGCCGAGAGAGGCAGAGGGTCGCGAAAAGGAGCCCATTTGGCCAATCATGGGGAGGGTGACGGGAAAGGGTGACGAGGAGGAGGAGGGGGAAAGGGAAACGTGCACGAGGGGTGAGGAGTTGACGAGGGAGTGGATTTGTTCGAGAGCATAGACGCCTAGCACGGGGGTGTTAGTGTTGGACGGTGAGACGTAATAAAGAGACGGGAAACGGGAGACGGGTGATGAAAGGTAATTGAGATGTGAAAGAAATAAACAAAAATGAAAAAAAAAAAAAGTATCAAGAATGAAGGGGGTGGCTTGCCTCGCTCGCCGTGACGCTTGACCTTGTTGAGGGCCTCTTTGGGGTATTCAAGACTGTGACGACCCATTGTGAAAGGGACAATGACGAACGATTTGTGGTTGTAATTGTGTCAAAATCTGAGAGGTGTTGGGCTGAAGACTGGTTTAAATAAATGTTCAAGCCATCTATCTATCTAGCTTGATCCCCTCCAAATGTCACAAAACGCCCTTGCTGAAAGGAACAACTGGGCTGCCAGCTGTGGCTTACCAACTAAAGGGCCATGACTGGACAGCCCGTTCCCAATTTGGCAAGTTTATAGTGGCATATGTTTACTAGTCACAAGTCTTGCTCCGAACAAGGCTGTGATGGAGACTTTGAAATGACGTGGTTGTCACGCTTCGTCAGGTACAGTCGTTATGAGTCGCAATGAGTCTTTGTATAATACGGAGTAGAAAATGGGCGTTCCTCTACCCCCCGGCGTAGTTCGGCTGCACGGGCGGGCGGGGTCTGGGGGAGGGCGGCCTGAGTTGGCGGGGCATCGGCGCCGAGTCTACCGGCCGCCCTAGACTTTTTTTTTAAGGATATATAACATTGATGATATACTCTCGGGGTGCGAACAGGCGTCTGGTTGTAAATGTTGCTTGGGAACAATGTGCATGTCCGGTGCTCTCTTATTAGTTGGGGAGGAGGGGGTGCTGTTGAGGGGATTTCGGTGGAGAGTATCCTCAAAAGGTGTGGAGGGACGGCCTGGGACAGACATATGCTCAATAGAAGCTTTGAGATGATGAGCAAGGTGACGCACCGTGACTAGGTTGAATGGAGAATATAAAAGCTCAAGAATGGTGATGATTTTCATGATGAATACATCGATGAACTGAAACTAAACGTGCAGAGTCCTTGGGCATCGAATACAAAAGTACGTAGTGCTCACGAGGCCTTTTGTCTGCTTGCAGTGGTACCTAATCAATGTCATACAAAACATTGTTTATTCCGCCTGCACAAAGTACATGTCATGCCCTGCACTTTAGTAAACACTCACAACTAACTTTTTGTTGGGTGCGGTAGCTGCCGATATTGTATGTGCTACGTACGGGCGGTTCTTTGCGTCGGTTTGGGTTGGTTGGACAGGCGCGAGCTGCCACAGCAATGCAGGCACGCACACCCGCTACTCTATTATTCTTATTATTACGGCCGGCACTGTTGTATAAACAATGGCGCTTAGCTCGCCTTGGGGTATTACACCAGCCATTCTTCCAGGAACAAAAATGCCCTCGCCGTCCCATCTGTTGCGGCAAAATGTGCAAACGGTGCATCACGCCGGGATATGCAACGACGTGTACCCAGGAACCCTGCGCATGAAAATACAAGATTGGATGAATGCAAACATCTGGCTGACATATGCAGTGGAAATCTGTCATTCCTGCAGCCCCAAAAGCTCGCCTTCCAAGAACGGACAATGCTTGAAACGTAGGTAGGTACGAGTAGCAGCGAGACGGCTTGGCTGTCGGCTGGGGGTCCGACCGACGGTCGCAGGTGACTGGCATCCAGGAACAATGGATGTCCCTTGGCTCGTTGTATTTTTTTTTTTGTTCAAATAAACGTCTGATGCCGAGGCTACCATGTCAAATAACAGCGGTCAATCACTTTTACGACTGCAGAGTGGTCGCGTGCAGATGTGAGTAAAGTATGTAGTAAGACGACGAAAATAAAGCGGCTTGCACATGCTAGCGATCAAGGCGAGGGAGGATGAACATGTTAGTGCCCGACAGGCCACAAACCCCCCTTGTGGCCTGCCAGTTGTTCGCTGTTCGCCGCCAGCTGCCAACCCGGACCCCCTCCTTGCATTATCGTTTAACTCGACAATCTATTTCTCCTTCTTCATTATCAAGATTCATCGGATTCGCATCTCGGAACTGCCTCCTGCTCAACCACCGCAAATACATTGTTCGCACCATGTCCTCAGACACCAGCGCCCGTCCCAGGGGGTTCGACGCCCCTACAAACGCATGCCTCAGAAGCTCTCACCACGCCGCACCACACATGAGATCCCCCTACCCACCAAATTCAACTTTCTAAAACAAGCTCTCTGTGTTCCGACTCGGGTCTCCAAGACTTGCTATTTCCATTGTGTTGGCCAGACCACGTGGGTGGCGCACCTCAAAGATGGCCTGTCAGAACGACACCTTGTCGGTTCTCATGCCGAATGCAACACCCAAGTCAAACCAAAACCATGGGATTGCCAATTGCAAAGATATTTGCCACATCGACACATCCCCCATCTGCCTCGTCTCATTGAATGAATGGTGTCGCTGATTCATACCTCACCACAGACCACGCGTCGCAGATTTTTCTACTTGAAACGCTGCCTGATTGTTGGACACACACTCCTGATGCGTGGGGCGTCCACCATTGACTATGCGACACTGCTTGAGACGAAGCCTGCCCCGGCGTGACCCAACTCTGCGCTCTACTCAGTCTGCTTGCCTCTTTGGCGCCCACAGGCGGGAATTGGCAACTCTTCTTGGCTTTTGTCTTGCAGAGAGTACCTTTATGTGAAAATATGCGCCATATCCACTTTGTTTCTCGAGCCGTGGCTGGTCGCCTTGTTCTTGTTCTAGAATCCGTCCTCTCCCTCTTTCAACTACCAAGTATACCGGCGTTTGTGCACCAGCATCATTCACCATGATTCATTGAGCATTTTTCTATTCATCATGGCGCTTGACTGGACGGCTTTCTACTCCCGGCTACTAATTTTTGCCTCGTACTTGTTCTAATCTCTCCCTCTTTTACACCCCTCTACACGCTCGCTTCTCTGCTGCCTGCTTGCTCCGTATGGCCAGGTAGCCATGGCTGTCGCTGCCGGCACACAAGCCCTCATTGCAACATTTGCATTGTCAGTCTTCTCAGATTCTGCCATGTACGATCCCTACAATCTAACACCATCTAGTGGCCTTGTCGCTTTGGCATCTACCAGCACCGCATGTCTCTTCACCTTTGGCAACCGCCGCCTCAGAGGCAACGCCCCCATTCAGAATGGGCTGAGGCTGGTCCTCGTAACTTTTCTTCTCTCTGCCGCCCTTTGGAGCATCATGGATTTCGCGGCTACTTTAATCACCGGCGATGCCAACCCCTCCTGCCAAGTCCTCGTCTCCGTTGCCGCCGGCTTCGATCAGCTCGCACGTGTCGCCTTTGAGCAGTTTCTCCTCGTACGAATCAAGTCAAAGAGCATTTACAAGAGCATCTACGTTCTGCAGGCCTTCATTCCGGTGCGCTTCATATTAGGTGGTGTCTTGATCGCTGTCCAGCGCCCCCAGACCTATCCCGTCTGCATCGCCAAGAATATTCTACTTCCCCTCGGTATTGCGACGCTAGTCACGGACGCTGTGATTGTCTGTGTTTTTTTTGTGCTCATATGGATAAAGACCCGATCAAACTCAACTTCGAATTTACAGACTTCTAGCCTTGCGCCGGCCAGGATTGTTTGTTTCTTGACAGCCGGCTTTGCCGCCTGGCTAGCTGTAAGTCTTCGCTTCCCATCTCTCTAGTTTAGGCTAACAGTCTTTCAGACGAGCATTCCCATGATATTCGGTCTTGAAATTTTCTCACTTGCCTCTCGTACCGTTGTTCCCTCGGTTGGGCTGCTGATTCTGATAGGTTTGTGAACTACGAGACGAAGCAAATGTACCATGCTAACCCCGTCCAGGTCTCGTAGCGCTCTTTAGAAGACATGCTCTTATTGCAGACTCCGATTTACAGCTTTCGCCTTCCACAATCGATACTTCCAAAGCTTTGCCAAGCCGACCAACTGAAAATCGCAATACAGCCATGTCTCAGGAAGTCTTCAACAGGCCTTGGGGTGGCCCACCACCTAATGTTGCGCAGACACAAAGACCCAGCACCGGACCTCTTCCAATGCCCAAAGCAGGTTCTAGAGGAGTCGATAATGCCTTGCCAATCATCAATCGACCGGCTCCTGGCCAGACGGAACGAGGAGTTGGTGGAGTTCCTGTTCAAGGGCAGTTATTCCCACCTACACGCGCAAATACAGCTCCGGTTGTGCTCCAGAACCCACCAAAGAAACAACCAAAGGGAAAGTTGGCCATCTCAAACCCCATAATTCGCCAGAGTAGCGCTCTCAAGATTCAGGACAAGATTGCCACGGTAGATCTGGCCCTGGCTGCAAAAAATGAACAGCAAAGGAGAGGCGCGGCACCTGGAGCCGTTGTTTTGGATAGAGCTGGCCAAACTCAGTCTCTGACAAGGAAGAATCTGGATGCCAGTTTAAAACGAAAACAAGTTGGCAGCGCCGGTGCTGTGCCGACCTTTTCATCCGAGCGCTCCGTCCTACTGCCCAACTCTGCGACGACCGCTACGCAACTGTCGCCACGCGAAGATGAGCTTCGCCGCCGATCCCCTCGCCCACCACGCGACTCCTCTAAGATGCTCCTATCACCTCCCCCCCGATCTCCAAAAAGACCTTCCGGTTCAGCCTCGCAAAAACCAAATAATGCGCCTCCCCTGATACCACCTCAGAGCCCATTGAGAAGGAGTGCACCGGTCAAATCGGTTCTGCGCCCTACTTCTGCGATATTCATCGACTCTGGCAGGCCACCCGCGATTCCGATGAACCTCAGACAAAATAATAGCAACTGGTCAGACTCCAGTCCCGCGGTCAGTCCGCTTGTTCCTAGGGTTGAACCACTACCGATGCCATTGCCTCGAACGCGGTCTGATGCAGCGCCTTCCGCCGCCTACAAAAGTGCGGCCGCCGCTGCCGCTCGTGCATCCGTTCTAACTCGCGGTGGTACGGGATCTGTAAGAAGAGATATTCGGCCATCAAGACAGCGGCCCGAGTCGCCGAGTATCGACAAACAGGATCCTGCCCCGGCGAAAACTCCTGTGCAACTCCGGTCGGCCAATGGAATTCCAATGAATCCAAGGGCACGGCCAGCCAGAGATCCATCAGGCGATATAGGAGAGCGTACGCAAACAATCATGTTTCCTACTAAAATTGATCTTGGCGGAGCTGGACAACCAGTCTCGCGCCAGATCTTTGCTCTATCGTTAGCCAGCTCTTCTGCTTCTACAGATTCTATCGTCCATCGCCCAAGGCCAATACCTCGCAAATCTTCAATCTACAAGGCTGATTTCACCATAAAAGTCTCACCCACGGTCTATCGACATCGACTTTCGCGGTCCCTTGGCTCAATCGAGCTGCCGCGAGGAAGTATGGAGTCGGGTTCGGATTCCATTTTGCGTATTCCTTCTTTCCCACAGCCCCCCAAGAGCGCCTGTGCGGTTTTAGCACTAGGCAGTTATAAAAAGAGTTCTGACAGTGCAAGCAAGGCAGTCACTCCCGGCAGCATTAACGAATCTCATAATGACAGTGTTAGCTTTTCTGCTGACAGAACCCCATCCAAGGCCGCAGGCACTGTTCCCAAATCGGCATTTTCAGAATCTACAGAATTCGGTAGCAGATCCAACATGGAACCCGACTCTGCTTACGATAACCGGCGGCAGTCCTCTCCAGTACTTCCAGTCGAAGAGATGCCGCAAATTTCAGACGATAACGCGCGAGTGTCGCGGCCAAGCAGTGCACGGTCAGTCAGAAGCACTGCCTCACAGCACAACGACGAAGAGGAAATCGTTCCCATGGTTCTGGATACAGGATCAAGAGGTTCATTCAGCGGTCCCAGCTTCCAAAGAAACTCCTTGGCACAGCTGGATGGATGGCATCGTCGTCTGGGCGATGCGTTGCCGACATTTTCGGATCGCAAAGATGGTGGGCCATCACCCCGGCGTACGCTGGTACCAGCTCCCCTTCAGCTCGGCAAATCTAGCAACCCGACCAGGATTGTTGAGTCGCAGGCACCACCCCTGGAGTCTCCCCAGCATGCGCTCGACCTAATCCAGCAGCAACTGAAGGATCTAGATGAGGCTGACTCAGAAACCGGGGTTGAAGATAAGCAGCGTCGCAGGCTGCTGGAAAATCTGGAAGCAGAAATGGGTGCGCAAGAGACGCACTGGCAAGACATTCGTCGTAATTTAGCAGACCGATCGCCGTCGTCTACCAGATCCTCTCTTTCCCTTGTGCCGAGCGGAGATTTGCATCTCAGGTCGCCCCGTCCATCTCCAGCATTGAGGTCGCATAATCCGGCTGTACCAGTGATAGGTAGGGGAGCGGACCCTGTTAGCGCCCCCGGGAAGCACACCTTAACCCCGGCTGACGAGAAATCCAACCGTTCGCCCAGCGAGCTTACTCGTCGGAGCAACTCTGGTTTCACCGAACAGCGCTCGGCCCAGGATATCTCCGGTGGAGTGGAAAACCGAGCCAAATTCGGCAAGTCAGCGTCACGCAATACAGACGGTCTACCGTCTGTAACTATGACAAGTGCTATATCTACCCACCGCCAGCTCACGAACAACCCAACTTCGCCAGACTTTGATAAATTCGAACAACAAGTTGAAAACGACGAGCAACCGGACTTTGCATCTGCCAAACTAAATAATTACAGCGCCTGGACTCCTGGATCCGTCAATCTCGCGGCTGTCGAAAAAACTCCACTTCCGGTATCGCACTGGAGCATCGACTCAGATACCGCCGCTGTGTTGCTTTCTGAATCTTTGAAAGCCACTGTACAGGATCCCGGCCACCCGGCCAAAACGGTTGCAGGCACTTTGTCTGTGATTGGGGACGTGAAAGCAACGCAATCGCCACAAAGGATTGATCAAGTAATCGGATCACCCACCACCTCGTCACCCACCTTGCTGCATCAGGAAAGCCTTGTTTCACCTGCAGTTTCGGAGCAAACCACACAAAGTCCGCGCCGCCCAGTCACGCAAAAGCCGCCGCGAAGAAGCAAAAGGATTACCTTGCTTCCCGATATCCTTGAAAGCCCGCAACCTCTTGACAACAAACGCGGCACTCTTGGAATTTTCCAGTTTCCTTGGGGGGAAACTTCTGACATTGCGACACTCCAGCCGCAACTATCCTCGGTATATTCAGTACCACTTCCCGGTACGACACTGAACGAACTTGCTTTCAACCAAGGATATTATTCTTCTCAAGTGCCTAGTTTGCCCTCTCAAACCTACCCAGCCTCTTTCTTTGACCACTACTCCGACGACGACGACCTCCCCGCCGCAGACAGTGACGGTAGTACCGGTGGCTACTCTGACGACGAAGACGAGGCGTTTGATGAGACTACCTTGTGGGAAATCGCCAACCTCTTGCGCTCCAACGAAATTCCATCCCGCAATAGTCTGTTTCCAGGGTCTGAAGAAGATCGACCCCCTTCGCGCGCCGGATTTACTTCTGCCGACGAAGCAACCATCTCAGCAGTCGGACACCTTCCCATCGCCGACTTAGAGGAATCTACTCTCGGCAGCGAGGACAACGATCTCTCTCCTCCGCCACTTCTCGAAAACTCTCTTTGGAAACCCAAGACCATGTACACCACCGCCACGAGAAGCGTGGGCCTCACCCAGCCGGATGAGATGACGTGGGGACGATACCTCGGCAAACAAACTGAAACACTGCGTTCGGCACCCCGCAAGTCGGAGCCAGCCATCATCACCAGCACTTCTCTCTGGGCTCTCAAGCCTAATCAATCCGACGTGCATGCTGCGGCAAACGGTCTCTGGCGGCCGACTGTGGAGGCATCTATTACTCCCTCGTCGACCGCTCCCTCGACTCCTTTCCTCGCCTCGCCTTTGCCCACAGAGTCTAGCACCGGCGACATGTTTGCGCTGCCCAAGGTCACTACTCGGTCACATGAGCTCTGGACGCCTTCTGCGCCAGTAGCCGTCGTGTCTTTTGGTCTACCGCAGGATGAGCAGGAATGGGGCCGCTACACAGTCAAAAAGTTTTCGCCCTCACGTCACAAACCCAGGCCCTCGGCGCAAGATGCCATTTACAGCACCAGTCTATGGGTCAGCTCGAGGCCCGCCGCAGTTGCTCCCGTTCCCCCTCGCAAACCTGCATCATCGACCCAGCCGCTCTGGTCCAAGCCGGCCGCCTTCCCCGCCGAGCAAACCAAGGGCCTCTGGAATGCTTCACACATTCGACACCAGTACAGGACGACCGATCAGCGTCCCGCGGCCCTGTACACGGCTCGCAAGCTGCGTACTGACCGCCGTCCGCTTCCCGCGCTGCGCTCCGCCTCACTCTGGTCGACGACAACGCAGACGCCCGCGCGGCAGGTGCCCGATTGGCTGGCGCTCTCGACGACCCTGCGCCCCATCTCCCCCGGCGGCGCATCGTCGTCGGATCAGGACCAGGACGACGCCGCCTCGGCCTCGTTTGACTCGAACTCACTGCGCTCTGAGGTAACGGCCGCCAGCTCCGTCGCCACGTCGAAGCAGTCGGCCGCACACCGTAAGACGGCGTCCAAGCAGGCCGCGCAGGAGGAGCTCGACGCGGCATTTCGCGACGTAATGCAAGCGGGTAAGCCCTCTGTGGCGATGCCCGTGGCCGTTCCCGAGGAAGAGGACGCGGCGCAGGACAAGCAGGAGCTCGAGGAGGGGGGGCAGCCTGAGGAGAAAGAAGAGCCTCAGGAAAAGGGGGAGTCCGAGGAGGGGGGGCAGCCTGAGGAGAAAGAAGAGCCTCAGGAAAAGGGGGAGCCCGAGGAGAAGGAGGAGCTGTACTTTGACTCGAGCCGCTTGCATCCCGTCTTTGCAGTCGACGTACTTCATGCGATCGATGAGAATGTGCATCCTGCAGCGACAGGCTACCTACACTACGTGGTCAATGGCGCTCCCAAACCTCGACGTCGTTGAGCCATGTCCTCTTTGTCTTTCACTGTGAACATTTACATATTTGGACAGCTGGAACCTTGAACCAGGGAGCACACAGCATGCGCGATATGCAGCAAGCAACAATGTGGTTAAGCTCACCAAGCATGATGCGATATTGGCTTTTTTCGAGTTTAAACAGTCGGTGAACTGAAATTTATTGCATCTTTTCTTAGTATTACCTTGTCCATAGTAAGCGATATCTTGTCTTGAGAAAGTCAAGACAGATAGTGTACAAATATACACATAATCACATGAACTCTCTCTCTCTTGACACAATCTATCATTCATCGTTGTCCTACCTCCAATCTATCCTCCGGGGGAGACATACATGAGACGTGTGGCACGTTTCAACGCCCCCGCCCCAGTTCTTGTCCAGGAAACAACCTACCAGCCTACCAACCAACCTACCTAGTACAGTCGAGAAATCTCCCTCCCCCCCCCCCCCCCCCCCAAAAATTGATGATGATGTGAATACAAAGACCACACATGGCCATGGGCAGGTTGAGTAAGAGGGGTCAATTACGGCTCAGAAAGGGGACCTTGCACGCATTGGAGGAAAGAGTAGAAGAAAGGGATATATCGATATATCAATGCAACAATAATACAACACCAAAAGACAACGTGCTTCTTTCTGTGCCCACACACACACACACAGAGCAAAATGCCTCTTCTGTCACCATCTCTCGGTCTTTTTTCGATTCGCCCTAATTTTCCCCTTGAGCAGTCCCATTACATACACACGCACGAGTTTGTCAATCCCTCCGCCCTCTCTTTTCTATCAAAAGTCGCACGGATTCTGAAACATGATGTGCTGACCAACCTTTTTTTCCGTCATCGGGACATGTTCTTTTACTGATGCTTACTCAGACAGAGGTGAAGAAGGAAAAAGAAAGCAAAATCCAGCAAAAAAGGGGTCCGCCCAGGTAGGCAGGCGTAGCAAAGCCCTATTACACAAGCGTTACGCGAGCAAAGCAAAACCAAATACAAGAGCAACGCAATTGACGTATACCCTATGGCGTCAAAGAGTAAAACACATACTTCTAGTAGTAGCAAGCGTTCTTCGTGAAAAGAGATAAAGGAGGGAACAAAAAAGCATGTTAAAAGTAATACACCAAGGCCCAAAGCCATCGCTATGCAAAGATGACACAAAAGAAAACATTAGAAATCTTTATACACTGCCCCATGCCACGCATCGTAGACGTAAAGAGGCAGGTTCCAACATGAATGTGCATTTATGATGCTGTCATCGTACCGTTATCGTACCGTTATCGTACCGTCATCAACGGAAATCGCCGTTCCAATTGGGGGGGCGGCGAGCTGTCTGGTGAAGTAGTTTGTTTGAGAGAGGTATTACCACGGCTTCTCGTTGGACGACGTGGAGGACTGGAACCAGGGTCGTCGAAGACGCGAGTAAATGCTGGACTCGAATCGGGACCACGGTCTTTGTCGTGTCGCAGAGGTCGTGCTGGGCTCTGGGTGAGCTGATCTGTCCTGCGGATGATATCCGAGAGGGTATCACGGAGCTCGCCAGATCTCTTGACCAGCGCCCTGAGGCTATTTGTGTCAAACTGGACCTTTCTACTAGGTTTGCCAGTGTCGGGAATAGCGTCCGAGCCGTTGCGGTTCTGCATGGCCTCCATGACGGTTCGCACGACGCCATTAACGTCGGCGAGGCGTTCGGGCGTATGTGGCGGCTGCTGTCCCGCTTTCTTTGGTGATGTGCTTGCTTTGTTATCTGCTGCGCCCTCGGCGCCGCCAAAAATGTCATCGCCGGGAGAAAAGACGGATCGCCGGCGAGGAGAATGGCGCTCACGCATCACCGCAGTCTTTGAGATGGAGGGTTCGAGTTTGGGAGATCCCACATGGAGTTGCTGTTCACTCTGTGGCGTCCTAGGCCGTTGATCTCCTGGCTGCCTGGCCTTGCTATCAAATGCGTCGAGGTCGACTGAGGGATTGGAATCAACGTCGTCGTCCATGGTCTCGTCGTCTGGAGATGCAAGGGCAATGACACCTTCTGCTTCTTTCCAGAAAGCCTTTTGTGAACCTTCCAAAAGACCCATGTCTCGACCATGTCGGCATAGTCTCTTGAGGTCGTTAACGAGAAGCGATAGTTCTCGAATTTGCCCCGAGTGGGCCTTTACGCTGGGCTGGCTGGCTCGAATAGATTCGGGGACAGCAAACATGGGCTCGGCTTCGCGGCCGTCGCTGCTAGCGGCGGAGCCGAACTCAAAGTCCTCGTCCCAGTCCTCACTAACAGTTTTGGTGCCAAGACCCCAGGTTCCATATTTGGCGCCGGTTGTCTTATATTCGTCCGCGGCATCGTGAACTACCGGCACGCTTTGGCTTCTTACATGCGCAGGCGCAGGTCCACGTCGGTTGGCAGAGCGTCCGCCTCTAGGGTCTACTGCCTGCTTTGCGTAAGCAGTTTGCGGGCGACCAGAGCGTCGCTCGGCATCGTGCTTGTCTTGGGTCGAGGGTTCACTCCAGTCAAAGATGCTGCTGAGGGGACGCTCCGTGTTGTGGGCGGTTTCACTGACATGATTTTCATTGCCAATGTTGGCGAGGGCAAGACGAACATTAGGATTCATGCCTTTGGCGTTGAGAGAACTCTTGGAAGGGGCGGACAGAGGGCTGATGTGGGAGTCAGCCTCGTCGCCATAAAGGGCCCAATCATCGTCAAGATCATCTTCCAAGGAGATTCTTGCAAAGTCCCTGGCGGTAAATGAAGATTGAATGGGGGTTTGGGCAAGACGCAGATCTTGGGTGGAGGAGCCGTGGCGGGCGTCGGGGCGGGTGGGCGCTTTCACTTTAGTGGAGGGTGCACGGACGGGTGTCTGGGATGTTTCGTCCTCTTCGGTGATTCTGTCGTCAGCGTCCCAGGCCTTGTCGAGGATTTCATGAATAGAGAGGCGCCGTGATTTGCCGTTGCTGGCGGTGCTAGGAGGTGAATCATCGTAAACGGACTCGAGAGGTGTGTCAACGGCCCTGGCGCGGCTGGAGGCGACGGTGCGGAGAGAATCGTAAAGAGTATCGCTCTTGAAATCCGTGTCGTCGTCATCGCCAGAAATAAAACCTCTTCCATCGCTGTCAAAAGCCTCCATGTGCGGCGACGACTCATAATACGGAGACCTCTGGTGGGAGGTGGACATGGCCGAGCTGGCCGTGGAGCTGGTAGAGGGCTGATGAGGGCGGACCAAAGGCAGAGCAGTCGCGGCAGCAGCTACCCCGCCAGCAGGGCCGAATGCAGGCGCAGAAGAAGCAGAGCGAGGCAAGGAATGATCGAGATGAAAATTCAGAGCACGCTGGGGCGGAGGCGTCAGTGGGGAGGAGAGAAGTCGGTTATGGGAGCCATGAAACGACGAAGTGGTGCTAGAAGAGGATGTGGTGGGAGCAGCGATGGTCGCGGTAGCAGTGGTGGTGGGCGGCGGGACAGCGTGGGTAGAGGCGCTATAAAGATTGTGCTGGCGGTGCCGGGGAATCTGTAGAGGATTGGAGGGCTGACGACTCTCTTGTGGGTGTCGTGAGTGCTGAAACGAGTGCTGAGCCTGCTGATGAGTTCGACGACCATCTCGTGGCTGTTGTGGGTGCTCAAATGAGCGCTGAGGCTGCGTATTAGCCCGACGAGTCTGCAGAGTCGCATCGAGAGCAGCTGAAGGCGTAACCGTTCCTGGTAGCGGCCCTGGCGGGCCCCATTTTAGCGAGTCCATTGGTGGCCTCACGCCCATCCTTTCATGCTCCACGGCTGCTAGCACCGCACCAGAGCCGCTAATGGGCGCCGACGCATGTCGCCTACCCACGCTAGCCACACCACAAACAGGCTGGTCCTGGCCTCGTTTCGGACGCCTAATGCTGCCAGACGTCTTGGACACTAGATGACCCGTTACCGTTGCAAACGACGTTGATAGTGATCTCTTGATGCGCATTGAGGACGATGGACATTCCGTTGCATCATCACCACCATCGTCTGGCCGAATAGGCACACCGTTAGTCTGGCGTGGCATAGTCGCCGCCAAGTCTTGCCGTCTATGCTGTTTCCGCTCGTCCTGATTCTCTTTCTCAGCCTGTTCAGGCACAATTTCCGCAGCATCAGCCAGATGTGTTAGAGGTTCGCGGCGTAGAGGTGAGACAGGCGAGGAAGAAACCATCTTGGGTTTCACCAGATGCACAGTATTCTGGCACGCCGAAATCGCCTTTGCGGATATGCGTCGCACGGTGTTGGGTTTCGCACGGGGACTGCCGGTGCTAGGTCGGCCTTCTACAGCCAGGCTCGTTCGTCTAAGATGGAAAAATGACGACCAGTGCGTGTTTTCGGGCAATGTTTGGCTAGTCGTCGAGTTGGACCTGGTGCATGCGGACTCGGCGCTTGGACGTTGCTCAAACGAATACTTGAGCTCTCCGGACAGCTGGGGCTTTTGGTTTTCCTGCGCATTCAAACGAAGCTGCTCGAGTGTGGCGGTACGCTGGTGGCTCGTGGCTGGCCGGCGGAGGGTAGGCAAGTGCCCCTTTGATTTGGAACGGGACAGTGAATGGGAGTCGTGGGTTTGCGTCGAGGGAGATCTCTTGACGAGCTTGTTGGGAGGTAGATTGGGGGCGGCCGTTCTGGGACGTAGAATAGGCAGGGTTGAGCTCTGCGAGAGCGTAACGGACTGCCTGTCGACGACGATACTAGAGCGAGGACTGGAGCCGTGCTGTGAGAGAGGACGGAGCGAAAGCCTGCGCATCCATGAGCCGGTCGAGGAGAGGGAGTTGTGGCGGCTTTCTACCTGACTGACCGGAGTCGTCTGCAAGTCGTTTGCGAGAGTATTATTGGTTGTAGAGGGTCGACGGTTGGGGAACTGAGAGGACTGAGGTCGTTGATAGCGCGACAGCGGGGGCCGAGAGCGTGAGGAAGGTCGAGGCAGGGTCAAGTGATTGGTATTATCGGCGGCCATGGCCATTGGCTGTTGCGGGTGACTTGTAGCGGGACGAGACGGGGAAAGAGATGTCAAGCGATCATGGCGGGTGGGTGATGGATCGAGAGAAGCATTCCGTTTGTGAAGAACTCGGCGGGGAGTAGGTCTTTGGGAGTCGCTAGGTTGACCAAAAACCAGACCACTGGCAGCGGCAGCAATGGCAGTGCCGGTGCCAACAAGCTAGAGGAGAGCAAGGACGGGGTCAGCAATATTCGGGAATTCAAAGCACCACGATGTTGGATAAGAACGCGGACGAGGCATCAATGAGAGACGTTGTGGGGGTTTGGTAGGCTCAGGTATGCATTTGAGATGAAAGTTGGGGAAAGATGCAACGTTGTTGGCATGAAGAGACGAGGGAGGGAGGAGAGAGAAAGGGTAAAAAGGTGCAAGGCAAAAGAAAAGGCAAAAGAGGCCAAGAAAAGAGCCTTGATGATGGAGTTGAGGGGGGCTGACGAGGAGGCGTCGACAAAACTTACACTGGGAACCGTCTGCATGATGGCTGGCTTCTGGGCTGCTCAGCGGGAGAGACCGAGGACGAGCATTCTAAGATGGAGGGGAGCGGCAAGGTCGGGTGATGAGATGGGATGCTGGATGCATTGTCCGCCAGGCGACAGCGTTTGTGGTGATTCTCGACGGCCAAGGGTTGAGACGGCGGCCGGAATGCGCGTGGTGTTTTCTTTTTGTTGTGCCTGGCAGGTTGCAATGAAGAGAAGGGGAAAGGAATTGGAGAAGATTGGGATGTTGTTGTGTTTTGGGAGGTCAGCCAGCAAGGGAAAAAAAAGGGCAGGCAGGCAGGCGGGTGAGATGGGCTAGTTGATGGGCCCGATGAGATTAGCGTACCTTGTGCCTGGAAGCCCGCTGCAGCCAGCGCACCGAGCACCTGTAAAAGGCCTGTAATAAAATGTCTTGGACGGCCGGTGCGCTGCCGCCACTACTGCCACTGCAACGCCGCAACGCCGCAACAGCCGCTTTTGTCCACTGTAATTTACTGTCTTTCTACCGTCTATTTACAGTCGTTTTATCGTCTTTTCACTGGCTCTCACTGGCTTCAACTGGCTTCACTGGCTAACACCGGCTTCGGTCACTTCACTGACTTTCACCAGCTTCACTGGCTTTACTTACCTACTTGACTGGTTATCACTGGCTTCACTGGCTTCACTTGCTTCACTGACTTTACTGACTTTCCCTGAAAAACTTCACCTTGCAGGGAAGCCGGGCGGTCCCACTGGCTCAGACAGCACTGTGTTTGGGAGCCTGGCAACTCGCACAACCAGCCTTATTACTCCCTTCATCCACGGGGCGCTATCCCAGTACAATCGTAATTGACTTGACATCTGATGCCTAGAAATTAAGACGCAATAAACTTAAAATATCCAGTAAACAGGGACTACCTATGTAGAAGCCAACCTCGGAACGCGCTAGATTCGCAGGGAAGCACATGTCCAGAGTTGAGGTCAACCTAGAGCGAGTAATTCATACAGTACAGACATGCCATTTTATGCCAACCCGGATCAGAGACAAATGGACAAACGAGATTGAACATGCACGAATTGAATTGGTGATGCAGGCAGCCAGCGTGGGGCATGTGGTCGGGGGGGAGCGAGAGGGGAAGACCAAGCAAGACCAAGCAAGGAAGCCAGGGAAAAAAAAACAATGCATGTAAATAATAAATAATAAACAGACGGCAACTAAAGGCACTAGCCCGACGGCACAGGCACAAGACGGACGTTAGCTCAAAAATCATGATGCAACATGCAAAAGAACATTTTAATCAAAGTAAACAATGACGAGAAGAATGAGCAAAAGAATGCACAGCTTTCTCAGTACCACAGCCGCCGCCGCCGCCGCCATCTAAAATATGCTGTCCACCGTGGCGTTGTGTTTTCTATTGCGCCGCCCAACGGAATACTGATAGTTGCTAATTGATGAACAAACATTCAGGTGGGGGGAACAAGGGGGGGGGGCCGTCTTTGTCGTCCTTGTTCTCAAGTTCTGTACGGAGTACGGAGTATTTAGCGGGCGCCTGTTCAGGCTTTCCTATTCTGCACCTACCGGGCGTACTGATATGTGTGTTTGGAAAACAAAGTACAGATTAATAAGTGGTCACAACTAATTTTACCCAGCAAAAATAATAGACCATCACATCAACTGACCCTCTTGGTTATGCATCCGACGCTGCAAGCCACACTACCCACATCCAACTTCCCTAAGTTCCCTCTTTGTAACTAGGCAAGGAGCCTCACCCGGGTACTTGTGTACTGTCCACTGACCAGCGCCATGCACGCTCAACCCTCCCCCCGGCGCAACGGCCTCGAACAAGACAAAGTCTGGGATCAAAAGATGCCCTGCTCGTCAGAAAGAGACAGGCTCTTTTTTTTTTCGAGTCGTAATTACATGCCCATCGGCCGTTGACCGTCGACCGTCTTGTCCTGCCCCTTGCGTGCCTTTCTCGCACTCCATCCTTGGCCTTGTCATACAACTCCTTCTTGAGCATCATCTTGAGCTGTTGCCCCTGTGCGCCGGTCAATTTCTAGCCCATCACGATAATCCAATATAAACATCACTGTAACATATTCCTATCAATACACATATAAGCAATGTATTATGCAAATTGCTGTAATCATCCTTACATGCATCGGGTATACCGACCTGCCTACATGTACCTAGCCGAATAATAAAGCCCGTTGCATCTCGACCTACAACATCAGACAACCTCTTGTGTCTCAACGCCCGCGCAATACAGTCTGCATCCCCTTGGTAATTTACCAATGAATCAAATTAGCCATCTTGCTGCCCAGCGGCCCAGCTATCAGCAGTTTTAGAATTTCGTACCGTCCGCCATTCCTGCCTTCTTCTAGGTCCCGTCATCCCGTCTTGTTAGTGCCACCTCGACTATTTAGAAACTTAAACTTATCCAGTCTGTTTATCTTTTTTTGGAACCTGTACCGAGTACGTCTGCCTTGTTTTTTGTTCCCGAGCCCATTCTTTTGCATCGAAAAAAAAAGCCCGTCTTTCTGCCTTTCCAGCTCTGTGGGTTCGTTCAACGCCATGCAGTCAGCCTTTTCATACTGCTCACTGGCTGTGCTGTGCGAGAAAAGAAGCGCCTCATCTTAATGACTGTAATGACTGCAATCTGCCTGCTTATCAGTGTATCAGCGGATGACCAGATGGGGTCAATTACTGTATTCGTCTCGTGCAAGCGGCCACCACAATTCATGACTCGTCGTTCAGTTATTGAAACAAAATGCCATCTTTGCAATTCTCCGGTTTTCGGCTGTTCTTCCTGAATCTCGCCCCCAAGCCCCCTCTTCCTCAAGCAACAGGCCACTTCTTTTAATACAAGATGGATCTGCCTAACGTCAACGATTCAATCATACAGAACCAGGAGAGGCCCCAGCAGGCGCCGCCATACCTTCCGTACATGGCCATATGTTATAACTAACTAATAGCGCTGGTGGCGCTGCAATATTAGCCTCAATGCCTCCGTGGCACCACTTGTCGCTCAATGTTTCTCAACGACGCCTCTCCCAATGATCCCCTCCACTCCCGCCTAATGGGAATGCCCTCTTTTGGCCCCATTTTCCCTTGTTCAATATACAATGTGGATTCTTGGTCTCAATTGAGCAAAGACTTGCCTCGAACTTGCCTCGGCGCGCCCAATGGTTTTGCTGCCCTGCAGGCGGATCCTTGTGCTCCTGTGCGCATCCAGCTTTGCAAGTCCTGGTTGGACTCTTGGCCCAGTTCTTGTGTCATGCATGGCTTGCCAACATGCCCAATGCCATTTGCAGGTACGAACAAGAACAAAATATGCCAGTCATTCGACCTCTTATGCCAGATCCTTCCGGGGCATCCCGTACGCACCCAATACATGCATGCAATACACAACTAGACCAGCGTATATATTTACTTGGAAAATTCTCCTCGGTAAGCGGTACATGTATACATGGAGTCGTGCAAACTTGCGCGTGAGCCATTCCATTGGAACTATGTCTTCTTTTCCTCTTCTTATTATTTCTTCTTGCTTCTTTTTGACGTATTTCATCTCACACCGGCTTTTGTCCCCCTTCTTCTGACATCGCAAATTGCCATGTGCCACAAAGGGCTCCCCTCTCCTCCTCCCGCCCTTTGCCTATTCGCTACGCCCAGCTGCAAAAGTGCACAGGCTGGCTTCGGGCCATTGAGTCAAAGTTCTGACTCCTCGTGCATTGCATAATTTTAGTTGTTTAGTTTTTTTTTTTTCTCCCTTTCAGCGCGTCGGCCACTTTCCTTCTTTTTTGATTGCTCTGTAATTTAAACTTGCAGCATACGGGCGGCCAGTAAAAAACAGTAGAGGCTCAACTGCCCTTTTTGGCACTTCCCGCGCGTTTGTCGGTCTCTATTCCACCATATTCGTAGAGATACGTCGTAAATTTTAAAGCATCGACTGCATTTGAAAGATGCGCATTCCTTTATTCTGTATTTTTACTTTTATTTTTATTATAATCCTATTTTTTAAACTCGTCCGAGACATGCATCGACTTGGCGCCACACGCTAAATGATAGAAAACGACAGGCTGACAGCTAAACAAGATGTTGCGCGCCTATCCTTATAAAGACCAGCTTACTACAGTTTAAAAGTCCATGATGCGATGTCGAGTGCAGATAAGAATGGACTGACAGCGCAAAAGACAGCCCCGGTGGCCGTTTGCCACGTCATCTGCCGGCCCCGACATGACAACAACATCAACATCAACATCAACAAGTCTCAGGGGGTCGCATCGGGCGTCAGATCGAGACCCTCGTCCTGTCTCAATCGGCCTTGCCTAAAGGCTACAGCCGTATCTGGTTTCGGCATTTATCCTCGGACCTCACCGCAGCCTCGGCCGCCATCAACATGGACCCTCGCTGACAAAAGTCGAGGCGAACAAAAGGTCAAACATGCCTCAAGCTAGAGTGACTTGCATGCAGGCAGCCGCCATCACACCTTCCCAGGGCGCGACGTCTGGGGGAGGCGACACAGGAAGCTGACACCTTCATCAGCGCAAACGTGGAACGGGCTGCTTGTCAAAGAAACACTCATGCATGCACCTAGGCAGCTGACATCTTTTTTCAGCGGCCGAGTCTGTCTCTTCTTCCAGAGTCTTCGGCCGTGTCCTCTGATGGTACGTTTTCACAATCACGACTTCGGTAAAAGTCCCCCCTCTGAGCGCCAGCCGCTTCTCGTGAATGGAACTTCCAAACCATTTTGCTTGTTAGCTTGCTGAACTAACTAGTGCAATCTCTGTAGTGTGGCACACGGGCCAGCTCGCAGCGGGACACACATCTCATGTCCATAGAGCTCGACTGCCTGTTATGGTTTCTGAAACAATTCCAACTTGACCTGCCGCGAGCTGTCTGCACACTAAACTGACAGCAAAACACTAGTACCTACAAATATCAGTTCATGGCGCATATTTGAGTGAAACGACAAGCCACCCGAGAGCTCTATGAAGCATCACCAGGGCCTTGCTCACCATCTCGTAACAGTTCCCAAGAGCTTGAGAGAGAGATCCGAGTCTTGCTATAGCCTGTCTTATCTCGTCTCACGCATGGACGTCTGAAAAGTCTCAGCATTGGCAAGGATATGAAAAACATGTCAAAACGTGACAAGCCCAGCGTGGAGACGCATGATGCATTCTCACACACTGTGCATCGTTAGCCCGAAAGACGGGGAACCAAATTCCAGGTTTCTGGGATACGCATAAACAAGGCTGTCTGGCCTGGATCAAGGTCCATACGAACCTACAAAGTAGCAGACTCGTTGACCTTGGCGACTGGTACATACAAACGCAGCACGTGTGCAGGCTACATTCCATTACTTTCAGTCCATTCTCATCTTCTTCGGTCTACTCGCAAGGTGAGCACACGACTGATCTTTATCATTTGTCCCGGTCCACCTCTTTTGGCGGAGCTTTCTTTGTTCGGCCGACGGGACGGACAAGCAATAGAAAACTATCCCCGAAAGAGACAACATGATAAAATGTCTTCGGGAAGCCATGGCTCAAAAACAACCGCCGCGAATGGCCGATAACCTGGCAACCCAGTTGTTGTAGTGCCAAGCCCTTTTCGCTTTGCAAGTTCTAGCCCTGTATCGCCCATTTGTTGATGGAATAGCACCGAAAGTTTATTATGCCAGGTTTTCCGAAACGTGCCAGAACACGGGGCAAAGTCTCCATCCTTCCAGCTGCGCCTTTTTGGATCGGCGTCTCCCACAGGCTTCACGAGCCACTCGGCATGCGGAAGCAAGCTCGCGAGCTTTTTAGCGCTGCTCGAAAATCCACTCTCGCAAACGCCCCGGTGGTGTGATTCTGCTTGCCCTGCCTAGCTGAGAAGACGAGGAAGAATGGATGGACGAGAATAGCAAGAAGAGCGCCACTCAAACGAGAAATGAAAACCCCCGCAATCTCCATCAAAATCGAAGAATATGCCTCTAATCCGGATACTGCACGGGGCGGCACTGTATTTTTCGCAGACCCATGCCGCTCATCGCAGAATGGCCGTCGCCAAGCGAAGCTGTGGATGTTGGCGTGGGTTAGGCCAGTTGGTTTCTGCTAATCTGTAATTGTATGCTTCTTGACAACACTTTTTGGGAAGCGGGGGTCAAGACCAAATTGGTAGACGTCAAGAATCTTCGTTCTGCTTCCTTCTTGCTCTCTGTCCGTGCCCACAGCTAGGGTTGCAGATGCTACCAGTCGCCAGGTTGCATCAGAACTAGAGACATGTGCCTCTTCTCTTTGTGAGAGATCGCATCGCCCGAGCTCTCGGGATCGCACCATCCGCGGGGATTTCTTGCTAGCCAAGACATATATCAGAGTAACTGAATTGTCGTTTCTTTCTCGGCACATGGATTTGTCATACTTTTGTTCAGATGATATTGAATAGTTAATGAACCCAGAGCACCTGAAAACCCTCGGCGACTGGACCTTGTTCAACGTAGATTTTCTGGCCCCAAGCCAGCAGCTTATTAGATGACGCGAGCGCAGGCGCCCCACATAGAAAACGCGATCGTGACGCGCATATCGCGTTTTTATAACGCGTCCTCCATTGGGCCCGTCCAAGATCCCCAAAAGGCCCGCTCATGTTGATTGGCTCACGGCCGTTGACGCTCAGGACAATTTCTGACCAACGAGCGATGGCAGCGGATATGCGTAAAAAGAAGTGCGCACAATGGCAAAAAAAAAAAAAATTAAAGAAGTCATTTAAGTCGAGCGCGGCATGAATCAATCTGCTTGAACCGCCACATGTCGTACGAGCCTTCTTTAATTACTCTGCCTCGTGGCTTCATTTAGGAGCCAACGCCACCCCCACAGCCAGGACTAAAAACGCCGTAAATCGCCCGGATAGGTAAATCATCCGGATAGGGACGACGATGAGCTCTTCTAACCGTGTTGTCGGGTTGAACAAATTCGGTTGATGCGGACGGACCCCCGGGGAGTCGGGGTGCGCAACCATTTCGCCGGGTCCCTTTGGCTGGATGCGCATGAAAAGGTTGTTGCAGGGTAGCTTATGCAAAGTCACAGTGAGAGAGAGATTCTCACTTCTTCAGACGGAACAGTGTAGTTGCTGCTCACCGAAAATTTCTCGCAGTTTGAACATGGTGCTCTCAAGTATAGCTTCCTCGAGATACAATTATCGGGTGTAATGCGAAATTTCGGCCCAGGTTCTATACGTCTTATTGCTTTCACGATGGACGGGTATCAAACATGCTTTCTTAAGCCACCCGCTTGCTTGGTAGCAGCGCCTAAGCTAAGTGACTGCAACCTTTCGCCCCGATACAACAAAATCGCAGTCCAAAGAAAGAGAGGGCCCGTGAGCAGTGCGAGGCTCGCCTTGCCTCCAAATAACCGAGGCAATGGCGGCCCTTCACTACCAAGTCGGATGAGAATCACGGCCTCGGATAGACGGACGCTTCATCATTCGCACCAGTAAACATACCCCATCGACTGTAGCGGCTCAAGGCAACCTCTAGAAAAGGATGTGCGGCTGAGATTACGTGCCAAAATTGTACATACCATTTCTAAAACTGCGAGTTACGACAATGCCAAGTGTGCTGGCTGGTTACTGCGTAAACATATAACAACAGCACTGGATCACTTTCTGCGGCCAAGAGGCGTCTTATGGAAGTCGAAAGCATCAAATTAACACTGCATCACAACGCTGTTTTCGTAAAAAAGCTGCCCATCTATGCGTGTACGGCCAGACTTTATTCCACCACGGACTGACAATGTATCTTCGTCGAACATCTTCTCAAAGAATTGCCATCAATGCAGTCTGTCGAGGCCCGAATTCCGACTAGTACTTATCCGAATCACGACTAGGAAGTTTAGCCCGTGTATAAGTGCAGCCTGATGCAGGTCAGTGCATATGTGCTCGCGAGTCTGAAATTGATAATGTCGAGTGCGAAAGAATACTGTCGTCACCGCGCTCAGCCGTACCTCGTAACTGTATTCGCTGATGTGCCCTCACAACATCTCGGATGTTTCTATAAGTTCAAAAGCACTCCTGAACCACGACTGACACATGATCAACCTATCACGCGTGCTTCCTTCCGTACGGTCTAGGGGCTTCTCAAAGGGCAAACTCCGTGTAAACTGACGGGCGCGCGTCCCCCCAGAGACGTCGAACATTCGAGGAAAGACCCCGTACTCCATGAAGGAGAAGGTGTTCCACTTCATTAACATCTCTGTCGCGGGCAGCCGCCTTCCAAAACCTCCCAGGTACAGACTCTTCTGTCCCCAGATCCTGGTACGTCACTATGCGTAGCCAAGGTTGTTTTCCTCTTGCACCGCTGAGTTCGACTTCCGTGGCACAGAATTTACATTGGATAATGGTGGTTGTTTGGTTTCTGCACGTTTCCTAAAATGCCTTCTCAAATCCTGATAACCTCATCGCCGTATCGTAATGCACAGTTTTCGACATGTGCGCACAAGCCTGCACTTCTGCGAAAAGACTGTAAAATGGTTCGGGAACGTGAGGTCGAAAGAACAAGATGGCCTTTCGTAAATATCTGCCTCTGAACACACGAGGTGTCACGTGGAATGTGGCATCCATATGTGGCTCGGAAAAAGACGCGTGGAACGGTGCCAACAACAGCTCAAGGTATTGATACTGCACCATTGTTAATGATAGGCGACAAAGTTTCAAGGCTAGTTGTACGTGATGGTAGTCCACTTCGTAGGTACACCAGGACGGGCTGAAATGAAGATCTGGGAACGCACGGCGTGGACATGGCCGCATGACTTCACCAAAGAATTGTTGGGGTATGTCAGCGTAGAGGTATTTGTGTAGGCAAAGGCACGCTCCATAAGCCCATTGATCTGCCATATTGAATACAGAAGCGGTGAGACACTCGAGAATCTCTTCGTCTGATGCAAGCCGAGCTGCTGCGCAGAGATGTCTTTTGAGGGTTATCGCGAGACGTTTGCAGCAGATTCTAAGGTGATAGATAGCAGTAAACGGGAGATAATCTGCAATGTGTTCAATCAATTCGGTTGGAAGGATGTCTGCAAAAGAATTCGGCAAGATCCTCTGTGTGTCGTTGTTCACTGATCCGTGTGAGGGGTGTGGATTAAGCTCGACAAGATCCATATTGGTTGGGGATGTGTTCGGTCTGCTAGAGAATCAATATTCTGTGTGTTAACTGATAGAATGATGACCAAGAGGATCGTCAAAGTTTGGCGGATCATAGCACGATGTTCATGTTTCTTTGCGAAAGCACCGACGCACTTGTGTGGTGCCTCGCTCCTTACACTGCACTTGCAAGGCGAGTAGCTGCATTTTCGGTGCGCGAAGAGTAGGTACTGGCCGCATTTAACAACACGCGCACTCCCGCGCTGTCTCTTCGGATCGAGACTATCGATACCTACTATACCTTTCTTTCTCTATTGTTACTTACCAGCCTGGTTCGCGCTGGTGATTGACAATCTCGTGGTGGGGCGGCTTTGGCGGGGTGACTTTCTTCTGTACCGTAATAGTGGTGATGGCCCACAACTGTAAATCGCTTCAAAATTGGTGCGTCACATTGCCATCAGCTCGATTACCCATAATCCGACAAGCCAAAGCAGGGAGAAAGGCTCGAACCGCTCGAACCGCTCGAACCGTTTGATACGTACTATTCGTACACAATGGAGGCCGAGATTAAGGCCGCCATTCCCAACATTGACCCCGTGATCTCGGAGTACTCGGTGGGCTACTTGAACCATGCCTCTTTGGCGTGGTCCGACGAGAGTGGCGAAGGCGCAGAAGTCGTGTCGCCGCTTGCCGAAGCCGCACACACCGTCACCGAGCTGCTGATCTCGGCGTCTGATCAATCCGACAATAACCTGCAGGACAAGATCAAGGCGCTCGTTGAGAAATGGGTCGAAAAGTATGCCGTAGCCAACGGCGGCGAACGCCACGGGCCGCTGGCCATTCGTCGCCTGGACCAGACCATTCAGGTCAGCACGCAGCGCAACATGTCGTCTACGTTGGCCGTCGCCAGTGGTGGCGTCGATCTCGAGTCCGCCAACGCCCGCAAAGTCGAGTCCAAAGTCGATCGCAAGAAGCTCGAAAAGGCCGAGCGCAAGATTGCTGTCAAGCAGCAGAAGAAGCAGTACAAGAACGTTGAATACGAGGCATCCAAGCTGCTCGACCAGATCGACGACGCCCAGTCGTACGAGGAGTTCTACATGGCCGTCAACCCGCTCCAGATTGGCAACGCCGGCGCCAACAAGACCAAGGACATCAAGCTCGACAACATCGACGTCTCGATTGGAGCCCAGCGCATCCTTACCGAGACCACACTCACACTTGCTTACGGCCATCGTTATGGATTGGTTGGTAATAACGGTGTGGGTAAATCCACACTTCTGCGTGCCTTGTCAAGGCGTGAAGTTGCCATTCCCACACACATCTCTATTCTCCACGTCGAACAAGAAGTATGTACAAAACGATCATCCGTGCCAAGCAGAATCCAATCTAACAACGCAACAGCTTACCGGAGACGATACCTCCGCTATACAAGCCGTCCTTGATGCCGATGTTTGGCGCAAGGTGTTGATGAGAGAACAAGAAGAACTCACAGCTGCGCTGGCTGAGCTAGAAGTCAAGCGTGCGCCTCTTGCCGATACGTCGGCAGACGCTGCCAAGCTGGATCTCGAAAAGGAGACCATGGACACAAAGCTCGGTGACGTACAAGGCAAACTTGCCGAAATGGAATCTGACAAGGCCGAGTCTCGCGCTGCCAGTATTCTTGCTGGTCTCGGCTTCTCCCCCGAGCGCCAACAGTTTGCCACAAAGACCTTTTCTGGTGGTTGGCGTATGCGTCTGGCTCTCGCGCGAGCCTTGTTCTGCGAGCCTGACCTCCTACTACTCGACGAACCGTCCAACATGTTGGACGTCCCCTCTATTACCTTCCTTTCCGAATACCTTCAAGGCTACCCCAGCACAGTCCTCGTCGTCTCTCACGACAGAGCGTTCCTCAACGAGGTCGCCACCGACATTATCCATCAACACTCTGAGCGTCTTGACTACTACAGAGGAGCCAACTTTGACTCCTTTTACGCCACCCGAGAAGAGCGCAAGAAAATTGCCAAGAAAGAGTACGAGAACCAGATGGCGTACCGTGCGCATCTGCAGGCTTTCATCGACAAGTTTCGATACAACGCCGCCAAGTCATCTGAGGCGCAGTCTCGTATCAAGAAGCTTGAAAAGCTCCCCGTTCTGGAGGCGCCGGAGGCCGAATACAATGTCAAGTTTGTCTTTCCCGATGTGGAGAAGCTGTCGCCACCCATTATTCAAATGTCCGAAGTCACTTTCGGCTACTCTAAAGATCACATTCTGCTACGTAACGTGGACCTAGACGTTCAGCTTGACTCCCGTATCGGTATCGTTGGACCCAACGGTGCTGGTAAGACAACTGTCCTGAAATTGCTCATCGGTAAGCTGCAAGCGCTGAGTGGTATCATCTCGGCCAACTCGCGTCTACGCATTGGGTTTTTCGCGCAGCATCACATCGACGCTCTGGACCTCACGGTCAGCGCCGTGTCCTTCATGGCGAAGACCTACCCTGGGAAGTCGGACGAGGAATACCGCCGCCAGCTCGGTGCGTTTGGTATCACTGGCACGACTGGTCTGCAGAAGATGGCCCAGCTTTCCGGAGGTCAAAAGTCGAGAGTGGCGTTTGCATGCCTGGCTCTCACGAACCCGCACATCCTCGTTCTTGACGAGCCTTCCAATCATCTTGATATCGAGGCCATGGACGCACTGGCCGAGGCGCTCACTGCATTCCAGGGTGGTGTACTCATGGTTTCCCACGACGTGACGATGCTGCAAATGGTGTGCACGTCGCTATGGGTGTGCGATGGCGGCACGGTAGAGAAGTTTGACGGCGACGTGAACCAGTACAAGAAGAGGATTGCATCTCAGGCTGATGCCGCTGGAGTTGTGAAGCAGCACTGATGTGGCAGGCAAGCAGACAACGTATGCATTTAGAGGCGTCATATGGGGCATGATTACCATGATGTAGTAGATATGTTTATCATCTAAAATAGAGCCAATTCTAGTATTTTGTACTTTGTATATGCCATTACATTTTGCTTTTCTCGTCAGACAATGGTAGGCGATTGATGATACGAATATCTATAGAGTCGACGGGAACAGAGTACGACTCTCATCAAGCTCCTGCCTGAGGTTCTCGTTGCCTGATAACAAGTCGAGAGGTGCAACGGAGTGGGGCGGATTTCATCTCGGAAGTGAGCCCCGCCGGTCAATCTCCAGTGGTGCTGGGGCAGCTTGCAGGATGGTTGAGGGAGAAGGAAATCCGAAATCAGCAATATTTCTGTCAATGAACTGATGAACTTGAATTGGAGTCCACTGGAAGATGAAAATGCATACTCTAATAAAATATGCATTTTATCACCTAGAATTTTCTCAGAGCCGTTATTGAATTGCAGCACAACAAACTGTCCTGTTGAGATTAGCCTAGCCCGTTAGGGAAAGGCGTTGGCTAGGTGTAAACAGGCCATGAGTGGCCAGTGATCACTGGGGTCCCTGACTGCACTGAATTGCACCTTCCCTGGGGATCGTAGCGGTGAACCAATTTCCACCCCTCGCAGCAAAAAATCAACACCGCCCAGCTCCTCCCTGTCCTACTCTCTCTCGCGCATCCACATATCTTGAAGCCTTGCCCGGTCTCTTGATACCCGTTTAGCTCTTGCATCCTCCATCAACCCTTTTTTAGCTTCTTTCGACATTTCAAGTCGCCATCATGCGTGAGATTGTGAGTTCCTCTTCACGCCATTGCTCTTGTTGACCCCTCCTCGACGCGTCTCTGTGAGCTTGAGCAGCCCCTGAGTGGTACCCCGCCGTACACTCGGCCAGCACAAACGCCAGGATTGTCGAGTCTGAAATGGGTCCGAAGAGCTCAGTATGTCAAAATTTGTTGCTAACGAGTTTCTTTTTTGTCATTTATAGGTTCACCTCCAGACCGGCCAGTGCGTGAGTAGCTTCCGACGCCCAACCCGAAGGCAAAATTAGCGGTATCGGTCCTGACAGTGTTTGTTTTCGATAGGGTAACCAAATCGGTGCTGCTTTCTGGCAGACCATCTCTGGCGAGCACGGCCTCGACTCCAGCGGTGTTTACAATGGCACTTCTGAGCTTCAGCTCGAGCGCATGAATGTCTACTTCAACGAGGTTTGTTGTGCCCTCCCAACGCGTTGCTTGATTTCGTTGTGGATACTGACCGCGATTTTCCATAGGCCTCCGGCAACAAGTATGTCCCTCGCGCCGTCCTCGTCGATCTTGAGCCCGGTACCATGGATGCTGTCCGTGCCGGTCCCTTCGGTCAGCTCTTCCGTCCCGACAACTTCGTTTTCGGTCAGTCCGGTGCCGGCAACAACTGGGCCAAGGGTCATTACACTGAGGGTGCCGAGCTCGTTGACCAGGTCCTCGACGTTGTTCGTCGTGAGGCCGAAGGCTGCGACTGCCTCCAGGGTTTCCAGATCACCCACTCTCTCGGTGGTGGTACTGGTGCTGGTATGGGTACTCTGCTCATCTCCAAGATCCGCGAAGAGTTTCCCGACCGCATGATGGCCACCTTTTCCGTGGTTCCCTCTCCCGGCAACTCCGACACCGTTGTCGAGCCCTACAACGCTACTCTCTCCGTTCACCAGCTCGTTGAGAACTCTGACGAGACCTTCTGTATCGACAACCAGGCTCTGTACGATATCTGCATGCGTACCCTGAAGCTATCCAATCCTTCGTACGGTGACCTGAACCACCTCGTTTCCGTCGTCATGTCCGGCATCACCACCTGCCTGCGTTTCCCTGGTCAGCTTAACTCTGATCTTCGCAAGCTCGCCGTCAACATGGTTCCTTTCCCTCGTCTTCACTTTTTCATGGTCGGCTTTGCTCCGCTGACGAGCCGTGGTGCCCACTCCTTCCGCGCCGTCTCTGTTCCTGAGCTCACTCAGCAGATGTTCGACCCTAAGAACATGATGGCTGCTTCTGACTTCCGCAACGGTCGCTATCTGACCTGCTCTGCCATTTTGTAAGTTGATCCAAACATGTACTGATTGACGCATTAACTAACAACCCTTGAGCCGTGGTAAGGTTGCCATGAAGGAGGTTGAGGACCAGATGCGTAATGTGCAGACCAAGAACTCCAGCTACTTCGTCGAGTGGATCCCCAACAACATCCAGAACGCTCTCTGTGCCGTCCCCCCCCGCGGACTTAAGATGTCGTCTACCTTCATTGGTAACTCGACCTCTATCCAGGATCTCTTTAAGCGTGTCGGTGAGCAGTTCTCCGCCATGTTCCGTCGCAAGGCTTTCCTTCATTGGTACACTGGTGAAGGTATGGACGAGATGGAGTTCACTGAGGCTGAGTCCAACATGAACGATCTTATCTCCGAATACCAGCAGTACCAGGACGCTGGCATTGATGATGAGGAAGAGGAATACGAGGAGGAGCTCCCTGTCGAGGGCGAGGAGCCTTTGTAAATTTCTAAACTTGAAATCTGGCCAAGGGCGTTTCTCAACCAGAAGGAGAGAATATCGCCCCCTTGTCTATTCACTTCGAGGCAGTGGAAGTAATTATTCGTCAGGGGTTTAGATATCCTCGACTCTGCGTACAATGCATGTAGCAATTGTACACAACCAGTCTAAAATACGAGTACCATAGTACCATTTAATCATCCATTCGAGTATAAGACCATGAATCAAATCTCGTAATGATGCGTACTGCAGAGTCCGATGTAAGCGGTTGGCGCAGTTGGCTAGTGTTGTTCAGGCCAGCCTCTGGTTACACGTGACGCGATGAATAAGCAGCCGAAAAAGTCGAGGCGCTGCTAGTCACAGCGCTTTGCATGACCATAGGAGAGGCAGGACGGAGTTTGCGACAGCAGACAATTCAATGACAGCAATGTTTACGCCGGCGAAAAAGGCGGCGCTGGGGCCAGCAATGCGCGTGGCATTGTCCCCAGTCACCTCGCTGCCCGGTTTCCTGGTACCGGCGTGGCAATCGACTGCTGCGGCCACAGTCGCGCGACAGTTTTCGACAACTGGGCCACGACCCTCGAAGCTCGGCCGCACGCCCATTTCTATACCCCCGGGCGTGGAATTGATCATAGGCGAGCCAAGAATGGTCAACAATATGACCTCATATAAGCCCAAGGTCGTGAAGACGATAAAGATCAAGGGACCTCTGGGTTAGTGCACGCCCTATTGCCGAGGAGGATAACTACGTGCCGTCCCCCGTGGGCACAACGAGGTGTGACAAGAGACAGGAATTAAATTGGCTGACGGAGGATTTCTGAATAGGAGAATTAAAGATGGACGTGCCCAGCTTTGTACAAATGGAGCAGAATCTCGAGGACAGCATGGTTATGCTGTCGGTTGACGACGCCAACATTTCGCAACAAAAAGAGATGTGGGGTGAGTTTTCTTTACCGAACAGAAAGGCTACATCGTCTTTGGACTTTTGGACTGGGAGTGCTAACGCGGTCTAGGCACCACCTGGGCGTACCTCAACAATCACATCATGGGCGTCTCCGAAGGCCACACCGCGATCCTGCGACTCGTCGGAGTCGGTTACCGAGCGACCGTGGAGCAACGCGCGAACAAGGCCGAGTACCCTGGACAAAAGTTTTTGTGCTTGAAGCTCGGCTTCACGCATCCTGTGGAAGAAGGCATTCCCAAGGGCGTCACGGTGACGACGCCGGCGCCGACGAGGATCCTGCTCGAGGGCGCGGAGCGCGAGGTGCTCATGTCGTTTGCTGGCAGAGTCCGTAAGTGGCGCCCTCCGGAGCCGTACAAGGGCAAGGGTGTCTTTGTCAACGACCAGACGATAAAGCTGAAGCAGAAGAAGATAAAATAGAGGAGAATCGCTGCGGGAGAGGGCATTTGGTCGTGGTGTGTGGGTGCCTTTTGCGTATTGTTTATACGCTGGCTGAGGAGGTCAAAGGTGATGATTAGGGAAAAGAAGAAACGGTTGCTCCGTTTACTGTACTATATATATTCTGTTGTAGCGTTAACATGGATGCATAGATACAAAGTTTCTACTGTACGGGATGGCTCGCCGCGACTGGTGCAGCATGCAAGTGCTTGAGGTAGGTGTGTGTTACGGCTGAGCATTGTTCTATGACGTATGATTGATTGAAGCATTGAAATACGAAACCATTGAGATTCGGCATCCAGTGGCTTTGGCTGACCCCGACGTGGAACTGATTGAGACTCGAATGTTAGTTAGGTAACTTTAAGTTAAGTTATTGGCTTACCAGCAAACCCCACTACTCAAAGCACACCATCGCGCAGTAGCTCCAGCGTTGAATCAAGCCCGCCGCTGTGTACAGATCCGTCACAACGCCACGCAAGAACCATTCATCTTGCGCAATTTTTGTACGTTAAGACTATCTGTTACGGACCCGTCGGCCGATGGTCCGTTGCACTACAGCAACAAGTGAAATCCATATTAACCCTACCTGTTTTTTCCCAGATACACCGCAAAGAGTGTATGCCTGCTCGTCCCGCACATCGTCGAGAGCCCCGCGATTCCTGGGTCTCTTACCTCACCCGCTCCCCGTTCCTCATCGCCGTCGCATTTGCTATCTTCGCTATCGTCTTATTTTTGAGGAGCTCCCCATCGCCTCTGTCGAGCTTCATCAGCAGCCCCAGCGACGCCCCGACAACACCGCCGTTGTCGCCGATCCCCGCCGCCGCCGCCATAGCTTCCCTCATTTCATCCGCGCGCGGACGACTTGCCCAGCTCACCAGCCACCTCCTCCACCGGGCGTCGTCCTCATCCTTGGCCACCATGGTTGTCTCGCCTAGATACGAGCGCGAGCTGCAGGTCGCGGAGCTGGCCGTGCAGCGCGCCGCCATCCTCACCAAGCGTGTCTTTCACGAAAAGGCCAAGGGCACCGTCGACAAGAACGACAAGTCGCCCGTCACGATTGGCGACTTTGGCGCGCAGGCGCTCATCATCGCCGCGCTGCAGCACAACTTCCCCGACGACGCCATTGTCGCCGAGGAAGAGGCCGCGCAGCTGCGCGAGGACGCCGCGCTCCGCGACACCATCTGGGAGCTCGTCCGCTCGACGGCGCTCGCCGACGCCGACGCCGAGAGGCTGCTCGGCGGGCCTATTGCCAGCGTCGAGTCCATGCTCGATCTGATTGACAAGGGCAACAGCGCGGGTGGCCGCGCGGGCCGCATCTGGACGATTGACCCGATTGACGGCACCAAGGGCTTCCTCCGCGGTGGCCAGTACGCCGTGTGCCTCGGGCTCATGGTCGACGGCGACGTCAAGGTCGGCGTGCTGGGCTGCCCGAACCTGCCCGTCGACGACGCCGCGCGCCTCACAGCTGACAGCGGCGCCAACCAGACCGACACCGAGGGCCACGGCGTGCTGCTCGCCGCCGTGCAGCACCACGGCGCCCACAGCCGCGCCCTGACGGCCGGCGCGCTCGCCGGCTCCAAGGCCATTGGCATGCGCGCCCTCACGGACCTCGCCACCGCCACGTTTTGCGAGAGCGTCGAGGCCGCGCACTCGGCCCACGGCGACCAGGCCAAGATTTCCGAGACGCTCGGCATCACCGAGCCCAGCGTGCGCATGGACTCGCAGGCCAAGTACGGCTCCATTGCCCGCGGCGCCGGCGACATTTACCTGCGCCTGCCGGTCAAGGCGACCTACCAGGAAAAGATTTGGGACCACGCCGCCGGCGACTTGATTGTCCGCGAGTCGGGCGGCCAGGTCACGGACATTTACGGCAAGCGCCTCGACTTTGGCGCCGGACGCACGCTGGCCAATAACAAGGGCGTGGTGGCGGCGCCTGCGCCGGTGCACGGCAAGGTCCTGGCGGCTGTGCAGGAGGTTCTCAAAATCAAAGCTTGAGCTGATGTAGAAGGTAAAAACGTCGAGAGATTGTAATGAAACGGGACGAAGTTAAAACAAGATAGCGACATGCATCTTGGCATGTAAAGGCCATTTTTTTTCATAGACTAGCTATCTTGAGGAGAAAATCACTATATAACGAATAAATGAAAGCAGAAAAAAAAAAACCTTGAAACAAGAATCAACGTGAGCTTTCTGTTGCCAAACTAATAGAAAATCTCTATATGTGGCCAAGTTGGACATGAACTTATAGGCGTGCTGTGCTGGGTGGTGTGGATAAAATTTCCAGAGGCGCCCCAATTACCGGACAAACTTGTCGACCTTTTCCACCACCACCCTTGTCGCCATCGACACCCGCACACAATCTCTCTCTCTTCCTCTCTCTCTCTCTCACACATACGGTCGAAACCGCTCCGTCTTTCAACCATGACGTCTTCTCCCGCGCACTTGCGCTCCCTCTACCGCGCCATCCTTCGAGAACTGCCCCCGCGACCGATCCTCGCCGCGCCGCGCAGCCCTCTGCATGCACAGCTGCGCAGCACCTTTTCTTCGTCTTCTGGTGGTGGTGGTGATGAAAGCGCCGCCGCCGTGCACTCGCCAGCGGTGGCCGCCGAGCTGGTGGCGTACCTGCGCGCGCAGCGCACGTACGCGACGCTGCTGGAGCGCTACAACCCGGGCATGGGCATGGACGAGACGGAGCGCGTGCGCCTGACGGCCAGGAGGGTAGGCATGGACCTGCCGGTCTTGGTCAAGGGGAGGCTATGAAAGGGGGGAAGAAGGAGGAAAAAAAAAGAAGCCGGGCTTGGGGAGGTTGTTTCCAATGCCGATACGACGACGACCAATAATAATCACATACACACACATACACACACGCATATGGATTTAAAGTCCCCGAGTTTTGAGAGCTACCGAAACCAAACGGCTCGGGACTAAAATGCCCGATGCTTTGCGAGCCGAGGACGTAAAGGGCGCAACGGGCACGAATGGAAGCTGAAGAGAGGATAAACACAATGTACAATAGTTATCCAAAGCAACAACATGTTGCTACTGTACTATACACTAACTGGCAAGGCTGTCTGTCGAATACAATACCCGTTTGCATCGCTTATTGGCCAACTCCCTTTGTAAACATGGAGCCCGGTGTGCTTGCTTCTCTGTTTGGGAGTTGCTTGCCATGGTGCTTTGAGCTTAAAGAAACTAGACAAATACATACGATACAGGATAGGTGTGAGAAGCTGGTGCACAAAATTGTTCGAGGAGTCATGTATCGGTCCATATTTTTTTCTTCTTCGTTTACTAATTATTATTCGATTGCGCGCTGTGGAACTGATGTATCAGTTTGTATATAAATCCGGCCGTAAATATCAATCTTGAGATTTTTTTCAAGCTCCTTGGGGGTATCGACATGTATCAAAAATGCACACCCGTGTGCATGTATGCATGTATAGTAATGGAGCTTCATTCTTCCCGCGCAACAAACTCGCCCTCTTCGAGCGTCTCATCCCAGCCGCCCGTCTCCAGCAGCCACGCGCGCGTGCGCTCCTTGACGTTCTTGAGCTCCTCGCCCAGCGCGCTCTTCCACTGCTCCTGCACCTCGCGCACCTTTTCCTGCAGATCCTCTGTAAGCCGACGCCCCTCGTCTTGGCGCATCTTTTGCGCGCGAGCCAGCCGCGTCTCTGGCGGGATGGGCGTGCCGTCAGCTTCTTGCACCTGCGTCTCTAGCACGCGCCCTTTGCCATTGACGACGGCTTCCTTGACTTCGTGCAAAAGGCAGAGCAGGTTGGTGTGCGATTCGATGAATTGATACGTGCTCTTTTCGGCGTGAAGGAGCAGACTAAAGAGGTACTGCAGCGGGTGGTCGATGTAGGCCGGGTTCTCGTCGAATTCGGTCGCCGGAACCTGAATCTCAAACCCGTCCAAATTGGCTGGGATGCTGTCTATCAGACCATGCAGAGGGGGTGCAATGTCCCAGAAAGCAGACAATTGCAGCGCAACGCCGCGCTGCACGGCCGAGTCAACGACGGAGCGAAACTCGCGAGCGCGGTTGAGGACTTCGTTTGCGTAGGCATGCTCACGATTGGAGGCGTCAGCAGCAAAAAACTCTTCGGCAGATTTTAGTTTCTCTGTATTGCCAGACAGTCGATACGGCGTAATAACGACGTCGCGATATCGGGCGTTGCGGTCTGTCAAGAGGTCGAAGATGGTTCTGTGTAGAAACTCGCGCGTCTCGAAAACCCACTTGAGAAGAGTCAGCTTCTCAAGGAGCTCCGGCCGGTCGTCGCCTTCTTCTTGAGGCATGTCGGCGTCATTCTGACCACTGTCAAATAGCTGGCTGGCCAATTTGTCAAAAAGCTCCGTGGCCTTGGCTATACGCACACTAAGCAGCTCGTTCAATGGCACAATGACGCCATTTTGAAAGTGCTCGTATTCCGTCTTTTCCAATTCCTTGGCCTTGTCTCTTTCCTGGGCTTCCGAGTCAGACTCGATGGCAGCAGCGTCTGCATATCCAATGTTGCCAGCAGCTGTTTCCTTTTGCAGGTTCTCCCTCAAAGCTCTGCGACGTTCGGCCGTAGCCTTTGCAAAATCTTCACGTCGCTTTGAGCTCGCCAGTGCGAACTTCTCTTTCGTACTGTCCATCTCATTGAGTTCACTCAAGCCGCGCACCGCTATTCTGGTCTCTGTAAGCTCGGGGTGGTTGTTGTTCACGGCGGGATGATGGCGTGGGTAGGGCGGTGGCATCGTAACCAAACGAGACACATCAAGGCCCTCGGTCTTTGTAGCCGGAGAGCATGTTGATTCAGTCGAAATGGTCGAAAACTGTTCTGGCTGCGGTGTCCAGCTGGGTTCGTCGTGGTCATGCCACCCAGTCTTTTCAGCAGGGTACTGAGAAGATGATCCTTCCCCTGCTCCTGCAAGCTCGGCGCCTTCATCAACCCAATGTTCTTTGGAAACGCCCATGTATTTAGACTCTCTTTTCGACCTTTCCCATCCTCGGGCAGGATCTCCGTTTGAATCCGTCTCCCACCAGCGACTGGGTGGTCTACCACGAGAGCTATTCTCGGGATTATCGCTGACACTCATACTCAGAATTGGCGAAAGAGACGGCATGTAACCGGTGCCTCCGTAGTTTTGGCCTGTCGCGCTTGCTGTCGGCGAATGAGAGATACCTGCTGACGTAGGAGCTGAAGTAGATACGCCATCGCTCGTTGAGCTCATGCCACTCGACTCCAGTTGCGAGCGGCTGGGGCCAGCTGAGCTAGGTGTCCAGTCTTGCGAAGTAGCAGAGGCTCGCCGAGAATTCGTCATGGGGCGGAATAGGTCTCTGGTGAGATCGAAAATTTCCGACCCCATTTCCCCAATTGCATTAGCATATCGTTCCCTTCTAATCCTAGACTCGTTTACGATAAAGTCGGCGAACAATCGTACTCGATCGGCGTCAGAGGCAGCGGCTGTTTCCTGGGCTGCAAAAGACCGAAAACGCTCAATCGTGTTGGCGGCAAACTGATCTGCGGTCTGCAGCGTTATTGCTTGTTTGGAAGTGGTAGTACCGGCGGAGGGCGGTGGTCTGGATGAGTCTCTTGGATAAGAAGCAGAGCCAGACCTTTGATTTGGCGGTGGAGTTGGCAGCGCTTTCGGGGCCGATGCGAGGCCGGAGGAAGGGCTAGATTTCTTGTAATAAGGCGAAAATGGAGGCGTAGCTGTCTCGAATCCAGGAAGTTGAGCAGAACCAGGGCCACGAGGGGTAGAGTTTCGAGAATCATTCAGTGCTATAGAGTCGCCCGAACGCGGAGGCTCTAGACGACCCGCGCTGCGGGGAGTAGATTTCGCCACGATTAGTCGTTTGTTGAGCCCGTTTGCCGTGCTAGGGACCACGATATCGGAAACATTATGGGTCTGAGCAACCGCGTCAATAGACCCATGCGTAGCATGCCGACTTTCGCTTCGGCGCTGTAGAATCGTTTTATCATGGCGGACGGCCCCAGTCCGGCTAAGACTGCCCGTACTGGATGCTGAGCCCAAGGCTTCTGTCACTTGATTAGAGTGTCTGGCGACCTCGGTGTCTATGGACAGGCCGGGAGATCTACGACTTTCCGGCTGAGCGGGTGCATCCTGAACATCGGTATCAACCCAATCAGCAGGTGTGGGCGGAACGGGGCCAAGGGAGGTGATACCACTGGGCGGTGGTCGTCGCGTTGGCGGAGAAATGATCGGCACTGCATTCCGGTCTACACTTTGAACACTTTGCGAACGAGATCCTGAGGGCGGCGGTCCTGGAGGCGGAGGCGGCAGCGGCATGCCGGGCGCCCACCTTGTTTGCGACGTCGAGCGCGAACGGTTAGTTGTCGGCGTATCGATAGCGCCAGTTGATGCGGCTCTTCGAGCTGCTGGAGGTATTCCCTCTGAAGACGGGCCGGCAATCGGACGCTGAGGCTCAGGAGCAAAGAAGCTTGCGGGCCCCATGCTTCGTCGAGCGTGAGCAGAGGGGCGCACATCTGGCGGACTGGCCTGTAGTTGCTCCGGCTCTTTTCGTCGAACGAGGGAAGGTAGGCCAAATCTGCGGTCACGAGAACCCCCCCGACCTCCTGCACCCGGAGGAGGTGGAAATGAGGGGTTTGCTATGGGTTCAGGCGAAGCATGGTGCAGAGCCAAGTTGGACGTTATTCTCGGCGACGGCGTGGACATGGGGCCTAGTACGTGCTCAAAGGCTGTACTGACAGGGCGCTGCTGTCGACTCCTTGGCGGGCTATATGGAGGAGGAGGCGGCGGCGCTGAAGCTATGCGAGGTTAATAAATGATTCGTAAAAGCAAGCTGAGAGTAGAGGTAAGAAGCTCACCTTGCGCCTCGGCGCCGTACTGAGCCTGTCTTTCTGGCATTGGCGGCGCACCCGGCGGCACCCACTCCTGGGGATTATACGGCTGAAGAGCACTCGCAGGAGTGTGTGCCGACAGAATGTGCGTTGAGGCCATGGAGATGGCAGATATAGGCGTGCCGTGCTGGTGGCCGGCGAAAGACCCAAGAGCAGAGGTGGTCAACGGGTTGAGGCCCTGCCGCAGGCGGGCTGGGTCGCGGGGAGAGGCCATTCTAGAGGGGGCCCGGTCGCGCGTAGCCGCAGCCGCCCGCAGTCAGAAAATGGGCTGAGCTTTTCTGTCACCGGGGCCAGCTCGGTTCCAAAGATAGAAACCTGTTTGCCAATTGTGTCAAGGTCGAGTCAAGAGGGAAAACCGACCTTGACCAGGGCAAACGATGCGGCGAGCAAAGGCTCTAACGTTAGGGGAGTGGATGCTGTGTGCTGCAGGCGGTAGCCACTCACACGGACAAGACACGTTGTGGCTGGCCCAAGCAGGTTATGGGGTGAGCTTTTCTGTCGCTATTTCTGTCTCGAATCCATTTGCGCGATCTGGGGACTTGGGCTCCAGTGAGATGCGTCGGCCCCTTGGCGTATGCAGGAGGAAACGACTTGTCTTAATGCCTCGGGCTGGACGACGATCAAGATGAGGGCGAGGAGTTGAGATACAACTTGCAAGCCACGAGGCGGTCAAGCTGTGGTAAAATCTTGACGGCTTGGTATGTAATGAAGACACAGTCATTTACTGATGCACAACTGATGCACACAAAGTTCTCGGACAACAACCCGCAGAAGGTTTTGCGCAATGCCGGGGTGTGTGTGGCGGGCCCTTGTCTGGTGGGTGTGTGAAGTAGTAGACCGAAGAGGAGGGCGACCTGAAGCACACTGCAGCTGATTACAAGAAGAGCACCAAGAGCGAGCTTTTCGTGGCATACCTACTACCTATAGCACTGCAATGTTGAATGTGCAGCAGTCCCACCGCGTGGAATGTGACGTGCCGCGAAGGAATACATAAAGAGGCTGGGACCGGTTACTAGACCAGCTGTTGCTGTCGGCTGGTCCGTTGCATACAGACGGAAGCGCATATATTAATGGTACATGGCAGCGAACTTGTGCATTATTTGCCAATCTTTCGTTTCAAAGAGGCGAGCTCAATGTGGCCATAACATGCTTAATTTGACGACGGTCCTACCACACGCCTTCAATTTAACCGACACCATTGCAACACCGACACTATCGCCGACTAGATTGGGACGGGACGGCCAGAAGTAGCGTTCAAACTCGGCAGGCAAGACCGGCTGGGCGAAGTGAGATTTCCTTGTATAATGCTGCTAACTCGTCGCTTTCGCGTTCAGTTATCTCTGATGCCGTAGTAGTCAAACAAGTGATATAACTGTGCTCGAACACGATCCAGAGGCCTTGAAACTCCGACGATGCCTAGATTCACTGAGATGATCATGCCAGCGGGCAACCGCGCACAGGCATATCCCAACATGATATTCAGTACGAGAGATCCCCGCTTACATGGGCGACCGGGAGAAGACTAAGAGCTGGTGTTGAGCCTCCGGCGCCGTGTCGTGATTGGTCACTAATGTGGGCAACCAAGCCATAGCGTGTTTGCTCGGCGCTTAATCACAGCATTTGTATGGTTTGTCCTCACACACAAGCCTTACCTTCCATGAGTTCCTCGGAGCACCAAATCGAGCAGCCGAGGCCAAGCAGGGTCCGTAAAGCGCAGTTCGTACAGTGCTTGCCATGCCAGAATCCCAGTCTGTGTTGCCTCTACCACTAAATTGAAGCTGTCCACACACACCAGTTAACTTGTTACCGTTGCGGGGTCTTGGCTTCTCTGTGGTTGCAAAACCTCAAATAACACTGAGGCGGTCGATGGCTTGTTGCTATTTTTATACTTGCATAAATGCCTGATTATTGTCATCCAAGCTGCATCCACGCTGTAGCATGCTGTGTGGAGGTGTCATGCAGTCTTGGACCTTGTGCAGCTGCCACTGCCGACGCTGATTATGAATTCGACCACAGTCCTCGACGGAGACCGATTTCAGGCCATGTCTGATGTTGCAAGTTGTCTTGGTGCCGAATTGATCGCCGCTTTTTCTCGTCATCGAGCTGCGCATGTGTTCCGGCATCGCAGTTTGCGGGGTGATGCCATCTGCAAGCTGTAGAACCGTGTGCACCTTTTTGTCGATTCTTTCTTTTGTCTTTTCACCTTGCTTGTTTCTACGTTATCGTGTCGTGCTGAAAAGCATGCGAGCGAGGATATTTTCCTTGAGGTTTGCTAGTCGCACGTTTGGCCGTCTTCCATTCCGTTGATACTTGCCGATAACCACTTCCTCGGATGTCGAGCAAAACACAATCGTCTTAACTAGCATAGACAAATGTATCTGCATGATGCCGATAATTTCACCTACAGCCTCATCAATTCCTCAGAGTAACCTTTGTCGATAGATTCGCTCAAGTTCGGGCGGTAAAACGGGTGACCCACTTCTACCTACTGTGGGGGCACAAGCTCTCGAAATTCTAGAGCATTCTTCAATCTTTGCTCTTTTCTTCTCCTCGTGCACAGCTGGCTGTTGCTCCTTCATCTCAACGCCATACTCTCACCAACACTGCCGCAATTCTGCTGTCCAAGAATGTAAGTCTCATTACTACCTGCACTTTTTTCGCTTTTCTTGTTCAATACCGTCGCATCCTGATGATACACCAGCTGGCACCAGTCATAGAGTGACTTGTACTCCCTTCCTTGATGACCAAAATTGCTGTGGTCTTAGACCCTTTCTGACATGCGCTTGTTCAATTACTTTTCTTGACATGAATCCAACGAGATGGTCGGCCTGCGACAGTTGACTAATCGATTACTTGTCAGATTTCTTAGCCGCCCGATTCCTTTCCACGACAAGCTCACCATGGTTTTGCACAACCCCAATAATTGGCACTGGGTCAACAAGGACGTGTCTGTCTGGGCCAGAGAGTGGTTCGATGAGAATCTTCTGAAACTACAAGCCGAGAATGGAGAGGTCAACGCCAAAATTAGCAAGATTCAGTCCATGGACGGCGACGTTGATGTCAGCCAGCGCAAAGGCAAGGTTATCACCATTTTCGATGTGAAGCTTGTCCTTGAGTACTCTGGTTAGTATTCTTCAGTTCCACGGCCGCCAACCTGCTAATCCGTGTAGGCTCCGCCCCGGACGCTGATGACGTCTCCGGTACCATCACCGTACCTGAAATTGCCCACGATACCGAAGAAGATGAGTATGTTGTAAGTAGATATCTGAATGCCGTAGAAATTGCCTCGTGCTAAGTTGTTCGTAGTTTGACGTCGACATTTTCGCCGAATCGAAAGAAAAGCAACCCGTCAAGGATCTCGTGCGTACGAAGCTAGTTCCCGAGCTCCGTAAGATATTCCAGAAGCTTGCACCTGCTCTCATCGACGAGCATGGCAGAGATATCCAGCATACTGCCGGTTCCAACCCTTCCAGCGGCTTCTCCACACCAAAACTGTACAACCAGCCAAGTAGTGAGACCAAGTCGACCCCCGCTACTGCCACAAAGACTAGCCCTGGAGGTGTCGTGAACACAACGACCGTCACCGACAACGAGGAATTTCGTACGACTGCCGAGGAGCTGTATCAGACCTTTATCGATCCCCAGCGCATTGCTGCCTTCACTCGTTCGCCTCCCAAGATCTTTGAAGGCGCCAAAGTGGGCGGCAAGTTTGAGCTCTTCGGCGGGAACGTCTCCGGCGAATTCGTCGAGCTCGAAAAGAACACAAAGGTTGTGCAAAAGTGGCGACTGGCTCAGTGGCCCGCCGCTCATTTTTCAACGCTCAAGATTGAGTTTGACCAGAATGATGTTGACCACGTTACCGTCATGAGAGTCACCTGGGATGGTGTTCCTGTTGGTCAGGAGGAGGTTACCAAGCGAAACTGGCTTGAGTACTACGTCAAGAGTATCAAGACCACTTTTGGGTATGTTCACTGCTTCGCTCGTTGCCACAAGTCTACTCTACTAATACGCTATAGTTTTGGCACCATTCTGTAAATCACATAATGCATACGAACGAAATATATTACGAAGATTAGACCAAAAGTCGAAACGCTCTAGACGGGGGTTCAAGCAACGGCGTTTGAGAAGGCTTTTACCGCGGCGGCGGAGGAAACAAGTCATTTGGGTAGTATCTCAACGGTCTACTTTAGGACCTAGCGGCGCGTAGACATGGTGGACAGGAAGGATAATGAATGGAAGAGCCAGCGCATAATTTTTTTCGCGTCACTCGAAATCTAAGATTTGCTTGCGTGCACTATATTTGTAGTTCTATCTATGTTCAGTATATCCAAAGTACACTACAGTACTTGATGTCTATTTTTGATGATTGCTCTTGAGAAGGAACTCTTCGTGGATTTTGCTTCCGAAAGGCAACTCTTCGCGAATTTTCCCAAACGCATACTCTCGAACGAAAATATCTGCCAAATTGTCCCTAAACCCCAAGTCATACATATTTTCCACATTTTTCAGCTTCCATACCCGCTGCCAGTCTCCCTCTCCAGCAAGAGGCGGCATCCCTTGGCGGACCACGGGAGGCTGCCCATCGGCCGTAGCGATGACTGCCATCTCGGGCTCGACAGGCCAGCGGGAACAGGAGGGCTCGATGCTGAAGTCGCGCTCACGACCGCGTCTTATGGGGCGTGTGAATGCATACCCGTCCGCCATGTCGTCGCCCATCTCGGACCATTTGAGCGACTCGTTGGTGGTGGTGCCGCAGTAGACGTGGTAGAGCGTGTAGAAGAGCAGGGCCCACACCAGCGGCGACGTGAGCGCGGCAAGGAGCGTCGTGGCGCCGAGGCTCACGTCGCGCTGCATAGCCCAGCTCCAGGCAACGAGATAGTTGTTCAGGCCGTAGCCCGCCCGCGGCCACACGGACCAGTCCGGGTACCTGTTTCTGACGACTCGCGAGAGGAGGGAGAGGCCGAGGAGACCGCCGTACGAGGTGAGAACGGCGGTGGAGAGGAGTAGCAACAGGAACCAGCGGTGGTTTTCGTAGCCAACGCAGAGATTGATGAAGACGCAGTGGTGGTCAGCCTTTGCGACGCAGCGCTTGCAGATGCTGCAGTGTTTGGAGCGCGCAGGCTTGAGGAGCTTGCACGTCGCACAGTAGCGGCCCGGATGGAAGAGCGCGTGGTCGTAGGGGTACAGCGACATGTAGTAGGCATGCGTCTCGGGCGTGATGAAACCAGGATCGCGGCAGCAGGCGAGGTACAAGAATGTGTACGGCAGGGCAACGGCGACGAGGGCCGTCAGCTTGGTGAGCCAGCCAATGTGTGGCCAGGCCGCGGGGAGAAACAAGTACTCGCCCCCGACGAGCATAGCGAGAAAGAAGATCTGGGATGGCGTGTTAGCTGGGGTTGAGGGCGGGCAGGTGGGCGAGCGTACGACTACGGTGGGATGCCTGTCATACAATACTCGGTTCACGCCGTGTGACAGACTACGGGAGACGCGACCGCCTGTTAGGCGCTCGTCTACGGCCGTGAAGAACTTTGGGATGTGAATCCATATTGTCCGGTGCAACACGCCTATCGGCGTATGACTGTCAAGTTCCCACGACTAAGTCAGCGAACAGTGCTCTTGGGACAGCCAACCAACACCAAGAATATGTGCCTTACCGGAGAGCTGGGATTCGACCGAAAAATGTTACAAAGACGCCAAAGGAAATGACCAGGATGAAAACGGCAGCTTTGGCCAGCGGACCCATGACTGCGTTCCTAGCCAGGTGTCGCCGTCACGGGTGCAAACCGCCCTTGCTCTAACAATTTTGAGCCTGCGCAGTGGTAACGATAAGCGGCTTGTTAGGTGTCGGGTTCTAAAAGACATTAGGGCCTCTCGCCGTATTCATGATGCAAGCAAGTGATGAGGCCGGCCAAAAATAAAACAAATAATGCACGAGGGAAGTACAGCAGCCCTTTCTGCTTGATGATGACTGTTCCGTTTAGGCTGGATCGAATTCTGGCTGGGGCTCTTGAACGTCTCGAGGCGCAGTCACTCTCAGGGCAGTGTCAACACGTGATCACGCGAGACGGTGCAATCACGCAGCAGGACGCCGGAAGCCAAAAGTATCCCAAGAACACTGTTTTCTGATGTCAGGCGGCTGAATAAAACCTGGCTGTTCTGGAGCCTTTCATTTCTAGGCCTGCCAGGACGCTTTTTTTTGAAAGATGCAAGACCTTTTTTTTGCGCGGCGCAGCAGAACATCAAACCACTTATGATTTTACGAGTAACGCGACGGATCTAGTTTTACGCGTCTACCGCCACGACATTAGAGTGCAGATATACGACCAACGACAACTTGAAAAGAATGTCTGGTGGCATCACATACAACGGTGTGCATGGAGGAGATGGAGGGCGAATCTTTGATGGCCTCAAGTTTTGGGTCGCGCATCAAGTGCCCACGCGCAGTACTATTCTGGATCATATAAAAGTGAGCAAACCCCAACAGATTCAAGACTCCATGCCGAGGCTAATGACAGACATTTACAGCGCAATCGTGGCATTGCCGTAGCCCTGGAAAAGGATGCCGATTATCTCATTGCAGACCACGCGCGAAAAAACGCACCCAGCGGCTCCATCTCTTGGAAGTTCATCACTGAATCTGTAAAAAATGGCTATGTCCAGCTCCTTGATCCTTACAGGATAGGACACGCACCGGCAGGGCCGCGGCAAGCTGCCTCAGGAAGGCCTACAAAATTCGGAAGAGTCAAATTTACGACTGCTGAAGACGCTGCGCTTGCGAGCTGGGTGCTGGCGCATGACAGCGGCCGAACAGGCAATGCAATTTACATTGAGTTTGAAAACAAGGTATGCCATGCTGTGATGATGCACTCCGTGTGCTGAACATTCAAACTGAGCTCGAAATCAGCACCCCCAACATACCTGGCAATCGTGGAGAAATAGATATACGAAGAAACTCCAGCAGCTGCCTCCTGCGGCTCTCGTACACTTGGCCTCGCAAGCATCGGACGAGCCGACACCCCAGGCCATCGAGGAAGCGCAGCCAGACGAAGAATTACCAGATCCCACAGCGCTCATGCTCCAGCGCCAGGGGGAAAGGGTACAACAGGAAACGGCGAAGCAGAGGGCAAGGAATCGAGCCGCGGCTCAGCCACCAGCACCGTCGCCGCAACCGCAACCGCAACCGCAACCGCAACCAACCGAAGACGATGATGCAGCCAAAAGCCAATTGTACGATGATCTCCAAGAGTATTGCCAGGAAGCTGGGCTACAGTTTTCACCCACGCAACAAATTGTCGGGCAGCCCGTCGAGCTCTGGGAGCTTTTCAAGGCCCTGAGCGACCAGAAACTGCCCGCCGAGGAAATTGACTGGCTGCGCGTCGCCGAGCAGCTCGGCTACGCATGGTCCGACGTGGATGTTGCGGTCAACGCCCTGCAAAGTTGCTACGAGGAGAAGCTCGCCGATTTTCTCGACATCATGGAGCTGGTGCCGACGACAAAGGGTGTCGGACCGGCTTCGCCGCGAAATGCTCAGATGCCGTCGTCGCCGCCCCCGCGCTTCTTGCCCGCGAAGCGGCCCCTGGACGTCGACGACGACGACGAGGGACTCGACATTCAGACCCCGGTCAAGCGACGCCGGCTGATGATCCCCCCCGAGATACCTTCGACTCCCGACGTCGATCGCCAGCGTCGGACTAGCGCGGGTGCGGCAACGACAACGACGCCCTTGCGGTCCGAGACTCGGCTGCCCGGCCTGCACACGCACGAGTCGGAGCAGGAAATGACGCCGTCGCAACAGCTGCAGTCAGAGTACCTCAACAGCAGCCCCATTCGATCGCGCTTCGACAGTCGCCCGACGCCGTCGCAGAGCCCATTTGCGTCCACCAGCGCCAACGTCAAGCGGCGCGTGCTCCCTCGCGATTTCAAACCGCGCGCACCACCGCCGCCACCACCGCCGCCGCCGCAGCAACAGAGTCAAGAATCGCCGTTCCCCGGCGCCGTCATCTGCGGCGCGCAGCCGCCACCACGGCCACCCGTCGGCCCCCCTGCGTCCGTCGCCGCCGCGCGCCGCCCCCTCAGCAACGACGAGGAGCTCGAGAAGCACATCCAGCACTACGAATCGCTAGGCTACACGCGCGCGACAGTCGTTGAGGGACTGAAGCGGACGACGATGGTGCTCGGGCTCGCGACGGTGGTGATGCAAAGCCTGCGCGACGGCCGCGGCGTGCCGGCGCGGTACGAGGGCGTGTGGACAGACCGCGACGACGAGGGCCTGCGGCTGGTGGTGGACGTGGGGCCGCAGGCCTTGGAGACGGACGTGAGGGACAAGGAGGTGATGAAGAAGGTGCGCAAGGCGCGGCGGGCGAGGGACAAGTTGATGGATAAGCACGGCGAGGAGCGCATGGCGCTGCGGATCAAGTACCTCAAGGCGACGGGAAGGTTGGCTGCTGCTGCGGACTAAGTCGAGTTGATGTTTTCTTGCCAGTCGACGAGTTGACGTTTCTTCCCAGTCAAGTTGACGTTTCTTGGTCGGCATGATCTTGCAAACATGTGGGATGTTGATTAGCATACAATGGCGTACTTTATTTCTACTTCTTCTTGTTTGGCGTTTATTAATATCAGACTTGTTTCGGTAAGACAGTTCATTTTTAGCACGATACATTGCACAATATCCAAGACGTATGACTCTTCTTCTCCCTAATCTTTTTAGAAATAATTGTAAATTGCATTTCGAATCGAGAGGGTAATGTGTAGTGTTTCAAAATCAGTGCATGGCCAAACATGTATTCGGCTCGCGATGCAACTCCGTCCATGATACCGCGAGAGAACCAAAAAAAAAAAAAAAAAAAAAAAAAAAACAAAGCTCCAGAAAACTCCCAATAATAGCAGATGGTTAAAAAGTGACTTGTTTCGACGCCCGGTATGAGCCGAGGTCGTTGAAGCAGAACCAGAGTCCGCGACTTTGCAGTTAACGACGATCTGGATTCTATACATCGTCCATCTGACCCGCAGGTTCCTCGTCGTCGTCCTCGCCAAAGCTGGCCACCGAGGACATATCGTCGTCATCTTCGCTCTCGGCGCCGGCCTCGTCGGCCGCGTCCTTGTTGGCGTACTTTTGTACGTATTCTGTTGTATCATTATTAGCATTTTAAATTTGCCTCTTCTTCTTCTGGTCCAGTCAAGGTGACCCAAAAAGCAGTGCACTCTGAGACGCACCTTTAACCTTGGCATCGTAGCTCTTGGGCTCGCGGATCAGGAGAGCAGCGGCCTCGCCATTGAGCGGATCGGTGGGGTTCGGGTATCGCAGGAGCTGTGGCAGAAAGACTTCAAAAATGTTGATCATGTCAAACATTGGCGACCAAGTCTGGTTAATGACGTCAAGGCAGACAGAGCCGGAGCTAGGAGTGAGTGGTCAGCCAGGTCAGGAATACAGAGTCAGGGAATAGTTGGCCAGAAGCCCTGGTCGAGTCAACATACAGCTCGTCAATGTTGGGGTGAAAGATGCGGTTCACGAAGCCAATGCTAGGCGACTTATACGGGTAGCCGTCGGGCAGCTCGACGTGGACTTTCCAGAGGCCACCTTCAAAGGGTGCTATTACATAATGAATCAGCGAATAGGCTCACATCTGGCCAGGCTAGGCGCTCCTCGTGCTTACTCTCGGCCGGTCCCTTGAAGCGAACAAAAAATTCTTGCCTGGGTAAGTGTTAGAATGCGGTGGGCGCGCCGCTGAGAAGCACACATACACTGCGCGGCTGGTTAGCGATGGGCAATGCCGGGTGCGTTCGCGGGGCGCAGGCGAATTGCCGTCTTACTATTGTCGTTGACCAGAGTGACTTCGTAGTCGCTCATTAGCCTGGGGAAAATGTTAGCATCTCGGTCGTGTCCTCCTTTTCAAGAAGACGGATATTCGTTGGGTGCGTCGTACATCCTAGAGCCGGTTAGTGTTTTTCAAAGAGCGCATTGGACAAGAGTCGCCAGGCAAGAGGGTTTCGTACTTCATGACCTGGATGGGCAAAGACGTGGTTAGCAAGAAGACGCTAGAAAGTAGTGTGCTTTTGAGGGAAAAGACGTACATCAGTCTCGATTCGTCTCCTGGGACTACTCATATTGGCGGTGTTGTTTCTGCTTGGCGTAGGTAGAGAGGGGGAAACCAAATACGACAACAACTGATGATTGTTTGTCGTCAAAGATGGGCTCTTGGCGGGCGGTAGCGGGGACCTTGCGACGTCACTGGAGAAAAAGGCGGCTTGCTGGCGGGCTTCCAAGGACAGTGACGGCGGTGGCGACAGCGAGTCAGGGAGCGAAGGTTGTTGATGTGGTGACAGGCAGTCCAAGAAAATTACCGTCCTTGTAGATGCAGCAAGAGTGAAGATGGTAGGACAAAGACAGATTGGAGAGAGAGAATGAGAGAGGGGCAGATGCGACGTCTACTAGAGTCTGGAGTCACGAGGCAGTTGAAGATTGGGCGATTCTGGACTGCGTCTGGGTGCAACGGTGGCTGCAATGGGGCGGGTGCCATGGGGGGACGCAATGGATGGGTGGCACAGTGGCAGCACTGGAGGCGGGCGGGGCCTATCAATGGTGCTGATTGGGGGGGCCTTCACAGTGGCCGAGTGCTGTGGATGCCCTGTAACAGTCACGGACAATGTAATAAGCTTCAGTGGCAATGGTGTGCTGAGCTAAGACGGGACTGGCTGACTCTATCCAGGCAAATACCGCAACCTGATGCAGCATGTATGCACGCATGCAGAAGAATACTGATGTAGTATTACTGGTATGGGATGCTTTCCACGTCTTTTGGCCACGGCCTTTTCTTTACGCGGGACTGTTTGTTGCGAGGACAAAAAGGCCGCAGTGGGCGCTTTCCCATCTGCTGGCTAATACACCCACCCTGCTAGGCCTTCTCTGTCGCCACAGTTCCGCCATGATAGATTTACTAAGTACTCCGTACAGACTAAAACAAGAGTAAGAGTCACATCATTACATAACATTACCGTGGCCAGCATATTAACTCTTGTCCTTCGTCAGCCATACTATTGTATTGGCCCGCTCAGCCTCAGCCACAAGCTGACCGCTCTGTTGCGCCACAGCTGCTACCTAGTAATCCACCATTACCTAACAGTACTGGTACAGTGTGGCAGTGCCTCGGCAACATGCAAGACCACGGATGCGCGAGGCATCAACACTAGATTACAAACACACATCGACACCACAAGAATCCTCTGTGTAAGAGCAATTGCCATATGCCATAGTAGGCACGCTGGAAGATGCCAGTGCCCCGAGCGCCAAAACCAAAAGTGCGGCAACTGCTGTGATTCTGTCGACGTGCACTGCCACTGCTGCTTGTAGCGGACGAGATTTGCCCAAGTATGCTCTGGCTGCCACCTGCGTAGAGGAAGCGGCTATCCGTGTCGACTTACATGGTGGTGCCCAAAAACCGTTGTCTTGTCCGTTAAAGCCTGTATTTTACTTGGCCGAAATGTACTTGGCCCGTTAGCCCGTCGGCCTCAGCCACAAGCCCGGAGATTTTTTGTTTTGGGCGCGCCACAGCTGCAAGCAACCAGTGCCTCGGCAACATTCCAAGAGCAAGTGATGCGCAACACGCTAATAAAAGACATCCAACAACGGACCCAGCTAACGTTAAAGCCCGGGCTGTCCGCTGCGTGTGGGTGGCATAGATAATAGCCCAACCGCAGCCGCCCGTGTGTCACTCCCCCGGCTTGCCCGGCCCCCCGGGTTTGTCTGCCCTCTAGTTGTGGCGCAAGCCGAGGGAGTCAGGGACAGCAGCCGGGGCACAAGGAAAGACCCCACGCGACCGCTCAGGCTGTCTCACCACACAACCCCAGAGATGCTCAGTTCTACAATGTAAAAACCATCATGACCACGAACCGGTTAAAACAACTTTTTTTTTTCCCGCCCCAGACAATGTAATCCATTTCTTTTCCCTCTTCATTCTCATTCTTTCACATTTGACCGTTGCAGCCAATTTTCATCTTTTTTCTTTTATTACTTCTCATAAATTTATCCCGCATTCATAGCCCGCCTACCTACATTTTGTCCCCTACCTTGCTACCCTTTTTTCTGACTGCACAATTCATCCCACCTGGCCACCTGCAACCCAGACGTCATGCCTGCCACCACCACTGCCCTGGCCCGGTCTGGCGCCCTGTCCCTGGCACGTGCCGCCCGCCGCACCAGCACCAACACCCTCTCGACCAACACACTTCTTCACCACCATGCCTCTACTTCCCTTTCTCTTACACAACATCCCCGCCATGGTCAGCCACGTTGGTCATCGCACTCGCCCATGGGTGCCGCCGCCGCCAATCCCCGCAAAAAGGTCACCATCAACACCCTGAGGTCGCAGCACAAAAAGGGCGACCCCATCACTGTCCTCACCGCGCACGACTTTCCTAGTGCCATGGTCGCTGACCACGCCGGCATGGACTTGGTTCTTGTTGGCGACAGCCTGGCCATGGTGGCCATGGGAATGGACGATACGAGCGAGGTTTTGGTGGAGGAGATGCTCCTACACTGTCGCTCTGTCGCCCGCGCCACCAAATCCGCCTTTACCGTACGTTTCTCCCCCCAAGCATCTTCTCTTCTTGGCTCGCCATTGACCGATACTTGCAGATTGGTGACCTGCCCATGGGCAGCTATGAAATCTCCCCTGAGCAGGCCCTTGAAACCGCCATCCGCTTCGTCAAAGAGGGCCGCGTCCAAGGCATCAAGCTCGAGGGCGGCCGCGAAATGGCGCCCGCCATTCGCAAAATCACCGCTGCCGGCATCCCTGTCCTCGGCCACGTTGGCCTCACCCCGCAGCGCCAAAACGCCCTCGGCGGCTTCCGCGTCCAGGGCAAGACGGCCGACGCCGCCATGGCCATCCTCGACGACGCTCTCGCCATCCAGGACGCCGGCTGCTTCGCCATGGTCCTCGAGGCCGTCCCCGAAGACGTCGCTGCCATCATCACCCGCAAGCTCGCCGTCCCCACCATTGGTATCGGCGCCGGCGCCGGCTGCTCTGGACAGGTCCTCGTCCAGACCGACATGACGGGCTACTTCCCCCCGGGACGCTTCCTCCCCAAGTTTGTCAAGCAGTATGGCAACGTCTGGGCCGAATCGATGCGCGCGATTGAGCAGTACAGGGACGATGTCAAGAGTGGTCAATACCCGGCGCCCGAGCACACGTACCCGGCTCCCAAGGCCGAGGTCGAGGCATTTGCCAAGGCTGTTGAGAAGCTGTGAGCTGGGGGATCATGGCCCCCCTTTGTCCAATCTTGGTTCATATATTTCCCATCCGTAGATATTGGTGCAGCGAGCGGTTGATTTTATAGATGGCATATGCATTTTTCGGCATTTTCTTAGTTCTTTTTCCCACGTCATAAAACGGCCATAGCTTTCTTGTCACTTTTCGCCTCAGCCAAAAGCTGGCGTCATGGAATACGCAACTACCAGTTGATCCTGACCACTTTTAAAGCACTAGATCAGTGAATTGTCAGCCTTGTATAAACGAGCTAGAAGCAAAAAAGACTGCCCCCCCCCCCCCCCCCCCTTCCCCACGTACCTGATGCAAATTGCCCACCACCTCGTCCAAACTCGGCGCAAACGCGCTATTCACGTACAAAAAGACGCTGTCCGTCTCCGCACACCGCAGCTTCCGCCGCAGGTACCGCACCACCTCCTCGAAGCGCCGCGTCGCCGATATCTTGCACACGTCCTGCGCCAGCCGCGGCGCCGCACCGACCGGCTTGAACCGCACCACCACCTTGGCTGCCGGCTGCGGGCCCGTCGCCGCCGCTGTCCGCTCCAGCGCCATCGCTGCCGAGGACGGCAGGTCTGCCAGGACCACCGATGCCGCCATCGTCAGCGGAATGTCCGTGTCTGCTTCTTCATCCTCTTCCTCTTCTGCTCCTGTCACCTCGTCGTCTTCCTTGTTGTTGTTGTTGTTGCTGTTGCTGTTGCTGTTGCCTTTGCTGTCAAACGAGGCGGGGGACGACGAGGTGCCTGATGTGGTGGTGGCGGCGGCTGCCTGCCTTGGCGCGGTGGGCGCTCTGCTGGCCATCGCGCCGGGAGACAGGCTCGATGTTGTTCCTGTATGTGACCGTAAAAAAGCAGTGCTTATTCTGAAAAAGAGAAGTGCTTTATGCAAGGCGTAGTGAAAGCGAGATCAACGGCTGTTTGTTCAAGAGCTGAGTTGAAGCCGTGTCAGTGAGGTTGCTCATGTGGGGTGCGCATCCGCCAATCCATTAGTTAATCAACTACACCCACCACCCTACAAGTTCACCAGAGCATCTTAATTATACAGACACAAAGAGTTCTTAAATGTTTGTGCATTTATATCATGCTGGTTAGATATACAATAATTAGCCTGCATATGTACAGTCTGTCAGATGCAACGGCTTCTGATCCAGACAGTCTACTCGGCAGCGGCCTCCGTTTGCCAGCTGCTTCACTTCCTTTACCATGAAACCAAGTCAGTCCAAAGTCCTCTCCTCATCCCATCGTCTGCTCCAACCCATGCTGTAATAGAGTGTCAATGACAAAAACGCCACTGCGATATCGCAGTCCAAGAAGTAAAAAGAATCAAATGTGAAAAATGCCGAAATCCGCCGTGCCGTCTGCGCTCTTCATGTCGCATGCAGTGCGTCGTAGCAAAATAAGTGTCAAATGATGGAATCTCAAGAGGAAGAGAGAAGTGAAAAATGCACAGAGGAACACGAAATGTGCCCACCCAAAAACTTGACCGCTAAACGTTTCTCTTCCAATGCCCAATGCAAAGTCCAAATCAACGTGGTATCTCTTTTCGGGTCTAGGTCGTCGCAGGAATTTGATTGAGCTGCACAATGTGCAGCAGGCAAGGGATCTCAATTCCTTGCCGCACAAAACTTCATGAGCTCGCGGTTCAAAGGCAATAGATTGTTGTTGAAGCGTTGGTCTGGGAGGATAGTTTTTCCGTGTAAGAACAGGCCTGAACAGTGCTGCTCTTGCAGCGTCGGCGTGTTGCCATGCCTTCCTAATACGCTGCGGAATCCATTGATGGAAATCGGGATGGACGCTCCAGCTGTGATAACAGGGCGTCCAGGTCAGTCCAGTTGTCGCCGCTCTCGGCAAACTTGCGATGCTTGCGTGACACAATGTGTTCATCGAAATCTCGGAATTTGTCCTGGCAGTTCTCACAGTAGCCGGGCTTGAGGTCCTTCTTGCTCTTGAGCTGCGAGACAGGCTTTCTCTCCCGCACCTCGGCGGCTCTTTGGCTATCATCCTCTCCCGCCGCCGTGATCTTTGAGTTCTGTCGGCTCATGGTCGTTGATCTACTAGATGCCACATCCATGGGGGTTTCTCCCATACGCCGCGAGCTCAAATCGTGTGATGGTGGGGCAGCCTTTTGAAGTACCTTTCTTTGCAGACCGTGGACTTCCTTGCTCGTACCAGCTTTGGCTCCGTTGATTCCGGTAGTAGAAGAAATCATCTGCGAGCGGATTGCGGATGTGATGTTGGAAGCCTGCAAGCCGGATGCAACAGGCTCGCCAGCAAACTGGCGTCCAATGTCGGCTCGACTGATAAAGGCGTTCTGCGGACGCATCTCCCCGTACTTCCCAAGAACGGCCTTGGCAGGGTTGAAGACTTCTGTCGCCGAAGCGCCGCGTGGTCTATTGTGGCCAGCCTCCATCTCCGTCAGGGATCGCTTTCCAGTTACCGGCTTGGGCAGAGGGTTCTCCGGCGGCTTCAGAATGGTGACTTGCTCTTCTCGCTTGACAACACGAGCCCTTTCACGCTCACGGGTCTTGCGGGCTTCTCGCTCAGGCAACTCAAGCTCTTCGACAAAGGGGCAGCGGCCGTTACCGACACTGCGGAATTGAGGCCAGTCACCATCGGCCTTGTTGGTAACCTTGGCATATTCGCGAACCATGATCGGCTTTTGCTTTTCGTCCATGTCCCAGACGTAAAGGTAAGGGCCCTTGAAGTAGGTGAGTTCCCTGTTGTTGGCTGTGGGATCACGATCTGATGGTCCATTGATGCGTTCATTGTGAAGAAGCTGCAACAAATTGGGCTCATGACCACCCTTGTTGGCCCCATATTGGCTCCGGGCACCGGCAACGCGTGATCCATACGTTGTGTGCTGCGTATCCGACTCCAGCAGTACGGAGAGCATTGTCTGGAATTTGTCCAAGGACCAAATCTTCTTGCCCATATCACGAGCCTTATGTAAGATATCATTGCTTCGAACGCCCCGGCTGCGCTTGATGAGGTCGTCTTGCTGTAGTGATTGCATAGGCGTTTGGCGGAATTCAAAGAGAAGTTTTCTGCGGGCGTCACTTGGTCTGTCCAGTAATAAAGAAGGATTGATAGTCTGGGGCTGCTCCTGGGCACGACCGCCTTGCTCGTGGTCTATGGCCTCTGCCTCTTCCGTGTCAGATTTTTCGGCGGGGATCGATCGAGTGGTGACGACGTGTGTCACGGCAATAGAGAAGAAGGGCTCTTGACGCTATAGAAGATAGTCAGCAGAGAAGCCCGACAATTCCAGAAAGAGGTGGGAACACATACAGCACCGAGGTATTGAACTCTTTTGATGAGCCTGGCTCGAACATCATCTGGAATGCTCTCAAAGTAAAAAACCATCTTGGGGAACTTGGCCCGGTGGTGTCTCTTCCAAATTTCTTTCTCGTTTTCAACATCGTGAGGTTTGGTCGTGGGAACGAGTTTAGATTGTCTATCACGAACGACAGGACGCGTGCTGGCAGTGATAGTGCCTCGAGACACGGCCTGAGAGCGTGGCAGCTTGGAGGGCGAGCGAATAACACGTGCAGCTCCATGGTCAAGAGCTTGCTTCTTGACAGGGGGAGCTTGGCCATAAGGTTCCTCACGTTGAATATTGGCATACGAGCGTTTCTGCTTAGCGTAGGCAGCTAGAACGGAAGCTCCACGAAGCGGCGAATTGACGACATTGGGGTTGTTGGAGAGAGGGACTCGCCGCGAGGCCATGGCCGGAATGGGAGCTGGCGTTGGAGATAGAGATACGGTTGCCATAAACTGCCTCACTTAACATGCTCCGGGTTGCTAAACCAGAAGCTTGTTGTGGTGGTCGACGATTTGGTGTGGGAGGGGCTCGAGGGCAGAGAGCGGGCTGTGACTATGCACGCGACGTGTAGGCGACACGACAGCAGACACAAGATCACAGGCTGGCGAGGTAATAATGTTAACAAGACATTTGGCGGTGGCGTGAGCAGGGGCCAAAGATGAAGCAAGAAGAAAGAGCACAAGGCAAGCTCGAGCTGTGAGGCGTGATGTTGATGGTGTGGTAGCAGCAGGCAAGCGGTCGTCTGGTGAAAAAGAAAGCGTGTGCTGGAGACGAGAGAGGTGTTGATGGAGACTTCGCGCTAGGCATAACAGCGCTAAGCTTTGTTAGGGAAGCCCGCCAAAAACACGCACGGGCCAAGCCGCCGCACCAGCAACGGGATGGGGGACGAACGCCCTCTTATGGCGCCCACAGTGCACAAGTTATGCATCAGCCGTGCATATTTCACACAAATCCAACCGGCGGCATCGCGCTAGCCCTTACCGCAACGGTAGCCATTCACCTGCCATACCGGCTTTCCACAGCGGATCCTGGGCCTGGTAAGCCTGACAACTGGCAGCCTGGTGGCTGCAAGCATAACTCGTAAGCACAACCCCCACCAACTACACACTGCCACAGCGTCTCTGCACAAACACTTGCACCGCTGCGCTACTACCTACCTACCAGCCACATGCACGCCAAAAAAATGTCACCGTAGAATTTTATGCACTCCCGCATCTCCCGCATAACTTGTCCCGAGACAGCCTGCGCCGACTTGAGCCGCAAACTTGTTCTCGACATCACCATTGTCGCTGCACACGCAAGTCTCCAACGCCTCTGTTTCTCCGTCTTTCTCTCCAGCGCTGTTTCTTCCCTCGCCGCTCGCACAATTGTTGCCATGGCCTGAGTTTCTCCATCTCAATTCCTCGTCAAATTATTCTAAAATGAAGCTCCATCAACCGTCATTCCGGCGCCTCTTGTCGCGCCCGTCAGCCATTTGCAACGCTGCTCTTCCGAGAGCCAATTGGTCCGCCACTGTCCGCGGTACTGGCCTGACCTCTGCTCGCTTATTCTCGAATCATCCGCGAAGACAATATGCCTCTGTCTCTGCTGCTGATCTACAATTCGGACAACCAGTCTACGAGACTCACCCCCACGTTTTGAAACCTGGCGAATGTCGGTGCTTGCCTTGATTTACCTATTTTGCTTTCATGCCTCAAGCACGCTCATCTGAAGGCCAATCGATTGCTGATTTGCTATTTTACTGTTGTCTCTAGTAACGCCCGGAATCACTGCCCAGGAGTATGCTGACCGCCGCGCCGCCCTCGTCGACCTCCTTCCCCAGGGAGCTGTTGTAGTCCTTCACGCTGCATCGCTCCAATACAAATCTGGTGCTGTCTTTTACCCTTATAGACAGGAGTCCAACTTCTTCTGGCTGACGGGATGGGAGGAGCCTGAGGCGGTGGCTGTCATTGAAAAGACGGGCTCGACGACGGGCGACTATACTTTTCGACTCTTCGTTCAGCCTAAGAATTCGAGAGATGAGCAGTGGTCCGGCTACCGCAATGGCGTGCAAGCCGCCGAAGACATCTTCAACGCCGATGAGGCCTACTCAATAGACGGCATGGGGTCCTTGCTGCCAGATATCCTCAACGGTGCAACCTCCATCTATGCCGACGCACAGCCTACAGAAAAGCCTAGCAAGAGCTCTATCCTAGAAATGTTCTCAGGCAAGACCTCATGGCCCTCGCGAACACCACTCTATCCTATTATGAACAGATTGCGCGTTATCAAGAGCCCTGCAGAGGTAGCCAACATGCGGCGGGCGGGGCAAATCTCCGGGCGCGCCATCACTGATGCCATGCGACGACCTTGGACTCGGGAGAAGGATCTGCACGCCTTTTTGGACTACCAATTTACCATCAACGGTTGCGAAGGCTCTGCGTACATTCCCGTAATCGCAGGCGGTGAAAGAGCTAACTGCATTCACTACACAATCAACAACAACGTCTTCCGTGACGGCGAGCTCATCCTCGTAGACGCCGGTGGCCAGTATGGCACATACATTACCGACATTTCTCGAACGTGGCCGGCCACAGGCAGATTCACTGCTGCACAGCGCGATTTGTACGAAGCTGTCCTCACTGTACAGCGCAACAGCGTTGACCTTTGCCGACAAAACGCGCGCATGTCGCTTGAGGACATCCACGGCTTGACAGTACGCGGACTGATCGACTCTCTGCGTTCGATAGGCTTTGACGTGTCAAATTCCAATATCGACCAGCTATTTCCTCATCACGTCGGGCACTACATTGGTCTCGATGTACATGACTGCCCAGGCTATCCGCGACGAGAGATTCTCCGCCGCGGCCATTGCGTCACTATCGAGCCTGGTGTCTACGTGCCCGATGACGAGCGCTGGCCCGCTCATTTCCGCGGCATGGGTGTCCGCATTGAGGACAGCATTTGCGTTGACGAGACTGAGCCGTACATCCTCACCACCGAGGCTGTCAAGGAGGTTGCCGACATCGAGGCTCTACGTGCATAGGATCAAGCATCTGCAGTGCGTATACTATTGTATATTATCGATTTGTGTAATTTCAAACAGGATGGGTAACTCGAAAATAGCTTCGAGGGCATTTTGGACATATCTGAGCAACGGAGAAAACATCATTACCCGCCTGACTTGCATCCGAAGTAGTTCACGACTCTACGCCGCACATCTAACACTTGTTTTGACAAAGAGCCCATGATCCAAAACAGCAGCGACCCATTCCTTCCTGCTGGGCAATTGCACCATATGCCAGTCATGATGCACCTTGCCAGAGATAGTTGCACTGATGTTTCTATCTTGGTCAAGCTGCACGTGGCATTTCATCAACAGCTGGGAGATGCTAAGATACAACTCGTAGTATGAAAAGCTGGCTTGTCAGTTTATGGGGTCTTTTGAAGTGGCGCAATTGCGGGTTCTATATCGTGTCATAGTGCCAATGTGGTTTGGAGATGACTATAGAACAAAAGAAAATGAATAAAGTCGGAGCGTTTTGTTCGCCATTTGGCATTGTTGAATTGTTCGACATTGTCTCATCTGAAGCGCTGCACCTGCATTAGTGCTTGCGTGTAAGCGTGGCTCCTACAAAAACTCTAATATTACTTGATGCTTACCCACCGTCAGTCACCCCGCGCGAACTCTGAACCTCCAACGTCGACATTTTCAACGCCCAAGCAAGCCATGGCCTCGGAGCTGCATCAGCGGCAGCGTCATGCCAAGTATGAGGCAGATGTAGAACTGGAGAGTGAAGAGAGAAGGGACGAGCGTGTTGTGGTAAATGCCTTGCATTACCTTTTGCGAAAGCCGCGGAACGCCAAGGAACTAACAAAGCGTCTTTTTAGGAAAAACTAGGGTACAAGCCAGTATGCCAAGACTATATCGATCAGATACGAGATCTGTCGCATGAACAAAAAGGCTCACCAGAGCACTAACTATGGAGGACAGGTCTTGCACCGGTCGCTGACAGCGTTTCAGAATTTTGCGACAAGCTTTGGTACGTCTGCCTTGCCATTCCATGTTTTGCCCAATGCAGCGAGAGGGAGGGACTGACTGACTTTGGAAACAAGCTGCTCTTTACTTTGTCGGAGGCGTCCGCGTTACTTTTTCTACTGGCATTGCCGCTGGTGGCAACTTGGCTTACTGGTATGCGACTTGTGTGCAGGGAAATGCGCTCGGCAACAATTTGACTGATGCAAAGGCAGGACGAGCTTTATTGTTACGTGTATTTTTACATTCATCACTGCTGCTGTTATTGCTGAGATTTGCTCGTCGCTCCCCCTTGCGGGCTCCATCTATCTCTGGGCTGCCGAAGCTGGGGGACCTCGATATGGGCGCCTCTTTGGCTATGTCGTTGCATGGTGGAGTACAATGGCTTGGACAACGTTTTGCGCAAGTAAGTAAAACCCTCAATAAGTGCCGAAATGGTGTTGGCGAGTTTCTGACTCGAGTCACAGGCAACACACAGGCTGCTGTCAACTACATGCTCTCAGTATGTATCACCGGAAATTGATTGACCGCGGTCCGGCTCTGACTCTAGCTGTTAGGAAATCTCGGTCTTTGAACTCGACTTTCCTTCGGACAGCTCTAGTATAAAGTTTCGCGCTGTACAGTGGATTGCGACCGAAGTGATGCTGGCGCTTGCTGCCATCTGGAACCTTTTACCTCGTCAGTCAGCCTTTAACCACCCACCATCCTATGAAAACTACACGTTCGCTGACAGCCATATAGCTAGATACTTCAAATGGATCTTCTACCTGTCTACCGGGACCGTCCTGCTCGACTTCATTTTGAACTTGGTCTGGCTACCCATCGCGACCAGCAAGACCTACGGCTTTCGCTCAGCCCACGATGCATTCATGACTACTTACAACGGAACTGGGGCACCAGCCGGCTGGAACTGGTGTTTATCATACCTGGCTACAGCCGGCATCTTGATTGGGTTTGATGCTTCTGGCCATGTCGCTGAGGAGACAAAGAATGCTAGTCTATCTGCCGCAAGAGGAATTTTCTGGAGCACTGTCGCCAGCGGCCTTGGAGGTTTTGCAGTCGTCATTCTCTTTCTGTTTTGCGTTGTAAGTACACACACGATGTTGCCACATGGTTATAATATTGATGGCATTTGCAGCCCGATGCCAACACACTCTTCTCATTTGGCGGCGCTCAACCGTTCGTACCTCTGTACGCTGCTATACTTGGTGAGGGGGGACATGTTTTCATGAATATCATCTGTATTGTTGCATTGTGGTTTGTGAGTTTTGTCTTTTGCGACTACCATCACCGACTCGAAGCTAATTGGCCTTTGGTAGAACACGGCGATTGCGATTCTTGCCGCGTCACGATTGGTATTTGCTGTTGCAAGGGATGGCGTCCTGCCGTTCTCACCATGGGTGGCCAAGATGGTTAATGACCAGCCTCGAAATGCTGTGCTCGTGGTTTGGGGCACTGCATCAATTATTACCTGCACAATTTTACCGTCGGCTGTCGCATTCACCTCGTTGGTCTCGGCTGCCGGAGTGCCTTCAGCCGCTGCATATGGACTGATTTGCCTGGGTCGCCTTTTTCTGACACCGAAAAAGTTCCCAAAGCCCGCATGGAGTCTTGGTCGTCTGAGCAAGCCTTTTCAGGCCATTGCCGTCTTGTGGAATGGCTGGGTCGTGGCTGTCTTGTACTCGCCTTATGTTTTCCCTGTCACTGCCGACACTCTCAACTACGCTCCAGTCATTATGGGTATTGTCACCATTTCTGCAATCTTGTCCTGGTGGTTTATCCCATCTGAGAAATGGCTTCCCAGTAAGCGAATTCAAGAGACACTGGATGCAGGGGAGAGCAGCGAGAGTATTACTTGACCGGGAAGATGGTGATGAAGTAGCATCGTGGGTGAAAAGGGTCGCAAGATTTGTCTTTGGGCCTCTTGTCTCGAATAAGAGTGTGTCTCTCATCAACTTTCCCGCGTCGCGTCTAACATAATCTGCACGACGAGAATTATTGCAAGTTTGGGGCTCCCTGTAACGCAAGACCGTCTTGCACTGATATGCTCATTTTGAGGTCATTTGTTCGTGAATTTATACGTCTAGGCGTAACAAGTAACGGAGATGAAGATATAAGAAACGTGAAGAACAGACATGACATATAATCCGAATGTAGTTAATACTCGTCTCAACTCGCGGCGCGTCCCACGCATCGTTTCCCAATGTAACAAACTCCGTGCTGTCTCTTCCATGCTCCATGCTAATAATAAGAATAGTAATAATGATCAGATGGCCAAACCTCGCAATCGTGCAGTACGAATACAACGCATTGAAGAAAAAACAAGACAAAAAACAAAAAAGTACAGATAGAGGAATCGTCCCCAATTTCCCAACTGCAAACGATAGTCGCAGGTGATAATAATACACGGTCGAAAAGTTTCCTTTCTAGACCGGCCGCCGCACAAAGCAATCAACTGTGCCGGGAATGTCTGCAATGATGCAGTTCAAGTCTTTGGTATTGTTTCTTTTCCCCGCTGATGACCAGCACGTATATCTCTCGGGAGAAACGCAGGTCAATCGAGTCGAGACCCTAGAAAACAAAAAGAAGGCCAACGCCAAAAACTAATGGCCAATTCGAGGACTGGGTCTGCATTGGCTCTCGCTCCCGTACTTTTGAACCCCGGCAGTGACCGAATTCTTGACGTTTTTTTTTTCCCTTCACGAGGCTGCTGCTGCTGCTGCTGCTGCGAAATGCGCTCCTTTTGCCAATATCTCGGTTCCATCAAAGTTTTTTTCAGCTAAAGCCGCGAGGGTCAAACATGGCCATGCCGTCGTGCGAATTCGCCGTGTACTGGGACTCGGGGTGATGTCGCCGCCCATCATCATCACCGCCCGTGCCGCCCTGATGAAGCATGGCCTCGAGCGTATGCAACCGCTCCACGAGCTGCTGGTGCTCCATCATCATGGCCCGGTTGGCCTGCTCCAGCTGCCGAATGTACTCGGTGGCCTGCCGCAGGACGGTGCCCTTGCTGACCTTGGGCGCGCTGCTCGACGTGCCGCCGTCCGACTCGCCGTCCTGCAGCTGTGCTTGCAGCGCCGGCACAGCGGCACGGAGCTCGGCGATGCGGTCCTTGAGGTTGGTGCGGTACTTGCGCTCCACGTCGTTGTGGGTGGTGCTGCGCTCGCCCCCGCTGTTGCCGCCGCCGTTGCCGCCCCCGCCCCCGCCGCTGCTGCTGCTCTTGGTCCGGTCGCTATCCTGTAATACCGAGCTCTTTGTGGGCTGGCTCGCTGCTGTCGAGGATGGTAGAATCTTGGGCTTAATGTCTCTCGGCAGGCTGCCGGCGACGCTGCCGGATATGCCACTGCCGCCGCCGCCACCACCGCCGCCGCCGCCGCCGCCGGGGCCCGTATGAAAAGTCGGCCGTGGCCAGGCCGCAGTGGTGCCGGGGGTCTGGTGAGGCCTGCTCGGTGTCGTCGAGATGCTGCCGGGAGTTGGGTATGCGTTGGAGGGCACTATGCGGTGCGCTGATGGGGCGTTTACAGTCAAGTAGTCGCCGTACAATTGAGGGTGGCTGCCTACGGCCGAGGAGGACGACGACTCGTACGGCGATGCGAGGTTATCGTCGGGACGCATCTGTTGGTGAGGCTGCTGTGGCTGTTGTTGATGATGGGACGGAACCTCGCATTCCCAAGAGTTGTGTGTCATCCGCCGTGGGACGTATTCTTGCATGCGATTCATTGTCATGGTCATATCTTGGCTTCCCCAAGCCACACTATTTCCATACAATTGGGAATGGGGCCCACCAGGCATCTGTTCTTGGCGTCCAAGATTGCTGTTGTTTGAGTTGCTGCCTTCCGAGGTAGATTTGCCCATGGCGTCTACACTGAGAGAGTTGTTGCTCCAATATGGAGTTCCCACGACGGGGTATGTGTCGCACGGCATCGTAGATGATGTGACTACTCCAATGGTAGAACTAACACGCGAGGTTAGCGGATCGTGGCCGCGTAACAGAGTATCTCATTGATCACTAGACCAAACCAAAACTGGCATAGCCTTGATACGGGGAAAGGACTGAAGAGCAAGGTCATCGAACGCACCTTGGTTGGCTGACCATCTCAGAGACTTGTGAATAATTGATGCTAAGATGATCGTGCGCCTCTTCGATGCTCTGGTGTACTGCTGGGCTGTGCAGATCGGTCGAGGTGTTGGGGATTGCGCCAGAGTGACGGCTAATAATTCGCGGTCGTTTTGATTCTCGTTCGACAAGTGCATCAGAGGGAATCGTCTGCATCGACGAGGTCGACGGAGTGGGAGTCGGATATGGCGAAGCAGTCATGGCCATTGAGGCTGACTGGGCTCCTGGAGAAGAGCTAGCCCTTGGGTCGCTACTTGCAGCAGCATAGGGTGCTCCTCCATCCAAGTCGAGACGCAGTGGCACAGCTCTAGTATTTTCCATGCTAGAGGATATAGTGCTGAAAAGTTGTCCTGTGTGTACTGGCGAGCATGCGCTCGGGTTTCCAAACGGAGTACTCGAAAGGAACAGAGGCGCACAAGACACCTGTAAAGACATGTAGATTTCAGGTGCACCGAAAGTCCGCTGTATCGGCTGTGATCAAGGCAAGGGGCGCTTGCCGGTTTACTTTTCCCTAATAGGAACTTTTCTGCACCGTGTCTCGAGCTGTTCAGTGTCCCGCAGCGAACTTGATGATCGTTGAGCGTTAGCGGAGCAGCCTAGTAGTATCCAATCGTAGAAATGGTTGCCCATAGAGTTTGTACGCCGATATTGGAGTCTAAACAACGAGATCCTGGGTAGAGTTGAGACAAAGAAAAGTTCTTGTAAATCAAAGTTGATAGCATCGAAATGGACGGTGCTGAGTGTATGGCGTGGACCGGATATTCGAGGTGCGAATTGTTGACGAGTAGTAGAGCTGTCGGTGGTGGGGAGGGCGGGAGGTCAGACTTAATAAGGCGACGCGAGATCGATCAAAGAGATCGGAGCTTCGGTGTACAAATAAAAGTCAAATCAGATGTAGCCGAGGGTTGGCTTTTTTATCGGAGCAAGGGCAAAAAAGAAAAAAAGAAAATAAAAGACCAAATCGAGGATAAAGCCAGGGCCTTCTTGCTAGTGTCCAAGTGTATCGTCACTCTGGAAGAGCTGAGTGACGCGTCTCAAAGGGGCAACAGCTTTGAGGCATCCCCAATATGATGCAATGTAAGGGGTTAGTCAAAATCATGGTAGTGAAAAGGCAAAAAAAAAAAAGAGTAAAGAGCGCTAAATAGACCAACTTGTTGTCTTTTTGCGGATGCTCCGCCCCCGAGGGTATGTAATGTACAAATGCAGAGCCACCACCAGCCCCAGGTATGAGATAGAACTGGGCCTTGGGGAGGGGGGGGGGGGGAAAGACTCGTCCACGCACACCCATGGTATGTACAGTGGACTCCCGGAGGAGGCCTACCGAGCTTTCGGCGACGGGCAAAGGGGCCGGCCATCATCACTATGAATTATGCCTATTTAGCCCTCACAAATTCTTGATGGTGAGGGAGAAGCCAGCCACGGGAAGCTTAGACCAAAGGGTACACACGGTGGGCGTGTGCTTGTAGAAGCCCTCGGGGAAGAGTACCACAATAGGCATATGGAGGAGTGTTTTATTTTCTTATTTATTTATATTTCTTTGCAGTAGGCTTTCGGGACGGAAACAAAAAGGGAAACTTTGCCAACTTTCACCCCCCTCAGCTGAACCAAAAGTTGAAGGGGAGTGGAGGAGATTTTTGTCGATCTCGTGCAGCGTCGCCTAGAGTAGAGTTTGCCAAGCGGGAACGCGTTGTCGGTTATCTCCGATTAACCAGCAACAGTGCTCGTTATTTAGGCAAGTTTATATGGTCATGTACATAAAATGTCTACTTGAATTGAATCCGAGATTGTATTTAGATACAGTAAAGTTGGAGACTTGTACGTCTGACGTTTGATACAGGCGATGGGCGCGTCAGGATAGAATGAATGGCTAGTCTGGTGGCAGAGACTAATGCGTTAAATTGAAAACAAAAAAAAAAAAGAAGGGAAGAAACAGATGGCGCAGAAAAGACACAGGCTCAAATGTCTTTCTCTTGCGACTGTGTGAAGGATGTAATAGATGCGCTTGTCTAAAAGCTAGCCCACCTTGACCCGTTTCCATCTCGGACCGAGTCATAAATCTGTGGCTGTCGGTCGGTATTGCCAGGATGTTTGAGTAATAGACATATCAGCGAAAGCTGAAACCAACGTAGTTACTGGTATACCACCCAGCCTTATGTGCCGTCACATGAGTAGATGAAACACGCTGCAAGCTAGGTCCCCGGATGGACAAAAGACTGTTTGTTGCTTGTCTACGTCTTTCAATCATGGATGGTTGACAATTACCTGAACTACATTATTTGGCTAAATAGTCAATCATGTACGCATACGGTTAGAGGCGACGGACGGGAGAGACAAAGCAAGATGGCTTTGGGGGCCTTGCTAGCGTAACGTTTGGGCTTGCAGCGACGAAGCAAGGGTATGCGTCGTCGCGCTAAGCGAATCTGCAGAATAATTACAACCTTTTTCACAAAAGGATGGGGAAGAGTCAACGGCTGCATGATGAATTACAAGGCATGCCAAGTTATCACGCATCCTGCAAGCCTATTCCGCCTGCAAGTCTCGCAAGGAAAACGGGACATGGGCAGGCAAAACAGCGTAATAGTAGAATGCCGCTAAAAAACTGGTGCTTCTCCCGGCAAGCCATATCTTCTTTTTTTCTCGACCCCGAGAGCGCTAACAACTCACCGTAGGCTGATGCTCTCTTTCTCGCGTTGGTTGCGGCTGGTGCATCCCATCGACAAACCTTTGGGGCAAACCCCCCTCCCCCCTGGCCCGCCCCAGATCCTTGCACAGCTCAGACAACGTAAATTTATTTTTCAAGTGATCTACGCGGTCTGCACCGGGGTTTGGGGTGGGGGCTTTGGGGTCCTCGGGAGCCGCAAGAGACGGCGACACACGGCGCATTCTCTAGTGCTGTGGCTGCGCTGTAACTATGTATTTGATAGGCTTGGAATTAGTCAATTATTCTCAAGACATTGTGGCCCGTCGTCCCACTTTCTCCAACGTGGCATGCCCATGTCAAGCTGGACAAAGAAGTGCCCTTGTGTCTCTGATTTTTGGCGCCGCAGAAAAAGCTGGGGCTCAGAATGCGACTTACCTTACGGATTACCTTTTAGGTAGTTAACGGGGCTGTGAACCTTTTTAAAAGCAGCTTGGATTACGGATTAGATTCCGTCGGAATAAAAAACTCGCCCACAATGAGGTCAATGATCAAGGAAACCTCACCGAGCTGCCCCTCTCCCCCTCCCTCCCTTCCCTTCCCTCCATCTTTTGTTGTTCCGGCGATCTGATAAGTTAGTTGCATTACAAAGTGGCAGAAAACACAACTTTTTTGAATGGAGGAGAGGGGTGGTGAGGTGAAGCCTTGGGGGGAGGGAGAGCTCTGGGTGCTGCAGCCGAGAAATCGTACGACTTATACAAGTTACCAGTCCCATTCGAGTAGGTTGGTTGCCTGTATGGCGCATGTCATTGGCTGAACCAGCTTTTCCCACCACAGCATATGCCGGGAGCCCCGAGAGGAAGAAGCTAAGCCAAGAAAAAAAAAAAAAAAAAGCAAAGCCTTTCCCTTGGCCCTATCATGGCAGCCACAGCCAAAAAAAATAAAAAATAAATAAAAAAGCCACTCGAGTCAAACTCGTTTTGACGCAACGGTTCTGCGCCGCGGCCGTTGGGAGTTTCCAGAACTAGCGACGATCCCCCATCCCGCCGCCCGTGGCTGGGAACACCTATCTACGCAGGCAAGTTGTTGGAGCAGTTTGTAACCCGCAGCCAAAAGTTTCGAGTAACTTGACCAATGAGAAAGGCCACAATTCACCGGGAGCGTTACGCCTCTGTGGGCTCTGAAAAGGGAACTAGTTTAATATTTAGTAAATCATCCCCGAGCAAAGTGATCTATCATACATTGGATCGGCAGGCAGTCGAAACAGATGCAGATATGGCATTTCAGTTGGCACCTTTTACAATCCGAGTACATGATTGCCGGTAACCCAACCCTTGCTATTGTCTCAGTCTCAATGGTGCTCACTCGAAAGAAAACGGGCAACTGACACTGTTCAATTGAAGAATATTTCGACCAAGAACACGACTGTGCCTCATTACGCAATGCGCGTACATCAGTGGAGCTCCGCGGGCTGCTCTTGGTCCGTGGCAGCTGGAAAGCGATCCGCCTGTTGGTGCGCCTTCAAGAAGCCCCCCCCCTTTGCCCCGATCAAATACGCCCCAAGGTTGGGCTATCGTTGTTCCAATTCATCCAATGGGCGTTGCCCATTCTCTGAGGGTTAATTAATTAAAACAAAGCTTTCCCCCCGCTCACGTTTCACTTGCTCCATCTCGGTCGCCCGGACCCTCACATACCCGCTACATCGTCAGGCACGGTGAACAAATTGTTGACAAGGGTCTTGGGATGATTGGCAACATGTGCAGTGTGCCGTATAGCCATGTGATGGAGATCAACTCGGAAACTCGCCGTATTATTCTGTGTAATGAAAATCAGAAGAAGCAAATACGTGCACGCAAAAAAGACAACTTCAGCACTTCCCGAACCCTGGCCCTTTTGAGCTTGACAGGTATTCGGGTCCGCTCGCCCACGCTTTTTACATTCCGTTCTCATCCGGTATCATACTGAAACATATTCATACGATGAATGATTGATCACACTGACGCTATAGCTACGAAAATACGATCACTTGTCCGTAAACTCCACATAGCGCTGCGTAAACTGAAGAACTTCCCCCTCACCGAGATGAGACCCCCTCACTGTTAGCCATGTACCGATTCAGCTTGTCTGATCTGGTCTCAAATACCCATGCTCCACATACGCTCCGAAATCATGGCTTTAGCTCTTGTCCGTTTGCAACTTTTTGCAGTCCATCGTTAACGTGGTCCATGTGGAAAAACCGAGGTGCTCCTGCATGCCCTTGGTTTTCACAACATGTGCAGCTTGATGCCAACTTAGAGTCACGTTTCCTTGCTTTCTTGATGTCGTGCTTCAGTTGACCCTTGTTATCGGCGACCTCATCTTTAGAGCCCGCGCCCACATGACTAGATAGTCGCCTGCATCGGGATTACTTCACTGCCGGATATGGAATATACCCGACACAGCATATCAATCTTGGGATATGTTTTTTTTAACTCTCTGCTATTCCTTTCTTCAAGGTTCTCGTATCTGTATTTACGTTTCTTCTGCTTTACCCGTTGTAATCCTGCGTAAGCAAGTCGCTCGCGCTTTCTCGCTTACACATGCAACTCACTCGGTACGCGATAGATCTGACAAGCGCCACAGTCCAGCGTCTCTCTCATGAATCAGAACTTGCAGCAGCGCACATTGAACGTTGACTTCTAACAAGCCAGTATGTAGGCTGCATTTGAAACCTTTGGACACTTTGGCAAACTGTTGCCACACCCCACCCTGGACCCTTGTGCAGGCCACCCCTGCTTATTTGCCTTTCGTCTTGTATCTTTGCGGGACGGCAGACTCCGATATTCGACTTTCGGATCTATAGTACTGATTTACGGAGAAATCTGAGTTGGACTCTTGATAGCAGAGGTTTGCTAAGGAAAAATCAAAGTTGAGCTTAGTATTAGAGGGCATAAACTCAATCGAATATCGCTCCCTGAACAGTCAGGCTGTCGTCTTGTAGACGTTGCTCAAAGCTAGCCAGCTCATCAAGTAGGAAAATACACGAGTAGGTTTTTACATGAAACATTGCAAGATACGTGAGTCAGGTCCCCAGTCTCCAGCTATGAAAACTGGTTCATGCTAACCTGCCGTATCCCTGCCGTAGCCCTGGCCTGTAAATATTTGGAAAGATCTTCATGACAAGGATAAACAGACTCTGGCAGAGAAACGAAAAATTACAAAAGGCCAGCAGGCTGATTTGTTTCTCTGTGGTAGCCTGGTAGGAAGACAGCAAATGCAGTTGATTATTCAATGAGCAAGCTTTTTACCAACGTTTGATCGCGGAGATGAAGTGATGTACCTTCACTACTACCAGCACCAGTAAACCGGCGGCTCTAGCGCTCGTTCGCAATTCGCGCTACCGGTTACGCTAAATTAAATCGATGCTAGCGATGATTATGAATGCCAAAATCATCATCAAACAAGCGCTATTTCCCAAGTTGAGTGCGACCTTTGACACAGCCTGCAGACAAGATTTCAAGGGGGCGCAGATGCGCTCTGCAGTCAAAACGAAATGTTCCGTATCAAATAAATACCTAGCCTTGCTGTCCAACAAGAGTCTAGAGATGTGTGCCCCCTCCCCGAGAGGGAGCCCAAGTGCGGTGTTTCCACTCCGTGTGGACCGAAAAGCCCACGAAATAAAGTTTACTCGCTTTGTGGAAATAGACAATTCCAACTGCGGAACTCTAGTCAAAGCAAGGGGTATGCAACCACGGAACTTGTTTGGACGTCTTTGATTTGTCTGTAATGTGATAGTCGATAAATACATTGAAATTCGGCAATGTATTTTACTCTGCGCCTAAGAGCACCAATCAGGGTTGACACTCAGAAAAGGGAGAGTCTTGTGTGTAGGTACGAATGGAAAGGGCAAGCAGCGCCGCGCCCAGTCACTAGGAAAGGGTCACAGCCCCCTGATTACCAAACTTGGCACGATGCGAACAATCAAACACTTTGTTTACTCCAACAGAGTGAGCAAAAGTAATTGCTTCGATTTCTCGAGCGAATGGTATGCGACGTTGCATTGGTGTTGCTGAGGAGAAGAGTTTGAAGCAAAACTGTGCCTGTGTTCTGCGCTGTTTGCCCCAAGCATTGTAATAGGTAATAGATCTTGAACAATCTTTCTCGCACGGAAGCTGTAGGATAATACTTGGACCATCTCTGATAATTTGCTTGTCCCCGAGTACCCAGAGCTGTGAGTAAGTGCGCCTGAAATCAGAGGGTTCCCTGATGGGCGTTTGCAAGCCTGGTGATGCACAGCTGTGGCAGCTGTCAAGTGCGCAAGCCGGTGTTTCTTGCTGAATCTCGACCGTTTGACTTGTGCATGATTCCATTTCACTCACGCAACATAACTTTCTTTTGTGCCTCCCACTTCTTCTCCCATGTCTTGATGAGAACCTCGCGACATCGGCCGCACCCATTCCCTCTCTCGCCGCAACAGGGCAAGATGCCAAAGCTTGTGCATGCTCTCTTCTTTACTCTTCAGCTGACGAGAATAGTCTCTGGCTTCTCTTGGAATGCGCAAAAGGCGCTGCACCGTACGAGAGAATGCCCAGAGTATCAAGACTGAAACTACCAACTGACACCTTACAGCGCATCAAGCGGCGTACGACGGCCAAACAGACGAAATAGATACTGCCCCGCCACCAAGATATCGATTCAAGTCGGATAACATCTATTCTGTTGCACTCCAAGAGCTCGAGAACCTCGAGTCTCAGCCTCTCTGTCACCGAATCGCGGCTCGACTCCTCGTGAACAACTGCCACTTGCTCCATGGCCAAGACGAAACGGTTGAGCTAGCCAACACTGGACGACTGACGCGAGACTTCATCGACTCCTATGCCGCTGGATTGGCCATTTGCGACTTGGAGAGAGGCAGCTTCGTCATTCCGAGGGAGTGCGCAAAGTTTCGCGAGCCAGCTCTGACAAAGATCGAAGTCGGCAAAACCCCCCATCTGCACGTTTCCACAGTCGAGATCGACAAATGCCTCGAAGGCCTAGCTCAATCCGACTCGTCATGGAATACTTGGATCAGCTACAGACACAAGGCTGTGCGTTTCTGCGAAGTTGCAAAGTCTGACAATGACAAGGGTAGGCTTCTATCGCTCTGTCATCCGCCTCTGTCGCTGATTCCAGTACTAGATTCGACCATTCATCTGCACAAAAAAATTACCGAGATTATGGAAAGATTCTCAGAAAAAGTAGAAGTGCAAGTTGAGGAGCAGCTGCGCCGAGTCGATCATCTTATGCAAAGAACGGCCGAGGCAGCCGACTCTCTCCTCCCGCACGCTGAATCGCTCAAAACCCAACTCGACGGTCTGGGTCGCGTACTCAATGAGCAATTGATAACCGTTTCAAGAGTATGTTTACTTCAACTCAGATTCGCCCTTCTTCAAATTCTAATTGGGAACAGCAGTCATCTCTGGAAGTACAGTCTGGGCTCCAGGACGCTACGCAGCTGCACAACATTATCAATGTTTTGCTTGAATCCATCCGAGAAAACCAGGTGCAAATAGCCATAGAGCATAGCAATGCCTTGCAGACGGTTCGCAAAGATACGCTCGAGGGAGTCGAGACTATGATAGCAACTATCGCTACAGCCGCTTCTTCATCGGTCCGGCTGCAGACTCAACTGGTAAGACCAAATTTTCGCACAGAATAATACCTGCTCACTCGGAACAGGAAGAAACGGAGATCCGAGCTGATAAAGTAATAGAAAAGCAAAATACGCTTGAAAGAGTATGTATAATCATTGCTCTGCGAGTACCCACGGGCTAATGGAAACAGAACCTTGATCGCCTTCACAAGTTTTCGCGCGAAATGTACCTCTCGCACAGCAACCACCAAGACAAACTTGATTCCGCACACCACTCCGTGATGAACATTCTAGGAGCTTTACAAGGCGTTGAATCTTCGACCAATCGAATCCAAAGCACAATTCTACGCGGGCCCGGCTGGAGCTGGTGGCCACACATTCTATGTCCTGTGGCGTCACTTTTCCTCGGCTCTTACAGACTGGCACCGTCTATTGCACGAAACCTTTTGCTTCTGGGACTAGGTACGATGTCTTTCTCTCTAATCAGTAAACTGGTGCTAACTCGTCAAGGTGAAATCGCCGGCTTGACCATTTCGGCCGCCCAAGCCATCAAGACGGACACTTCAAGTCCTTTCATCCACACTTTGCTACCAAATATTTTCAGGACCACGTTCAATGACACGACCCAAATGATTCACGAAGCTCATGATCTACAGACGACTCACTCGCCTCCATTTTTACAGTAAAGCTTTTTATTTGGAGTTTTGAAGAGGGATTTTATACCACGCGGGAAGGTTGCTTGTTACATTGGGATTTGGCGGCTTCAGCTTTCATTGGGACATGAGTTACATGGTAGAGCAGCTTGGCTTCCTATTTATTCCTAGAAGGATTGATCTTATTACCAGGTATTTTTCAGCTATTAAATCACCACCAGCCGAATTTTCATCAGGCTGGGGAAGCTTTTCGTCATTGGCTCGATCCGCCCCATCGTCTGTAAGTTATAGGGCGCAGTACTATGTGTGGGGAGAATTGTAGATCACGACAACTTTACACCTTGCATTTCTTGAGACGACGACGAGATTCGCGTCTTTTACAATGTCGAAACTCAAGGTTGCACTGATTCAACTCTATTCAAAGGTATTCACACCAGCCGTATCTTGAACTCCATCACCTAGCTCCCCGCACTTTCTTTCCCTGCCCCCATCCCGCCAAGCTCATACCCCCACCATCAACTCGTTGACTGACAAGCCATGCGTGCACAGAGCCTCGACGTGGAGGGCAACTACGCCAAAGCCGAGTCCTTTATCCGCTCAGCTGCGGCGCAGGGCGCGCAGCTCGCCGTCCTCCCCGAGTACCACGTCCAGGGCTGGGTCGGCGACCGCGCCGCGCTGCTGCGGTGCGCGCAGCAGTCGCCCGCCATCCTCGCGCGGTACCAGGCCCTGGCGCGGGAGCTGCGTCTGTGCATCGTGCCCGGCACGCTCCTCGAGGACCTCTCCCACCCTTCCGACGCCGCCGACGAGCCGCCCCTCGCCAACGTGGCCTACTTTCTCGGCCCCGACGGCGCCGTCTGCGGGCGCTACCACAAGCGCAACCTGTGGCACCCGGAGAAGCCGCTGCTGCGCGCGCCGACGGCGGCGGCCGCGCCGCACCACATTGCCTTTGACACGCCGCTCGGCGTCCGCGCCGGCATGCTCATCTGCTGGGACCTGAGCTTTCCCGAGGCATTTCGCGCGCTGGCCGCCGACGGCGCGCGGCTGATTGTGGTGCCCTCGTTTTGGGTCGCGCGCGACGTGGACGAGCCGGTGAATGCGGTGAATCCGCACGCGGAGCGGCTGTTTCTGGACACCATGTGCGTGGCGCGCGCGTTTGAGAACTCGTGCGCGATTGTGTATGTGAATTGCGGCGGCGCGGCGGCAGAGGAAGAAGAGGAAGATGGGGTGGTGGAGGAGGGGTATGATAAAGAAGGGAGGGAGCATGCGGGTGTGTCCCAGGCGGCGATGCCGATGCTCGGTGCGGTGGGGAGGCTGGGACATGGAAAAGAGGACATGAGCGTCGTGGAGCTGGATCTGGACTTGCTCGAGGTGGCGGAAAAGGCGTACAGGCCGAGAGATGACATGGAGAAGCGAGGGTGGAAGTACGATGCGGACGTGAGTGGCATTTGGAGAATGCAGGAATTGTAAATAGTAAAGCACAAAAAAGCGAATGATGCGATTTTGCAAACGGGGGTATCGAGAATATCTAACAAGTCAAAAACGCCGAATCTATGTGCCATGCAAACCAATGTTCCCTTTTTCGTCTGTGTTGACGCGCTTAATCCGAGTCGTATTCTACCAGCGCAGCAGCAGCACCTTTGGAGACGCCACGGTCGCTCTGCTGCGCTTTACTCTGCGGCTCAGTCAAGTCGGCACTCGCCTCCACATCCCTCTTTCTCTTGATGCCTGGTATCCTCGCCGGACCTTTTCCGTCTGCTGCCCTCTTCGTCCCAGAGGCCGACATCAAGAACGGGTCGTTTGCTACTCTCGTGTTCCCCATGACCTGCGTGGCAAATGAATCTCGTGTCTGCACTTTTCGCCTTGCTTCCTTTGTCATGGCCTTCTTATCATCATCATCGTCGTCGTCGTCGTCGTTGTTCTGGTCCATTTCCTTGCGTGCCGCCGTCCCAAACAGCGGCTTCGACAGCGCCGCCTCCGCCGCGTCGTCTTCAGGCGCAAAGTCCACCAGCCGCGCCCGCCGCGCATCCTCCTCCGTCTCGGGCAAAATGTCCATGCCTAGACTCATCCTCTCCTGCAGCGCCGCCGTCGCCGCGGCGCCTGCCTCCCTCTGCAATCGCTCCGCGCGAAACGTCCCGCGCAGCTTCTGGTTCAGCGTGTAGGGATCGTCCCAGCGGCGCCGCGCCAGGCCCGCCAGCTCGTCGATGCGCCGCGACGACTCCAGCAGGCGCTCGCGGTCGCCAATCGTTTTTTCGAGGCTCGCAAACGCGCTGCTGCGGAGCGTCTCGCGCTCCGCATCCGTCAGGATCGGCACGCCGCCCTCGAGCTCCTCTGCCGCTCGCGCGTCGTCCTCGCCCGTGTCGCGCCGCGTCGCGCCCGAGACGACCACATACGCCGTGTTTTGGGGATCGGTGCGCATCTCGATGGCGCCGCCGCACGCGGCGTGGCGGAAGCGGAAGCTCCAGATGGGCGTCGTGTGGTAGCGCCCCGCGGGCCGCTTCTCGGCGTTGAATCGCACGCCCTGCCCGATGAGCGTCGGCTGCGGGCACGTTGCGCACCACGCGGCGTAGGGCATCTCGAAACGCACCGTGAGGGCGCCGTCGGTGCGCAGCTTGGAGGCGCGCGCGCCGAGAGCGTGCTTGCGGTGCAGCGCGTTGCCGCTCGTGGTGCCCTCGTGCTCGGGCGGCACGTACTTGCCCATGTTGAAGCCCTGCATGATGGCGGATGGGCGAGGGAAGTGGGCGCGGGCCCGCCAGAGGGGTGAAAAATGATTCGAGGTTTAGAAAAGCGTAGAGTTTTTGCGAATCGGATTTCTGGATGCTTGTTGGCCTCGTAGGCTGTCGTAAAGGTTCCTGCAGGATGGTAGGTATGTTGCAGATGGCAAGTTTAGTGTATACGTATTATTTTGAGGGAGGCGGACATCATCGCATAAGTGGTGGGGCACACCGTCACTTACACCAGAACCCACGCAACGTAAACCGAGCAGTCTACAGTTTTACTAAGACCCTTCGTCTGCTCTTCGCACTTCTTCCTTCGCTCTTACACTTCGATAGGCGGGCACGTGGCAAAGTACATAACCTCGACCGATTAGCAAAGGGTTCTCGGCGGATAACACAACTTTAACCAATTATCTAACAATCAAGACCGGCTTTAGTCAAGTAGCTGTGGCTGACTGGCTCTTAGTTTACTGGCTGGTGATTGACTAGATGGCGATTAACTGGCTGATTAACTGGCTAAACTAGCTGTTGGTTAAGACTGGCTGACGAATTAAATGGTTGTTGGTTACTAACTATCTAGTGAGCATTACCAGTTACGCATCTGTAACGCATCCTCGCCACCTGTCAAACGGGATGAACATCAGGCACAGGAAAGGGCGAGGTACTTACAATAGGGCTGAATTTGTTAACAATAGCAGGTACACACCCCATAAGGGAGCACATAGATAGCTCAACCTTGGTCGAATAAAGCTCAGCCTTGGTCGAAGTGAGGCAACAATGGCGGTGAGTACCTATGCGCTGCAGGTCCTTTGCATAAGGTATGGCTATTACAACAGCAAGCTGCCAGAGTCAACACTGCCAGAGTCAACAGCGCCAGAGTCAACAGCGCCAGAGTCAACAGCGCCAGAGTCAACAGCGCCAAAGTTAATAGCCTCATATATCTACATATTTCCTGTATGATAGGCATATGCTAGGGTTACTATACCAAGTAATTAAAGCAGCTGTAACGCATCTGCAATCGAGCATCATTTTTCTGCCGTTTTTTGTCCCACTTTCACCAAAGTTGAGCTGGTCCCCCCCCCCCCCCCCCCCCCACTAAGAGTGTACCCCAGGTGTCCTTGTATAACAGCTTCTTCTCTCTTCAGTCAACACCGTGCGGCAGTCGGGTCCCCCCGGCTCTGCACGGCGCGCGTCAGCAGATTCGTAAACCAGGGCTCAAACACATCTTTCACCCATGCTCCGAGCGCCATCATTGAAGCTTGGAGCTGATAGATGCCTAACATGGAGTTTGTGTCACCAATCACGTAGTCTTCGTCGATGATGCGCTAAGAGCAGCATGTCAGTTGAGAGAAGAAACAAGGAAAAAAAGTTGGGAAGATGGTTACAATATGCGTGCCATGGTCCACCACGAACGACACCGACCACGCGCTGTCCATGACCTGAATCACCGGTAGCGTCAGGAGCTTCTCTTCTTCAGCTCCTGCTAGCGCCATAATGGAGCGCATACGCTCGCGCCATGCGGCGACCCAGATGCCCAGCTGCACGTTGGCGTTCTCCTTGGTGCCCGACACCGTCCTGGTCTCGATGAAGATGGGCGCGGGTCGCGTGCGCAGCGGCTCGTAGCGCGTTTGGTTGATCGACTGCGTCTCCCAAGGTTCTCCTTTGAGGAACTGGTCAATCAGTGTCTGCAGCACAGACGAGGGATGCACCACCAGGGCAAAGTTGACCATCTTATGAACTGACGTTGCCGAAGCAGCGGTCAGCCCGCGTCCCGACGTGTTGCTGGCAGCGAGACTGGCCGCCGCCGCCGACGTTTGCTCGCTGGACGACAATTTTGGGCAAAAAGCCGACATGATTCGCGCCGAGGTGATGTCTTCGAATTTGAGGTGCTGCATGTGCTGGGTTACGTGCTTGAGAAGGTGGCTATGCACGAGCGAGTTCCACGCGGCCTCGGACCTATGTGTCTCGGCCGACTCGCGTGATTCGTCCACAACGTCGCGGAGCCGCTCGTGGTTTTGAAGCACCGCGTCGCGTTCGGCGGCGCTCCAGGTCTCGACATCGTCGTCGGATAATCATGTTTGACGTCGAACCCGCGTGTTGCCTTGAAAGTCGGGGTGCGAACGCAGGACCGCTGGCAGCAGCGACTCCTTGGCCTCAACGGCGGATAGTGCCTCTCGCAGCTCCATAATGTCGGCAGGTATGGCGACCCCGGGCGCAGGTGTGAAGAACTCGACCGGCACCTCAAGGCTACGCAGGCTAGCCATCTTCTAGAACGGTTCGGGAGGAGAACTTCTTCGCCTATTACAAGTTAGACTTGGCATGGTAGAATGTCTATGCGATAGACATACGGAGGAAAAAAACAGGGATTATATAGCTGCCATTAGAGAAGATGCCCGCCGGCGCCGCCGCTGCCGTTACTTAAGATGTGTGTAATACCGCTGACAGTGATGCCTACAGTTCGAACCCTCATTTATTGGATTGCTTGGTTGTTTTGATGGGAGGAAAGCAGCTATGATGAAGGAGGTGAGTTGTGCTAGAAAGTTAGAATATCGCGACTTTGGCGGCGTGGTGTTGAAGTTAGCGTTCAGTGATTCTGCCTCCTGATTGGCCATTCCTTTTTTTGGCTGAGATTGCTAGCGTGGCGCTAAACCAAGAAGGGTATAGTAGACCCTTGATAATTTAGTTTAGCAGCCCTCTGTGCCCTCCACCATCTCATCAGCCTTGTCTGAACGGGAGTGCATAGTACATATCAATGCACTAATCATTCTGTGCTCATACTCTGATACGTGACAGCAGTAAACCCCAAGCCCAGAGGGGTCAAGAGGGGCGTTTTTTCGAAGGCGGTAAGGATGCGTTGCAGATGCGCCGAAGGTCCTCTACAGATGGTAGGTACAGAGCCAGTCAATCAACAGCCAGTCAATCACAGCCAGTCAATCAACAGCCATCTAACTAGTAGCTAGAATCCTAATTAAATAGCTGTTGATTGACTAGCTGTTGATAACTGGCTGTTGGTTAACTGGCTATTGCAGTATCATCACCTCTGCAAAGGACCTGTAATCAAGCTGCAATTTTCTGCCACTTTTTGCCCCGCTCGGACTTGGCCTCTGACCCCTCTGGACTTGAGATTCAAGTACTACCTGCCTGCCCCTCTGATACCCATTCAAGTATCCTAAACTTGTGCCGCTACATTTTGACCGCAAAGCTCGGCGGGCGGTCCTCCATCTTCGATCCCCAGCTCGACTCCTCCTCCCCAAGCTCCAACTCTAGCGTCCACCCCTCTGTAAAGAACTCGTGTCCGATCCACGACCTTGTCCACGGCGCCCCATTCACCGTCGCGCTCTGCACGTATACCCTCTTGTAACTGGCATCAAAATTGCTGCACCGCACCGTCGCCGTTTTGCCCGTCTGCGGGCTCGTGATGCTCACCTCTTCAAAAAAAGGCGCGCTAATCAGGTACACGTTTTGCCCGGCGACAGGGAACAGGCCGAGCACGGAAAAGAAGAGAAAGGAGCCCATGGCGCCTGAATCGTCGTTGCCGGGCAGACCGCCCGGGGAGGAATTAAACGACTTGGGAATGTAGGTATGGATACGCCGCGTAGACAGCGCCGGACGGCCGGCGTAATGGTACATGTAGACGGTCAGGAAGACGGGCTCGTTGGAGATGTCGGCGAGGCCGACGGTGTGGAAGTAGTCGAGGCGCTTGATGAAGGCGTCGTCGCCGCCGAGCAGGTCGATGAGAGCGGCAGTGGAGTGAGGGACGTAGCTGACATGGCGTATTATTAGTAGGATGAACCAAAGCTCAGAGAGGGAGGTGACGTACAAGAGATACTGCCAGATGCTGGCCTCGAATGTCTCGCTTGGATTCGTCGTCAGCGAGCAAAAGCTCGCCAGCGCCGAACACGCAATCGGATCCTGGAACCCCCAAGTGCCATTCTGATATTTCGGCTGAAAAAAACCTCTAAAACCCGTATCCGTGCTATTAATCACTGACGTCTGATCCTCCTTCCACAGATTCAGCCAATTCGTACTCCTTCTTGAATACTTTTCTTTCAGCTCCGCCTTCCCCATGCCCCCCGCCATGGTCGCGATACAATAATCATTATACGCGTACTCCAGCGTGCGCGAGACACTTCTCGAGTTCGTGCCGAACCCGAGCGGGTCGTAGTCGAGGTAAGGGATGTAGTTGAGCGCTTTCCAGCTGCGCAGGCCGCCGCGGCCGTGGACCGACCACTCGAGCGGCTCGTCTTCGGCGTCGGCGAGAACGGCGCGGAGTGCAACGTTCCAGTCGATGGACGTGGAGAGGTTCTTGTGAAAGGCGTCGGCGAGGACGACGTCGGCGTTGGACCCGCCCTGCGTCCAGCCGCTGCAGAGCGACATGTGGCAGTCGGGAAGCCAGCCGTCGTGGACGTAGATGTCGAGCAGGGTGTTGACCATTTGCGCCTGCGCGGTCGGGTCGACGACGGTCAGGAAAGGGTGCTGGACGCGGAACGCATCCCACATGCTGTCGTCCTATTAATATGACTCTCCAGAAAGCAATATCGGGGAATCTCACCAGTAGAACGAGTCAAAGTACGGCCGTCCCGTATCCCAGTGCGGGTTCTCACCCGTATAATTCTGCGGTGAAATCATGTTGCGGTACGCACCGCTCCAGAAGCTCTTCTGCAGATCTTCGGTCGCACCGCCACTTTTTATACTAATCAGACTCAGCTTCTCCCTCCACTTCTCCCTCGCTCCGTCCACCAGCTTTCCAAACTTGCCTTCGTCCAGCGGGTATTCAATTTCCGTCTCGGCGCTGCGGCACGCCTGCTCGCCGCTCTTGAAACTCACCCCCACCCGCGCCGTCACTGTGCGGTCCTTGCCGGTCGTTTTGAACCGCACCCAGCCGCCCGCCTCCACGTAGAACAAGTTAAAGCCGCGCGTCACGTACAACTCCTTTGGGTCGGTGCCGCCGCGGCTATTGACCCACACGCCGGTATCGTGGACATGCGCGCCGAAGAAGTCGACGCAGAAATGCAGCACGTACGAGCCGGCGCCAAAACTCGGTAGAAACGTGCCGTTGCCCGTCATGCGTCCCGTGTCCGGGTCCACACGAATCGACGCGTTCTGGCGGCTCTTCCACAGATCCGTCAAGTCTAGCAGGATATGTGGGTGCGCATCGCCTTGCGGAAATGTGAAGCGATACAGCGCCGCGTGCTCCGACACCGTCATTTCCGCGTGGATGCCTGAGGCGAGCTCAATCGCAAAACGGCCTGGCGTCGCCTGCACGGAATCATTCACGTACCGCTCTTTGCGCTCGCCGATGCGGTACTTGCAAGCGTCGAGGGCGTCGTCGGGGCAGAGCTGCGGAAAGAGGGGAAAATTGCCAAGGCTCGGGTTGCCTCCGGTGCCGCTGTCGTGAAGGCTCGAGAAGCCGGTGATGTTGCTGCCGTCGGTGGCAAAGCCACCCGTATTTTGGCCGTCGACTTCGGCGACAGCCTTGGCGAGGCCATAGGGCAGCGTTGCGCCGGCAAAGACGTTGCCGCCGTCCTGGGAGCCGATCAGAGGGTCGACATACGCGAGCGGATCGATTGCTGTGGCGGCCGACAGTCCTGTGAGGAAGCAAGAAAGGAAGCAAGTGATACGGCGCATGATTGGTATGATTCAGACGTGTAGATGACAATTCAGAAAGAATGATTCCATGGAATACCTTTGCACCAGTCGCAGGATAGAGAAATATTCGACGCGTTTGCTTCGCAGCAGCAGGGAAGAGGAAACAACTTCAAGAAGAGTCCACCCCCCGCGCTCGGCAAGACATGATCGGCGCGACTTGTACAGAGGCCTTCTTTGTGCAGTAGTTGGAGCAACAAGGCACTTCGGAGCGGAGAGGAGGTCATGCGGGGAAGGACCAAGGTCGCATCCCACAATGTAACTCTACAAGGCGGGGGTGGCCAGGTTGCCAGGCTAATAAGCAACTTGGGCTATGCTATACGCGCGGAACCTTTTGGGAGAGAAAACATCTCAAAGGGTGGCGAGGAAACTGCGTTTGTTATTAGCGAAAAACAAACTCCGACCAGCTTACTGTGAACGAGGATGGCTAGCGGAAGCCTGCTAAACGGATGGTCGGGACTGAGAATCATGATCAATTGGGCTTGCGCTAGCATGAGTTACGGCGGCCGCTCCCGTCATGATCAGACGGGCCGGCGCTTGGTAGTAAAGTTACTAGATTCTTATTAGCCTAAGAATTGCCCATTGCCCAGTTCAGACGGTTTTTTACGTCGACTATGACGACAGACACATAAGATGCGTGGAAATCTCGAAAATAAAATGCCCGTACATTTCGAAGCTAAATTTGGCTTCGGCATTGAAAAGATGGGAAACAAACAAATCGCTACCAATCTATATACTTGATTCCTTTATTTCCCGTGACTTGATGCCGTGAGACTGTGATATATTGTATAGCCGGTATACGTCTGTGCTCGTGGTCATTACCTAGATTTTCATATGCCAGTCCTGATGGCTGGGAGCAAATTCCTGCTCTGCTCACGGGCGGTCGCTGACCGCCATCGTGTTTTTGATGCGTTGCGTGCCGTGCAATGTAACGTGCACCGTGCGGGGAGAACTAGCTACTTTTTGATGCAGGATTCTGCCCCCCTGGTTCCGTCATCGTGCAAATTCGCCGTTAGCTTGTGCTTTGCCAATGATTGGTTCGAGAAGCACCGGCAAGCATGTCGCAGCGTCTTGTCCAAAAGCAAAGTCGTTTGGTCCTATCTTTTCAAGTTGGTCATCGTTCTCGGCATCAGGATTGATTACAGCCACAACGGCGCCCCTGTCGCGTGCTTCGTCGATGTAGCCTGCTGCGGGGTATACCTGAGCCGACGTGCCGATGACCAGCATAAGGTCCTACGTCTTGTTAGTCGCTTTCTAGCGGGAAATGTAACAAGCAGCAAGCCTTACCACTTTACCCTCATCTAGCCAGCTTTCGATACTCGCCATCATGTTCGGATCAAGCATCTCGCCGAACCAGACGACGCCAGGACGCTGTAGCCCAGTGTTGCATTGAGGACACTTGGGAAGCTCCTCTTCCGGTACATGTCTGATGCGATGATATGGGTCCAATAGTGGAAGTTTCTGACCTGGTGGTGCATCCCTGGAAGCTTCGATTAACGATTCGCAAAAGGGATCATCGTAATTGCCAATCTGCATCCAGGAGCACGCCTCGTTGGAGCATTTGATGTTGAAAAGAGATCCGTGCAGAGTGTGGAGATTCTGGGGTGGAAAGCCAGCACGCTGCGAAAGATCTGGAACGGTAAGTTTCGTCCTATGCAGTACATTCACAACGAGAGGGTTTGACGTACCATCAACATTCTGACTTAGACATAGAACATTTGGGTTTGCCTTGGCGAGGGCGGCCAAGGCTCGATGACCGGCATTCGGCTGGGCCTTTAAACATGTGTGTCGACGATAACCGTAAAACAACCAGACTAGGCCTGGATCGGTCCTGAAAGCTTGCATTGTCGCTAGTCGAGTGGCATCGTGGTGTCGCCAGTAGCCATCGGCACCGCGAAAGGTTGGCAGACCGGATGCGACTGACAGGCCGGCTCCGCAGAGTATCATGACGCGGCGACTAGACTGGAGCACGCGATGAAAAGCTGCGACATCACTATGAGGCGTCATGATAGGAGATGTGTTAGGGTTCTGCATAAGACGGGCGCGGACGCCAAGTGTGCGAAGGTGGCAGAGAACGCTGGTAGGGAGTGCGTGTTGAAGCAGGTGGCCAAAGGCCAAGGTGAGCGTTTGACGTTGGGAGCAAATATGATCAAGTGTGAGGCGGCGAGGGCGAGAAGGTAGCAGAGGAGGGGCAAAATGAGAGAAAAATTGGTCGTACAGTGACAAAATTGGCGGGTGGTGGGATGAAGGCGCAGCAACGGAGTCTTGTGGCCGGGCTGTGGACGGTGATTTAGGCGGGCAGCGCTGTCGGCTGATTCTGGCAAGCCTGTGCAAGCTTGTGGAACAAGTAGGCGAGGGTGGCTTATTGCATGGCGATGCGGAAGCAGGGCGGATGAGGCGAGAGAAGCCACGACGAAGCCACGGCCGAGGAACCGAGAGAGGGGTGTAGATGGCGCAGGCAAGAAGCGGGAGAGCGTTGTTTTCTGGATCAGGGACGTGCTGGAGGTTTAAGCATGACGGGAGAGGCGCGCAAGTTGATGGGTCCTTGGTAGGGCAGGCCGTGAAGTGGTAATGCTAGTGCGGCGAGGGGACCACCAGAGACGTCTGTCTGTCTTGTGCCGATCCGAGGTGTTGAAGCGGTGCGGTGTTGCCGTGCCCGACGATAGAATGCGATGTGCTAGCTATTGCGTTCTCTGGGTAACGGGGAGAAGGATAGAGACTCGGCTGTAAGATGTCGGAGTTGGCGCAAGGGTGAGGCGACCGCTAGAGTAGGTATACGAGGTATCACGGGCCGGCACTGACAGAAGAGATGATGGGCGTGGGGACAAAGGCGGGCGAGGTGGACAGTGAGCTAGGAAGACGATGCGAAAGAGGGCGTCGTCTCGTTGAGTAGAGAGAGGGTGCAAGTCTGAGGAGAAAAGGTATGGCGGTGGGGGAGGATGGGTGATGATGGAGGAAGGAAATCAAGGCGGCCGAGTCGAGGTTCAAGGCAAACAAACAGATTACTATGGGCAGGCGTGTACTAATTGGTACCTAGGCAGAGCTAGCAGATTGGGAAGCAGGCCGAGAAAGTTGAGCTGGTGCCGGCTGAGTGTCGCAGAATGGCTCCGGGCCGGACAAAGGATGCGTAGGCCCGTAAACTAGCGAGTCCGTAGTGCGCGAACAAGGGAGGATGGATTGGGTGGTGATGGGTGGTGATGGCAGTTGTGATGGTGGTGGGTGTTTGGGTGTAGGTTTGGGTGGGTGGATGGGTGGATGGTCCAGGATTGAGTGGATGGTCCAGGATTGAGTGGATGGAAATGGCGAATTTACAGAACAAGGTTGCTTGGACGGTTTGTACAGGTAGGTAACCAGGCAGGGAGCGACCTTGCAGCAACAGTGCGTAGGTACGTACTGGGGCCACCACCTTTGAAATCGCAACACCAGCACATCAACAGCATTAAACAAAGAGATGACACCACACCAAAGATGGGCAAAGATGGGCAACGAAGCAAATGTAGGGGCGTTGGCCCCAATCACTTGATGGAACGAGGGCGTCTTTGCAGATAACGCACGGTCAAAACCGATGTGGATGGAGCAGGGAAGCACTGTACCAGCATGGGGATTGGCCGTCTTGAGCTTTGCAGGCTGCGATTTCAGGTATAATCTGCATCGACAGGGGGCCAAGAATGCCAAGATAATTTGTAACCACCGGAGAGTTTCGTTGTCCTTGTTTTACTTCTTTCTCGAAGTTGGGGCTTGAGCTGACATTCTCCCACGTATTTTGACAAAGCGTCCTTCGTATCCTGTCTACCTTGGGCTCTCATTGACAGGCTTTGATGACTGCAAAGGCCTGGGACAGGCCTGGTCAGGACCCACCTTCAGGCTTTGACGAGCTGGTCCCAGCGCCCGCCGCCGCTAAGGTACCTAGCGAGTAGCGAGTCCGCTAACATGGTATCAGCTCGCTAACAGCCCGCCTCAGCCCACTGTCACACGAGGCTCACAAGCTTACGGAGTGCAGTAGACAGGTTGACAGGTAAACAGGTTGACAGGCTCATTCAACGGTCAAACGACATGTAATAAGTCTTGTTGCTGCCACCTGTGCGTTTGTCACACTTGCACAGGTGCATGCAGATTACCATCATGCATCTCCGTCACATCGTTTGTTTCCACATGGTCTTCCATCGCCATCCGCCACCATCCATCATTATCCACCACTTTTCGATTGCCTTCTCCTTCTCTTGCTCCCTCTCCCATCCCGCTGTCCGTCCTATCGTACAATATACCGCTTCCTCAACCACGCCTCTCAACCAACAAACAATGCCCTGTTGGCCTAGCTATCTCGTCACTAGCTTCAACCTGTGACTCATCCTCGCCAACACCATCCAGTCATCCGCTTGTCAATCTCCATCTTGACTCGTCGTGTTAGCTGCCAGGTCAATGCATGCCACCTGCCATGCAGACCGGGGTCTGGCGCATGTCATATTCATGGACTAGGGCCCTGGACTTTCATGCAGACCACTGTCCCTTCGGGAAATATCAATGGACCATCGAAGAATGATCTACTCAGTTGCCCCAAGTTTCGCTGCAGATAACGCCAATAAACTGCCGACTGCAATACTACTCGCGCTAAAGCAGCCCCCTCAGCTGCAAAACGCCTACATCTCTCTCTGTCAATCACCCTCACCTATCTGTCCAATGAACCCAGCCGCCCTCACCGAACAATTCAGCGAGTTGGCGAGCTATCCGTATAGTCCCTCCTGTATAGTTCCTCCTGCCCGCGCATCCTCGACATGTCTCGATCAGTACTCTACTGACAAGCCGGCATTTGCCGTCCTGATGCAAGCTGCCAGCCTGTAACTAAACGCCCAAGCGCAGAAGACAATACAATTCGAGTCTCGACTGCTTCTTGCAGCGCTCACCTGTCTGCCCGAGCTGCACCTGGCCATTTTAACTTTGCGCCGCGTGTTACAACTGTGGCTTGCAAACTCAAACGGCTTTCGGCTAGTGCTAAACCACCCCTTGACGATGCACAGATAGGGCTAGCAACTTTACCCCAAATGTTCTTGCACGACCTTCTGGAAAATTGCTCAGCAACGTTGCGTTTGGCGAGATGCATGCAGACGTACAATACTTGTCAGAGCTGCAATTGACTTTTCAAGAAAATGGGACCAGTCGCACTTTGACCCTGATACTGGGCCCCGACCCCCGATACGAACCTTAGGGCTTGCCCTGCAAGTATTAGCTACTAGGACCAAGCCCTGGCCAGTTAATTAAAGACTTAAACACGAGAAAGCAGCCATGGCCGTTGACAACAAGGCTTGGATAGCTATCTTTAGGCTGCATCCTCTTGAGTGCGTCAGGTGCCACACCACAATCAGACGAACTCTGTTACTCAGCGATAGCCGAGGTCTGGAACTGGGGCGCTCGTATCATTATCCATTTTTGTAATACGGAGATTTCGCCAAGGCGATGCTGCATTCTTTTCAATGGATCATTTTGAGGTATTCTTATCGCTCAACGCTCAACATGCGCCTTAATAGGGTGCGGTCTCATGCTAGTACCCCGCGCGATATCTCCCGTTCCGGCCACTGCCATTTCATGCTTCTTTTAAGGACTGCGTAGCGACACAATTGCGACCACTATGTTCCCCGCGTCTAGATGTGGAGAGAACGCAAGCACTCTGTCAGCCTGCGCGGAGAATACGCGGTTGGACAACAGGGGTAGTGGGCAATGGCAATGGGCCTAAAAAGACGAATTTGGTCGCTGTACCATGAATTACAAAGGAATCTCGGCGATGCGAGCGCATGATCGGCCTTGGTAGTTCTCAAAATAGGAGAGCATAGCGGCCGCCCAAGCTGAGACATTTTGAAAAAAAAAAAGCTCAAATTAAACAACGAAAGAAAGAGGCAAGGCTAACTATGTGACAATGTGACAAGGGGAATCACACGCTTTGAACTACCTAGCTTCACGGATCATACCCAGCCATGCAGCGCGTTCATCCCGCGCCAAGGTCCATCGACCAGGTCGGCAAACATCTTCGGGATCGGACTGGGTCCGCCATGAGAGTCACAATTCGATGTAGGCGGAGACAAGCTTCAAGACACATGAGGACTTCAACATGCTGCGCAGGACTTCAACACTCTAGTTTGTACAGTGCGTGGCGATGGGTTGAGCCATGCATTGCCACAGACAGACCACGTATCTTGTCTACACAAGAGCTCCTAGAAGCAACAGAGATTTGCCTAGCCACAGGCTTTCTGAATCAGCCGCCGAAGGTAATTAGGGCCGATGGCTGGGGCGCGCCCGAAACCAACTTGCCCATTCGCAGGTGTCGAGCCTCTTTTGGTCGCTTGGCAGTGATGCAAGAAAACGTTGTCCGGCGGCTATGTTCGGCGTAGTCTCGAACCGAATCATCGAAGGTCGACTACAATGACGATCAGGATTAACTTATTACTGGCCGATCCCATAGCTGACTGTAGCATCTTCGTTGGCATTAATTCAAGCTGCACGATTGACAGATGACGAACGCTGATTATTAGCCGCGAGTTGCACAACGACCGACTTTTACAAACACTGCCAGGGTGACTTCGCCGAAAAAAGGCCGAGCATCAAAGTGCCATATCTCGCCGTTACCAAGCGCATTCTTGAAAAAATAGCACACCGCATTTAGAAACAATGGGTGGCGGTTGTGGCGGACTGGAATGAAGGCAGCGCCCGCAGAGTCTGTGAAACATGCTGATTTGCAAGAGAAGCTTCATCCGAGACCCCAGGCGATTTACTGGCGGCCAACAAATCCAAATTTGAACTGAGGTGATTTTCGGGCGACCAGTACAAGAGTGTACGACTACAGCTCAATTTGGTTCTGGCGGCTGCAAACGTCGGCGCCCTTGATTGTGTTGATGAGCTTGAGCTAGCACGGCTATCTCACGAAGCACACCATTTCATCGATTCTCTAGAGAAGCAGTGGCTTTTTGAAGCCATGAAACAAGACAAAGCGGTTCATCCTCTACCTTTCGGCGCACAATGAGATGGCGGAAGCGTTCCGGTGAGATTGGCTGACTGTTGTCGGGCTGTGAAGGTGTTGGTTTGCCGGGGACTTGGCGCAATGGCACGGGGCTCGTTTTCCAGCCACTGTACGGAGTACGTCGCGTCGGAATATTAACGGCGGTATGGCGACAAAGAGAAGCAGTGGAAATGACAGCGCCGAGTCCGGCCCCCCTATCCATTCCTAATAGAGCAGACGAGGTTCAAGGCCGGCGCTCAAGAACCGAGCAAGGCGGCACTAGAGTGCCGGGCTAGCGACATCAGCCACACGAAGGGATGCCGGTATGCCGAATATAGGCAAGTTGGCAGTGTGTGGCTCAGCGTCATTGCCGGCTTCCCTAATAGCGAGGCTGCATTCCCAACGGCTGCCGATAAGAAGCCAAAATAGAAAGGTAAGCGACCCTGGCGAAAGGGGCCAAGACGGGGCTCATCGTCATTCTTCTGGGCCAGTGTATAAAAATAGGCACAAGGAGCGGGAATGACGTTCATTAGCGCGATTTGTCTCTAGTGACTTGGAAGTTTTCCTGTTGTCCTTGGTCCCCTTCTTTGTTGCTTTTGGTTGCAGAGGCAAAAAATGCCAGCCAAAGCCTGGCGCCAACGCGCACAGCCCCTCTTAGAGCGGGGCCACCCGTTGGAAAAGGCACTAAAAGATGATATTTATACGAATTGGCATGCAGGATGACGCCGCAACGAAAAGATGCCAGATGACTAGTTATGCTTTTTAACTTCCTTGTGGGCAGTGAAAGGGCAATGTCTCTGCTATGCCCGTATTTGGACTCGGTTATGGACTAGCCATGATTGAGTTGCATTTAATCCGTATCTAGCGTTGAAACGATCCGATGATGATTGCATTTCTTCGTCTCTCAAGCCCAAGCACACGGCTGGCTGGTCGCAAGCACAGTGCCCATTAGGAACAGCTGCACGGTAACGTAACAACGCTAAAGGATGTGGCAGTGATTAATCGATGGTGAGACTGGGTGTTGTGTTTTGCCACTACATCGAGTGGCAGACAGAGTCAGACAAACGAAAAGTAGAGGCTGGAGGTGCTGAAATACGATGGTCACTCAGCAATCATTGCACTCGAGCGTCTTGCTGTATCTATTTCCAGATGCAGAGTCGTCACTCCATTATTTTTTCCACAGTCAAGGATTTTCTGGTCGGTCTTTAAAAAGAACAAAAAGCCGTTTTAGTCGAAGAGATCTATTCCCAGATCCATCTCTCGACTCTGAGACTTGGGCAAGTAGATATCACGCACAGTACCTGCAGTACGACGTCTCATGTGTTTGCTGTTGTACGATGGTTGTCTGCTGACAGCCAGTGTAGGCGGGCTGGTGTGCACTGCGGCGTCGCACGGTGTGACCCCACCGAGTCCGGCCTCTTAGTTTTTATTTCTGCTCGACTGTGATGGGCCAAGGGCGTCGCGCCGCCGCCGTCGCAACATAGGCGCCAAACCAGGCCCCTAGGACACTGTAGTAAAGAATTGAATCTGGTGATGGCGCGTCCTCACACGTACACCTTGAGAAAAGTCGTAATTAAGAGGGGGAAAAAAAATGAAGAAAAGAAGGTCTTTTGAACTTTTGCTTGTTTCATGACAAACAAGCAAAGGTGCTTCGCTCGTGAAAAGGTTCTTGTCACGATTGGAAGCGCTGAGAGGAGTTGCGTTGCACGTTGATTACCTCGCAGCCTGTCAGGCGGCTCAGCAACGGCAGTACCTGACAGCATCGACGCCACATGCAAAACACAGTGCGCCACACTATGCATCAGTGCGACCGCCTACCTACCTAGCAAGTTTCCCCGATGGCACCTTCTAGTCTCAATGCCTTCGGAATAGATACCCTTGGGGCTCCTAATTTGCTTCTTCAACTAGTCAGCAGGTGGTTCGATGCAACACAGTGTGCGCAAGCATCTGCGAAATGGGCAACCAGGTAGCCAGGTACCAGTCTGTAACTCGCGCTGCCCAAAAGGGGCCGAGTCCCCCCCTGGCTTAGCGGGTGGGCTCTTCGGCGGAGTTCCTACCAATACGGAGTAGGTACGCATCACGAGCTTGGCCCTTTTTGTACCTTGCCTTGTCTGCCCAGCTTTCGCCTGGGGGCGGGCTTCGGACCGGGGGGCAGGAGGCACCTCCAGCTCGTCGCCTCCCACACAATAAAACACTCGTCTCATCGCTCTGACCTAGGGTCCTCCTCCTGCCCTCTTTTCTTTTCAACTCTCTTGCGTCTTCCTTCTGGTGTCACTGTCCGTTTCCTTGTCGAACCCATTCTAGTCTCTCGCTACCGACATACAGCTGTTATACTCGCAACCTAATATCTCTTTTTCTTTTATTTGCCTCGTATTTTTTTTAGACAAACCTTCGCTTCCATCAACAGAAACAACATCATGTTTGCCAAGTTCTCCACCGCCGCCATTCTGGCTCTTGCCAGCACTTCCCTGGTCGCTGCTCAGACCTCGACTGAGTGCAACCCCCTCAAGAAGGGTACGTTGTCATTTTCCCATGCCCAAACTCAGTCGGTCCACGCTAACCTTTGAAATCCAGATTGCCCTGCTGATCCTGCCTTTGGCAAGGATGGCATGGACTGCGACTTCACCAAGGGCGAGTGCGATGGCTTCAAGTCTCTGGGTACCAAGATCACCTACGACGGCAAGGGCGCCACCTTTCCCATGAGCAAGAAGGGCGACGCTCCCACGCTCCGCTCCGACAACTACATTTTCTTCGGTCACGTTGAGGTTGAGGTCCAGGCCGCCGAGGGCAAGGGCATCGTTACCTCGATCGTTCTCCTATCCGACGACCTCGACGAGGTTGATTTCGAGACTGTCGGCGGCGACAACAAGCAGATCCAGTCCAACTACTTCTCCAAGGGCGACGACTCCACCTATAACCGCGGTGGCTTCCACCCCGTCGACAGCCCCCTGACCAAGTCGCACACGTACTCGTTCGACTGGACCGCCGAGAAGGTCGAGTGGTTCATCAACGGCCAGTCGGTCCGTGTCCTCAAGGCCTCGGACGTCGGTGACAAGTTCCCCCAGTCGCCCATGCAGGTCAAGGTTGGCGCCTGGGTCGCCGGTTACGACGGCAACTCCCCCGGCACCATTGAGTGGTCTGGCGGTGTTGCTGACTTTTCCAACGGCCCCGCCACGGCCATCTACAAGAGCGTCAAGGTGACCGACTACGCTGGCGGCTCCTCGGCCACGGACAAGAAGATCAAGGAGTACGTCTACGGCGACCGCTCCGGCTCCGCCAAGTCGATCCAGATCAAGCTCGACGACGGCAGCTCCGGCTCTTCTTCATCGTCTGCCAGCGGTAGCTCCTCGGCCACCGGATCGGCTACCAGCTCCGCGACCGGCTCTGCCACCAGCTCGGCTGCCTCTAGCTCCGGCTCGTCGTCCTCTGCCACCTCTGCCACGACCCTGACCAGCGCCACCTCGTCTGCCGCCAACTCTACTGGCCAATCCAGCACCCGCTCCGGCAGCAGCGCTACCGGCGGCAGCGCTCCTACCAGTGTCCCCAACGGCGCTCCCAAGGCCGGCCTCGCCCTTGGCGCCGTCGCTCTCGGTTTCATCGCCGCCCTTGCCCTGTAAGCGAGGAAAGCGGACAGTTTGCAGTTGACTACGGGGTAGTGTCGCTCAGGAGGTACTCTGAGACACGATTTAATAAGTGTACAAATTCGAGCGGATCTTGTTAATATATAGTAGAGTGTGCGCATTGCCAACTAGAATTCGGCCTCTGAGTTGAGAGTGTGGTTGTATGGGATACCTAGAAGTTGTTCTTTTGAAGTAGTATGGAAATATAAACTATACACAATATTTGTTTGCTTGTAATTGACTATGCTCGGGAATCAATTGGCTTGGCCTCGTCTATATGGATGCGGCCTGTAATAATACCAAGTCTAGTAGCGCCTCGGCGGGCTTATTATCGCGAAGAGTCTCGACGTCTATCCCTACAAGGTGCCAAGATGAAATGTCCCCGACCTCCCCACCAAGGGGTAAATTGCACAGCCTGGTAAGGCGAGGAGTCAGACTCTCATCCTTGCAAGTTACAACTGGCACGCAAATGATTGCACAGTTTTGGGGGTTGTGGCTGACTGGAATTCTCGCTTAAATATAGAAAAATGAAAATTGGAAGAAGGTGAAGAGAATCTTGTCGTCGAAAGCGGCAAGGTCGAGGCTACAGCTGTACAATGTCTCTGGGGTACAATCAATAGTTTGTCTTTGCGCCTCCACATGAGCATTTGTCTTGGAAGAAAGCAAAACATTCATCCATGTCTCACTCATTCATTCTTTTTTTTTTTTCCTCTGTACAACTCTTTTCATCAGGCCTATTGATGCGTCATATTTTTTATATCACATGTCGAATAAGTACAGGGTCACAGGGGCGGTCTGGCCGTGAGAAAAAGCGGCATGTCATCTCGAAGAATGACACCTCTTTCGATTTCGAGAAGCTGAAAGACAAGGGGTTGCAAATGTGTGTGTTGTCTATGCAAGGTACCAGTACGGAGTGGAGTTGTGTAGTGGGTGGACACGCCATAAACCCCCCACACAGTGGATGCATGTACGAAGCAAAAAAGCTGGAAAAGGCGTAATGCGGACTGGTCCGCATGCGTACATCATTTTGTGGCATCAAAAAGCTTGTGCTATTAATATTGCTTGTTTTTTTTTGTTACTACTTCCGTATAGGTACAGTATCCATACTGGATGCGAGATGGTCTTGATACGAACGGCGGGGGAGTTTCAAAGATTGGCGTGGGGGGGGGGTCTGCACAGAGGTAGGTAATATAAGGTATGCAACAAAAGGACACCTGCATGATCAGGATCGGAGTTGGGCACGTGCTGTTCCCGAGCCGCAGGTTAAATGCATGCCTACTTGGGCAAGGCAATTTCCATTTCAAAAAGTAAAGTTTTTACAAATGAGAATTGCAATTCTCAAAGGTGAAACATTCTAGATGATTGCTGTCGCGTTGTTAGGGTGATGTGGTCCCCCTTTTTTAGGCTGGCCACGAATTCAAAATATTCATGCCAAATTTGTTCGAAAATAAGTAGAGAAACAACAAAAAAAAAAAAAAGATACAACTCAAAATACTTTCTTTTCTTATTACTTTGACGATGCCGTCAAACAAGTTCACCTGCCAAAGTTGGGCAATGACAATGTCGCACCCACGTGAGATCCCATGTCTTTGCTCCCTCCACGCAGCGTCGCATTATTAGTGGTGATGAGTTATCTACCGACTTTTCAGCAATTGCCACGTATTCACTAACCTTTTTCGCAGTCTTCCGCATGGTAAGTCGTCACAAGCCAACCATCATACGTTTTCAAGGATACTGCATACCATCAATTACTACCATTCCCTTGATGCATCGCGCAGCCCATCATCAGGCGCCCCCCACCCCCCTCCACCTCTACGGAGTCGTAGAGGAGCGATTGCACAGCCTCAATGTTGCTGCCGACCGGATTCTCCATGTACGCGGCGTAGTCAACGGGGTAGTGTATGGTGCGGTCGTGCCCGGCGCGCCATTGTCGGAGCCGCTGCCGGCAAGCGTAGCGGCGTCAAGGGCGTCGACGAGAGCATGGCCCTATTTTTTTCAATTCTGCGTAGGATTCCCGCAGGCAGAGAATAATTACTTGGAAAATGGTGGGAGAAAGACGTACTGTTGGCGCGAAACGCAACGTGTATTTCCATGGCGGCCATCTACCGGACGACGACGCCGGTGGGGTCCGTCTTGCGGCCGAGCCCGGCCGCGACGTCACCGACTGAGTGGCGGAGGTCGAAGTCAAGCGACTGGAGCACCTCGGTATCGAATCCGAGCATCTTCTGGTACTTTTCGGCGAGGACCTTGAGGAACAGACGATCGATCGATGACCATGGCTGGTCTACGACGCCGAGGTCAGCCTCTACAATGGTCAATGAGAGATGCATCTATGAGCCATCTTCATGACATTAACAGCGGCATATACAAAGATTGCGGTGAGTTTTAGACACCGAGAGCAAAGAGCAAACTGCGAATGAACGGATGACAAGCCGCAATGGCACCCCGCGCCGGCTTCGCTACGCTCTGGCCCCAGCTCGACAGACAGCTCGCTGCAGTGCGCATTCCCATGCCTCAATGGCATATGGCTGTATCGCCATTGTTCCAGAAATTTGCATCAATACTTGAGGGATCTTGATAAGATGAAGATATCCTCTGAATCCCGTCAGACGACGTGGCACACCACTTCCGTCGGGCCGTCGTTGGAAAGCGGCGGTACTAGCCAAATGCCTGCATATATGTTGGCGACTGTGACTTATGCTCAGTTGAGTTGTAGCTGACGAGACGAAGATTGTGGGTAACGAGGGAATGAGGCATGTCGCTAGTTTATACCTACATCAACTATATACATGGGGAAGCCTAAGCGAATTGGGCGGCGGCGTCGAGGCTGTCGAAGACCCCGTCTGACTAACTTGTCCGGCCGTCTGTTTCCCAGGAAACCTCACCGAGATACGCGGCGCTTACCGGTGGAAATCTGGACCATGTACGAAACGAATCTCATCATAATTCTTCAAAGTGAATCATTATTCGAGTTATAAGTCAGTTGTGGTTTAGTTCTTGTAGATGGATTGATATTTGTCCTGTTTGACTTGATCTCGAGTTTGGCGGCTTGTCCCACCCTGCACTAGAGAGGACCCTGTAGGGACTGCCCGTCCCGCCCCCTCCAAGAACAGGTAGGCTCGAACAGCAAACAGATGCTCAATGAATGTTGCGTGGCAAGTTGCTCGAGTGGTATTCCACTAACGACTGACCTATTTCGCAGGGTGGTCGTTGATGGCTGGTGGCTGGTAACATTTCTATTTCACTTGAAGTTATATGACGCCGTTGGTTGTGGCTTGCACTTGTGGCGGCCTGGAGGCAGGCCGGACAGCTGCGGCTTGCTAGCCAGTGCTAATCGAGTTTTCTACAATCTATCTTATTTAAATCTAGAGCGCTGTTGATGTTGGGGATATTACGATAGGTGCAAACCGCCGCAATACACACTGCGATAAGCGTACTGCAAAGCTCTGCCGCTGTTCCCGAATCGTTCAGATGCAAGGAACTGAGGGCTTAAAAAAAAAAAAAAGAAACGATCGAGAAAAAGAGATTCCCAGAAAGTCAACGCCATCTAAAATCTGAGAACTTCGTTGTCAGATGCCACCTGCTCGTATTGAACTCGGCTTCCTCAAAATGGCTCGCAACCAGGACCAAGTAGTGCAAACAGCCTGGATGTGCCAACCCACGTGCGTCTTCAATCAGCTCGCAAACGGTATCGCCATGAAAGCTGAAAGCTGACTGTCTACCTCTTCTTGCCCCTGTTGTGAGGCCAGCGACACAGCACCGCATCGATCCGAGTCCCCAACCCTTGTCGTTCTTTCCGTTGCACTACAGACCACGACGCATCAGTCGGGCAGTAACGATCAGCTTGCCGCGCAAACATAAAACACATCGCCTTTTTGGCCATGCTTCATCTTCCGTCTGCTTCATCTCTTCATCCTTTCATTATCTTCTACTCTCTTTCATCATCCCTCTTCGTTTTCCAACTTCCCTGACACTCCTCCGCTGTATACATATCCAATTCTCCATCATGTGCAACCAACGCTGCTATATCGTCCCTCCCCATCTCTTGCAGGCCATTGCTGACTCGACTAGCAATTCTGAAAAAGTTCGGAAGGCTGCCAAAGCATCCCTTCTTGCTCGCGAAAAGGTGTCTCTGGCCCGCACAGAGCTCTTTGCCACCCTTACCCAGCCGCGGGGATACACCATCCAGCAGCGACATCATATTGTTCCTCCACACGTATTCAGACAAATATCTGACGCTGAAGTAAACAACGAGAAGACGCGCAAGCGCGCAAAGGATAACCTTGAGCACGTCGAAGGCGTCATTGCGCAATACAAGTCTTCTCAAGGTACGCATCAAGATGCAAGTCTGCTCTGCTCATCCGCTAACAACGATATGCACAGAGAAAGACGCCCAGAAAAGTATCGATGCACAGGCCAAGTCAGGAAAGGAAACATGCCGTGCCGTGTACGATGCCCAACATACTACCAACGAAGATAGCCTGCCAGGCAAGCTTATCCGAAAAGAAGGCCAAAAAGCTGCCAAGGATAAGGCTGTCAACGAAGCTTTTGACAACGTCGGATCGACCTTGAAATTTTACAAAGAGCACTTTGACTGGATCTCGACTGACAACAAGAATGCTGATGTCATCAGCTCAGTTCATTTCGGCGAGGAGTACGAAAACGCATGTAAGTTGAGCGGCCACTTGTCCATGTTCCTCCTTCTTGCCTTGTCGCTGACAAGCACAGTCTGGGACCCAACTGTCCGTCAGATGGTTTTTGGAGATGGAGGCGATTTCCTCAATAACTTTACCGCCTCGGTCGATGTCATCGGCCACGAGCTCACGCACGCTATTACCGAGCACACTAGCCCCCTTGACTACCAAGGCCAGCCTGGTGCTCTAAACGAGCACGTCTCGGATGTGTTTGGCATCATGGTAAAGCAAATGGTCGAGGACGAAGAGTCTGATGCTGCTGATTGGCTCATCGGAGAAGACTGTCTCCTTCCTGGTGTCAAAGGCATGGCTCTCCGCAGCATGAAGGAGCCCGGTACTGCCTATAATGACCCTCGCTTTGTAAGTGCTGCAGTGAGCCGCTGTCTCGTAGATGACGGACTAATCAGTTTTCACAGGGAAAAGATCTTCAGGTATCGCATATGAAGGATTTCAAGCAAATGTACGAAGACAATGGCGGTGTCCACATCTTTTCTGGCATCCCAAACAAGGCTTTTTATCTTGCCGCCACTGCATTTGGCGGCTACTCGTGGGAAAAGGCCGGCCAAATCTGGTGGAAAACCATGAACTCGGGCAAAATACCATCTAGATGCACATTTTTGCAATTCGCGGATGTCACCGTTGATGTAGCCGAAGAAGAATTTAAGGCTGGTAAAATCGTTCGCAAGGCTTTGGACGACGTCGGCGTCAGTCGAGGTGTTTTGGACGAACCAGACGGCGAAGACCCAGATGGCGAAGACGATGGCGACAAAGATGACGATGACTGCAATGATGATGATGGCGATGCTGACAACGATAATGATGATGATGATGGCGATGCTGACAACGACAATGATGATGATGATGATGGCGATGCTGACAACGACCAAGGTGATGACGATGACGCTGAGGATGACGCTGATGATGATGATGACTGTGACGGAAAAAATGGCGACAAGAGCAACAAGAGTGACAAGGGTGATAAGGATGGAAAGAATAGCAAAGGAGGTACAGACGGCGGATGTGATGGCAATGACGATGATGAAGGCGATGGTAAAGGCGACGACAAAGATGGCAATGGCGGCAAAAATGGCAAAGATGGTAAAGGAGGAAAAGGAGGCAAAGACGGTAAATGTGATGGCAAGGGTGACGGTACAGGCGGCGGTAAAGATGATGGGAAAAGTGATGGGAAAAATGACAAGACTGACAACGATGAAGGAGATTGCGGCTGCAATTAGCCCTCTTAACTGACCTACTACACCCTGTTTTATTGCTTTTATATACATCTTCTAGAAAGAAACCTTGACAATTACTCCTTGAACGAAATTGTATTCTAATATCGTGTTTGGTCGTGGCGGGCCGTTGCCAGCTGGCAGCGTTTGTAGAAGGAGCTCGCAGTTGTTGTGCACAGTTGAATGACGACCGACTTTCAATCCTCTACCAAGTGAAATCGAGCCGGATAAGTTCTGCATTACCTGATCGAATATCTTGAGCGAATTCTCGATGGACAACTTGGACGAAATTCGCACACGGTATCAGCTTGCGCCGCCTACGTTTGCCAACATTTGCAAAATTGCCCCGCGGCCGGAGAGAAGTGCCATCTTCCAGACTGCTTGCACAGCGATTGAGTTGCAGACATTCGCCATACGACCAGCCGAACGAGCCTGGCTGAGATACGTCAACGAGCACACGGGAATTCCGTATTCGATCAGCGAGCCGGTGGCGGAGCCCTGGCACAAGGCGTCACTCGTCGTGCAGATTGACCTGTCCGGGCAGCCGTGGCCGGCCAAGCTCACACAGGCGGCGCGCAAAGAGCTGCACAGCGACCGTGGGCGCATCTACCGTGTTTTTGACCAGGTCTTGCGCTGCATCATTGACGTGCTCGGCCACCGCGGCGACGGGCGCGGTGTCTGCGCCGGGCTCGACGTGCTGCGTAGCTTACACGCCAAAGTCTGGGAGGGCAGCGGGACCAGCGGCGCGGAACTGCTCCAGGTGGAAGGTATCGGTCTGGCGCGGCTCAAAAAGCTAGATGACGCGGGCGTGCGCACCATCAGGCGGCTCGCGGGGCTCGAGGGCTACCACATTGAGCGCCTGATGAGCAGGAATCCGCCGTACGGACAGACAATGGTCAGGCAGCTGGCGGGGTTTCCGCTCTTAACGTTGCAAGTTGAAAGCCTTGGCCAGAGCGAGAAGAAGGCAACGATGGTGGCGGGTGGCGGCGGTGGTAGTGGTGGTGTTGGTGACGGCAGCGGGTTGTGGATGGTGCGCGTGGTGATGGGGTTTGAAAATAAGGCGGTGCCGGTGTGGAAGAGAAAGACGCCATGGGTGTCGTGCGTGATGGAAGGTCGCGGCGAGGGCGAGGAGAAGGGGAGATTGATGTGGTTTTGGCGAGGAAGCGTCAAGAGGTTGGATGTTGGGAGCGGTGGCGCTGGTGGTGGCGGCGGGAAAGAAGTTGTGGTGGGCGTGGCGGGCTATCAAGGTTGTAAGGTGAGGGTGACATTGGCGTGTGAGGTGGTGGTAGGCACCATGGTGCAAAAAGACTTGGAGCTGTAAAAAAAAATTGTGGCTTTTAATGATATCATGTCATAGTTGAAATAATCGCTGGCAAAATGACTTTGTCCATTTTTAGAGATGTCTTATGGCCAATCACACGAAAAAATGGTGATGGCTTCATTTTTCTTTCTCACCTCCCCGCCCCTCCCTCCCCCCTATGACTATTACCCTGTCTTCACGAGGCGGAAGGGCGGGGTAAATTTACATCCGTACGCAGCTATTGAATGACGTCTGTGCTGTGACCCATGGCCACGCCAATCTCGGACGACACGGGAAGAAAGAAAAAAATAAATAAATAAATAAATAAAAATAAAAAATAAAATAAAAATGACAGAAGATTGAGTGGGGAAAGTCGCAACTGCTCGCTTGCATCTCAACTCGGGCGTGCTTGGGTTTTCCATCCGAATACGTATTTGCCAGGCACAGGCAGCTAGCTATGTTGTTTTCCGCTTTACGCCCCGGCCCGCCACATCTGTGGAGAGAGTCCTTGTGGTGCGGTCTGCCGCTCTGCCGCTCAACCTGCCAACCCTGCCACGCTGCGCATCATTTTTTTTTGTGCTGAAATGAAAGAGGGGCATGGCTTGGTCAGGGCCAACTGAGCGAATAATCTCCTTTCACCTTCATTACACAACCCTTGATTGGCTCTCATTGACCGGTCAAGAGTCGCCTGTCATTTGCTGTTGTTGATCAACCTGCAACGCGGGCCTGTTCGCTGAACAAGACATGGGGGGGAAGAGGGGGGGGGGGGGGGTGTGGGGCCTAGTTCAAAGCTCGGCAGAGCCGTCATTGACCGTGAACGACATTCAGGCTCAAAGCTTTCTGCCTACCAAACACTTTTCGCCCGGTATTGCTTTGCTTGTTTTCTCCACGCGGTCGTCTCGGACGCAAGAGAGAAGTTGTCAAGTTATACGCCCCAATAATGGACACGTCACAAATTTTTGTGGCGCCTATTTATACTCTCTTGAATCACAACAGAAGTCAAATCATGGCCCAAAGCTTGCAGTTTCACATCTCGATTTCAACGGCCTTCCCCACGTGTTAGCCTGCCACTGTTGTCTGATGCTTATTGTAGACCCTAAACTAAAAATAGTATATGTCGCTGTGTACTGAGTGAAATGGCGAATGGGTAAGTCTCCAAGGAAGATCCAAGAATTACAGGGCTGCGAGCACCCATGTAATGAGCCAGCAGATTGACAGCCAGCCCCGCCCACCCTAAGTGAACCCCTGCGAGCTCAGTCCTGAGGTGATTGGATGGATCTGCTTGAAGGATTCTTCGCACTCCGGAGTACCTGGCTTGCCCGGGGGGAAGTACGAGCTGCATCCGAGTTGGTGTGAGAAAGGTATGAGATGCGCACAATAAAGGCCAGCATTCATCCAAAGTAGGCGAGATCGCTGTAGGGATTTGCTACGGTGGGAGAACAGTGGCCTGCCGAGGGTCGGTGCCAATCTCTTCGCGACCAAGGTACGAAACGTCCGTAATCTGCCCATTTCTACTCATTGCGCCCAGCGTAAGTGGACTGGAATATGATAGAAGCCAAGCACTGGCATAATTTTGGGCAGTCTTGGTGTACTCTTTATTAGACTCGCATTGCGAAGTGAAGGCCTCCGGGATACTCGTGCAGTCGTGCTTTCCGGGCTTCCGGCTAGGAACATGATGATGCCCATTCACATGAATTGCCGGTGCTTTCGGACGATGCATTCCAAAGTCGGGCCCCCCTCAAGTTTGGCGCCAGAGGGGCGTGCGATATCCCAAGCCCCTTTCTGAACTTGTCTTGGACTCTGCCATGTCCGCAGAAAATTTTCTCTCGCTCAGCGTATCACAGGGAAGAACAGCGGTGAAAGTAAGGCTGAGGCTTGACGGATTCGTGCACAGAGATCGAGTTTTATTAGGGCGTGCGTGTAACGAGTTTTTTTTTCTTGAACAGTGTCTTCTTTTTCTTTCATCGAGAAGTGACCCGTCCTGCTAGCCGATTATGGAGTACATCAAGAGCCATGGTCAACAAGCACCCTTTTTTATCACCCACCTGAAACATGGAAATAATCTTCTCACACTTCTATTCTTTGTTTCGAAAACAAAGACATGTTCAAAACAGCGGCTGCATTGACTGACTGCTGGCTGGCTGGATCGCTACCTAAATAGCTGATCAAGTACCCTAAATACCTCCCGCCTACCTACCTGCCCACCTGCTTATTTGTAGTTTACATTTTAAATATTGTTTTACCATAGTTACCATCTCTGATACGTTTTTCACTCAAGACGTGGATTTGATTTCTACTCAATATTTATGCCATTCTTTCCATTATCTCAGTCTACACAGCGTGTCAGAGGGTGTGCCAGAAACACCCCCTCCCGCGTAGGCCTAATATTATCACCCCCTTCCAGAAGCCGTGCTATGGATCATTAATGGGGAATAACAGCTCTCGTTCCGCCCAAATCTGCGGCCCGGCGGAAGTCAAACCTACATAAATGGCCTGCTTCGAGTTGGCTGCGAGATCGATAACTTGGCGTTTCGAGTCACCTTGATCCAAAATCACATGGGTCTTTCAGCTCCTTTACATAGCTCGTTGAGTCCTCTGGACTGGGCAACTTCTTGCCTACTTGCCAATGCATTTCAACAATGAGGCATGGAGGATCAGATTCCGTCTCTAGAAGAGCAGCTCATTAGCATTGGCAAACTCCTCTTCGTTCCCCTAGCTACTGCCGAAGCATGCAGGGGGACCTACCGGGTGTTGTTTTGTATCCCTGTCAGGTAGGTAACTCTACCCTCAGCGCAAGTGCGATTCGCCCCGGACCCCCTTGTCAGGTAGTTACACATAACCTGTCCCAGATCCACCAAGTTGACCTGTCTGAGCTCGCCTTGTCGGTACCAGCCTGGCATACAAGACAAACAACTTGACCCCTGTTCCGCTCCACTTGACTGCGGTAATAAGCGACAGCAATCGCTTCTTTTGCCTCGTTTTGGGCTGCTCGTGGCTAGAGCCAACCCCCCCCCCTGTGCGCTAAGTCAAGGTTGGGGAAGCAGACCAGGGGGACCCATGCACGGTTCGCTGGCAAGCGCTGTCAATCATCCCCTGTACCGTCAAGTTTTGTCAAACAGAACAATTACGAAAGGGAAGTGTTCAGCGCCTGAAAACGCACTTGTAGACTCAGCCAATTTGACCAGTTCAAGTTCATACTGAGGAAGAGTTTTAGCGACACTTCTCTAACGAAAAAGCCCTGGAAGGTCTACTATGATACTTTTGCTCCCGTGTGCTCCCCAGTTCCAGTCACACCTTCATTGACATTCAAAGACGGCACGGCCCGGAGACAGATGATGCGCCCCTAGAAGGCAGGCGATCAATCTTGATAGGCTGACTTGGTGGTATAAGGCAGAGGATAAGCTATGCCATAACAGGTAACTATCAGGTGCCTGTCTATACTTGGCAGGCTACACAGAGAGCGACGAGGTTCCATACGCCACAACTGCTGTGGAGATAAATGGTGCCTGGTCAGAGTAATAGCTCTCAAAAACACATAAAAAATATAGAAGCCTGAATATTCATCATAAGCTCAACTTGTTCTCCCCGGTAGCGATATGAACCTGAGCGAGGACCGCCTCTGATGTAGTGACATTTAATTGTGGCTTGCTCCATTCAGACTTTTCCTGCTCCAAGCGGTTGGCCTACCCTCGATCCGGTCAACTCGTGCCAATTCTGTCAGGTAATCTCGGTCCGTCTTCCAGTGGCGTACATTTCATTTAGGAAGCCCTGGTTCTTCGACTTTGCACAGCGGCCACGTTTCGATTGGGTGCGACAGGCGTGGGCAAACCAGGCTCTCGTGAGCTGTGCATGTCCCTTTTCTCTTGTTCTGTAGACTACCTTGCGAATCTGAGAAGAAATGTGAAATTAATTGTGCTAGAATCGTCCTCTATGGCACCCCGATTGACTATAAAAGTCGCGTGAAGTCTCGCCTCGTCTGTCTTGTGTCCTTAGCCAACCTCCCCTACAGCAACCACTAGCCTCTGGCAACTTCGGGAGCGTGTGTACAATACCCAGAGCAAAATCTTTGTCCGAATATCTGTCTTTCCGATGCCACCTGGCAACCCGCCTCGGGAGCCTGCTGGTGCCGGCAGCCGCACAGGTACAGCGTACGTAAATGTTGCACGACGGCTCTACATTGCATCCCACCAACTTTAGTTCGAGAAGCTGATGCCTTCAAGTTCTGCAGTTTTCCATCTTGATACCACAAACGATTGGGTCTATCTCATATGGAAGGACGACTCTGAGCGGATCCCTCTCCCACAGACATCACAGGACGGCAAAGAACAGACGCGACGCAAATTCTTTCTCATGATCCAGTACATCTTGGAACTTCGACAAGTAGCTGCAACGACTACCTACGAGAAAGAATGTCGAAAGCAATACACTCCAATTGACGAGTTCTTCAAAGAACACGATGTCTTGCCAGAACTGCAAAAGCACCGTTTCGCACTGAATGCGGAAACCCTTTTCCTCGTGCGTCTCGGGCAAGCACGAGATGCGGCACAAGCACGTGCTGGCGAGCTGGGCCTCAAAATTACCAGGCTTCTTGTCCCCTTTCCTTCAGCCTGGACACGTTTGATGCAGCAATACTATGCTGCATACTTCAGGATAACATGGAAATTGGACCCCGAGTTCATTTACGAATCTGAGGCCATCGCTCACTTGGTCGTCTCCAAATCCATGATGCCGGGATTTCAGGGCGAAACATTTAGGACACTCATTGTAGTAGACCTTGGTGCACACATTTTGGTAAGCATGGCCAAGCTTTGCAAAGTCCGATCGATATGTCTTTGAACTAAACGACGCACCCAGAGTGTGAGTACATTTCATCTCGCGATACACAGGACGAACCCAGCCACTTTTCATTTGTACAGCGAGCCCAATCATACTTGTGAGTGCATACGCATGGTTGCCTTTTGCTTCGCAGCTTTCTATACTGATATTTTGACCCGCTAGCTGTACCTAGCGGTATAGACCTCCACGCAAAACGGATGGACTCGATAATTGGCAGCTACATGGACGACAATTGCGACTCTCTATCTAAACTAGAAAAGGAAAAACTTGGCAAAAAGTTTACTGCCAGCTACATGCAACATTGCGATGCCATGGTCAAAGGCGATGCTTTCATCATGTGTGCAGCTTCGAGCACTATCCATCAGATTCCCGTCAGTGATGAGAAGTCTCGGTCAATGTACAATGAATGCTTCTCAAATGTCTTTGAAACGCTGCGGAAAGCTTTGAATGCCTCGGAGGCGATTAAAAGAGCAGACAAGACAAAGGTTGTGCTGGTTGGGGTCGGCTTCCAAAACATGAGCCTTCGGAAAAAGGTGAAGAAGCAAGTCAAAAGCCGAGGCTTTCTTCTTCACGATTTCAAGGATTTTTGCCTGGATATCACACAGTAAGTCAGTACCCACGCATGAGCATATTTTGGCTAACAAGATGCGAGGCCAAGCATCGTTGCTGTCGGTGCCGCCAGCGCCATCGTGAACGCCTCCACCGTTGAACAGTTCATGCAAGGTGCTCGTTTCGTTGTTCAAGGTTCAAGTGGCACTACAACTTCAAGTGCAACAATTTGGAGCAGCGGCTCGTCGAGAACAGCTCAGGTGTCGGTACTAGAAGCGGACGAGACACTCATCGTCAAGTGCTCCCCCGTTCCCAAGACATCACGCGCATCTGGCATTGACGCGACATTGTTTTATGACTTTTCAGAGCTGAAACTTCCACGCGGCAACTACGAAATCCGCATGGAACCTCCGGTACCATCTGCCAATGGCTACTCCTTCACAATCTCCTACAAGGGAATTAGCAGCCATGCCGACGATGGCCGCGAGACCAGAGACGGTTCACGAGACTACGGCATATACTACGATTATGGGTCACGGCTGTGCTTCGAAGATGTTGACAAGAGTGCAAGTCGCGAGAAAAACAACCAAGCAACTAAAGACCGGGAAGAGCTAGAGAAGTTGCTCTATGTAACTGATGAAGTGCTCGAAGCCACAATTCTTGCTCGCACAAAGTATCGCACAGTAGCAAAGAGATGAGCAACGCTTCCGGCCCTTTAGCGTCTGCTATGACTCCGCCGCGAACTTGAAAGAAGAAGAAACCTTTGATGCAGCAGAAATTCTCGTCTCACTCATTAGTGCGATTTCTTATGTTTATTCCGAAAGCTTTCTTTTTTTATGTTCTTATCTATATAGAGAAGGGTTGGTACAAACCAGGGTACGAAAGTCGAAAATAGTTACTGTCCTCAGGAGGATATTATTTGGTCGTTTGTTTAGAGTTTAGGTTTACTTCTAGAATAAATAATCTCAAACTACGCTCGATATTTTCCTGATTTAGCAAAGAAGGATCTGTCTTTGCCCGCGGGCTATCTTATGCCCATATTAACGACCTGCCGCAGACAAAGCGGTGCTAAGACTGATGGTAAACAAGAAAGGCCACGCTAATGCCTCACTCTATGTTCAAGCTCAGAAGTATAAAGATATAATACCTTTTTGGATATATTATTATAAAGAATTTGGTCTTAATTTATGATCTACATTAATATCGGTAAATAGCGTGTGATGACTTGTGGCAGAGCCTACCGCGAGTGCTACTGTAGATGTCGCATCAACGGAATGTCCATGTCTTTTTTGGAATCAACCCGAACGCACTTAATAGCAACGCTCACACAGCCCGAGACATGGCCTTTCTGCTTCTTTAAACTAGCTCTCGAGACAATTCAGAACTAGCAGAATGCTAATTACCTGATGTAGACCTAATTTAGGCATGGCTATGTGCACTCTTTTGTAGGTCGCTCCCGCTGCCGTGTATTCAGGGCCCTGGCTGGTCGCTCGGATCAATCTCAGAAGTCTCACATCCCCACTCTGTCTCACTACGAACCCAAGCTGACGATAGTGTGAGACAGGCTGGAACAAGGCAGCACGGCGGTTGGACATTAAAGGCGTATATATATAACTATTATAGGTAGAAGAGTTAGGGGACTAAGGAGGGACTTAGATTGTCTATAGTAAGAGTGTAAAATCAGTATATCTAGTAATATAGATAACCTAGGAGAAGTAGAATTAGTATATATATATATATTAAGGGTCTTAGCCTAAGAAACTAATACTAGAAGGTAGTTATAATAACTAATACTTATACTAAGGATTATTATATTTATATAGAAAGGTATAAAGTATAGGTTTCTACCTAGGTTAGGTATAGGTTAGGGGTGGTAAGGCCGTAAAGTAGCTACCTTAGGTAACGTCTTTTCTTATACTATTAGTATTATAGAGCTACTATATATAAAAAGATTAGGTATTTATAGAAGATTATTATTATAATAACTATAATTTAGTTATAATATTTCGGAATTATCTTTTAATATAATATAACTTAACTACTAATATTATGACTTTTTCCTAAGTAAAGCTATATAGACCTACTATATAACCCTGACATGTTTGTTATATCTGTATGCGCTTCTCCTTTTATGGGATGCACCCCTACGATTCGGCACAGCACAGAATAGCTTTTCCCTCAATCAACACACTTGCTCTATGACTACGGACTAAGTACTGCTCTGCGTGACAGCGCCTTTTGCTAATAGGTAATACGTCATAACTAGCTTGCTTATCGCAAAAGGTAAGCTAAGGTAAGAATGATCATTCTCTGCCATCTCTATCTGTCGAGAGCCTTTGTAATCTGGAAATATCATTCCGTTTTAAAACTGTGCGGCTTGTGGCACTGAGGACTGGCGCGCGCCTGCATTGACCCCAAGATGCCAAGCAATATAAGGAGTCGAACTTTCACACCGCCTCCGTAGCCTCCATCATTAGGGCCGAAATTTGATACAAATACCCCCCGTCACTCGCTTGTGATGGAATATGCACGCTCCTGATCCTTACATCGTCCTTTATTTGAGCGGATTGTTATAGTGCAAGCACTTGCATCCCATACTGGTTGTCACAGTGTCTGGCGTACTGTAGCTCAAGGCAACCAAATAAGCTCGGCCCGCTGTTGGGGTTGATCCTCCTCGGCGGCGGGTCGTCGACGCCGGCCGCAACTCCGACAGGGTAAAGATACTGGGCAGCGTGGGAAGAGACGCGAGCTGGAATCCTCCACATACGCTGGCGCGAGTCGTAGTAGAGTGTAGAATCAGGGGTAGCCCAAGCGATGGCCTTGACGTAGCCGGGATACCGCTGGACCATGTCGTCGGCCCTGATCTTGCTAATTAAGTCCTCGTTGTACTTGTAGGCAATCGCCTTCATCGAGTTGGCAAAGTCTTCGCGCAGCGTCTTGGGCAGTCCAAGCAGAGAATTAGACAAGGGATGGTAGATTAGCCCCTATTAGTTTTAGGAGCGGATATGGCTCACTGCGGCTGCTGCGACGGCTTTGAAACAAAGCTATTGCACTCTTTTCAAGGTGTGGTTTCTGGTCATATGCCAAGTGTAGTGGTTAGCACCATCTTCGATGGTGTACTGCCTGCAACAGACCAGACCAATAGTCTATAGACTATGAAGGGCGCTGTCCTACGTATTGTGAACCTGATCCAGAGCCTGGAAGCTTTTGGGAAGGGCTCCCATCTCTAATTTATTTACAACCATGGATTCTATAAATCGTGCCTTGCCTACAAGTACCCAGTTAGTGTCTTCGGCGCCCTTTGGATGTTTGATGTGTGTATGGAGCCTGCTATGCCGATTTTTAGGCCCAGCAGGCTGGCCGTGCATCGGGAATCAGCTTGTCAAACATTGTCAGCGCAGTACCCGGTGTAACTACGCCCTTATATGACATATATCGCATGCTTGAGTCATGAGTCACTATCTAAGGTGATCTGAAGGCGAAGTCTTACATAAATTCGGGTGAAGATGTCCCGACAACCGAACCTAATCTCTATTTCCTCCCGAGAGCCTCTCTTAGCAAGCTAATTATGGAGGACTACGGGAAAGCCCGCTTACAAAGCTGTATTAATGCTTGATCCATGCATCATATATATGCCTGAAAATGCGGACAGACCAAGGCGTGGTTTATCCGACCTAAATCAGACGTACACACGTTTGTGCGCACGTTTCTCGTTAAAACAGCTGATTGGAAAATGCAAAATCAATTTGATAATCTAAGCAACAGTGTGCTATCGGTTTTCTGTCCACATAATCTCTATCATGTCATGCCGGGATGTGGGGGGGGGGGGGGTACGCGCCCGAGCCCACACCTGTCTTGTTCTGACCCGTCATACCCGATTTTGCCATGCTCATCGCTGATGTGTTTGAAGGCGAGTCATGTGGAAGAAATGCGGAACTGTATCGACGATTTACTGATGCTCGAAGGATCCAGAAAGGTAATCAAGTTTTTGTTTTTTTCGAGTGCCGTTGCCCGCATCATTTAGATAGGGGGCACGTCGGGGACACAGGTGCCGATACATCCCTCGTAGTAGATGCCCTGGAAGTATCGCTCGCAGTTAGGTGGCGCGGTACACTTGTAGCGTGCCGGGCATTCTTCAGTGTTTGACCCAGTACCGCAGCGGATGGAGTTCGGAGACCGATCGACTTGCGGATGAAGAGGTTGGCTGACAGGAACTTGATTCGGCGCGCCCTGGGCCACCATGCAGACGGCGCAGAGCACCATGGGAGTTTTGACGAGCATCCTAGCTTATCCAGAAGATAGTAAGAGTAGTCGTATTGGGGGAAGCGAAAGAAGTTAAGAGTGTAAGTTCTAAAGAAATGCTCTAGCCATAAGTCTCTACTTATATTGTTACACGTTGCAGAATAAACGGCGTCGCCGATGAGCAACTCGGGGGCAGCTCCGTGATGCGCATGATTCAACGTCGGCCCATCATCGGAGCTATCGATTAGATACTCCCCAGCAACCGATACGATATGGATGAGACCGGGCTTGCAATAGGTCTCCGAGAGAACGGCCTGGTACTGATGTTCGTCACAGAAGAGAATGGCCTTGAAGAAACAGTCTAGAATACACTGTTAGAGCACAATCTTTGAGTGAATCTCGGCGATGGGGAAGATCCTTACTCCGCTGGTTGTTTTTGATAGTAAACACGTTCAAGAACAGTGGTTTCCTGACGAATCAGGCCCCTCTATTTAAGTCAATACTTCAACCTCTTAATGTGGCTGTGTTTAGCTCGATCAAAGCCTGTTATTATAAGGAGCTGGATAATCGGCCTATCGATGACGATTCATTGCCCGTCGCAGAAATGATCTATTCGTGCTGGGTGGCGAAGGTCTAGCTTGTGGCAGTTAAGGTGGCGAAGCCACTGTTGAGTGAGTTGCTGGTTGATCCGGTCATAACAACACCAGAAACGACACCTTGAGAGCCGAGGATAATACTCGCGGGAGGTCTGCCAGAGGTCAAAATACTCTCCAAGAGACCTTGCTCCAATGCCTTCTTTCCTGATATTAAGAACCCTTCGACCAGCCGACGTACAGTCAAGCTGATGTAACGCAACATGGACAAGCATGTTAATACCGAACGAGTCTAGTTAGTCCTTTCAAGTGAAAAAAAAGATGTGAAGCCTAAGGCATAAATGAAGATATCGAATCAAAGAAATCGGAAGCAAGTCAAGCCTAATGATAATTTCCTCTGAATTATAATCATAGATGGTAAAAACGCTAGCTTGTAAGGAAACTTACAAGGCACATATACGATATTTCGACAGTACAAGACAAGGAGTGATTATTGAGTTAGTTTTCTATCTTTAGTATGTTCGTCATGTTATCATGATTGTATTTGGATTTGTTATGCGGCTTCTAGAGAGTGGCGCGTAAGATGTCTACCGCCCCGAGAGGTGGGACAAGAGGTGGGTGGCCGACGTTAGTATCTATAATCACATTTGTAAGGCGGAACAGGCAAAGCTCTCAAAGTTAGATCCATCCATAGTCTACTACCATCTATCTACAGGTATGTAGGTCTTATAGGGCCCTCTTTGGATTCGCATGCTTTGGCTACTTAATACATGATTGTGGGCCGGAGAACGAAGTCTAGCCCGGCTAGGATCCTATCATTTCTGATTGCGCACAAGCACTCGTCTCGAGACGTAGTGGAAAACGTTATGCAGTGGATCGAAAAAGGGGGAGAGGAATTCGTTCCCTTTCGACGCCAGTTCTACGATGACGAAGAATAAAGACATGGTTAACGTATCGGCTGAGGGAGGTATCGGCTGGTATCGGCTGGTGTGGGTATGGAGGATAACTAGTAGTCCACGGTGTCGCGATCAGTGTTCTGATTGGCGGCCCAAATGCTCCGGGCCGTCTAGATCGCTTACACATGCCCTCACCTACTATAAAGAGGGTACTTTATATATTTCTAACTCTTATTTTATTATAACTACCCATATTAGGATAATGACTTTATTATATAGTAGCTTTTATAAATTATAACTAAAGTATATAAAGTAAAAGATATATACTTTATAAATATTTAAAATTTATAAATTAAATATTTTATTTTAAATTTATAACACAATTATTAAAATCAAATAAGCTATTCTAAGGTTATTTTAAGTTTAAGTAAAATAAGACTTAAGATCAATATATAACATTATTATTACTCTAAAATTATCTTATAACTATTATATTTCTTATTAAAAAATAACTAATTTAATTATAATAGATAGATTATATTAAATTATTAGAGACTTTATAAATCTCTTTATTAGTTTTATAATTGGAAATGTAGTTATTTATAATTTATAAATATTTTCTACTACTAGCATAGAAGCTGTTAGCTTTACGAATATAGTAATCCAGAAGAAGAAGCTTATCTTGGTTGCACCCTCAAGGTGACTTATGTCACGGCTCTGATGTCACGTTTTATGGCGCAGACAAAGGGCTTCTGGGAGCCCAAGGTCCGTTTCACTCATGCTGCACACGGAAAGGTAACAGAAAAACAGTGGCAGGAATACCTCACTAGGCGGACGAGCAAGAACGATCCTCTAGCCAAGAAACTCATTACAGAGCTTGCATCACGTGTCGTTCGATTTATGCTGATTATTTATGATCGGCAGACAGGCGATGCGTTGTCAACAGCATGGACGATACCTGGGTCAACCGCACCAGAACAGGAAACACTCGAGATAAACTGTCAGAAGCGACGTCGAAGATCGAATCATTGCTCAAGGATGTACTCAGCGACTTAGAAATCATTTGCACAATTCGTGATCGAATGATGGACCAGGACTATTGTGAGTTTATCATAATAGAGAGAGATCTGAGACCGTGTTTTGACATCCCCGATGTTGTGGGGGACGCCTTGTTGAGACTTTCAAGGACTTTCAATGCACAAGAACCTCTTATCAAGTTTATCAGGCAAACGATGGCCGCCGCCGAGCAAGACGAATATCTCGAAGCCTTTGTTGATGGACCCCTGTCGGATAGCAACCTCTCTACCTCGACATATGTTCCGCGCCTCGGACAGGAGGGTCATTAATTGCGGGCATGGAATGTTTCGGAAATTCATCCGAGAATTGATGACAGCAAAAAGCAACAGGAGCGATGGGTTACTCGCGAACTTTGCGTTCTCTCGGACATCCTTGCTAGCATGGAAGCATCCAGCGTGATTGTCAAGGCAGACAAATTTGAGAGGCCTCTCGCCGCACCGAGATTTTTGCGAGCTGTGGACAGGCATGAGAATCTGTAATTTGACTACACGCATCTCAATGGGCGAACAGACCAGCTTTAGTCTGCTACTCGAAACTTCTGGACTGCGTGAAGCATTGCACGGGCTGTTTTGCAATGACACACTGCGGCTGGGCGGAGAAGGGCTGCGCTGTTTTGCGAAAAGTTTGGAAGCTGCAAACCCAGCGGCCGTTTTTGCAAAGGGCATGATTCATACACTTCTCGATCTCCGTGAGATTTGCGTCTTGGCTAGCCTAAATTTCCACACACCTCATGGCCATCTGTACAAGTGGAAGCACTTGCCGTTGACTTTCCTACATCATTGCACACCTGGCAGTATCTTCTTCATTGTGAGAGAAATTCCAGGTTATCTCCTCCGAGGGCTAGTATTGAGAAAGTAATGTACATGGCCTGAAGAATTTAGATGCGGCGCTAGCTTCAGTGTTGCTCCGAAATTCTTTCGGAAGTGGCATATTGTACCTGATGCATAATTTACGCAAAGAATGTAAACGAAATAAGGATACTTTTAGAAAGCTGTTAAAAATTAACCTTTCTAACCTTTAATAAATAAACTAAAAAGAAGTATATCTAACCCTAAAAGCTAGTCACACAGTGCTGGAGTTCTTGAGTAACCCGCCTCTGGAGCTTTGACACCCACCCATCATCAGCGGCCGGCGCCCATCTCCAAGACAGGCACACGTATAACCCAGAGGTAGACGGCACAAAAGTTATGTGCACGGAAACACTTTCTTTCCGGTGTGTTCATAGCCTCTGATTGTCAGTGATCGGGGATTGACGAGGAGAACAATACCATCAACCTGACAATCTTCCTTCTTGAATGCACCATCACATCTCGATTTTATTGATGCTACAAAAAATAAACACTGCGGCATTGGCAACACAAATCAAGTTTACCTGGCTTAAGCGCTTGCCCCGGGTGTCTCGCTGACGCGAGTCAAGAACTTTTGGCCGCGAATCTTGCCCTCCTTGAGTCCCTTGAGGCCTTCAGACAAGCCCTCGAGACCGTTCTTGCCCACCGTGTATGGATGACTCGTGAGCCAACCTTCGCGAAGACCCCGAGCAAACGCTGCGGCCCATGTCACCCCGATAAGCTTGTCCTTTTCGTCTTCCTTGTGAACCTGGCCAACCATGGAGGTGACGATATCAACACTCGGGTGAGCACCCTCGACCTTGGTTTTTAATAAAATGTTGGTCAACTTTGGCCTCTGTCCAGCGGCGTCGGCCGGGCCGGCAATGACCTTGGTGAGAAGCCTGACGGTTTCATCTTCGGAAACGGTATCGTAGGCCTTCCAGCAACGGCCATCGGGAGCACCTCCCTTCTTGACGGCTTCCTGGATGGCCTTGATCAGCTCCTCCTCTGTCGAATAGGCAGTATAGTCAACGAGTGCATCTCCCTTGCTCGCGTCGAGAAAGGGCCTGATGAATTCGCTACGCTTGCTTCCCACTGCGATGAGGGGATGGACATTGGCGGCCGCAGCAAGCTTGATGGCAAAGGCTCCCGTGGCGGTACTGGCTCCGTAGATGATCAGAGGAGACTTGGTCTCCTTCTTTGCCGCGGCTTTGGCGAGCGGAGACCAGGGTTCTGGAATCTCAAGCTCTTGGAAGAGCGCGCAGACGGACGTGTAGGCTGCCAGGGGGATTGTGGCAGCCTCCTCAAATGATGTCGAGTCCGGGATGTGGAAGGTGGTGTAATAGGGCGCGACGGCGTACTCGGCGAATGCGCCGTGGGGGGTCCTCATCTCGTGGAAGGCAGCTACGCGGTCCCCTTTGTGTAAACCGACGACATTCTCTCCCACGGCTTCGATGGTACCGGCGATGTCGTCGCCGCTATTCATGTTGGAACCGCTCCAGACGGGGACCTTCCAGTCTTTCGGGTTGGATCCTATAATTGATCGCTTTAGTTTTCGACCAGAAGATCAAAGCTCTAGGGCATAGATGCCGCTGCCAAGGAGGGATGGATGTTGTATTATTGATTTGGCAGCTGCGACCTTCTCCAAGTTTATTACTTACCTGCGATGACGACCTTGATTAACACATGACCAGGGCCCGGCTTAGGGATAGGAGAATCGACAATGTCGACGGAGATGTCAGTTTTCACTATTGCTTCCTTCATGATGAAAACAGTTGATCTCTCAGTGCGCTTAAAAGATGACCGATTTATTTTGGCTGGGAACTTTTCGAATTGATGTTCAATGTCAACACTGGCGCGACTACTGGCATATTCTTATAGTCTGCAGAACATTTGTAATCAGTTCCCACCGTAATATGCCTTACGGATGTTTCGGAGACGTAAACATTCGTCACAGAAGCGGATTTGCGGACTTAAGTGTCGTTTAGTTAGCCACTAGTCTCTGATGTCTGATAAATGCCAAACTTAGTAATCCATATAGACAGTATGTATTATTAAAACAAAAAAAATCAAAACTAATTGCTAAATACCGTTTCTTCACAATAGTTCATGTGAGCGCCAAAATGTACTGGTGATGTGGTGCCTGTTTACTTGGCGGCAACTCAGCAGGCTGACCTGCGTGCAATGGTTAGGCACACCTATAACACACAGCCGCAACCACCGTGTCGGTCGCTTGTGTCTAGCTAGGCCTCGTTCGTGGTGGCGCACTGGCTGACCCGGCCTATAGCGTCTGTAGCGCGGATGCCGGCAGCCGGGGCCCAGCAGAACATTTGCGAGATTCCAGGCACCATCGCCGGTGGCGGCAAAGGAGACGAGGCTAAAATAGAAAAGAATTTGTAATTGCCTATACAGGTAATTTGCGAATGCCTAGTTGGGTGGTGGCTGAAGTTTAGCACTCGAATTCTGATCAAGTGCACACAACTAAACTGCAATTTGCTCAGCGCTCTGCCTCAACTGCTCACACGCGCAGAGCTTTTAACAACCAGGGCACAAAGATACGTCTTCAGCGCACAAAGCAGTCCAAAAATCTCACCAGCATCATCGACAGCACTCTTGATAACAGCATTCTTGAAGTAGTCTCCATCATTATCATCAACGCCCATCCAGCACAATTTCGTAGCTTCTAGCAGGTAGAATAGCCCCAACGGCGCCGTTCACACGGTATTAAATTCCTTCAAAATCACTTATACAACGATTGAACTCTTGCAGGCCAATGACAGCGGGCATACCGCGCAAACAGATTATCGCGGCGCCCGCGCGTCGATTTTATTACGGTGCCTGGGCGCCGATTCAGTGGCAGTGAATTGGCGGAGGCTTAGTCATAAACTCAGCTGCAGGCACCTCCGCACGCACACTTTGACAGCATCATCATTCATGATGCACCAACAGGTCTTGTTCCGCTTCCCTGATCTGGTCAGGAACAGGAACTCACTCGTGTTTCCCAATCTAACTTCTGTCTCGAATACATGTTTCATCTACAGAAATATCCCCGATGGATTCGGTCCAGTCCACTGGTCATCAGCCACGTCGCACACGCCAGAATCCGGTATCGTGTCGTTTGTGCCGGCTGAAGAAACTGAAATGCAACCGCCAACACCCTTGTTCCAACTGCTCTACCCGTGGCGTTGCCTGTGAATATATCGCACGAATCCCTGGCCCAACGTCCACGGGCGGCACGGATCAAAGACAAGCTTTACCCGCCGCTGCTGAAGGCGCGGGTTTCCAAGCTCGCCTTGAAAGGCTTGAAGAGGCAGTATTCAGCAGGCATGATGATACACCCTCTGTATCTTCTGCAACGGCACCATCTATTCGTCGGTCATTGGCTACCACGGCTATACCAGGTTTCGCTTTCAACGAGGAGCATGAAGTGACATCGAGATGGCTTGAAGGCATTGGCACCCTTGAAAACCCGATAGTAAGATCCTGCAAGGCTGTTGAGACAGCGAATGACCACTGTGTTGACCCTGGTTCTGACACGGTTGCTAGTTCAGAACTCACGTAGCCAATGTACCATTCAAAGCTGGACCTATAAGCCAGCTACTGAAGAATGTGTCAGCGTCGCGGAATGAGGCAGCACCAGCTTGCCCCCCCAGAGTTCAGCTACCTACCAGAGAAGAGGCGATACACTTATCCCAGTACTTTATCGACAACGTCCAGTACCTCCATCCCGTCTTCCAGCCTCATTCCCTGCAGCGCGTGATAGACGCTGTGTATATGCACCCTGATACACCGATTCAGAGCAATGTGGCAGATATCGCGCTGCTTCTCAGCATACTTGCTAGTGCCAGCCATCTGTGGAGACCACAGAGAAGCAAATGCTTGGTCTTCTTGTCTGCGAAAGAAGCTGCTGCCATGTCCTTGATCTGGACCAATGCAGCAATGGATATTCTCGAGTACTCGAAGAGAACTATTGCTGCATCTGTTGAAGGTCTTCAGGCCACAATCGTGATATCCTACGTTATCTACAATTCCCAAGGGTTCTCACCCATGTTCCGCTCACTTCATAGCACCATTATCATGATAGCCCGGGATCTTTCATTACACAGGACTGATAGTCCCCGAAGGAGCGGAGAAAAAGATCAACCGCCAAGTCAGATTGAAGCCGACGTGAAGAGAAGGTTATGGTGGCACATTGCTGCCACAGACTGGTAAGGTGCATTTGTTACTGATTAGCTTTTTGTACTGATGCTTAAGCGCGAAACAGGTTACTGGCATTCACGCCTGGTCCACAGGAGGGCACTTATACCATTCAGCTGTCACAGATGCATGTAAATCAGCCAGATTATCTCGAAAGCTGTGATAATGACGCTGGAAATGTTTCACCGTCTACCTCCTATTTCATCCAGCGTGTTCGGCTAGCAGAGATCTGCCGCGCAGTGGTTGACTCCCTCCCCCCCCTTGAAATGATTGAGAATGCAAACTACGAGCAAGTTGTCCTCTTGGACGGCAAATTTGAAGACTTGATCACAAGTCTGCCGGCTTTTTTCCGGCTCGACCAAGGGAGCGAACTCTTGTACACCGCGCCCCAACTCACCCTTCAGTGTTGTCTGATTCACCTTGGGATCCATACCAGACGCAGCAGGCTTCACCAGCCATTTGTGGTAGCTGGTTTCGCCGATACCAAATATACCTTTTCCAGAAATGCCTGCCTCAACTCCTCCCGCGCGGTTCTGCAGATTTGCTACAAGTTAGAGGAAAAGAAGGATGACCTAGAGTTGATCCCCGCCAGGTTTGCAACCGTGGTTCACCACGTTTTTATGGCTGCTGTTGTGTTGGTGATGGACCTATGCTCTAACAAAGTTGAAGGGCTCGAGGAACAGCGGCAGGCTGAAGTTACCCGAGCATGCAGAATGCTCGACAGCTTGAAACAAGACTCGGCCATGGCCGCAAAACTGGCTCACCCTCTCATGGAAATCCTGCAGAAACACAAACAAAGGCTACAACAAAGCCAGTCATCGGCTATGCCTCTCCCCGTGGTATTACCACATGCTGACAACAGAACCAATCAAGTATCTTTGGATCCGTCCAACGATTTCCATGGGCCTTTGTCTAATCATATCGGCCAATATGCATCATCAACGACTGCCAGTGGCGCTGATCACCAGCCAGCAGTCCAAACAGAACATCAACAACAACCATGTGCCAACGACCGGGAATTCGATGCCATGATGCAGCAATACATTGATCTAAGCCAATTCATTGATGGGCCTTCCTGGGGTTCTCTGTTCGATGATCTAGATTCTCACCATATGACAGATGCCGCCGGCGCTACTTTCTCTGGCTAAGTGGAAGGTACTCTTGTCTGCAAAGGCAACCTGGCTGCTGAGCCAAAGAGGAGGCATTCTCAGTGTATGGCTCATAGCTTTCTTTGTTGGGTATTGGCCTGCTGTTTGTTGCTCGTGTCACTATCCTTACTTTGTATTTCCAGATTAACTGAGATATTCTTTGGTCTGTGAGCTAAAAACCAAAAAGATCATTAAAAGAGCAAATGCTAAAGATGCTATTAGAAGTCCCCATATAACCAACAGACCGCCTCAGATACCGCCTCGGATGATGCACAAACGTGGTCTCGGCGCATGATACACTATGAACAAAATCCCAAGGCATGAACGAAAATATTCTACTTCTGGGGGCATATCAGCAGATCCTTTCCAGTGGGGCCGATATTGGCAGCGTGTCCTTTGCTGTAGAAACCAATTCTGCAATCCGGCCCTTGGTCTCCGTGAAAGCATGCTGCCAGGCAAACATGTGCAATGAGCCGTCTGCAGTACCCATCGCCTCTGCTTCTAGGTTGGAAATGCTCCACTGCTCTGCTAATCCAGGAAAGACCTGTTCCATCTGCTCTGCGACCTCTTTCCGCTCACCCGCAACGCCGATGCTAGGCTTGGAACTGTTCAGATCAAACGTATAATGTCTGTGCCTGGCAAAGAAAGACAGTGTCAGCCGATCGTGATCATGAGCCAAAAACTTGGCAATGTGCGCTTCGTTGTCGTCGCAGCTGTGCGTCTCATGTCGCCGGCGAGTGCTTGAGGCGGTCATGTAATCCTCATAGGAGCCCTCAATGCTGTTTCCCATGATGATGATGTGTGGATGATGTTGATCCTGATGCTTCTGGAGCCAATCTTTGCTGATCCTCTCAATTTCCCAAGTTACTCTATGCTTCAGTGGTAGACGTTGTGGTGGGAGACCATCTCGGTCCGTGGTTGCATTCGTGCTTTCGAGCCTGAGCGTGGCCAAGAAGAAGTTAGAGTGGTAACCTGAAAATAATCAGTTTTTTTTCCGATTGCGTTTATTTCTTAGATCAATGGTTCTCTGGGGATTCTTACCGCCATCACAGAAGTGCCGGTCAACCAGAATCAAGGCATCTGTGTCCCTCCCCCATAACTCTCGTATCGCTAAATAACCGACATATGTTGGGACGCAGGTTAAATCGGTCGAGGAGGTCCGGGTGGTACGTATCATCAAACTATGAGAGTAATGATATCTTCAGTCTTTCCTGCCGTGAATGGGACTTTGCATCGTGAGACTTACCTTTCAATCCCAGGCGAGGCTGATGATGCCTTTGCAATATCATACAGCCATGCAGAACTCAGTTTCGATATCCAGCTCTGTAAGCGCCCGATTTCTAGCTCGATTCGGCGAGTGGACTTTGAATATTTGTAGTCGCGGACACTATAGTCCCACACATCGCCGACCATTTCGTCTCCTGCCTGGATCACTGCTTCAAAATCGATGCGCGCCCCCACAACGTGCTGAAACCGACGGAAACACTTATACTTGGAAAGAACAAAAGAATAGGTAAGGAAACGGACCATAGTACACGGCGACAGTGGATTCCATTCAATTCCATCCACTCCTTCGTTGGATGATGCTGTGGACGCAGATGATGATACGACCGTTTCCGCTGCTGGCCTTACGTCGATGTCATCCACAATCACCATAGTTTTGTCTTCGCGGCGAGAAATAGCTCTCTCAACTACCGCAGAATCATTGCGAATCTGCCACCAGGAATCCTCTGTGCAGCTAGGTACCAGCTGCTTCTGCTGCTCCTCCTCGACACCGGTCAAATCCCAGCCGTTGAGATAGCCCTCGTGAGTCCGTGGCGTCTTTGACTGGCCTGCTGGATAGAGAGTCGTAATTGTATTCAAGATTTCCTGTTCATCCCATCCCAATTTGCGGAGTAATCCGTCCGGGCTATCCTTCTTCGGGCCAATCCCCAGTTTCTCTGGGTGAACACGCTCGATGGTGAGCTTGGCTAGCATCTTGCGGGCTCCATCGAGCACGTTGGTGAGCCGTTCGATGTATCTATCGAGCCAGGACGTCTCTTTATCACAGCTGCTCGAGGCCCAGTGCCGATGCATCTTGGTCAAGTCGAGGAGCATTCCTGCTCGAAGCTGACAGGAGGTGTCACCAACATGAGCGTCAAACGCGGCGAAACCGGCATCATCTACGTATGTATCGTTGGTAAATAGTAGACGGCGATAGAGCGTTAAGGCGTCGATGGCGTCGGAGGATGCGCGAACAATGTCCGTGAGGATGGTGCCATAACAATTTCGCGGGCGAAGGCCTTGTGGTGCCGCTAACGCAGGAAAGAGAAAGCATGCCATTTCTCTGAAACGAGAAGCTATGCTTTGAAAGAACCTCGTAGAAAAGACTACCCTGAGCGGATTACTTTGAATCAAGTGCTTTGACTAATTCCATAACCTTGTGCTAGACGTCTTGCCTCCATATTTATAGACAAAACCCTCCACCACGACCCTTTTCATTTTATCCTTTGTACCAACCTATTATACTAATCTAATACTCACTGGGGAGGATTGTGCCTTTCCCTGGGCAGCGGCGGGCCGACCCATCCACTAGACGGGGATGTTGGCTGCGAGGCTCGCGTCCCAACACGCACGCAGTAACTGTGTAAATGCGCCGGTTACGAGATCACTGGGCTTACCCAAATATAGAGTTTTAGTGGATAACAATTACGACCGGAACTTTTCGGGATTTCTCGGTGGTTTGTGTATACTCCGAATACACTCACTGTGTGCGAGCCTGAAAGTCTACTCCACCGCTTACAATTAATCCGTACGAAACTCGGCTCTCGTGTGGAGTCAAGTACGGGTATGTATCCGACTTCAAGGTCTGCACGCATGTTTCCTTGATGGCAAATCCCCATAGTACTGCTGGACGTGGAGAAAATCTCGGAGAGCAGAGCAGCGCGAGTATATTCCGACGCGGATGGAAGCGAAAATGACGAAAACCTGTTCCTCTCCGGTAGTGACATTAGTCCAAGAGAGGCGGCCCGGAGTTCCGCTCTATAAATTAGATGTTTGAACTTCTTTGAACAATGCACTCTTTCGACAGCTCCTTCTCGAGAAAAGAATTCCTTTGTAGTTCTTTCCCTTTTTTTTTTTTTCTTTTTTTGCAGAAAATGCATAGTCTGTTCAGCACGACAATTCTTGTTGTATTGGTCGTTGTTTACACAAGACTTTATGGAAGTGTAAATATATCAGTTCTTTCAACTGGATCTTGAGGAACGGGCACTGACTCGTGCCATTACAGACCAGGCATTACTTCAAAGACAGTCAAGGCCGCAGAATCAAGCAACTAAAGAAAGACACTCGATATTTACGGTTCTCCCACGGGTAAGTATTGAAGACCACACAAAAGTGATTTGACTTCGATGCTAAGGAAGGGTCTCACGCAGCCATGAATTATCCCAGAAAGGCAGCGAACTTGCGGGCGAAGAGCCATATATAATCCAAAATGGATGGTGGACTCGCGAGCTGGTAATAACAGACCCTGATCACTTGCGAGAGTTCTACAGAAAGGATGCAAAAGGTATTTTCTCCCGCCCCCTGGCAATCTTGCCTTGTAAGTAAACATACGTCTTGATCTTCTGTTCTTTTTCCAGATCACGAAAAGCCTGTCAATATGAATCTCGGCGATTATTTTGGACGGTAAATATACCCGCTTCCATGCTTAAAGATCTCTTGCTTCCTCAGCAATGGCAGCTGACAGCTATCAATACTTACAATAAGACTTCTCGGCCAATGTCTGGGTCTTCAATCAGGGCAAAAGTGGGCCGCAATGCGCGCTCACTTCGAGCCGAAATTCTCGCATCTGGCAAGCCTGGACATGGCAAATACATTCGAAATGGAGATCGAGGGTTGGGCCGACATGCTGTCAAAGAGTCATGCTCTTCGTGAAAAAGAGGTCACGCTAGGCTCATTTCAGCGAGATGCCACTGAGGCTTGCCGGTATCTGCCTTTTCGCTTGACAGGGCTAACAGTATATGGGGAAGCGCTCGACGATGAGGTGAGTTATCTCCTCCATACGGAGCAGAGAAAAGGATGGAAGTTGCTGGAGCTGACTGACTCATACAAGTAGACATACCAAGACCTGGTGCATTTGAATGACCTCCATGAAGAGGTGATGCTCGATGCTTTCTTTGGCAAACTCACCGTCTCGAATATCTATAATATCCTTCCCACACAGTCGAAACGTCGACTGGACACATTCAAATCGAAGTGGGAAAAACTGAATCTCGACATTGTTGCGAAAGCAAGAACGGTATGGTAGAGATCAAGCCCTGGTAGTTATTAACGCTAGGAGAGACAATGTGTGGCTCACATCAAACGTATAGAATAACTTTCACTGCCCTGCTGAGCGCATTTACAAAGGTGTTGAATCTGGAAAGATGTCAAAAGTCGAGGTTCGTCTTAATCTTGCAACCCCCCCGCCTTTTCCTTCATTATAGGTGATGGAACTAAAATGGATACACCACAGTTCCTGGAAACCATGGACGAGTTGTTATTTACAAACATTGATGTGACGTCAACTGTTCTTGCATTTCTCCTCATCAACATCGCGGCCAACCAAACCTTCCAGTCGTTATTGAGGGATGAAATTGCGGCAAAGCAAAGCCAGCCATCATATAACCTAAGCGATTACGTATTGGAGAAGAATAGCCTTCTTCATTATGCTGCAATGGAATCTGTCCGCATGAGTCCGGCACTATGTAAGTCGAAAGTTCCCTTGATTTGTTATTCGTGTCAAGCAGTTCTGTCCCACTGACAACCAACCTTCCTGGGACAAAAGGGTTTTCCCTGCCCGAAAAGACAGCAGCCAAAAAGGTAATCGGAGGCTATCTGATTCCTGCCAAGACGCCCGTGGTCATTGACTGGAAACGCCTAAACACCACTCCGGCCATTTGGGGCTCCGATGGGGAACAGTTTCGTCCCGAGCGGTTCGCCGACATCTCGCCTACAGCTTATCGATACGGCTTGCTGCGCTTCGGTATGGGCCGCGGTCGGTGTCTCGGAAAGAATATCGCTGACATGATGCTCAAAATGGCGGCCGTGGCTATCGTGCAGCGATTTTCCATGGTGCCGGCTGGTAAAGAGAAGGGTACCAGGCAGGACCGGTTCACGGTGACATCAGAGCAGGAGATTGAGTTTACTCCTTTGAGTCAAACGAAATGAGTTTTATTAGTGAATTGTTGCAGAGTCGCGTCTTCTGGACTAAGAACATATATATGAATTCTTCAATTGGTCATGGTATAACGTGCCCCCGCCGTACGTTGGTTATTCTGCCTCGACATATGTAGACGGAACCTTTAAAGTTATATAGTAGATAGATACTAGCATCAACCTAAGTATAGTGCAATTATCTAGTAGGCTCTTTAGCTACTATAATTCTATCTAGTAAAAAAAAAGTATAAATATTAGATACCTTTATACTAGTACTACCTTTTTAGCTACCTCCTTTATTAAGTTACTATTAATATTTCTAGATTAAAATAAAATCTGTTATTATTAGTAGTTTACTTCTATAGTCTTAACTAGATATTAAGTACCTTAATAATTTAATAATATAAGAAAAACTATTTACCTAGCTATTTTAAGGCCTTACTATACCTATTCTATACCTAACCTAGGTAAAAGCCTATACTTTATACTCTTTTCTATATTAATATTTATAATCTTTAGTAAAGGTTAATAACTATTTTATAATAATCTTATAATATTAAGTCTTTAAGCTATATTTTTTATTTATATATATATATTAATTTTACTGTTTTAAAGATATTTATTTTACTAATATAGTTAATAAGTAAGTAAGTTAAATAAGTAAATAAGCTACTTTACTAAGTTTTATTATCTTCTATTTTAATATATATATTAATTAATAACTACTTATAAAAAAAATATTAAAAATAATTAAAAATATTTTTACTTTAAAAGCTATTAAAAGAATATTATATTAAATTATAAGAAAGTTACTTTAA